TTTCCCTTACTGGTAGAGGGGATTTACCGGTTTGGACTATTTGTGTCTATTTTGTGATACCCCATCTCGTTGTCCATATAAAACTCTATAAAATAAAATGCGGTCCCCTCCCGCTGAAAACAAACTTGCGCCTTTGAGCAGTTCTGTGATGCATTGGTAGTTCTAGCGGGGTAAAGTTTCACAACATTTCGGCGGTCCCACAGGCACCTAGCTAGGCAGCTAGATTCTCCGCCAAAGTTGTCTACCACAATACGTGGCTACAGTCGGCCTATATGAGCTACCTCTCTTACGCTCGATCCCCTCTGTCGGCCCAGCCGCTTCACCTCACCCACGTCCCCCCTCCTACCAAAGGACACATGCCCAACCATGACATTCGCCCAGGCGTCGAATTCAAATGGCTCTGAACATATCACCGCAAACATCACCGTCCCCTGCATCTGCCAGAATACTCCATCCCCGCACAATCTGCCCGCCTTCCTTCGACTTCCGCGCGAGCTGCGCGATCTCATCTATGAGCACTACGTCCGAGTAGACGGCGGCTACGCGTATCAGTTCAGGACCAACAAACTTACACAATCCGATGGGAAACCTATTCTCCTCTCGCTTGCCCTTGCCAGTCGACAGGTCGCCTCCGAAATGAGCGGAGTCGCTCTCCGTACTAATACGATTACGTTCTCGGCTCACTTTTCAGAAACCACCCGGGAGAAAGCAGGCCTGTTTCATGAAGCTATCCTACAAATCACAAAACGAAAAGCTACTTTACTAAACGAACTGGCACATCGACTTCTCACATCCGATATGGTCGAGGTAGCAGCTACATCGTACCCGCAGTTCAGCTCGATTCTTGACTACTGGCGAGTGCGCGGCCGAAACCCTACCTTTACAAGGACGGATTGCGGAGAGGCTCTATCAATCTGGAATGATTTCATTCACTTCACGCTAGACTTAGTTTCGAAGCATCCAAAATTTGTCGACCATGCAAATATCCCAGCTCCTGTTCTTTACCATTACCATGGCACCCAGGCGTTGGACATTAAAGATACGTCTCTCAAACCCTGGAATCTGGTCGATTCTGTAGAGCTCGAACGGCTAGCGATCGTAGCGCAGGTTGAGGAGAAACAGCACTGGTACAATGACAACATAAGATACTCTTATTCTGCGGCATCAACGGCTCTTCGTTTTCTCCACTCTGTTCCCAAGGCAACACGAGCGGCAATTCGGAAAATCGTTCTGCTAGAGGATCGCCAGTCCGTAGCAAAGCCAGCTTGCCATGGTAGAGGCTTCATTCCCTTTTGTCGGGAAAATCGAAACCTTCGTGTTGAGCGCTTCGTGAGCCTTTGGAAGAATGCATTCCCCATTTCGCAACTTCGCACACCTCTCTACATGATTGCCACCCCATTATTTTTAGAAAGCGGTACCTTGGACGATGATCGTTTGCCTGCTAATAGGACTACTAAGGCAGTGGGTACATGGGTTGCAGAGGCATTGGCTCTGCCTTCGCTTGGGATGCCGGAAAACTCTTTCACGCTTGTCCTTGACGGCAACCCAACTCCAGAACACACCTCTGAGGTGTTCCGCGTGGTGCAGCGGGATGTCGCCTGGCAGCTCGCTCTCGATACTTGCTACACTCGTGGACTGCTACCTACACCTTCATGGCTGGATAGGCGACTCGGCGTTGGTTACATGTACGAAGGGCTCCCTGATGCGGTCCGAAACCTCTCGTTGAACGGATCTCTTATCCGATGCAATTTCGATCCCGGCTCACCATATGATGTCGACAGCTTGCTCGAGGAGCATCGCGGTTGGTCTGCACAAGACTGGGAAGAAGGCTGGGCAACACACGAGCCTAGTGACTTCCAGACCGTGCCACCATTGCCACCATGGCACGTCCTCCGCTGGCAGAACGTTATCATTTAAAGTTCTTGCTGGAGTTCTGTATCATTATAGTGAAAAGACAACCTGGTATATCTGCCGGCATATAATCCACAGGTATGGGGACTGTCATTGTTTGCTATTTCTTACTCGATGTCGGGTTCGCGCAAGCTTTACGCGCATATTACAACTTTCAATTATGACATTCAGCGACGCTTGCATCTACAAACATTACACTATTGCTCTTGTTCACTTTCTATAGTACGTATCTTTCGCTCAGTCTTCATCGCTCCATTCTTGATATGTTGAGCGGCGCCCTGGCCTTCTCTCGGGACCGTCCCACCAAGTACAAGGCTTCGAACAATGGCAACGAGGTGGACTACGCACGTATTAGAATAATCTAGGAATCTGAACACCCAACTTACAGTTTTTTGACGGGCGTCGACCTTATCTTCGCAATCTCAGATGACATATCATGTCTAGGACTTTGGCGAGGTTCACCAAAGATCTTTTCCCACTTGCTGCGTACACTATTCTTCACATGACCCGAGAAAGTTACTTTCGGGACGTTTCGAAGGCGATCATACGCCAGTGTGAAGAACCAGTCCACGAACACTTTCTGACAAGAGGTTATCGGCCTAGCGCGGCGACGAACTAAGCTCCAGGGGTCGATAGTTGCATAGCCATTGGCATTCATCAGTCCTCGGGTTACTTGGAACTGAAGGTGCAGACGGCTAAGGGACGGTAGGTCTGTCAGATGCTCCAACTTGCCCAAGTCATACCGCAAAGGCGCAAAGCCTACGCCGGGCTTACCCTCAAACCCGACCAGTCCTAGGTATTCCCTATTCAGTAAGCTCAATGACACATGGTTGAGTGCATGGTATGACTCCATAGCTAGCAACCATGGCATCGCATTAATTAAAATGTGCATGCTGTTGAAGTGCTTGGTAGATGAACCCCAGATTAAATCTTCGGCTATTTTGCGGATATGCTTGTTGATGGACAACAAAGTGATTGCCCAAGAATCATCGTGTCGAGTCATTCCAATGCCAGGATGCGTTTCCTCGTGGTTCGGTTCCCAGTCTTGTATCGTCCTGGACGGTGCATGTATAGCAATTACTTCGGGCCAGAGGTGGTATTCACAGTCCCTATCCACTCTAGCTGTGCCTGTGATATGTGCTCTCCATGAATCTGCATCGAGTAGCGTCGGCAATTTGTCTCTGGATTTGGAGCCACCCGCGCTCAAATCGGCCAAGGAAATGCATTGGGTCTCCTTCTCTCTTTCTTTGCAGCAATCCGTTCTGTTGTGTGGCCATATTCGTGTTCCTATTGCAAATCCCAGGATTGAGCGTTGCAACTCTACCGGTAAATTCATGAACGGGAATGAACTGCCAGTTTGTTTCCAGTGTTCTTCTAGTTGAGCTTGCCGAGACCGTTCCTCGCCGTACCGTTCCCTGAGCCATTGTCTCACTGTTTTCCAGTAATTGTCTGGTGTCTGACTGATCTCGAGCTCTTGTCTATCATCAAGTGGACCGTATCGAACTTTTACTGCTTGCGGGTCGGAGCCCCCACCATGTTTCCAATGGACTAGTAAGTAGGGTTGGACCCAGCTCTCATGATCGATGTGACCAGGACTCGAGCACCATAGAAACATGACGTCTTTCGTATTCGCAGTAAAAGTGCTGCTTCGTTTGCGTTCCTCGTTAAGAATCGTATTCAATCTAGCATGGAACGGATTCTAAACAAGTCAGCCACAGGTATAAATTGTAAGCATCGCACGTAATAAACTTACTAGAGCTTCATCTGTTGGACTAGTCGACTCGGCAGACCCATTATGGGACATGGTGACGATTGGAAGAATATGTGAAAAGACAAGTGAAGCAAAGAGCGAGCTTCAAAATCCAAGGACCAAAGTGTCTGGGAGAGATTCTAGGAAAAGGGCATACCCCTAAACCGCTCTTGGTGGGTCAAAATGGGCCAAAAGCTGCTCCAAGCTTCGCGACTCGGTCTAGCTCACACCTGCGATGGAGCGAAGTGCCTTTGCTATGACGCGACTCGACGCCGGTCTAGCAAACATCCACAACACCAACAAGTTCAAGTACTCAAGCATAGCATAGAACTAAAAGAGTCTCGTTGCGATAGTTTTGTAAGTCTTTTGAGGGTTGGATGATAAGGCCTTGACTACGAGCTTTCCCTTTAAGGTGTAGCCGTGCACATCACTGCCCCTTAAATTGTGCAAACCCGCGAGATATTCACGTTGCATTGTGCCACGCGTTCAACTAAGAGTGATCGGCGTTTCGCGTCACGAGAACTCTCGTCAACAACAACAACAACATACCAAGGACCACGTCCGTCGTTTTAGGGCCTGATTACATTCGATATGGAGTATCCAGAGTTCCCAGGGGCACTTGTAATCAACACAGACGGAAGCGCGTTTAACAATGGAAAGGCCGACGCCGTCGCGGGTGTTGGTGTATATTTCGGAGAAAAAGATCCAAGGTCAGTTCGACAAGCCCCTTTCGCCTCTCAGCGAAGTGTATCCCGTGTATGAATATGGTCGCAAACGTGCACTGGATTGCAATCGCTAACACCTTTTCAGAAACATCGGTCGCCCGCTCGGTCCTGGGAAACAAACAAACCAACGCGCCGAACTCATGGCTGTAAGACTAGCTCTTGACAGTGCATCTGGTCACAAAAAAGTGGTGATCCGCAGCGATTCCAAGTACGCCATCGGGTGTGTAACCGATTGGTACTACAAATGGAAGCTTCAAAGCTGGAGGAAGGCTGCAGGTATCTTCAGGGAGAACCACCACTTGATCGAATCGACAGTACATCGTATACAGAAGAGAAAACGAGATGGTGCGACCACAGGCTTTTTCTGGGTAAAAGGGCACGCTGGGGATCCGGGGAATGAGGCAGCTGATAGGCTGGCTTCAAAGGGATCAAGGTGAGTTTCAGGAGTGAAGAGGTGAAGACCATGGGATGTTAGATCGATGGACACAGGTCTCACTAGCATCTTCGAGATTAGCTAACATGATATAGGCGTGCGTTCTTCGACCGGCGAAAAGAGCTGAATGCAATGCGACGTAAAGGTGGGAAACCAACGGTACAGAAGACAGCCCCGTAGCCGGCCCCGAGAGAAACAATGCTTGCCGATCTACAATTATATTGATATTACCTATTTAGTTTAAAGTGTTTGAAAGTGGCAGTAGGCACTTCGAATCATCGCCCACATACATTCTGCTTCTGTACCTTCATAGTACTTCGGTTGTTGGGCCGCGTCATCTTTCAGAAATAAGCATGGCGCAAGATCGCATGGAAGTGGAGGGTGGAGGGATAGCATTCTGAACCACTATCCAGAAAAGAAATCATGGCTCTACACACGACCTAAGCCTCCAATAAACTCTTTACCTCTTTAACCAACAAGCGATCCTCGGCAGCTTTTGCTTGTATCTTCCCAACCGTACCCGCAGCATCCATAACCTTCCACAAATCCTTTAGCTCGCCCCCCATATCCGCAGCGTACACCAACCACCCCACACAGATTAGCCCCATCTTCTTGTTGTCGCTCCATTGCTCCTCCGTGCTCAGAGTCTCTAGAAGCGAAGCAACGACTTCGACCTGTTCAGACTCGACAAGTTCACATTCACCGGGAAGAGAATGGGAGACGTTGACGCTGTGCTTTTTCATCCGAATCTGGTGGTTTGAGGACGCGATGTTCATAGCTAGGCTGAGTGCTGAGGCTTTGAGTGCGGGGTACTTCTCGTCGAGGAGGGCAGTTGTGAGGATTGAGATCAGAGTTGATGATAGTGGATGGGCGAGCAGATGCGGTATGAAGAGCGGAGAGGTGAAGAGGTTGCATGCTAAGTGCAACGTTGTAAGTCGAAGCGGATACGGTGCAGAATTTCCCAGTTTGTCAACGTGGCTCAGCAGATGGTGCACAGTTGCAGGCGTGCCCGTTGCGCCTTTGTGCTCTTCAGCGAAGAAGCCAGCTACACGGATATCGGTGAGCGTGATTCTCAGCAGATCCAAGGCTGTGAAGAGGAGTTCTGGCGGAAGCACGGAGGTACTCTTTCTCAAGAACTCTGCGAATTGTGGCATCCTGGGTAAAGGCGCTTCCATGGCTCCAGATTTGTCACGCGCGCTGATGAAAGACACGATCGATGAAACCGCAGGGTCGTTGCCCAAGTCTCCCATCTTCGCGACCAATTTGTCCAACGGTGGAACTTTTGGGTAGGTAATGGGTCGTTGACTCTGTCTTAGCAAATACGGCGTACTCCTTTCAAGATGTGGATGGGGCGGAAATGCAGCATTTAGCAACATTTCAACATTGCTCCGCAACTGCCTTGGATCCGCTCCACTCCACTCATCCCGCTTCTCGCCCCGCACAAACGTTATGAAGGTGGGGGTGGCCCGCACATGTGGGAAGCGCGCATTGATGGAGCGATCGGCATAGCTGAAGTCGATCTTCATGAAGATACACTTGGAGCCTGCTTCGGCTGCAAGGTCGTCGTACGGCTGATACACGAGCTTGCAAGGGGCGCAGGTCGAGCTTGTAAAGAAGATGATGGCGCAGCGGTCTTTCCCTAGGTTGAGGAGGCGATCAACATCCCTTATCGCTGTCACGTTATTGACTCTGCCCGTATTTGCCTCCAATGCACTATCGGAGCCCGGTGAGAGAGCTGCAGGTGCTGTCCCATTGTGTGTGTTCACGCTCGAAGCTTGAGGTCGGACTGGTGTCGCGGGTTGAGGTGTGGGTGCTTGCGTTATCGGTCGCATGGCCGCGTCAATCTGAGGGCGAAGCATCTGTCCAAACGGCGTATTCAACACTGTATGAGGGAGGGACGTGATATGGTCCGGAATTCCTTTGCCGACCAAGAACATAGCGAAGTCGTTGGAGAAGTTGTTACAGTTGTGTAGAAACAGATCGTACGACTACGCATACTGTCAGCCTCGTCTCTAGCCGTAGGCTTCAAGCAGACCTACCTCAGCGGTGTAAATTTCCTTCAACGACTCCAGGTATTCAAGTATAATCTCGATAGGCAGCTGGGTCGAACCAAGCTTGATAACCTCCATCGGTCGCCCGTGATGCGTAGCTCCTGCCTGACATGTCTGCACACCCTGTCCGAAGAAGTATTCTATGCCTTCGAGTACGACGGATGTATGGTATACGGCGTCTATCTGTGTTCCGAGGAACTGTTGTGACATGCTACGTGCAAGGCCCTAGGCTGTCAGCAAGCTTATCCTTGAATATTTGGACGAGGCAACAGCGCGCTCCAATGCCTCTAATAGATATGGACGGCATGGTTGAAGGGTCCGTCACTCACCTGAGAAAGGTCGTACACGTACAGCTGCACATCCATCTTGTAGGCTGTGTTGTCCGTTGTTGTCCGGTTGCGCAGGCTACTACTTTGTAATGCTGTGGTGTAAAGCGGTGTCTCGATGCGCGCAACAAGTCTAGGGGGAGTATATATCTACAAGATCCCTGGCGCTCTATGTAAACAGTCTGGACGTATTATGGCGGAGTTGTCCCTGTTCCGGTGGTTCTGCAGGCAGAAAGGGTGACGTAGAACATTCGCGAACGCTGACACGCCACGAATCGCTTCGAGGGGCAATCGCGCTAGCACCTGACCTCAAACTTCACCTCCAAACTAGTGTTCTCGCCGCGTCGTTCGTCAAATTTCGTTTGTTAGGCGATCGTACCTAATTCCAATACCTTCGAGAACGTTTCGTCAATCTTGTCTCTCCTTCCCTCTGTGACAATTTATAATGTCTGTTACCCGCTAAAGTCGCCACAGCGCGATTGAACCTTGCCTTCACAGGCCAACGCAGTCAGTGTCCTTCCCCTTACCCTCCTGTGGAGTTTATGAACATTATCTACGAGAGGCGGCTACAGGCAGAGACGACACGATGTATCGCCTACCAGTGCGTGGCCATGATCAACAGAGCAATAGTGTCCTTTGAAGCCTTACGGGATATGCAACGTCACAAGGGTAGCCTAATGCTCTAATATTTCGATAATGAGCTATGGTACAAATCATCCCGTTGTGTGCAATATCGTTGCGGTGATAAGTACGGCGCGGCAATTTTCCGATCCTTTCCTAGCACTGATGCTTCCTTGTATACGGCAGACTAGGTGTAAGTGAAGCCAAGATCAACCGCAGGATGATCAGACGTCCTTAACTTCAGCACTATTACACCATTTATTCACGAGGGTTAATAGCACGAGACAAACCTGTTCTGCGGCCTCGGTTTGATACCTGGTTTCGGTCCTCTCATTTGCCAGGGTGCGAGGACCCGGACCCGAACCCGACTGTCTGTATACTAGTCCGCTGGTGTACTGAGACCTGGACAAAGTAAACTGGATACTTCGTACTGCGGAGCCTGCAGGTACGTCCTCTCATTGGCCAGCGGCCAACTTTTTCTGTGTTGGACAACCCTGTTGAGTGTGCACCTTGATTCTAAGGACACCAAAGGCAGGGCTGTTTTCGTTCACTTCTCCCCCATTTCAGGTTTCTCTTCCACGCCTTTCAGTAATGCTGTCTGCCTCGTTATTGCATCCCAGCCCCACGCCGGGAGTGTTTCTCATATAGTGCGGGTGTCACTCAGCTCCATCGGATCATCAGCGTAAAGTGGGAAGGCGAAGAGCAGATTGGATCGAAATATCGGATGAATGGTAGGGGGGACCGTTGTCTCGTGGGAACGGGAAATGGGACTCCAATCACAATTGCCTCGCATAGCATCTAGCTTAGCGAGGGCTGACGGCGATCCCGACACCTCGACGGCTAACTGTGTTGAGAACAGGGAATTATATGCGCTATTATCGTCTTCTCTTCGATTCAGTGTGACGACATAGCATGAGCATGTGCTTTCCAATGTTTCTTGGCCTTTTCTTGACCAAGAATCATTTAAAGCGCAGCTATTGCCACAATTTAATTAAGCTAACAGATTCCTCCCGTTGCGCTTAAGCACCCTTGCAACTATACTATCTTTTTATACTACTTTATTTACAGCCCTATTTTGCAATAATAACCTAGCTAAATATAGTATAATTGCGTCTAAGCTAAAGATTTTGTTAAAAAAAGCTAAAAAAAAAAATAAACTATTAAGCCTAATAATTTTATTTTAGGCGAAGTTATTAGAATTATATTTTTATAGTATTTGCGTATACTAGAAGTTAGTAATAGTATTTTTATAAAATAGCTTAGTATTAAAGCTAGTATTAGCCTGTAAGCAGGTATAGCAGGGCTAAAACTATATTTAGTTAGTATAGTATTATGCATAAAAATGCTTTATACTTACTAAAATACTAAAGGCAGGCATTTTAGAGCATCTATATAATAATTATAAAGCTAGTAGCAGCAGTATATATACTTATATTAGTTTAAGTAATAGCTATTAGCAAACTAGTAAAATTGCAAGCACGGGCCATAGTTTCTAGAAAAGAGAGCACTAATTGTGGCGATTTCGTCCCTTATATCGTTACATTACTTTTTTCGCGCACGTCGCTAAAACACTATTTCGCTTCCATTCCAGGATGTCTGCAGTGTGTCATTTTTCAAACCTAGCAAAACCCCCCACGTATTCAATTAGTCAAGCAATCCAATCCTCTACACATCTTTTCCCTCATTGAAGGCTAGAACGATTCCCGACGATTCGTCCCTCGCTCTCGGCCTCGCTTGTTCCCGTTCGGGTCAGGAACGCAGACATGATCGAAAACGTGTCCAATAACTCCAATCAAAGGGGTCGATGTCGTAATGACCGAGATGTGATGAGATTCGGGCATTTGTGGTGGTTGTGCAACCTAGGTCTCAGCTGCTCATCAGGGTCTACACGCGACGGACCGAAGGCCTCCCGTTCAGCGGGATTGTCCATCTTCCGGCACATTGCAACATTTTTTACGCTATGAGATGCTCCGGAGCTATACGTGAGGCATTATCGATATGCGGTTTCCCTGCTAGGGCTTACATATGCAGAGGTACCTGCGCAGATCGTTGGCCTCTTTCAAGCCACATGCAGTCGACCCCCGCCACAATGCACCTGAGGCGAGATGTCACCCGCTTTGGACACGCCCACATGCCTGGCAGACGTCGTTTATTCTCGTTTTTGCGAGAACATGGGGTGAAACCGTGGCGATGCATACCTGAGGTGACACAGAGCGAATGCTTGAGAGACGTCTGGGTTTATCATCAACTATGACCTACGAGCACGCAATCCTACTTCTTTCATAGACTGTCTTGCTCATATTTTCTCTCCCATTCAATTAGAGCATCCTTAGATCGTGCCTTCATTTCTTCATTGTATTCTTTCTGGTATGCATCCATCGACTGTCCTCGCCATTCAGTCATGGACCTTGTACTCAATAGCTATTTCTCTAATCTCCTCACGGATGTACGTCTACTTACTTTGTCCACGGACCAGACTGACGAGTCCTAGAATTTCTCGCCGCATAACCCTTGGTTCAATCAAAGTCCTTCAAGCTGACGACTGGTTGATGGCGTTGGTTCTAATACCATTCACCGCCACAATCGTTCTTGTAAACCACGTGTCAAATGGACAATCCACAAAGCAACGCAAGTTCCGCTACGTGCTCGAGGAGATCCAGCTCATCACACTTTGGTTGGTGAGAGCATGTCTTTTAGTACTCTACTGGCGGATATTGTACGTCCAACTCGTTCACTGTTGGACATCCTTGTTGACTTGAGAACAGCCCAGTGGAGAAAAGTCCCTGGAGACGACGGGCACTCAAGGGAATCTCAGCATTCTGCGGGCTCTCGTTCCTCGTCGTCCAGATCTCACTAATCGCTTGGTGCCAGCCTATCGAGGCACATTGGGATCTTCCTAGCCCAAACTGTATGTTCCCTGCCCCCCTTCTTGAAACTGATACTTACTCCCATAGCGCAATGCACAACCTACCTCAGCCACACGGCCATAACTCTCGCCTTCAACATCCCAAACACAATACTTATCATGATGCTCCCTGTCCCTTTCATCCCAACACCACGACGCTTGCTCCTCGCCATCTTACTTATCCTCGGCATGCTCGTCCTCACCGCCGGCATCCTATCGCGATCTTCCATACTCAAAGCCTCGAATCCATCCTCGTCAAATCCAGTCTTCCTCCGCTGGTACATATGCGAATCCACACTCAGCCTAATTTTCGCCAACATCCCCTTCTTAACCTCCCTCGTCGTCGCTACAGCACCAGCGCGCATACGGTATATTTCACAGCACTTGCGCACTTCAAGCCATCTAGCGCTGATCCAGTGGCCACGGTCTCGCCGAGGAAGTTGGACGTGCAGTACGGCAGGCAGCTATGACTCCACGCGTAACATCCCGCCTCTCCGCATGAACAGATCAGGAAGTACCACAACGATGATCAGTGAATTGCCGAGTCCGATAGATGTCGAAAAAGGATTGCCGGTATGGAGGTTGAGCGAGCCAGCTACGCGCAAGGATCTAGGTGCCACGAGGGACAGCGCGAGCAGTGACTTGCTGTCGCGGGGTGGTGCTGTTATTCGTTCAAGCATGCCAGAGCTACAGCCGTCATCGTCGTTATTGCTGTCGTCATCAGTAGCAGAACGCGTAAGTACTGTGCCTAAAACGCGTTTGTCGGGCGGCCTTGCGGAAATGGGCGGGATATCGACGGACAATACAGAGGGGTGGCCGATATACTGGAAATGAGCTCAGCCTAGCTAATCGTTTTAGAAGGGAGAGGAAGAAGAGCCAACTCAGTATCCCGACCCACCGCCAAGGGCAGGCGCAGCACAGCACAGTTGATGAAAGCAGATGCAAGGTACGACGACAGGACATATCACGTCACGCAACAAGACTGGTCGCTGCGGATGGATGGAGGTGACATACATACAACGGGGCAATATAAGGAAGGAGCGAGAGAGCAAACGATGATATTGATGGACGGTCACCCCATGATGGAATAACCTGAATCGAGAAGAGGAAGAACAAAGAATCATATACATCATAACTAGCCATGAAACGTAAACATAGCGGTGGTATATCCCAAACAGAAAGATTATCAGCAAGCCGTAGCCCCCATTGCATGCGCAACTCGCTACGCCCGCACAGCACCAAACCCCTTGCTGAGAATATGATTCACCTCCCTCCCACCCCCAGCAGCAGCAGCAGCAGCAGCAGCATCATGCTCCTGACCCACGACGCGATTCCTCAGAATCTCACTAACCTCCTCTTGGCGCCTCAACTCCTCTTTTTCAATCCTCCTCTCCACGCCCTCCCTCTCCCTCAACACATCATCCCTCTGCCGATTCGTCCCGCGATCCCACCCGCTCTGCAACTCGCCCGCAGCAGCCTCTTCAAAGCGACGCTTAACCAGCGGATCCTGCTCGAGCGCCTGAAAAACGTCTTCATCGGTGGAAAAGTACGCGGCGCGCAGGGACGAGATGGCGAGTTCAAAGACGAGCACGCTGAGCAGGATGATGATGAGAGAGAGCCACCAGAGGAGCGACGTGCCAAAGAGGCGCACGAACGTGGAGCGCACGTAGTAGATTTTGTTAGCGCGTTTGTACGAGACGGACAGGAGGATGGTCCAGAGGAACCAGCCGCCTACTGAGAGGAAGATAGCGAGGGCGTTGGTCAGGGTTTTGGAGTGGGTTTCTATGAATCTTTGGGGAGGGAATTGGGTTAGCTTTAGGTAAGAGGTTTGGTGGGGGGAAGACGTACTGCATCTTCAAACTTATCAACACGACAACCGCCGTGTACGTAATCGTGCCCATCGGATAGATCGAGTTGTCTGCTGTGAAAATCGCCTGGCCGTACAGACCCAGCATGCAAAAGTACACCACCATGGCTTCCGAGCTGGCCATGAACATCCACCCGAGGTACACTCTGACGTTGAAACCGCCGTTACGCTGGCCTTTCGTATACAGCTCAGGCACGGCAAGCAGAGTGGACGCAGACAGGTCTTTCTCAAAGACGCCCATGAAGATGACGGGGAGCGAGGTGAAGAGCGTGTTGAACATGGAGAGCGACCAGGATTCGTAGAGCGAGGTGCCTGTGTAGCCGACCGAGCGTTGGAAGAGGGCTTGTGTGAGGTAGAACAGCTGGATGACATTGCGCGTTAGCTTTCTCGATCATCAAATTATTCCAGTTGGAGATTAGGTCCTTACCATTTCTTTCCAAAATGTGCCAACGGTGTACTTGCACGTCCTGATGTAATTCCACCTCCCATGCACAAGCAGCAACTTCGTCAGAAACCTAAACTGCGCAATTGAATAATCGCTCGTCCGCGCTGCTTGCAGACCCTCTTTACCGGTGATGCCGATACCAACGTGTGCTTCCTGTATCATGGCGATGTCGTTAGCTCCATCGCCAATCGCAAGCGTTATACTCTTCTTGACACGCTTGCGGATACTCTTGACAAGACTGGCTTTCTGCGACGGCGAGGCACGGCAGCAGATGACCGAGTCAGCAAGGATAGCGAGCTCGTGGAAGAGCGTATCGAGTGCTTCGACGTCTGTGATCTTGGAGAGTGTCTGGCCGTCTACGACGACGACGGAGTGTGCGACTACTCCGCTGCTGATAGCTAGAACAGCTGCCCCGATGCTTTGCTCCACTTGCCCCGTCTCGTGATCTAGGACAGTAACGGTAGAGTAGTCTTTGATAAGGCGACACGAGTATCCAATGTTGATAGCCGTCTCGCGCTTGTCGCCGGTGAGCATCCACATTTTGATTTTCGCTCTGCGGAGCTTGTCAATGGCTTCGGGTACGCCCTGCTGCAGTTTGTCTTCGATGGCAGTAGCGGCGCACAGATCCAAGTTCTGTTCAATCATGTCGCCGGCCTCTTCGATCAAACGCGTACGATCAACAAGGCTGGTCGTGGCTTCCAAGTACCCCTTCTTCCACGTTTGGTACTCGTCCTCGTTCAAGAATCTGTAGCCGTAAAGAAGCGTGCGGAGACCCTCGGTGGCAAAGTCGTTGATGTGCTGGAGACAGCGCTCAATGACTGCAGACTCATCGCCCGCGACATTCTCATCTACCATGGCTTCCATCTCCTCTAGCTGCATTGAACTTCTGGCTTCAGAAAAGGCCATGGAGAATCGGTCCAGGCCAGATTGCCGAGGTGTCTGCATTGGCGAATCTTCGTCGATGGACTGGATCTCGCCGTGGTCGTGCTCGCGCTCTCGTAGCCACTGGTCCATATCATCTCTCGCCGAGTGCGACCCGCTCCGAGCGAATGATGGTCTACCCATGTGTAGGCTGGCTCGTGCAGCCTGACCGAGCGACATACTCTTACGTCCGCCGACACTACTCTTGCGACCTGCAATGCTACTCTTACGCTCGATTTGCTCACTCATACGTGCAATGGCGTGTTGAACGTCCATGCTCTTCCGCTTATTGGCGCGACGTTCAATCTCGACCATTTTCTTGTTGGCAAGTGTGGCTAGTCGTAGGCGCTGCAAGACGATCGAGTCAGCACCCTTGCAAAAGATGCAGATCCGGCCATCTGGGTAGCCAAGAATGATAGACATGCGCTTTCGCTTGCTCGAAAACTCAATGACGTCGAGAATTTCATACGTCTCGAGGATCGGCTCGCCTTCTGCTCCAGACGGCAGGATCTTGAGGGTGATTCTGTGCACATCGCGATTGATCAGTAGAAAGCCCATGTCTTGTGCGGCTTGCACTAGCGCGAGTTCATCCGGTGAAGAAGCCATGAAGTGCGTCTCGCCATCTTCCTGGACTTCAGGTAGACAAGTGTGGCACAGTGCCAGCGAGAGAAGGAACATTCGAGCCTTCTTTGAGAAGGGCGTGTGGGGCTTCCGTTGGATATACCGAAGCATGTCTTGTGTTCGATATTCCCGTGACGCTTTGCTAGGCCTCGCACTTGACTGCCACTGCGCACCCACCGTGTCTCCCACACCATCGATCTGATCGCCAACTTCAAGCGCGGGAGTCAACGGTTCCCCGGGCGGAATGTCTGTTACAGACCGAACGCTTTTCCTACTCTTGGCTGGCTGCTTCCCCTTCTTCCTCGTTTTGTGCATCAGCTTCTTCTTCTGCTTTGCATCCCGCAAGTCTGCGTCATGAAGCCAAGCCACACCTGCAACGCTGAGCTTTCTGAACTTCATCGAGTTATCCGTGAGCGTTCCGGTCTTATCGGAGAAGATGTAGCTAATCTGGCCAAGCTCTTCATTGATGGTTGACGTTCGTGGCTCGCAGGGTGTATCCGAGATCTCATCGTACATGTCGACATCGGTGTGCAGGAAGAACATCTGCGCAAGCTTGACGATCTCCAAACTGACGTATAGCGACAGTGGGATCATAGTGTTGAACATGATGATAAACGACGTCAAACTGGGGAAGAACGCGACCGTGGCATTGGAAAGGTACCACATGTCATCTTCGTGGCGTTGCCATATTCTGTAAGCAACGGCATTGAAGATGGAAAGGGCCAAGACGAATACGACGATGAGGATGACGATGCGGTTGACCAAGCCCTGCAGCGCAGGCGCCTTGATACGCGGGTTCTTGTTTGAGTTCATCCGGATACGGCACTCCTCGCCAGAATAGATGACCAGTCCGACTGCGTCCGGTGTATTACGAAGAATGCTGCCGCGGAAGATGATCTCATTAAGCGTCAAAGGCGCTTGTTTGCCATCCACTGTAACGCGCCCCTCGAAGGTGTACAAGTCCTGATTGGGGTCTTCTATGACAAATTCAGCACTGGTCCTCATTACATCCTCTTGGTCGAGGATGGTTTTCGAGATGGAAGCCGTCGTTTGTTTGCTCTTGAGATTTGTCTCGCCATCCAGCGCCATTGTCTCAACGTAAGCAACGCTGTTCTCTCCGCTGGTGTGTAAGAGCGCCAAATCTGCTGGAGCAGCGTCGTTTCGATCCAGCTTGATGATGTCTCCGACATTGATATCCTGCCACTTGATCGACTCCCAGTTGAGCGCTCCAGAAGAAGGCGAAGTTGCACTTCCGTTCTCCGTAGATTCTCGCTTGGACTCTTGTAACGAGCTCGCGCGCAGCACCCGCGCCTCTCGATTATTCTCCGCCTTATCCAGTCGGTACCGCCTGAGGTCGTCATATCCCTCCTTCGCAATAGAAAGCGTAACAAAAAACAACAGCGGAACAATGGTCGTGAACTGACCTGTCGTACTAAGACCGGGTATCATCTGCAGGATTGAAATAACAAGGAAATAGAAATTCGCAAGCTTGGAAAACTGCGCCACAAGCTGGCGGGGGACAAAGTTCCACGCGGAATATCGTGTGGACCGTATCCAGTTGCTGGTATACGGCTGATTTGTACGTTCGTCAAGGAGAGGGTCTTTACGAGAGAGATCTAATTGGATGTGTCGTCCGTCTTTACTCGACGGTATGTCTTTGATCCGGAAGATGAATTTACGCGCCTGCTCTGCGGAGTCTCGAATCTTCTTTTTCATGCCTCGCTTCTTTCCAGACCCTTTCTTGTGGAGCCAGGTATCGTAGTGTGGAAGGGCGATGGGTCCTTTGCCCAACTTGGACTTGGAGGCATACTCCGAATGCTCAGGCGTAACTGTTATCTTGGCGTCTCCTCCTTTGGCCAAAGGTTCGTAGTCATTCGATTCGTGTATCTGCCCAATCCTATCCTGTGAGCTTCCAACTCCTTCATCCAACTCAATATTGGAACCCGATGGTGGAGTAGTATCATGTACGTTCTTCCTGAATAGCGCACTGCGTAGCGAGTATCCACGGTTGCGCGTCGTAGGCGAGAGAGGCGAGCCATTGCTAGCATTGCGCGGCGCGAGTGGTGATACACGTGAATCTAGTCGGCCATGTTCTTGCCCTGAGCTTTCACGCTCGCCACCCGGAGATATCTCCTGTGTCTCAATCGTCAAGTCCGGGGTTCCAGGCCTTTTCTTCGACCCAGCGCTCCCTTCTATACGTGTAGTCTCATCTATCGATGCCCCTTCTCTCGCCAAACTTGATCTGTGGCCAGGACCATGGCGTTCGATGTCAGTTGAGAAGCGGACGCGAGGCGAAGGATCGGAGGATAGACGCGATATCGAAGGTCGTTCGGAGTCGTCGATGGCCGAATTTCGAGACGTAGGCACACCATCTGGGGTTGTATTGGAACGCCGAGGAGTCGCGATCGCGGATGGAGTTGTCGCGCTCACGGCTGCGCTGCGCGTTGCTGGCGATAGCTCCTCATCATCGTGAGATGCCGAATGCCGTCTTCGAATGCTTCCGCTGGCGCGATCAGGACTGCGCGCATTGCCCTCGGGGCGTCCAGCTCCTGACATGGTCGACAACCATTCCCCGGGTGGTGTTTGAAGCTGAGTTTGTCAAGGTCCAAGGCTCTGCTTCCAGTTCGTGTCCAGTCGATCTAGCGGCTTGTCGTTTCTTCAAGCCTCTTAGCGATTACGCGGCATGGACTTCATAACAGCCTTGAGCATCCGCCATCCTCAAGTTGTCCCAAAAATTGTTTGTTAAGCTCTGGGGTCCTGGCCGTCACGACGCGCGAACGACGCGGCTGTACCCAGATTTGCTACACCACCTGATGCGGAATGCTTCAACCGTGGCACCCCTGCACGTCGACCTATTTTGGGCGTGACGTTACGCTACGCTTCTCCACTCCACAAATGCACTGCCCCAGGGTTCATCCACCGAGGAGACTTGCGCGCGCTTGCTGAAACAGCCTCTTTGGAGGGGAGGAGGGGTATGGTGGTGAAGCCAATCTTTTTGAGACCTTTTCCGGTCACAAGCTTTTCATCTATACGATGATCAACCACGACTACTCAAGTCCAGACACACGGGGCAAATATCATCGGTAGAACCTTAAAATGCTACACTATGCTATGCTGGCTAAAGATACTGTGAAACGAACCCTCAACTCCGCTGATGAGGACAAAAGAAATAGACACTAAACATTGGGGGTAAAGTAATAACGAGGTTATTGGGTATGAACGACGTCCAAAGCCATTCAATTGCATTGAACCACCTACACACTACTCCGAATCCAAATGCAACCTCGTCTCAAACTAAGAATGCTCCGCCTATCAATATGGTATAATTTGGCAAGGACGCTCCAGCTCTTCGTATGCTGAGCCGTCCAATCCTCCTATTTGCAACCCTTTCTCCTGCTGCCATAGATGTCCTCCTGAAAAGCAGTCTGTTGGTGGTATCGGTAGTCGTGTCGCTCATTACGTATTGCACTTTCGAAAACAAATAAAGAGAAGCCCAGCGCCATGCAATATGCGGCCAGAAGATGATCAAGCTCCAGGGTGATGATGATGATGATGATGATGTTGAAGATGGGAAAAGAAACCAAAGATTAGAAAATACACATCCAGCGCTCCTAGCTGGCTGCGACGCACCAGTGGCGGTGAAAAACCCAGGCACTCTTTTGGCACTCTTTGCTGCAGTATTTCGTCCGTCGGCAGCGGCGACATTTGGCAAACTGGCGCGTGTACTCTTCCCAGCGGCCGCATTGGTAGTAGGCACATTGTCGAATGCCTCCACGGGAATCGTCTTTTCGGCAAAGGTTGCGCATAACGACACTTGCCCAGTACTGCATGTCTGATGTGTGGTGACGTACAGTGAACTGCTCGACAAGAGGGAAGATGTTGAAGTCATCTGGGAGCTCATACTCTTCCAACTCGTCCTCTTCCTCTGTTGCTTTCGGGGTCGCTGTTTCTCCATCCAGCAGTTGCAGGTCGGACCCAATCTTCAGCTTGGGCACCAGATGTGACTTTTGGAAGTAGGAACGGAGATTACAGTACTTGGACACATATGCCAGCAGTTGCAAAGACATGAGAACGTCTTCATCGCGGGGCATGGCGGCCAGAACGCCGGCTGAGGCATTACGGTCCTGGGCATAGCGTGGGTACCATGGTGGCGGAGGATTGGTGTTTACGACATTGATGGTGGGCTGCATGGGGGAGAAGCCTGTGATGGGGTTGTTGGGCGGGGTATTGGTGGGATTGATGAGACTGCCATCGAGCGCTGGGCGGTGTGTGATGTTGAACGTCTCGTTATTTTCGTCTGCGCCGTCAGACGGAGCTGCAATGGGAACTGGCGTGGTGCCAGCATCCAACATCTCGGCAGTGTCGACAATGTCGGCCATGTTGATTTCATTATTCTGTATCCCCACGATGGGCTCGTTCATAGCCGGTCCTGCGGCTGTGACGGCTTCCGTGGACATGTCATCTTGTTGGGCTTCGAGATCAGACTCGCCAGAAGCGGAGAGCTGGTGTCGGATTGACGGGCGGCGGCGAGTTCGGGCGAGCGACGCTCTTGGGCTGGTTTGGCGGGCTTGTGGAGCGCTCGGCGTGGTTGGCGACTCTGGTTGGGAAGTGATCTCCCCTTGCAGGGCGGGGAGCATGGAGGGCAGGCGATCAGCGTCTCGCACGGGCCGTAGTGCAAAAGCGTCGGTAGCCGCATCCATGGATGGCAATGCAGTGACGAGCGGCTGGCCCAAGTTGTTGCGAGCGGCATTGCCGACGGCACCAAACAGCTGTGCTCGGCCTTCGTGACTGCGGTGATGATGGTGATGAGGGGGGCGGCCGCGGGTGAAGGTGGTGCGCTCTGGGGGGGAGCTCAGCGAAAACGCAGGGGTGGGAGTGGCCTCGCCCATGTGCGAGTCCATCGGCGTCTGGGCGAAGGCCTGGGGAATCTCAATGGGAGGGGGTATAGCTCGCCGTGAGCGGTCCGACCTGTGGCTGGAGCTGGATGCAACCTCGCCAGTTCGTGAGGAGTGGTGTCGGCTGGAGGGCGTGCCAAGGCGAGCGGACCTGTGCAGGTCAGCTTCGGCCCTCGCCCTGCACTTGTCGACGACCTTGATGTAGTTGTCGAGGATGGTTGCGATGACGGGCACCATGTCGGCCTCGACGACGCGTGTGCGGACATTCTCCGAGCCTCGCACGCCAATGTTGAAGATGCACTGGAAAGCCAGGTTCCACTTCCACATGTCCATCATGTCCTTGCTCCGGCCCTCTTTGAGGATGCATATGAGGCGCTCGATGCCGCCATCGACGGTGAGAATGTCTCGTATGCGGGCAGAGGATGTGGTGAGGTAGGCGAGGTGGTTGAGCGAGTTGATTAGCGGCAGGGTCGATGTGCAGTCGAGGGCGCGGCGGTCGTAGAGGGCAGTGGTGATGCCAACCGACGCCTTGTTGGCATTCGGGATGCTGAAGTTGACCTCGCGCATGTTTGCAGCAGTCTCGTGCTGTGGCTAAAGGGATGGAAGTCGATGGGCCGTGGGGGGGTGCAGGACTCGTGTCGCATGTGGCGGGCAGCAAGCGGTCGAGTGAGGCTGCAGGCCAACGGGCAAGCCAACGACGATGCTCGCAGTGATGTTGGGTTGCACAGGCTGCGTGTCGAGATGGGCCGTGGGAGGGTAGGGGAGAAGATGAGGGTGTTTGCTCGAGCGTTAGGGGTGTGTCTGTGTGTGTGTGTGTGTGTCCCAAGGGCCCCAGGCAAGAGCGTGCGGCGGGCAGAAGCGCTCTCGAGTCGAGGTGAAACGGGGGGCCGCTGTGGCACAGCTCAGCAGGGCGGCACTGCTCTCAGCTCAGTGGGTTGTTTTCTGGAGAGTCGACTGGAGTAAGGCTGGACTAGAGTATGCTGGATGAGGCTGGTTTGATGAATGGGGTGAGGAGGCGGATTGGGAGAGCGAGGTGATGGGCAGCGAAGTGGAGTCTAGCAGACCCAAGACCAGGCCCGCTGTAATTGGCGACGGCCGGGCCGCGAAGGGCAAATGCACGGCAGCCTCGAACTGTCTAATTTCATGCGCTACCCAGAAAAAACACGGCACTCAGATTGCACCTGTCATCTTCTGTAGCATCTCATCATACGCTGGCCGCCTCTCCACCACGGTGCCGACATTACCAAGCAATGCGCTGAAGAAGAAGATTGCGTGGGCGTGCAGCTGCTGCATGTCGCTCTCGCTGCTGACAAAGGCTCTTCTCCCTGGCCCGGCTTACTACCACTTGTCACTGTTGTACCCGGTAGAAACTCGAGCTGTCGCTGTCGGATAAAGGTGGCAGAAGTGCGTGGGCTATCCTGTCCTGTCCGTCTATCCTCTCTGGCATTCCAAGTCGAGTCGAGTCGAGTCGACAGCTGTAGAACGTGTCTGACGGCCCGAACTATGTTTAGCACCGCGGGAATGCCCTACTCGCTCCATGCATAAGGTTACGGCGGATATAACTAGTCGTAGTAGGTGCCGAACGTTACTCCACAGCTGCATTCGCGTCCCCAGCTGAAAAAAAAGTTGAGACGTCGTGGTGCAGTGCAGTGCGAATAGGACGAGAGACGACCACCCTTCCTTGTAGCCAATCTAAACGTCGCCTTGAATATATTTCCATGGTTTCATCTTCTCCCCTTTTCTCTGTCATATACCTTTTCCAGCTATCAATTTAATACTACATTGATTGCGCGACCGTCGCAAAAGTCTACGCGTAATGGCAAACTCTCCCAGCGAGACGCAGGTCCAGGACTTTGCGCTGCCTGCCTCGCCCACGTCTCCTACCGACGGCCCCGCGCCTACTCGCCTCACCATCGACACCCAGCTCGAGCAGCAGAGGAGCCGTGGACGCTCTGCAACCGCAACAACAGCCACGGCAGCACAACTATCCCCCGAGAACCTCCTCTCCCCCGACCGCGCCTCGATAGACTCGACCCTCCGCCGCCGCGTAACGCGCTCGCAGACAGTGCGACACTACCAGTCCCCGACCCGCCCATATCAACACCAAGAACCAGGTGCAGAACCTGGGGTGGATACGAAGAATGACACAGACGCTTCCCACTACCACCACCTCTATACCCCCTGTCAGATCACCATCGTCGACTTCTCAGAGGAGAGAGTCGAGTGCCATGAGCTGGACAATGATAGCCTGGAAGACTTTCTCAAGTACCCAAAAGAGGACTGGGTGTCATGTCGCTGGATCAACGTCAATGGCCTGAGCTGGGACGTCATTCGCACCCTGGGCAACCACAAGCAGCTGCATCGCTTGGCCATTGAGGACTTGATGAGCACCCAGAGCCGGACCAAGGTGGACTGGTATTCGGATCAAGCTTTCTGTGAGTGAGACCCCGCCTCTCCAATCCGACTGCCTCCTTCTCTGAGACTTTGTCGAGCCTGCCACCTTACACCCCGTATCCACACTAACGCGTACAGTGCTCTTGACTCTTTCCAAGCTTGTCCGCACCCCCGTTGATGACGACTCGGACAGCAGCGATTCTGACTCGGACGAGGAGGAGGCACGCAGACACCGCTATCAAGCGCGTTCTCAATCACGACACCCAAAGAAGAAGAAGAAAAAGCAGTCCTTCTTCAGAGCTGCGAGGAACGCATTCGGGCCCACCTCTGATGCCAACAAGAAGCAGAAGAGCAAGGATGATATCATGCACACCCTGGATGGCCTGGAGAAGCAACTCGACGGGACGCCGCTTTCGACCGTCCCCACGCCGCCAGCTACAGCCTCAGTCCGCACTCTCCAACGCTACCGCGGCGGCTACAATCTCGACCGAATCGTCTATCTCGAGCAGCATTCTGCTCTCACGCCCAAGCATCTCACTGTCAGCGTGGAACAGGTCAGCATCTTCTTGCTGGCCGACAACAGCGTCATCTCCTTCTTCGAGCACTCAGCCCCTGAAATCGAAGAAATGATCCTCAAGCGTCTGAAGACCGAAGGCACCATCCTACGTCGCAGCCAAGACAGTAGCATGATTGTGCAAGCTATCCTTGACGCCATCATCGACTTGGCTATCCCGGTTGTAGCGGCGTATGAAGACGCCATGGGCGAGCTTGAACTCGACGTCCTCGAAGATCCAGAACTCCACCACAGCCAGCTACTCTACCTCCTCACGTCTGAACTCTCCATCCTGCGGAACACGATCCAGCCCATCATCAGCCTCATCAATGCGCTGCGTGACCACAAGAGCGACCCCTTGGCCCAGTCGTGGATCAGCCAGTCCAACTCCAACCTCGCGACCCGCAAGACCATGACGTCCATTACCATTTCCCCGCTGGCGCATACCTACCTAGGCGACGTAGAAGACCACTGCATCATGATCACGGCCTCGCTCGACCAAATGCGCCGCGCGGCTGACAATCTCATCGATCTGATTTTCAACATGATGGGCGCCTACCAAAACGAATCCATGAAGATCCTCACCGCAGTCACCATCTTCTTCCTCCCCCTCACTTTCCTCGTCGGTTACTTTGGGCAGAACTTTGAACGCTTCAATGGCGTCAAGCACCATTCCGACGCCTTTTTCTGGGTCATTGCCGTGCCTGTCATGGTCGTCACTATGCTTGTTCTGATGAGTGATAGCATCGCGAGGAAAGCGAAGCGCTACATGGGCAAGGTGAAACGGCGGCAGGCGAAGCGCAGGGCGGTGAAGAAGGGGAAGGCTGATGCTGGGGGTGTCAAGAATGGGATTGGTATGGCTATGCATAATGGCATTGGCTTGAATGTCGGTGAGAAGAGGAGGATGAAGAAGAGGCAGACTATGTATACCAAGGGCCAGATAGGCTCGTTCTGAGTGGATTTTGAGGCATGCTACTTTTCTGTGTATTTGATTGGTTTTGCTATAATACCCTAGATTTTAAGGCACCTCACAACGGGAGCCCCCTTTTCTTAGCCAACTACTCGAGTCATAGCGTGATGTGAAAAGTGTCACGTGATTAGAAATTTCAGTCTATCGTTTGTTATTATTGTTAGATTGCATGTTATTCGTCGTACAAAAACTAGGACTAGGCGTATAGCATATGATTTATACCAACAATGCGAACCCAACACAAGCCCAACAGGGATGAACGCCAAGTAATGCATACCCAAAGTATTTTTTTTGAATAGTCTAGGTTAGAGAAGAAGTACGACAGGACCAGACCGGAAAGGGGGGACAACCCAATCTCCCGTCTATTGGACCTGCTTAATCTTACACTGCCATCCCGAGTTGGCCTCAAGGAGCGGAAGACTATTTACACACGTTAGTAACTCATGCACGAAACATCAACGAAAAGGAGCAGAAAAGGGCTTACCTAGCACCCAAACACCAGCCCAACTCCCTATTCTTGATCTTCTTGGCAATCTTGACTTCGCGATCAATCGGCATGCCATACCCGCTCCTGAGCAACTCGTACTGGAAATTCAAATCAAGACACCACTCAGGCCGTCCCTTGAGCTCATCCAGCGCCTTGGGCACCGCAGCAAAGACATCCCACGCCTTCTCGCCCTGACACACGCGATCAGCCAGATCCTGCAGTTCGCGCAGGGTGAAGGATTCAGGCATGCCGAGGTCCTGCGTGCGGTCGTAGAAATACGACAGCAGGTAGACGGCCTCGCGGGCGAAGGTTTGCTCAAAGGGCGGCTGGTGCACGCCGCGGAAGGCGCAGGGCGCGATTTTGCACTCGTCGTCTTTGTGCAGCGTTTTCTCGGCCCAGCCGCGGCATTGCGTGGGCGCGGCGGTGCTGGGGCCCGTCATGTTTACTGTTACGCTGGCGCCGAGCGGGTGGTCTTTTGGCATGTGGACGGCGACTTCGCGGCTCATGCCGGGCGCGATGCAGGGGTTTACAATCGGGGACTGGAGGTACGCTGTGCTTCCTGTTGCTTTGTTGGTTTGGTAGAGCGAGTCGACGAGGGTGGCGTGGAGGTTGTTGCGGGCTTCCATTAAACCGTAGCCTAGATACGAGTGCTGGTACAGAGCGAAGTCGCGGCTGCCAAAGTTCAGCGTGTACTTGTGGTCGCCGTCTGCGAGCTTTGTGGGAAGGCCACCGCGAGGGCTGTCTGGGAAGGTGGGCTCGAAGATGATTTGCGTGGAGCCGCCGCCGAGGTCGAGGACGGCGGCTGTGGGGTTCTTGTCGGGCCCGCCAATGTGGCCTAGGAGGTAGTTGACGGTGATCCAGGCGTAGACACCTTCCATCTCACCGGGCATGACCTCTACACCGTTCTTCTCTGCGGAGACCAGAGGGAAAGGGTAGGCGGTTTCCAGGCGGTTTCGAACAGCAGCAAGGGTGTTGTTGCTCTTCTGCTCGCCGAGCTTGCGGAGACCTGCCGTCGCCTTTACGGCCACGGGTGTGCATCCTTGATATTCTGCCGGCACGTTCTTGACGGCCACGTCCATGAGGACATCTAAACTCTTGGCGGCACCCTCAGCATCTTCGCCATACGCTGACAGACCGGAACCGCCGTCCTTCTTCGCAGTCTGCTCGAAGATCTCGTCCTCGAGTTCCGGGCTTGGGCCACAGTTGTTGAACTTGTAGACGTGGATACGGGAGCCTGTGCTGCCAGCGTCAATCATAAGAGCGTACTGGATAAGCGGCTTCTCTTTCGAGTAGGACGTTGTGCATCGTGCCTTTGCACCGCCAGCTGCTGTGTTTCCGCCCGAAGAATGTGATCCTGTAGGGTTCGTTAGGCAATCTTCTCAACGCATTCATCTCTACGTACCTCTCGCTCTCGACAAGCCATCCCGCGGCGCAACAAAATACAGCACAAGCAGTATAAAGGCAATGACACCGCCCGTCTTCAAATAGCGTAACCGCTGCCCCTGATTCATGACTGCACCGCTCTTGTAATCGTTCATGAAGCCGTTCTCGTTCGCCGACCGATGCCGCGAATGTCTATCGTGTTTCTCGTAAGGATCGTCCGAGTCGCGATTGGGAGCAAAGTTGCTCGGCAGGGAGACTGAGACACGGCGACGCGGGCCAGAAAAGCCAAAGTAAGACCAGATACCGGGACGTCGTTGACTTCCGGGGACTTCAACGCCGCTGGACATGGAACAAGGGGAGGAAAAGGGTCCGACTGTTTATTAGTGCGTAGGCATGGGGAGAGAGGTCTACATTTGCCAAGTTAGTGTGGGCCTTGTGTGGCGTGGGCTGCTGAGAAAGAGGCGACGTACAGTACAAATGCTTGTTGTCGAGGAAGGAATTGCTAAATTCGGTCGGCGATTGGTGTTGCACGACTGCGTGCGTCTTCGTGTTCTTTACGTTATGAGCGAGTCCCTGAATCTTGGCGGAAATCCATCAGCGCTGTGGAGAGCCGACTCGATTGGAGCGGAGCATTTTCATCACCGCCACCTGCATGTGTGCCCCTTTCGACGATAGATTTGGCATTTACATGTACACAATATTCCTGGGCAAAGAGAGATTTAATCAGATTGAAGAGAGGATTGCATAACTTAAATATCATGACGTATCTATCGACTCTTCTTCCTAGATCGCGCGAGTTCCACCAAATTCCACGGCAACTCGTTGCGGGCCACTCCAGATCGCGCGAAGGACTGGGTTGCGATTCAGGCTTTACCAGTTCCGAATGGAGAGTGCGTGAGACTCGAATGCCCTTACAAAAGACTCTTTGTCGCGCTCCATAAACAGCGGACTTCGACTTGTCGTAAGACAAGCGGTCAACAAGGACGTTAGACATGTGGGCAGGTTGGCCTGTGTTTCTCAAATCCATCACTTCATCCAAACGAAAGCCCAGCTCTCTTCATCACGCTCTCGAAGTCCTCGAGGCTCACACCTCCAACATCCCTTCCTTTGCCCTTGACCCCGCCATTTGCTTCGAGGATCATATCCTTCAAGACGTCGTCTGGCACATCCTCTCTTAGCTCTTTGGCCACCCTCTTCAGATGCGCAAGAGTAATCGGTCCCGTGCCGCCGTGTGTGAAGAGCCTGTACGCTGCGCTTACTTCCTCTGCATTGCTCTCTTCCCGAAACTCCTCATACTCATCCTCTTCATCAGATCCTTGTTCCTTTGTATGCATCGCGATCGCGGCGTAGGAAAGGAACGGGATGAACTCTACAAATCCCGTATCGAGCGGATCGATTGTGGAGAGAATAGACGATACGTCCGACTTGCTGGGTGGGAGGTTCAACGAGCTGTGTACTGGTTAGCAAGCCATAACAGTCTTGCGACGCATTCGAGTCGAGCTTACATCAAACACCGGCGCACATCGTCCTTGCGCAGTACGCCCTCTTTTGAGTCCTCATGATCCGGATGGTGCACAGCAAAGAGTCCAAAGGCTTCACGTATCTCCGCTTCTTGGTCGGCCGTCAATCCATTCTCTTTCGCAAGCTTGGACGGGCGTTTTGTAGGCGGGCGGGCTTTGCCAGGGGGTGCGCGACGCGTGGGTGGCTACAGTATGTATTAGTTATGCACTGCATAATAATTCAAGGCAGGCCTACCATGACGATATCTCTAAACTTGGAAGAGCAAGACTCGTCTCTTGGTGCGACGGCCGTCTGAGGGTTGGCATTCGATGACGCACAACCCCCCTATGACGCGCTATCTCTTTAGGCTTAGTCTAACCACAGACTGGGAGCTTAAATTCGCGAACCCAGCCCCTCCCTTTCTTCTTTACGCGTGCAACAATAACATAAATACTCGCAACCCTCGCCTCTCTGCACTTTATCTTGTTTATCCACTTACCTTCTTTTAATTATTCTGTCTCCGGAGGCAGCTTCTTCATCCACCTTTACTCACTCATCATTACCATCACTCAAACTTTCGAACCTCTTCTATCGATGACTCCCACCTACTCTGCATCAACATACTCAGAATCTTCACATCTTTGAATCGCCCCATCCTATATCACAATATCGCGTCCGCGCCATCGGACAATTTGGGACCGGGTCCCTTTGAGGCATGCCCCCAACAACGGCATAGCATTGTCTCCCGACTCAGCCTCGGATTGGATGATGTGAGCACGCTTTGAGTCAGCCCACTACCGAAGGCCTCGGCAGAGGTTCTGAGGGTGTGGACATACTCAGGGAGGCCTGCCATGAGACGGAGGTGCCGGTGGCACTGTGCCCTCCGTTGGTAGGTGGCAAGCCGGCGTGCGTATGCAAGTCGGGAGACGTCCCGCAGTGTCAGCATCTCGGCAAACTACCGAGGCTGCCTAAGTCGAGCAAGCCGCTCGCATTCACCGGGAAAGTCCTGCAATTGGAATCGCCCACCCTTGGCGAACGTCGACTTGTTAGCAGGACCCTACCAACACTTGAACCGGGGGCTGGGGTCAAGCCAATGCAGTCGACTGCAGCCACGGAACGAACCAGGGTACACCACGAAGTCTCATGGTACCCGTCCAATGTTCGCACGAAGTCAAAGAGTCAAGATGAGCCTGTCACCACCAAGCAACTTCGCTTGCGCCTGCTGCAGATTGTGGGGAGTCGTTGAGACCAGCAGCCTCAGTCGTATCGCCCCCGATCGCAGTGAGCACCCCGAACGAGCTGGTGGTGCTGGCGAGGAGTCTACTCTGATTCAAAGACTCACTACAGGAGGCTTCTGAGGGTTCCATATACTCAGTTGCCGGCCATTTGGCATGGTGTATGGCATTGGACCCAGCCTAAAAACTGCGTGCCTGCACCTATCCACCACCGCTGTCCAATCAAGTCACAATGTTCTCATCGCTGAAAAGCTCTCAATGTTGAAACTGCTGGAAGCACTACTGTTATTCCACCGCAAGGTGCTGCTGTTTATTCCACCGCAAGGTGGCTACTGTTTATTCCACCGCAAGGTGGCTACTGTTATTACACCGCTGGAAAGCGATTGTTGTAACTCCACTGCAAAGTGGCTTACTGTTACTCCCACCGCAAGGTGGTTACTGTTTATACCACCGCAAGGTGGCTACTGTTATTACACCGCTGCAAAGCGATTGTTGTAACTCCACTGCAAAGTGGCTTACTGTTACTCCCACCGCAAGGTGGCTACTGTCTATACCACCGCAAGGTGTCACTGTTATACCGCTGCAAAGCGGGCAATGTTTTCGCACCGCAAGGTGCTGGCTACTATCTCGACATGTGACCTGACGAGTAGGGGGCAACCCCCGACACTGAGCAAGGAGTCAGGAGAGGCCGGACCTCTTGCGAGAGCTTCGGCAGGTCTCGGAATCCTACCTCTGTGGAAGAAGCCAACAGATATGAGCTGCCTTCGGGCGACTCTGACAGGCCGAAAGGTCCTTGGCAGATTTTGCTCACAGGCACCACATGCGGTCGCGGCCCTCACTTTTACCGGTGCAGGCCGGGTCGAGAGTAACGTAGCCGACACGCCCGTATCTGCTGAGAAGGAATCGTCTTCCTGGGCTTTTGTTGCATCCCTTGATCTCAGCATGGTGCGCGGCATGAAAAAATCGGCGTGAGCTGATCTTGCGACCGTCGGGTGTCTGACGGTCGGTTCCGTACGAGATCTGACCAGTCTCTGGAACGCGCTAGTCATTATCTACTTGCCAGCAGAGTATTGAATGTCTAGCAGGAGAAGGCGACGCATTCTGTTCATCGCCTTCGCAGTTGAATGCCTACAGCTTCAACTGCGAGAAGTCTAGTTCGCTCGATGTTATTCGAGACCTAGGCATGAAAGAGGCCTGACCACCTCTGTGCATCAACGGTTATACTGTTTATTCTTACTGTTTCTGTGGGCTTTCGAGGGTTTGCTGTTAACTTCGTGTTGATTTGTGGGCTTCTGGGGGTATTATCATGTCCAAGATGTGGGTTCCGGGGGTTCCTCTCTCATCCCTCTTCTTGTTGCTCTCTTCTGAGGGTGTCAGGACTAGCGGGTGAGGGTTACATTTACTTTGACTTCGGTCATTGTTCCGCTTCTAAATTAAGCTAGAGCTTGCCAATACGTTTCCTACGATGAGCAAGTGTGGACAGTGAAGCAAGATTGAACAAACTCACCACTCCCTTCTGGGTGGTGACTCCTTGGTTTCTGGCCTCGTCGAGCCGATTAGTTGGCTCGAGGGACAGGAACGAAGGGAACATATCGTCCGTCAGTAAGACCTTTTGGTCTAATCAATGCGCCATCCCCTTTGCTTTTCACCTTGTTTTCCCCTCTGATGCCTTCACCGTTGCTCGCATGTTCATAGCACTGGTTCTGAATTGTGTGCGTTATGACCTTTGTTATCACATGCTGCATTATACTCAAACGTTGCGCGATCACGTGCTAGTCAAATGTTGTTTTATATTGTTGCACCATGAAAACGAGCACCTCCGGAGGCTGTTAGTCTCTATAGGCACCGAGTGGTTGAGTTGATCAATTGATCAATCCAATTTCTACCGGCTCTGTATGATTATTGCTGGTGCGTACGTATCCAGCCTCGCGATTTTATACCTATGGCTTACTCAACTACAACCACGTCAACCTGATGCTGTGTACATCGACTAGGCTACACGTACATCAGTCTTGATTATTACACGTTCAATCCGCGCAAGTCTTCTTCTATGCCAGACCTTTTAGTCGCCATAATACTCTGAGTGGAAAGCATACCACCAGTCGAGCAGCTCGTCTCCAGAAACATGCCCCCAAGGCCAGTTCCTCTCCATGGGTTTATGCAAAAACTATCGGGGATGGTTGAAGAGACGCTGGGTTGTGGATGAGCTTGAAACAGGGTGATATGCGACCCTCAAGATTCGGGATTACATCGTCGGTACTTTTCACCGACTTCGTCAGAACTTCCCAAAGAGGCCATCTGTGCATAATGCTTTACACTCTGTTCCACAAGGGAAATCCACTCCAACATGATCAAGAGATGCCTACACCGCTGATCGAACACCTACAGTAGGTCAGGTGGTAGACGTCCTTAACTGGCGCTTACTATTCAAGAAGAGCGAGAAAGCCAGGGTCGCAGTAACCATAAAGAGCAGCCATTCGACCGCCCCGAAGACAGCTGCAGCCTTGAGTGCTCCACAGGAACTATATCCTTCTGAACATGCTTCGGTCCCAATATTAACAGCTACGGCGATCCAACCGGCAAACCATGAAAGGACAGCCACCACCTCAACGGCGATGCGAATATAGCCAATCAATGCGCGATCCGCAAAGGCGTTTCCAGCAATGAGTAAGATGACGACCAGAACTGTCCACGCTGCACAGAATATTAAGAAGCCCCATGCGTTAGGGACGCCGGCGTAGCCGTAGAAGTCGCCGTCGGGGGTATGGATGATGGAACTGTAGCCACGATACACGTGAATAGCTAGATGATGGGGTCAGACTCAATAGTGCGTCGACAGCGTAGGTTGCAGTATTTCTCTGTACCGTAGCCGCCTGTTCCCATAACAATGATGGCGAAGATGAGCTGCAGCGCTCGCAGTGCATAGTTGAGCATTTTGTTTTCCGCCATAGTCACGGCCATATCGTGCAGCGATCTGTGTTGGAATTCAAGACAAGGTGACGAGCACGTGAAATGTCTATTGAAGAAGTGAGAAATGCGGCGTCGTGCAACAATGAAATGGCTTGCTAGACTTTTATTTCTCCAGTGTCAAGTCCATTTTATAGAATTGTAGTACCTCAGGTAGAGGAAAACGCGCTACGTACTTCCAAGCGCTAAAATTCTCGCTACTCAACCCACATCCGGTCAGAGTTGCGAAGTAGACTCTCCAACGTCAATACAGATCAACCGCAACCTCATATTTTGATGGCTACGCATGATTAGGCTAATCAGTAGTCTAAAGACTATATCGCAGTCAACGCGTTGCCAGGCGTCAACTCTTTTCGATCGCCTCAATGGCTTACACAGCACTTCCTACAGCCGTCAAAGATTACAGCGATCTCCCCCTAAGCAAGAGAAGCGATTAGTTGACTGGGATCGTAGGAGACGCACTCACAAGGTCTCATAGCCATGTATTCTCGCATATGCCATATCTCACATCACTCGTGTGACGATGCGAGCCTCATGGACTTTGAAATAGAAGGCTGTGTTTTCTCGGTGTGGTAGATGCAAAAAGTTCTGGACGCGGGTCTATTGCTGGAACTCGATGGCCAACGTGAATTCTTGCGGTCTATTCAAGCCATGTTCAATTGAAATGCAATCTGCAAGCTCAGCACATCTACACGCATATAACTTTGAATTATATGTGAGGCGGAATCCTGAAGCGCAGTTCAAATTAATAAATCGAGAGAATGGTTGAGATCCCACTGAAGAAGTTGCCACCGATTCGCAGGAAAGCCGTTGATGACACACTCGCTTTAGGTGTCCGTTATATGTGGATCGGTTCTCTCTGTGTCATACAACTTACCACTGGACTTGCAGTATGAGGCTAGTTGATGTTGTTTGCGTGTGGTAACGTCCTTTGTAACATTGCCTTTCTATTTTCGCCGGGTGGCAGGGGCGAAGAAGTGCGCTGCGTCCTTCGCGAAACATCTCCAAAGCCCGCGGGGTATATCTACGACGAATCGATTTTGAGAAAGAGATCCGGTGCAGTACAGTTGGTGGGTCAAGTTCAAATGAAACAGGATCTTTAAGCACCTTCTTCAAAGCACTTGGCCGGTCTACTCTTGAGCTTGGACACTCCAAGAACATATACTGTGTCCAGGAGCAATTTCCTACGGCCACGAAACCCTTCTGTGGATGTGCTCATCATTCCGTTGCGATAGATGAATGATCCGAATTGGGGAAGTGGGAGGATGTCGACAAGTCAAGCTTCTTCTCAGAGTTTCTGGAAACCGAGATCGAAACGCCGAAACATATTGACTTCCTAGATTGTAAATTCTTGGGAGGGCCTCCCTAGAAACACCTGTTCAGAGCGCTGAGGACGGTGGTTATCGCAAAACAGCGTTTGTGGATATTACTTGTGTCATCCACAACATTATGGAATCGACGTATTTTGCAGGAGTATGGGGCAGATTTCGTCTATTGTATCTACTTTGGTCTGTTCAAACGCAAGATGAAGTCGTGGAGTTGTCCTTGCCTAGAAATTACAGCACTTGTAGAGTCTGTTCAGAACTACCACCAAGATCAAGCGTGAATACTAGAAAACCTACTCGGCTACCCTGTCCTCCTTTCCAATGGCGCGCCACCTCTTGACTAGCTTCCTCCAAGTTCATCCTACCATTTTGCCGGCCTAAAGGATTTCTCTGGGAACGCAAACCCTCGCGATTTCAACTCAAACGATGACCAATCTCTCAGTAATCCAGAATTATTGTATCAGGTATTCACGCTTAATGGCAAGGTGAACTCACGACTCGATTTTCAGGACAATGTTCAGAGTCCAAAGACTTCCCCAAGTCATTCGGCTAGGTCAGCATTAGAGAGAGAAGAAAAAGTTAAAATACTTAGAAAGCTCTCTGTAAATTATAAAAGCAGTATTATAGTATACTAAGTAGTATATCACTGCAACGCAGAAATCTGATCTCAGAACTATAGAACTAATTCTAGCTACATAATAGCGTTGCTGCTGCCTACAGTAGCAGAATAAAAGCCAGCAATCTATTGGAGAGATTCAGATCCAAAACTCTCGACAAGTTCGGACGTCCACCTACAAATGGACAACAGTTGCGCTGGAATAGCACTCATTCCAAGCCCAGAGAGCGGCACCTGGAAAGGGATCGGGATGTGGACTATGGTGGTCAAGAACTAGGGATCCCTTAGATCTCGGGACATGGCGTCGATTTTACAGCCCCAAATGTAATGAAGGCGCAGAAGATCACTCTCGTTTGGGGTTCGATTTCGCTAGAGGAGGAGAAAATCAAATAAACAAGCTAACCAAGGGGCGCTTGTGCTACTAAGGCCGGTCGAGTACTGACCCGGGCTATCACTGAAGATATCAGTGCTGTTTTTGTCGTAAGCCGCCTTTACCTATCACGCTACGCGACGTCCTCGGCCTGGAACTGGATGTCTCCTGCCCCTAAGAAAACGGATCGGCGTCGCCGCCTTGCCCACAACAAAGCGATATTGACACGACGCCTCGCGAAGAATGTGGCGTTCCATTCAGCCTTCTCGCCGTAGTATCTCCGTAGAGGGACGTTACAACTCGCAGCGCAACAACTATCGTGGCCAGATCAAAAAGATGGCTAATCAGATACTCGTCATCTCCAGGAAGAAAATAGTCGACAAGTCGCCTCTATCGTACTCTCGTAACACCATGATGGTGATGAATGTACCAAAAAAAAAGATATTTGTACCCCTGACTAAAAGTTCGTATCCGCCCCACTTAGTGCAGCGATCATGCACGAGCCGCGGGGTTCAGCTCTTACCTGGACGCCAGACTAGCGAGCCCTAGATAACCTAGTTCTACATACGGTTTAGTATGTATATCCAGATTATTCTTAAGTGCCTTCTGATCGAAGTCGAACTGCTTTCAAGTCGCAGCGGTGGTTCGTTTTCGATTTCGCCCTCAGTTGTCTCTAATACCTCTTCCTGTGGTCCAACATGCGTTCTTTATCTCTAATTCTACTCCTTTCCCCCATCGTAGCCTTTGCTGCTCAGTCGCGGGACGGAACATGTGGAGGAACTAAGGGGAACACTTGCCTTGGATCTAGTGAATTTCCCAGATGATCTATGATACCTACGTCGCTAACAGGTGCAAAGAATATGGCAACTGTTGCTCACAATATGGCTGGTAAGCCTCGGTGCTACCTTCGTCTCCAAGCATGTACTAACATGCACATTTAGGTGCGGAAGCACAAGTGCATACTGCGATGCTGGATGCCAATCCAGCTTCGGCGCGTGCAGGATAGTCGCCCTCAGTTCTACCATACGTACTTCATCCTCGACTTCTCAACGTAGCTCCTCCACCTCGAGTCGTTCTTCATCGACTGGATTCCGCACTGTGTCTACTGCGACTAGAGCCTCCTCCTCTGCGCCATCTGCTAGTCAGCCAGTGTCTACAAAAGCTCGATGCGGTCCATCATTTGGAGGACAAACGTGCCTCGGGTCACGTTGGGGCAACTGTTGTAGTCAGTAGTGAGTTTTTCGTAGCATCAAAGTTGACATCATGTTGCTAATAACCTAATAGCTCGTACTGTGGCTCAACAATCGGTATGTATGCTTATGCTCGCGGGTATGCTCCAAGTTTTTTTAATCTTTTTCAGATTACTGCGCGGTCGATACATGCCAGAAAGGGTACGGAACCTGCAACGGAGCAGCTTCGTCAAGCAGTCGTGTGCTATCTTCGACACGGACCACTTCACAACGTTCAACTTCGCCTGTGGGATCAAGCACTTCTTCATCGTCCAGCTCGCTCACTTCGGTGTCCACATCGTCCAGCGTGTCGAGTTCCAGCTCTTCATCGTCCTCGCTGGTAACTTCTACTATTGTTTCGTCAAGTACACCGGTATCATCACCAAGCAGTGTCGTGGCTTCCTCTGCATCCCAGAGTACCTCCAGCACTATTGTCACTTCATCGAGCACTTCCGAAGTGCAGACTTCTACAATTGCAACATCCAGTAGCACAGCAACTGCTGTTAGCCCTTCGTCCAGCTCCACCGATATTTCTTCTACCACACCGGTGGCTTCATCAAGCACCGTTCCGACGCCCTCATCATCTTCCGCTCCAGCGGCGTGTGCGACCACGATCCCCACCTGCGAATCCTTTTCTGGCCCACTTACAGAAAGCTGTTCTGCTTCGAACGGCAAATGTCAATCCGGTTATCTCGTACGCTGCGGCCAGTCACCACCCCTGGGTGCGGGGGTTATCTCCCAACGGCTAGGAGCAACAGTTAATGGGGGCGATGGGTGTAGAGCAGCGTGTGACGAGGTGGCAGAATGCGTAGGCTTCCAATTCTCGGCGGTGAGTCCTACTGGCCAGATTTGCAATCTGTACAGCAGGATAGATTCAGTGAGCACGAGCTTTGTCACTTCATATCTCAAAGTGTGCAAACAGGGCGGTGCACCTATTGGGTCCACGACTGTAGTCTCAACTTCGAGCTCTGCTAGTTCGTTCAGCTCTTCCAGTTCCGAGACGCCCATTAGCTCTTCTAGCGCAGCAACACCTATAAGCTCGTCAAGCTCTGAGGTACTCGTAAGCTCCTCCAGCTCCGCGACTCCCATCAGCTCCTCTAGCTCTGAGGTACAAGTAAGCTCGTCAAGCTCCGCTAGCTCTGCGACTCCCATAAGCTCTTCGAGCTCCGAGACGCCTATCAGTTCGTCTAGCTCAGTAAGCCCAATAATCTCGTCAAGCTCTGAGGTACTCGCAAGCTCCTCTAGCTCTGCGACTCCCACCAGCTCTTCCAGCTCCGGCGTAATAATCACAAGCTCGAGCTCGACAGTAACCGTACCGCTTCCTTCGACATTGTTGCTCTCTCCTAGCCCCTCGGAAACACCAACCCCGTCGTTGGACAGCACATCTAGTCTAATACCGTCCACAACGCCCACCCCAAGTTTGACACCCACGCCCACACCCACACCAACCCCAAGCTCTTCCACCGCGCCGTCCAGTTCAGCTCCCGCCACACCGCAACCTAATTGCGGCGTACGAGGCAACACGAAAAATGGGGTTTTGTACGCCACGTATAATGTGAATCAAGAAATGTGCGCAAATCTATGTTCGACCTATAATTTGGGTGGACGTCGCTGTCGTGTATATGCACTAGCTGTAAACCTAGCGAATCGCTGTCTTTTGGCTGTGGGCCCCAGTGCAAATCCGCCTTCGTATGATCAAGCGTTTACTCCGAGTACGGTTGGAACCTATTATTGGTACGAGGTTGGCTGTCCGATTGCCACCTAGACCAAGAATAGTCTATCAGTACTGCCCAGTGCATGATGCCATGACGCTGCACAGGGAAATGCACCCGTACCGACAGGGGCATTCTGTCTGCCCTACCTCTACAGATTGGCGGTAGCTCAATAGGTAGTCTCTGGTGCGGATGCGCGTATCAACACTTTCCATATATCCAAGTCTATTAACTTAATTCAACGAATATATCTATCCTGCCTTTATCTGTCACTTTTCCATTGACCTTTTGCTACGATGGTTCATCAAACTACATTTCCGTTAGGCGTGGAGCAGTCACCGGATATTGTTAGCCAGTCTTCTGTTTAGTCTCAATTCCTGACCTGTACATATGCATGCCAGTGTAAAGCTTTCTGTCTTTTGCCAAAGGCTACGGTCCTTGCCCTCATCTCGTATATTTGTAGTACGTCTCTATTGGCAGCACAGTGCAAACTTGAAACATGTCGCATTCAAAGAAATATTGAACCGGCTCACATGGAGAGTTCCTCCGATACCTGGTGTCCTTTTGTTTCTCGAATTCAGCGCGTAGCTCTCTTTAGTGTCTTATGTAAATCCCACACCATGTACTTTTACTTTTGTCCCTCCAAAAGGAAAGATCACGTCTATAACACTGGAGATTGGCAACAGAACGCCAATATGAAACAAGCTACGAAACAGTCTTCAGTTGTTTCTGCTCCAATAATGTACGCGCCGTATTTATTGGGGTTGCGCAGCAGCGCATGGTTGGATGACCAGGATGGAAGCGCTCGCTTCCGGCTGGTCTCACATGGGTACGTGTATAGCCTTGTGGGTCAATCAGGCTGTAACATTCTTTTTATTTAATGGCACGCACTTTTAAATCTGCCTACGATGGCTATCGTTACCGCCGTTTTTTTTCCGCGTATGTTCATTATCTATTGTCACGAAAATGTCTTTACATCACCGCGCCTCCTCAAATACCACCATAACAGAAGAGCTCGCAACTACCAATACGCCAACCCTCGAACAAGAAGTACCTCTCCAGAACTTATGCCGAAATTGCCATCAGTTTTTCCAGAATTGGGACGTGTTGGATTGGTTGCAAAGCGATGAAAAGGACCAGGATAAAGAATGGCCAGTCTACTCTGTGTGTACCTTAGCAGAATGTCGCAGCAACAACGGGTTCTGTCATCTCTGCACGAGATTTTGTTTCTTTCTGGAAAGATCCGAGTGCGCCGAATACATTCGGAACCGCCCAAACTTGCGCCTTGCGTTTAAGGCTGAGAGCAAGAGCGGAAAATTCAACCATATTGCTGTAAGCCTGAAAAATGAGGACTCAGAAGAATGGGTTTCAGGTAGTCATTTTGATGGTTTTGTGCTGCGGGAATATGAAAGTCTGTGGAAATCTAAGCCCCCAAACTCTCGCGACGCCAGCTGATCATTCACAGTTTCGCAAGTTGGAGCTTTCTACGAGCATCTTACCGCAAGAAAGGTGCCATTCCATGCACGAAATAACATTCAAAGGGCTAAACGATGGATTGAGACATGTTCTTCAGATCACCAAGAATGCCGAGCCTTCCAAAAGAGTACTGTCGATCAGCTTCAGGCACAGAGACCGACTAGGGTATTAGAAGTTACCGAAAATAAGGTCAGGTTACGATGCGATATGGGCAATGAGCACTTCGACTATGTGGTGCTAAGCCACATGTGGGGAGATAAAAAGAAGCAACTCAGACTCCTCGAGCAAAATTTCTTAGTCTTCCAACGTGAGGTTCCGCAAGCTAAGCTCGACGCTTCTAGTACCTTCAAGGAGGCGATTCGAATCACCCGTATTCTGGGTTATCGCTACCTCTGGATCGACTCTCTTTGTATTATCCAAGACGTGCCGTCGGATTGGAAATACGAGGCCCATCGCATGGCAACCGTATACGGAAACGCAATCTGCAATTTATCTTTCCTCTTTCCCCCAGGTGACGAACCAGAACCACGATGTGACCCGCGAGCGTGGATTCCCTGCGTCCTGCGTCCTGCTTCATCTTCTCGCCCTGGTATATACATGGAGCACGAAACAAATGTGTACACTAGACTGAGGAACTCCAATCGGATACCGCGGGATTGGCCGCTATTCGGGCGAGCCTGGACGTTTCAGGAGTATCTCTTGAGCCCACGGACCTTGCTCATTGGAAGTCAAAATCTCATGTGGCAGTGCTCCCGCGGTTTCTATGACGAACTTCTTGGCCCCGTTGCCGAACACGTCACGACTGCCGAAAAAGCAAAACTCACCAAGAACATGGGTAAATCTCGATATTTCCCTAGGAGCATACAAACGATCGCAAAAGCATCTAGTTTATCAGAACCGAGTGTTCTAGACTTTATGATAGATTGGCAGAACTTGATCAACGAGTATCAAGCCCGGAGGCTGACTGTTGCAAAAGATCGTGTGGTAGCATTCGCTGGCATTGCACGAGCGTTCCAGAATCTCGGGCAGTTGACTTACCTTGCAGGCGCATGGAAAGAGGTTTTCCCACTCTGTCTCTTATGGTTTGTCGACAAGAAAACTACTCATCAGGTTCGGTACGAAGACTCGATACCGAACGGACCGATGCCGGATTCCGCTTATACGAGGGAGATTTGGGAGCCAGTCGTACAGCCTGCACCGAGCTGGTCATGGTTCTCGGTTCCAATTTACCGGTACTATAAGCTGTTTTTCGTCATTGGCGAGAATGAGGCGGATATTTCGTATGAAAATGAATTGAGTGTGCGGTGTAGGGGTAATCTCAATCCATCAAGACTGCATTTCGATGACATTTTCTGGGTGGAAGGATGCAAGTTCCAGTTTGGTTCTTCGGGGCCGAACTGTTTTCAAGAGACAGGCTTCTATGAATTTGCGGACCTGCAGGTTACGCTTGAGATGCCAGTTCTACCAGTGAAGGTCAATTGGCCCCAGGATATTTATGAGCAACTGTGGTGGATCCAAGATAATGGCTCGGACGATGACCGAGATGTCAAGTGGATGCTAGCATTCAACTACTACCCCGACGTTCCTTTCGGTCGCAAATCGCCACCACGAAATGCGATATATGCATTGATAGCGGAGTACCAGATCGTCCGAGAAGCAGGCTTTCAGCGCCGTCTTGCCGGCTTGATGTTGATTCCCGGTCCGCAACCTGGAACTTGGACAAGAAATGGCGTGTGGATGCTCAAAATTAGGCTCTCGAACGTACTAGTGACCACCGAAAATATACCGTCTGTCGCTCAGCGGTGGCGAAACTACGCGATCATATCCTCGAAGTGGCATACAGAAACTATAACTCTAGTCTAAAGACTTGGTAATAATGTAAGGACTTGTGTCTTTACTTGATACCACCCGAAACCCAGTGTAAAAATTCTGGAGACATCCTCTATCGAGTACATGTAGAAGTACAATTCACTTGTTCAAAATAAGATATACATATTCATTAGCAGTAGTAATTCAATTTCCAGCTATATTTGTCAACAGATAAAAGGGTCAGTTTATTGCATTTCACTATAACTCACAGATCAAATCCTTATAAAGATCTAGAAGTTTTTCACCAACCAGTTCTTTAAGATTTAGAGGCCTTTCTTAGCTCCGAATACTGAAACTAAGAGCAAAACCTAATTATTACCGAGGGCCATGCATGTCTGAGGAAGAGCTCGTTTCCCCCCTCAAGGCTATAATGTGCAGTGCGTTTGAAGTCGGCTAATGCCTAATGCTTAAGAAATGCGATCTCCTTCGTACGCCAAGGCTAGTGAATACGCCTACTACTCGGCAATTACAATCACTCCACCGAGCCGCAGTGCATGTGTGCGGAGGTGATATCAGCCTTGCATGGGCACTCAGGTCGGGTGGCGCAGTGTGGGCGTTGTAGTGTGAAACGGAGGATCAATTAGCAATAGCGAATCGCGACAAGCGATGCAGTGATGTCGCGACTGCGAATGCACTCCTCCGCCACGGGAAGTAGCAGCGCGTGCAATTAGCTTTAAGAGAATCCTAGGACGTCGTAGGTCACCAGCATTAACAAGGCTAGCTGGAGAGTACACAAGCATAGGGTGAGAGGTTTACTTGAGAAGTGAGTAGAGAAAAAAAAGTGGGAGTAGAAGCAAGTAGACATTGCACGCTGTAAGAAGGTGAGGGTGAGATGTATGGTCCTTCTTGAGTGAGGACCTTTCAATTAATAGCATTGTGGGGTATTATCCTAACACCGCAATGATCTATCTCGTTGACTGACATCATGACCCAACAAGTTCCCCTAATGTAATCGAACGCCAAACGTGCAAACATGCTAAATGAAAGCGATGCAGCAGATATCCTGTCAAGAGATGCATGACCCATGAGTTAATCGTCTAACAAAATGAAAATGAAACGCTAATGAGATGCCACGTCATGGAGATGCGGCATTTGAAGCGAGCATCAGGGCGTGCGGCATATGCAATAATGACTGTGCATGTGTGAGATCGTGTTACGGATTTGGAGGCCGCGTCTTAGTGAGATGGTCAGAACCAAAGCGGAGACAATCTGAAACCAAAGAGGCCGAAAACCACCGAGGAAGATCCGCCCACGCCGGGGTGACACGCAAGCCATCCGTCGCAGAGGAAAGCTTGAAGTACAAGCAAAATACGCTAGCAGCTCAAGATAATGAGGCAGCAAAGCGGACTGAGTAAATGAGTCTAGAGGATACGCCATCTACAGATTGTTAGTCAGCTGACGTTCTGTGTCATTTTCGAAGTCCGAGTAACTCACTGCCTGAAGAGTGTCTCCAGACTGACGGCGGTCAGTTGAGAATCTTTGGGTAGCTTCTTGTCCAGTGCCACCAATTCGGCAAACATCTTGCCGCCCTTGTATGCTACAACTGCAGGCATTCCTACTGGATGGATTTCGGCGATGTCGTTGTGCAATTTAACAAAGCGTACAGTGTCGTTGCGCCGGGCGACTTCGTGCATGCATGCCTCGCATTTCATCGTAAAAATGTCCTTCTCGGCATCACCCTACGTTTGTTAGTCAATGAAAGAGGTGAACTGTGAAGTGCACGTACGGTGTTGGGTTGGTAAATGAACACGACAACCATCGTTGCTGGTGCTGGATGATCGATGACGTCGAGGTATTCTTCGGCGTCGACCATGGGCATACTGCCATATATCCTCCGGCTTGGGCTATTCGTGCGTGACCGTATCCGGTTGCCAGCTGTCTCGAGCTCGCGTAGCCTATTCTTGCGCCATTCTGTCATGAAGCTTTCCTCGTTTTCCTCGTCTGACAATGCCTTGTCATCATGATACGCCCTGACAGTGTACTGTGTAGGTTCCGGGCTCTTCTTCCATGTGAACCGGCGAGCCTGCTTCTTGGCCTGCTCGAATGCCCGCGCATCTGCAATGACACCTTTGGGACCAGTATTGGCCTCTGAGCGGAGAGACGGCATATAGTAATTGGCCCTCATATCGTGTGGTATATCGAGCTCGTCGTCGGTGTCAATCTTCTCGAGGTAGTCGTCTTCGGCACCAATGGAGTCGGGATCAGAGAGGTCGCTGTCGTCGAGTCTGTCTTCGGGGTGTCTACTCTCTCGGCCCTTATCGCGCATAAGCTCGTTGAATTCGTCTTGAGCGGCTGAAGTAGTAGTCATGGCGAAAAAAAAGAGAGACTTGTATCGCGGCGGGCGGCGGTGATATTTGTATGGGGAAGGGCAGCGCTGCTGGGGTTACGTGTGTGTGTTGTTGGTAAAGGCAAGGTCCTGGCGGTCAGTTTTGGGTCGTCTGGGATGCATGCATGCTACGACGGGCTTGGCATTTGTCCGAGCTATAAATGGTCCGAAAAGCATTCGCCTTTTGGTTTCAGCGAGCGATTGGGCGCCACATGTTAACAACTGCCGGTACTTCCAATCGTCGTCGATATTCAAGTCGCCAAGGTCATCTACGGGCGGCCCTGTTGCATCTGGAAATAGGGGTACCCATGGCTGCGACTGTTTTAAGGCTGAGCTGACGAGTTGGACACGCGACGAAGAGGCCATGATCGTCGAGATTAGCGAACCAAGCGTCTCTCCTACTGAAGCAGACCCTCAAGTTCGAAACATGCTCGCTGCTGCTTTCTCCAATTGGGGCTCTGCGGGTGGCGCTTGGTGTTGGTCGGGCGGGCGCACTCTGAAACGCCCTCAACTCTGCGCCCTCGGCATCAACCAACGGCGTTCCATCATCGTCTTGCCGGACTCTGGCTGTTTTGGGACGGTTGGCCTGTCAGGACAGACAGTTGCTTTCTTCCGAATTATTATGCGACCCTTTTTCTCGTCCCGATAGCTCGGACAATTAATTCATGCAAGCCTCATCACAGCGGGTGTAGCATCCAAAAAAGAAAGCAACTCCTATGCTGATATGCCTCCGTTCGACACAGGTCTCATACAGGCCCACCCCTGGTAATCGTCCCGAACCCTTCCATATATTTTCTAGAAGCGTCATCTTCCCCTTCTTTTTTGTCCTGCGTCGGTCAGAATTTCGTCCTGGTCCAGCAGACAACCCTGCGTTGTATGCGACTAAAATTGGCGAGCACGGCCCCAAGGGCATTGTTCGGGGAATTTTGTGCCACGTGCATGGCTTGAGCTTACTCCTCGTACATGAGAATAGACGTTGGATGTAGGCCATTGATCACAATTCGACTCTTGCGTCTACTTACTCAATTTACCACTGGGACGGTATTGCTGTCATACGTGTCCCTCTCCCAGATCTGTACCGAGCGCATCATTAAGCCCGCTCCTGAACAGGGATTCTGTATTCCCTATCGTTACTGGAGTACACGTCCACGTTTTTGGGGTCGACATGTGAAGACCTCGTACTCTCACAACAAGGGCATGTCTTGCCCATTGTCGCATTAATATCGTTGCATATACCCATCACAAGATTCGCGAACCGCAGGGCACCTCCAGATGCTAGATCTGTATTCCTACAGATCACGATGATACTATTTTGCTTACACAGTACCGTGTTTTGTTGATGTAGTAGTGAGCAGTCTTGCGCTAGAAGCGGTGCATAATGTTCTTGAGATTTTCTGGAAGGTGCGTGGAAGGTCATTCCTTTCATACGAGTGGGTCTGAGCGGGCCTAATACGGACGTGCTAGCAACCAACGCTGTTCACGGGAGGGCGACTTGTGACACTGTTCAGATTTCCTGGGTGCTGACATCTGAGTCGAGGTGTGCTCTTTTGAGATTGTTGATGGAACATTTGCTCAATGAATGCTTACCGCATGCTTTCTACTCTCGACCATGCCCTTCTGACACACTCACAGGCAGATTTATGAATCAACGAAAGCAGAACGATATAACAAGTCGATGCTAGATGAGGTCGTCCAGGTCACAAACGTACAGGCACGGAAAGCGATGGAGGTTTGGTTGAAAAAGGTATTTGAAAACTCGCTGACTGACTACCATCTGCCATCGCTCGCACCAATACGTCTTCACACAGCGCACTCGAATCATACATTGCGACCCCCTTCACGTAGTCCACCTCAACCATTCGTCACCAAACCACCGCGCATAAATCCGAAACACATACAGAAGAAACCGTCTGGCAGCACCCCTTCTTCCCACGCACAAGTGCAAGACAACGGGTCGCTTTTTAATGATCAGGCAAGGAAAGGGGATATACGGTCGGGAGAGATTGGATGGATAGGCAACTACTCGTGTGCGCAGAACAGCCGGCCCGGACAAAGAGGGGGAAAAGTAGTCGGAGAAAGCAATAGAAAAACAGTGGTATGGAAGGAAAATATTGGATCACAAAATGTCCCGGGCGCCTGTCCACCAGATGACGCAACAGCCGCATCGACGGTCCCAACAGATGGTATATTATGTTGATGCAAGGCTTGAACATGTAGAGCTCTCCCGGGCGGAGGTAGGATGCAGGTGATGATGGGTATGGTATGTATCGTAGGTTGCCGAAATAAAGGAAGCGCGCACACGGTCGTTTTTGCATCGTCACTTGGCGTCGCAAGTTACTCGTAGACTAGATTCAATTATGCCCAAATGCGTAGCTGTGGTCAAGTCAGCTACATGTGAGAGGGTATGGATGGGCATGGAACTTACCATGGAGTCCCAGGAACCGGTGCAGAGACTGAGCGCATCGTTGCTTACACCAAGACAGCTGACTCGGTTGTCATGTCCTTGCAATGTGCCCACGCGCTCGCCGCGCAGTACATCCCAAACCTAATTCTGTCAGCTTCATGGTCTTCGGTAGCTGGTTTGTTTGTTTGTTGATTGCTCACCTTGCATTCGAAATCATCATAGCCTGCGAACAGCAGCCGGCCAGAGACGGAGAAGGCGACAGATGTAATACCGCAGACGGGCTCGGGAATCTATACAGCGACACGGATTAGTAGTGCAAACAGAAAAAAACTTCCCGATATAGGGAATGGCGTACCTGATACGATGCTAGCTCACGGTCGGCACGAATGTCGAAGAGACGGCAAGAAGCGTCGTCTGAACCAGTACCAAAGGCATTACCGTTCGGGAAGAACTGAATGGCGTTGATATCCGAGTCGTGGGCTGCGAAGGTCTGGACACACTTCTGTTGACGGATATCCCAAAGCTTGGCGAAAGCATCGCAAGCACCAGACACGAACTGGTTGTGATCGAGAGGGTTGATGCTCAAGCTCATGACATCGCCAAGATGGTCGGCAAATTCATGTACTTTGGAGCCAGTTTCCAGGTCCCAAAGCACGCAGGTCATGTCACCAGAAGAAGTGAGAATGCGCTTGTCGCTGATAAATCTGCAGCAACTGAGGTACCCTGAGTGGCCAGACAGCTCTCGGGCCACGCGCGTCGGGCCTTCCCGAGCTGACAAGTTGTAGATGGAGCAGATGTTGTCAAGACCACCGCACGCGACGTAGTTGCCAGACGGCGAGTAGGCGCAGGTCATGACCCACGATGAGCGAAGCGGAATGGCGTGGACCTTGTTCGTCGTGTAGGCGTCCCAGATGATGAGTTTTCCGTCCTGGGAAGCGGAAACGAGATGTCGCCGGTCGGTTGACCAGTGCATGGCGTAGATTTTGGCAAGATGACCCTTGAGGGTCCGCTTCGTCTTCATGGTGAGGCGCGGCAGCGCCTCGACACGGTCTCTCGCGACATCGCGGACTGCGCAGTGTATGTTAGCACCAGACGGCTTGGAGTTGCAGAGTCGTACAAGGACGGGGCTCAGGACGTACGGGTTGTGTCAGCAAGCTCGTCCTTCTTTCGTTTTATCCTGTCCTTCAGCGCCTCCGCGTCGCGTCGTGCGATCTGGATCTTCTGCTGGATGGATTCTTGGTTCATGTCGGCCATGCTATACGATCGTTACCAGACAGTGAGAGAGGGTGGAGTCGCGGAAGGCGCGAAGCGGCGAGGTCGGCAGATCCAGGGGGCTCGCAGGGAGCGCGGTAGGCCGGACACCGAGACAGGGACTAGGATAGCGATCGACAGAGGGCAGCAATGGCGACAGACGCGCGCAGAGCAGGATCAATTGCTTGCGCAGAGCTGGAGGGCGGCGGGCAACAGTCGTGGGGGCTTGGAGATGGAAGCGTTGCAGCGGAGTGCTGGAGATGAGTGAGGTACAGGAGCGGCCCGGGGTGAGCTTGGCTTAGCCGAGAGACAGCAGCAGCTGGAAGTCAAAGGGCGTTCCCCTCGGTCGGATCGACAACAACAGGCCCGCGCTGCCGACAAAAAAAGCTGCTGGGTGATTGGGTTGCAAATGTTTGCTGCGGTGAATGCTCTGGATGCGTGATGTGTGATGTGTGTGTATGTGAAGCTGCACGACGTGGACGAACTGGACGCTGGCCTGCTGCGAACTGACCTGATGAAGAAGGCGCGCGCGCAACCTTCTCCTGCTGCAGCGCACCTCCTCCTTTGGGGCGACAAGCTCGCCTCTCATTCGCCCGCGTCTCGGCAACGCCAAATTGGAACCCTAGCCCGCGCCCGCTGCTATACCACATACGCCTCACCACCACCAGAACGGCGCGGACGTGTCGAACCCTGGTTCCAATTTCTCCTTGACAATCTTTGCCAGCGCCACCAATACCGCTGTTGTTGTTTCTTTGCACGCGTCTCCCGCCATGGCTACTCCTCGTCCTCGTCCGCCTACAAAGCCAGTTGATGCTGCCTTTGCCCGCAGTCTCCCTAAGATTGAGGTACCCAACCTCCCTGATTTCAGAGCCAGGGGCCAAGAAAGCATAGACATCCGTTCGCGGCTCCGCTAATTCCACGAACGATTCAGCTTCACGCCCATCTCACCGGCAGCATAAGTCGAGACTGTCTCCATGACATCTGGATCACCAAGAAGGCTCGGCATCCTGAGCTGGACCTCGTAGATCCACTGATTGCCATTCCGCCAGGAAAGGTCGACTATGACATCAAAACGTAGGCCAATGTCTGATTCACCTTGTTAAATATATGTCACAGCGACTTTGTGGCAGCAACGCACGCTGCGTATTGCAATATATTGGCCCGACAGTGCACCAGCTCGCGCGATGTTGCTAACAGCCCCTGTGGCGACACCCATGACTAGATGACATCCGACACCTGACGTACATGGCCGGCTTCAAACGCCCTAGTTGTCTCACACTATCCGCTCACCACCTCAGACAACGATTGTTTGACACGAGCAAACGACTGACGCTCGACTAGATTCTTCCCTCTGTTTTCGTCGTACATCTACAAGCTTTGCAGCGATCTACCCAGCATCGAGTATGTCGCCCGAATCATGTGACAATGCAGCGATTGATCAAGCCCAGGTATTCGACCAAGGCAGTTCTGGAAGAGTTCCAGTCAGATGGCGTCGTCTATACTGAACTCCGCACAACTCCAAGGGCGATGCCTGAGACTGGCGTCACCAAACAAAACTATGTCGAGACTATCCTGAATATACTGAAGGCGCACAACGACAATGGAGCAAACACTATGCGAGCCTTTTTAATACTGTCAATCGACCGTCGGAATAGCGTCGCAGAAGCCGAGGAGGTGGTCGACCTCGCTACCAAGTACCACCCTGCTGGTGTCTGTGGCGTAGACCTCTGTGGCGACCCTGCGAAAGGCGACGTCCGCATCTTCACGAGTGCATTTGCACGAGCCAAGGCCGCTGGCCTCAAGATCACACTGCACTTCGCAGAGAGCGAAGTCTCAGCCACAGACCTAGAGCTGCAGACCCTACTGTCGTGGAAGCCTCACAGACTAGGTCATGTGATACACGTCAAAGAAGAATATCGGAATATCATCGAGAAAGAAGATATTGGGGTAGAGCTGTGCCTAAGCTGCAATGTCCACGCCAAAATGATTACTGGCACTTACTCTGACCACCACTTTGGCATGTGGCGACATAGCAATGTTCCAGTGGCTCTTTCTGTGCGTCCAAGCCCACAACGTGATCTGAAGCGAATACTTACCATTCATAGACCGATGATGTTGGCGTCTTTTGCAGTCCTTTGTCGCACGAGTACTATCTCGCTGCGCAACATTTTGGGCTCAGCCGCAATGACATACGGGCATTTTGCGAACGAGCTGTAGATTCAATCTTCACTGGCACTGTTGAACAAACCCGACTCAAGAGCATTTATGTAGAGTGGGCTGGTTGGACATCCGAAGAACGATAATAGTCACTGGAGTCCTTTCCGGAATATTTGTAGTGATACCATTTGAGGACAAAATTTAGCCATCCCACCTAGTTCACACTCCAAACATCCACTTTTAATGTTGTGGACACAGCAAAACATATTCAAATGGAACTCATATTGCAGTCAGATTTGCAGCGCCGCTGCTCTGATGATCGTTTAGGTAATGAGTCTTATCAAGGCAACGGGATGACGATTCGACACTTGCAGTGACTCTTCAGCAGTCAGTCATACTACTCTTAGTTGTCACTCAAAATTTTCATACACTCCCGCACTCTTCTCTCACGCACTGCATACCTCATTTCACAACAGAGCTTCTACAGCTACAGTATACTACGAGTATTCCCGATATCTTCAAATCCCGAATTCTGCTTCTATACCCTTCCCATAGCGAACTATGCTCATCCACCGCCTTCTGCTTGCAGCCTTCCTTTACCTCTCCATCGCTCTAGCTACCCCGTCGGAACTTGAGCATCGAGGAGACAAGCGGATCCCGCGTGACTCGAATGCCTCCTGTCCACAAGAGCATTTGGATCTCATTACTAAAGCTTATAACGATGCCATCCAAATGGCCAAACTAGCGGCCAACGCTATGACGAATCACCAAGATGAGCCTGCCTTTTGGGAGTTATTTGGTCCACGAGCGGTTTCGAATCTTACTTCTATCCAGAATACATTCAAGGCTTCGGCAGAGTTTACAAAGAAGATCATTACCACTTGCAATCTCGATGACACGCACCCGACATGCACGGATCGGTTTAATTACGGTGGGATAGGCGCCCTGAACAGCACCGCAGGCAAAAGGGATGACAACATCTCACTGGTCTTTTGCAGGGAATTTTTCGGTTTTCCGCCTTTGGATTACAAAATTAATATGGGCATCAACAATCCGGATGATCAGACGGCTCGTTTCAATCTCGGCTACTACCATGAAAATCAAGGTAAATTTTGTGCTCTCACGACTTGCCTGTAGGTGGGCTAACATAGATCAGGTACAGCACTTCTTCGAGCGATATTACCTTTTGCTTTGCCCTCTAATGAAGCACATATTTCGGACCTTTGGGTAAACATCCATCATCAGAACACACCTAAATGGACCGCGTGTTATGGTGTGCTATGTTCGAAGATACTGGCTCGCTTGGATGGCAGTTGCTGGAGTGTGCTCAACGGTATGTACACTTCCGCACCCAAATCATTCCTCTGGATGTAATCTAACTCACGTAGCTGACAACTACGCACTCTTCGCTCTCTCAAAGTATATTTCACAAGTTATAGAGGGTTCCTTCCCTTGGCTTCCTCGACTCGAAAGGAATGAACCTTCTTGGTCTCCACTGATCGTGACCAATCTTGGTGGAATTCAAGGCGGAGCTGTTGCCGTGACAGAGAAGTTCAGCGAAAACACAGTATCTCAACCGAGATACAATAAGAGTCGTTATCAGCTGGATCTAGGCACCTATAACCCGCGAGATAGACTGGGTAATAGTGCAGTCGATCTTTCGAATTCGTCCTGGCTTCAGCAAGAATCTAGCTACCCTGAAGGGTGGCACAAGCAACGAAATGACTTTCTTCAAGAGTGGACTTCAGCATGGGATAATGTGTCATTGAACATGGACACAAAGAGGACACATGTCTGCTTTAAGAACGGAAACAATGCCTCTACACCATACGGATCGATCGACTCCCAGCCCTTCGACGCCACAGAAGCTGCTGAACTTGCGCTAAAGTTTTGTAATGAGACTGTGAGGCAATGGATGAAGATTACAGTTTACCCGTCTGTACTGACCGCGGCAAAAAAAGCTATTGATCTTAGCGTATGGCACCAAACTGGCCGCAAGAACAGCACAAATGAGATGAACTTTTTCTGGACGGCGGATCCAAACAAGTTCTTGAGTGCTAGAGCAGTAGGAAGATTATTTGAAGGAAGGAGCGACGATGATAAAATTCAGCACTGCCACGCGACGTACAAGTACATCATGGAACAGGTAACCTTTACCAACACGCTGAACGTATCGCAGCAAACCACTAACGCAATCAAGTGCGACAAAGACAGTCCAGACAAATACGGCGGCTACATAACACTGAACGACAGAGTGAGTCATCCTCCATTCCTCCCAAGACGCAATTACTATCCTTTCCACTGCTGACAATTCCATCACAGATTTACGCTGCGTTCGTAACACCGGCTTCTCACCGAGCTTCTCGCAACAACATCGCCCCAATGTCTACATTCAAATGTGCGGAGTATAACGCTACGAGTTACTGGCGCGCAGCGGCGTCCATCCAGAGCATGCAAGACACGAGGCTGAGCAAACTTTGCACGTGCTGGTACGACGACTATACCTTCGCTGCTGAGATGTTCTGTAGGCCTGCTGCAGGGGACTGCGTGACGCTTGTGAAAGAAGAGAATAGGGTGTGGGCGAAGGACAGAGGGTATAATTGTCCGTAGATGGGTTTCGGGGCAAGAGGGATGGTAGACGAGAGTTCGAAGATTTGGGTTTTAATTTTGCTACTTTTCTTTACTATTCGAGGTGGTTAGATGTGCTAAATGGTTTATTCACCTATTTACCTGTAACGATAAATGAAGTAAAGACTCAGCGAGATATGATATCAATTTTAGGCGTTAGCGGCCGTGGGTGAGTATAATATATACATGTACACTAAGAGATACTCTCCTGCGACAACAAACTGCCCCCTACGAGACACCAGAGCACCGAAACGCGAACTATTTTATACACACATTCCCTTTTCAACACCAGCGACAAGGAAAGTCTCGGTCAAGCTCGAAGTTTTCAATACCTGAATTCCTCATACCGGGGAGAAGGAAACCTACCCTCCCACTCATCCCCGCTGTACATCGGCGAGGTCCTCCTCTCATCACCCCTTCTTTTCAACGGCACGCGCCGGCTCTCCTTCATGTGTTCAAGCGCATCAGCAATCTCCTGAAGGTTCATGCGTCCATCCTGACCAGAGCGGTCTGCAATGTGGCGCTGTCGAGGGAAGGTATAGCTAGGCTCATGCATGTCGGCGCTGTAGGACATGGCGCGCATGGGCTTTGGTTGGTATTGGGACGTGGCGAAGGGGTTACCGGAGGGCACCTGTGCGCTAGCGCGACGATGTGGCATCGCTGGTCGACTGGCGTAGGTCGGATCAGATTCAAAGTATGATTCGCGCATCTTCGCATTGTGTGGGTAGTCATTGGCAGGAGTGTACCTAAACTTAGGGCGGCGGTCCACGTCATCGTAGATGTGGCTGGGGTGAGGGTGGTGGTGGTGGAAGGGCTCCTGAGCACGCGAGTAGGCTTGTGTGCGACTGTGGCCGCGAGACAGCGAAGGTCGACGCATGGGTGCGTCGAAGACGGCGTCTTCGGACGTGTGGGCAGATGAGGTGGTAAAGGAAGCAGTACCACTTGCACGGTCCCATGAAGAGTCACGAGACATAGGCTGAGAGGTGTTGATCTTCCTCTTGTCGTGGTAGAAGCGTGTTGGCGAAGAGTCGATGCTAGCACGCCCTCGGACACGTTCGTGCTCATGCGCCCGGTCGTCGGCAGCATTGGTGGTGTTCACTGTGATATGAACGGGTGGATATTCTGCACGCGGTGACCGAGGCAAGCTGGCCTTCGATGATGTGGGACTGTACTTTCCCATTGGTGGTGGATCCATCAAGTCAGAGTCGCGTCGACGTCGAGATGGGTCAACAATCTTGTGAATGTGACTCCGACTTCGGCTGCGGCTTCGACCTTTGCTTTGCGACTTATGTCGTTGCGCTTTCTTTGACTTCGTTGAGTGCCGTGAACGTCCTCGTTCTCGACGACCGCCAAAGCCATAGTCGTCATGGTTGACAATAACGGGCTCTGAGCCGGAGCTGCCCGATGTAGACTCCCAGTCTTCAGACTCAGAGGAGGACGAGTCGCGGCGGCCTTTGTGTTTCGCCTTTTGGCCCTTCAAGTACCCAGGGTCCATTGCCTCGAATGGTGGAGCCTGCCCCTGCCTCATACCAGGCACTGGCATCGGCAGTGGCCCTTGGAAATTACCAGGCCCTGCTCTGCCTTGTGGTCCGACATTCTGCATTTGTGGGTGCTGCATTCCATTTGGGGGACCATGCATTGCATGACCACCACCAGGTGGTGGAGGAAGGGGAGCTACCATTCCGGGCTGGCCCAGGATCTGGCCACCAGCTGGAGGAGGCGGAGGAGGCGGGGCGTTCCCATGACCAGGCATGGGACCTTGACCCTGGCCATGTCCCGGAGGTGGTGGGCGCATTGGGGGCTGCTCTAGATGTTGGCTCTGTCCCATGTGTGGGACTTGAGGTTGTGGGTTGATTCTGGGCTGCTGTCCCATGTTTTGCACGTGATTATTCGGTGGTCCCTGAAATTGCTGGTTCTGTGGCATATTGTTTTGCTTCATGGCCTTGTTGGGGTCTTGCGCAGCGAAGAGATTGCCAGCACCACCAGCTCCTGTCTTCATCGGTAGAGGTTCCTGAAACCCAGACGGCTCAGTCTCCAGGATGACTTGGACACGTTTGAGTTGTCGTTCGCGGCGGTTGACGGAGCGCCATTCTACCTCTACGCTCGCAATTCTGTACTGGAGGCTTCTGTTGTAATTCCAAAGCTCCTTGGTTTGGTCTTCAACAAGCTCGTTGATAAGCCTGCGGCAGTTTGCGGACGGAATCTCATTGAGGGTGCGCTTTACTGAGCACTTGTTACGTCTAAATTTGTTCAGTTCCATCTGGAGGTCCTGAAGGGCAACATGCTGCTGTTCCGGCTCGACATCCTCCCAAGTTTTGGCGTTCTTGGGCTTCTCCAAAGAGAACAGGGCTAGTTGTGGGTCGTAATTAGCATACGGGTTCTGGAGTTGCTGTTGTCCTGGTGCTCCTTTCTGTTGGCCAAGTCCTTGGGCCAGGGGTTGTCCGTTTGGAGCCTGTCGTTGCTGGCCAATGTTTTGATGCTGCTGAGACATTGGAGGCAGCTGAGTCTGGAATTGAGCCTGATGCTGGGGTGCCATTTGGGGATTCATCATGACAGGCCAACGTGATAGTCTTAAGTGAGTGAGTTGCCAAGAGCATAGACTCAATCACGCGGCGATATTGAAAGATTGTTATTGTAAAATGTAGTGACACGTGAAAGTATTAGAGAAGAGTGACCGAAGAGTGAGATTGAGTATCTGAGGCAGAGACGAGGACCTCGACAGAAGATATAGATTCGAATAATATTGATGTCCCACCTTGAAGCGTATACAGTCGCTTCTCGCTTACGGCAATGGTAACACCGTCCTGCCGCAAGCGGGATAAGGGTCGCACTCGGGATGAGGCCATTGCATTCAGTCTTTACAAGGACAAATATGAAACGGGCCTCTATTGGCTGTGTAAAAGGGCGCTCGGAAGCCTCATTGCGGATTGGTTGTCAGATTTCTCACCGGAGAACAGCCACCAGGCTAGGCAGGGCGTGCAGGAAAAGTAGGCAAACGGATCGCCTTCTTGCGTGAACGCGCAACAAGGCCAGCTTGCTGAAAACAGCTGAGGCTCATAGGCTCACCGGAGGACTGGAGAGCGTTGCTGTGCAATAAGCGATGCGACATGCAGATGAAGGACTCGTAATGGTCCTGGGTCCTTCGATACAGCCTGATCGCAAAACAATCTGGTTACGGTGCAGTCGTGCTTGCATGCGCATCGTTGGCGTCCGGTGTAGTCCAGCGATCTATACCTGGAATGTGAAGATATCGCTCTTTTTCTCTTGAACCTGCGGTGGGATGATGAGTGCTTCGTTGGAAGATGCTGGAGCATCAGTCGCAGACACCATATCGCGCTTTGACCCCTCTTTGACCCATGCGCCATACTGTACCCCAACTTCTAGTCTAGCGAAGTAGGCAACGGAACTACTATTACTAGTTGATTTGCGGGAGTGCTCCAAACCTTGATGTTGGACAGTTCCACGATCGTGGCTGGCAATCTATTTCGCGCGCCTGACTCACTTTTTCTCGTCTTTTGCCCTTCTTTCCGGTCGGCCAGCACATCCAGCCAACAGCAAGGAAGTCGTCCAACTGATTGTTGGTAATACAGCAGTCCTTCAACAGCAGTCCTTCGACAAACAGCATCATACAGGTCCTGCTTCTCTTGTAATACAAAAGAGTGTCCTTCGTTGCTTGAGCGACTTACACGACAACACATGCACATCGACCCCTCTTTGCCTATTCTCTCGATCCCAACATGCCAAACACTGCAGGACTTTGGACACATACCCTCGAGATAATCTTAGACCCGATGTCCTGCACAGAGGCTAAGAGGCAGGAGTTCGCAGTTTGCAGCGTCGATCCACGCCATCATCGCCAAGATGCAGCTTACCTCAAAACGCGGCAGACTGATGCCTTTTGTCTGCACGTCGTCAGGCTCTCCAATCCTCGATTCCAAATCCAGCCGATAGCCAACTTGCCGGGTATTCGCTGACAAAACGGAAGACGAGGGTGCCGTTTTGGGTCCACCGGATGCCGAGCATGAGATGTATGCAGCCTGTCAAATGACGAACCAGCCTTATGGGCTTCGATTCGCTACGGCACCAACTGCATACCAGGGTAACGTCTCTTATAGGTCAGGAAAAAGGCCCGTCTCCGCGATGGGTAAGACTTAGCCGACGCCATGTCTTACTTTGACATATGTACAGGGCACTTCCACCGGACGGACGAGCCGCCCTCTACTCTCGAACATTCGCTCTGGATACCCTCCACCTTGGCAAATATTTCGCAACCGGATCGTGTTGACGCCTATCTAGTGTTCTGCCGCAGACATGTCGATAAGCAGCACACGCGGCTGCAACCTCGCCTTCGTTCTTGACCCGAAGCTATCAGCTGATGCAGGATATGTTCATCCACTAGAGGACCGCACCGGATCCAATACACAACACTCCCACTCCACAAACCTAACAATAGCATGCCGCGTTCGCAGAAATAGCGCCCGCTACCCTCGCAGGCGTTCCGCGACCACCATGAATCTCGCCACCGGCACATAGTATACATCCGAATATAGCAAGGTTCGGCCTCAGTCTACCTACCGAACTACCGAGACGCGGAAAGGCATCCCATCCCAAGCAAAGCGAGCATCCTTCACGGCATATGAACTAACCTTGCACCCACACCACCGGCTTGGTATCGTTGCCTTGACCGGACCGGCTACCCTTGACCTCCCGCCTGCCTAGCTGACTTCATATACCCATTACGAACTGCAAATAGGAGAAACAAAGAGGATTTTGTCAGCGGCAGGCGTATCCGCATGATAACAATCTGCTCACTCGTAGAACTGCCAAGCCCACTGACTGACCTACACTGTCCCTAAGCAACACCAGCAGACTAGAGAAACCACCCAAATTGCCTGACAAATTGCTTCCCATTAAGTACGCAAATCGTGCCCGCGTGTTCCGACAAGGCGCGTAAGTCCATCCTTCCCCGTCTGTCTCTACGCGCGGCACAGTGCATAAATCACTCTGCCGATCAGCAGCTGGACTTTCCCCCTCCCAAAGTCTCGATACCGTTCGATGTATAGCAGAGCCTCACGTATTCCCGCGCTCAGCACGGCACATGGTTCAGCCGTGTCACATGCTAATCGACCACCCGATCTCTCAAAGGCGGTATCGAGGGGGGGAGGGGGGCATTTCAATTGGCATTGGAAGCTAGCTGGCTGCTGCCTTCCTGCCTTCCTTCCCTCCGTCTCTCCGCTCATTATCTTTGTGTCCTATTCGCTCTGCAGACACGATCAACCCACCTCGCTGTAGTCTTTGATCCTTCTCACCTGAGTGACCTAGATGGTCTAAGATTGAAGGTCTGTATTTTCGTATGCAGCTATGCACATCGTTAAACTCGCTGTACTTTATCAAGATCACTGTTGAACCCGTACGCTAGGCGAACTAACTTGGCAAAAGATTCTCTTGTTCCTCCCGGCTAGGTGATGCATGGACGTGGAGGTAGTAGTGCAGTACTGAGTTGTTCCAAATTGAGTCTGAGGATAAATGGTTTTATAACGGGAGATGGACGTGTAAATATGCTATGCGCAGATAAATGTATATACTTCAACCATCAATAGAATCCAAGGTACATGATTATTTACAAGTAAACGAACTAGACTTGACATGTGACCATCAAGTGCATTCCCCATTCACATCACCGCCACATAGTCACCGCCACACAATCGCCGTCAGCACAGCACCTCAACGAGAAGAAAGATAGCTGGACTGAATTCATTCCATTGCATTTCCTATGTCCCATCGCCACCCCACCTATTCCCATTCTCATTCCCATGCTATCCAACAAGCCCACCGACACTTCCACACACACACATAAATACATACAACCCGAATATCATGTCCATTCGCCCTTCGTCAGATTACGATTACCACATCGCTGTTCTTAAACAAACCAAAAAAAAAAAACGAGATTCGAAAAAGAGGGAACAAGCACCCTTATGACAGGGTCTTATCCCCTCAAATCAAAAGAAGAAAGAAGAAGAAGTCTAGCCCCTCTGGGACAAGAATAGAAGAGATAAGCTCAAGGAGAGCTGCTCATGTGAAAGAGAAGTAAAAAGAAAAGTTATAACAAGTAAAAAAAGTAGTTCAGCGAGGGTATGAAGATGATATGGTACAGTAAGGAGAAGTAATGCCGCCATGATGCTCCAGCAATGCTAAGAGGGAGAAAAAAAGTTTCAACAATGATTCGCGGCCGGAAATACAGGCAGATGTGACATGAGCTTGGAAGATTGGGAGCGAGAACCGGGGTGGTGGGGTACGGTACGAGAAAGGGCAACGGGGCAAAGGCTGAGTGGGAGCGAGTCACCCACACTCCCAACAATTCGCGCTTCGGCCTGTGTTCGTCCTTTACCGCAGCGGTAACTGCACATCCTCAACCCCCTTCTTGAGCACATCCTCAATCTTCCACCTAGGTGGGTTCAAAATGTGCTCGCCCCCTTTTCCTTTGACTACTACCTCGTCCTCCTCGCTGCCTCCTGCAACACCGCTCGAAAACTTCAGTTGCAGCAACTCGCCCACCTGGTCGCACGCCGTCAGCATGCGGTCCAAGTCGTCCTTGGTATGCGCAGCGCTAACGCAGAAACGAGCACGTGACGATACAAGGGGCGTTGCAGGGTATCCCACAACGACGACACTGATTTTGCGCTTGAGCATTTCGTGGGAGAAGGCGGGCATTTTGGCGGGGTTGTAGAGCATGACCGGGATGATGGGGGAGTCGTCATGGCCGTAGACAATGAGGCCTAGTCGCTTTAGGCCCAATCGTAGGTACCTGGAGTTGAAGGCGAGGCGCTGTAGTCTTTCTTCGCCCTGGCCTGGCACAAGTTCGCCGTTGATAAGGCGGAGTGCAGACGCAATTTGAACGAGGACGGGAGGTGACGGTGACTCGGCGAAGAGCATAGCCGCGTTTGATGTGCGGAGCTTGTCAATAATGGACTTTTCAGCCGCGATGTAACCACCGTTGGCGCCGAAGGATTTGGTAAGTGTGCCCATGAGTATGTCGACTTCTGCAGGGTCGATGCCAAAGTAGTCGCAAACACCACGTCCACGGGGCCCGATGCCACCAACAGAGTGCGCCTCGTCGACAAAGAGATGGAACTTGTACTTCTTCTTGAGTGTGATGATACCGGGGAGATTGCACATGGTGCCTTCCATGGAGTAGAGACCCTCGACAGCGACGAGGATCTTCTTCCAGGGGCGGTGTGTGCGGGGCTGTCCTTGCGAGATGGCTTCGCGGAGTTTGCGTTCCAAGTCGCGCATGTCGTTGTGCTTGAACATGGTGACCATGGCTCCTGAGAGACGGGCGCCGAATCGGATGGAGGAGTGGTTGAGCTCATCGGAAATCATCAGGCAGCCCTTTCCGACAATGGTAGGGAAAGTGGTAGCGTTCGTGACGAAACCCATGGAGAAGACCATGGAGGCTGGTTTGCCGACAAAGTCGGCAATCAAATCCTCGACCTCGAGGGTGAGCTCTGATGTGCCGCTGTCTGAGCGGGGACTAGCCATGGAAATGCCGTATTTCCGGATGGCGGCTTCGGCAGCCTCTGCGCAAGGACCTTCAGACTGAGCAAATCCAAGGTAGTTGTAGGAGCTCATGTTCAGCGTCTCGGTCGTGGTTCCCAGCATCTTGAACGTATTATTCCCATCGTCCGACTTGCGGTCGAGCACCGTGATGAAGCGCCCTGGAACACCAGTCGTAGGGCGTGAAAAGCAGTCGTTAATCCTCATCTTCAACCGTCGCGTGTAAAAGTTGTCAAAATCACTGTTCAAGGGTGCATATCCGTCCTTCTCCTGCAGATGGCTGTAGTGCTGCTTTCTGAAGCGCTTGCCGAAGAAATCGCGCACATGTCCAAACACTATGAGGACGAGGTAGCTGATGTATGTGGTAAACAGGAAATAATATGGCGGCTCGTCTTCAATTGGGTCTCCAAACTCGCCCTCGAAGATGCTCTGGTATCTGTGCTTTTGTGATCCGAGGGGGCCGAATTGTGCGTGTGCTCTGGCGATTCGCCGCTGCTCCTCGGGTGAAGGGGGCTGGAAGAGCGTCTTGGGTTCGGTGGGCATCTTTTCGCCGGTCGCGGTGGTCAGATTAATGGTGGGTAGGGAGAGCGACGAAGAATTTGGATGTTGTGGCGGGGAGGGCGAATTCAGAAGGGCCTGCTGCTGGGCGATCAAGGCTTCTCGCAGGATAGCAGCGTCGTTGCGGGCCTTGGGGGAGCCGCCGAAGAGCGAAGTGAACTTGTTGGCTTTGGCAAAGGAGGACCGTCGCACTGGTTCGCGTTTCTCGTTGAGAGAGTCGAAGGAGGGATTAGGGGAAGCGCTCGCGAAAGGATTGATGCTTCGGGTAGGCATGGCAGCAATGGCTCTGGTGTCTTGGTGGTGGACAAAATGAGGCTGTGCGAGGAGCGTAGGCGTCGTCGTGTGCTCACGTCTCGTCTCGTCTTGTGCCAAGTGCGAGTCGGTGTCAGGAAGCAAGCAGGCGGTGAAGACGGACTAGACGAGGGGGGGTCAGCAGGCGACTCGAGAGGAGAGCGGAGGGTCAGTAGTTCAAGGAGTGGTGACGGGTGGTGAGATTTTATGAATATGGATCGCGCTCCTGCCTGCACGGTGGTGGACAAAGCCGGAGCTGCCGGATGAGTTGCGGAGCGGGATTGGCTGTGGGCAGGAAGCTCAATTGCTCGACAGCGGCAGCAGCGGAGGCTTTGCACAGGTTGGAGAGGGGTACCTACGTGATGAATGCTGCGTCAGCCCCGAGCGAGTTGCGTCTTCTGCTTCGCAAGCAACGGCTTTTTGTGTTCCTGGGGTGGGTGGCGTTGTCTGCTGCACTACCCACTGTACCTCGCCAAGCTTGTTTCCAACTAAGCCTTGTCGTGACGTCGAGATGGCTCCCTGAATTCCCTTTCTTTCTGCGAGCGAGACAGTCCAAGAGGGCGGGGACACCAAAAAGAATGGGAATTGACGAGCTGGACAAGTAGTCGGAGGAAGCAAAAGGGTGCGAGTACCAAGGTACGACGTGTGGTTGCTAAGGGGCCCTCGTTCGCTCTTTTGGGTACAAGAGCAGCGTCGGAGGGCCGGCAGAGAAAACGGGCCTGGCAAATGGTTGGGCCGAAGAAATGAGCAGAGCAGCCCCATGAATCCCGTTCCGCGCCACCCCCAACCCAAGAACAGCGTAGCCAGGGGCAGCCGATCCATCCAGTCCGTCCCATGATCCATCCATTGCAGGCCCTGCCGACGGACGGACCCAGACTCTGAGCGATGCAAGTCTTGTTCCTGCACGTCATGACTACTTGCTTCAGGACCTTTTGCATGTAGCCTTGTTATTGCGAGGGCATTGTGCACCGTAAGCGCCTTCAAAGGCACAGTGGCACACCATAATGCCTCAATTCACGATCGACGAGGATGACCGATGAGGTGAGCGACTTGGCGTAAGCGGGCCCAATCTGAGAAACTCACCCTCACGCTGCCTGATGAAACAATTCACCCGCCTTCATTCAGACGCGCTTCCGACAGCCCTGTCCAGACCTTGGCGGGCCCTCACGATGCGAGATCCCTTGCAATCTTTCACATGATCGTCGAGTACATTGCTCTCATCCCCGCGCCCATCATCTTACCATCATCTGCACCTCAGCTCAGCTAATATTAAAAATACTGTACTGACCACATTACTTTTCGCTCGTATCTCGTTCATCTCAAACGATGCATCACGAGTCACGAGCTCTCTAAGCCATGGCGGGAAACTCGTTTGGGATTGTCGTGCTTGATTGGCTGCTTGACAGGCGACTCCAATGTCCTATAGCTGCTGAACAGTATAGCTGCCTCTCACTTCCCTTTCGAGTCGCCAACTTGCGCCCTGACTGGCTGCCGTGTGACTGCGTGTTATTGCAAATGCGAAATTACCCAGACTACTGATTTTGCAGCCGATGTAACAGCACATCGCAATTTGACCCAGTATAAAGATCACCCTCACCTCCAACCACCTTCTTCCGTTCGACTACAGTTGTTCATTTCCCTGGTTGCATTCTCAGTCATCACACCCGTCAAGCCCAGCTTGGTTTGCTTGTTTGTTTCCTTGTTTGTTGAAATAATGTTTGCTATTGACTCTGCACGAAGCAGTTAATTCGAACGTTATGGAGATCTGAGAAAAGCTACCTTCAGCACGCACAGCGGCTACATCCTCCACACAACACCCGCAGCAAGATCTCCGACAAAAATCCCAATCCTCCACCTGGTAGGATGTGATAGGAAACCTTTCGCACAACAAAGGGAAAAAATGTCCAACTCGCAACAAAAGATAACAGACAAGAAAAATCGAGCAAAAAAGACGGACAGGGATGCCACCAGCAATCCCCAATACCGCGCGACCCGATGACCACAAACGGTCCAGGGCGCAGGTTCCACCAGTCCGCCTTTCTCAGTGTGTGTAGATGGTCTCATACCTCCAAATCCTTGCAACGCCATAATGTAACCAGTCCCTGTATGGTGGTCGTTCAATTTGCGTTACGAAGAGAAGATAAATGGGTGGGTGGTGGGGAGAAGAATAAACGGCCTGCCAGCCACATCGGAGCAGGCCAAAATGCAAACAAAAATGCTAAGGATGCAATATGTCCAGCGATTTGAAACCAATATGTAAGTGGGTGATGGTAAAAGCGAGCACATGTAAAGGATTAGTGCAGGGCGGTAGCGACAAAGGGCAGCAAGACTTCGTATCTGTTCCAAGACAAAGCTTTGGCGCGCCAGGCTGCTTCCGCTAGAAACAATAATGATCGGGTATTAGCGCGAGCACAGAGAACGAAAACGACCAAGGAACACCAGCAGGATTAGTCGTGGTCCTGTTACATCTGATGATGCTCAGGCGATAGACTCGACGGGTCCATCGTGAGATAACTCTGCATGTCCAGGTCGTCGACGTTCTCGTCCATTAGAGGTGACCGGAACGGAAGGTTGAGGTTTTGTTTCGCGTACATGTCCGTCATCTGCATTGCCTCGTCCGACATTGGATACACATCTTGATGATGGTCACGACCGAAAGAGCCCAGGGGTGGAGATTGGTTGGCGATGATGGGGTCTGGGTGGCTCATGGCTGGCATCGGTGAATTGCCCACAGCAGAGTGAGGAGGTGGGCCCATGGGCGTGTGAACATAGGGAGGAATGTTGTACTGGCCGAAATTTGATGCCGGCACATTCTCGGTTGGGGGACCAGAAGTGTAGAAAGCCGGTGTACCGTAGTCAGACGGTGAGTTGGCCGTAGTAGCCGACATGGGATATTGTCGGTAATCCATACCATACCCTGCAGAAGTGTCAATGCTGAGATGGGGTCCAATAGGGCCTGGAGCACTCTGAGGGATAGGCGCGAAGATTTCTGGGTTTTGGATATAGGGCGACGGCTCAGGCTGCATCATGAAGGAAGGCATTGGGTTGCGAAGCATCGAGAAGTCAATGGCAACAGGGACCGAGCGACTGCGCTGGCGCTTGTGACCCCGTGGTGGGAAAGGACCAGGCGCAAGATGCGACTCGTTATACATGCCCATGTGCGGATGTACAAGGTGGTTGGGTTGAGAGGCAGGTCGGTGGTTGATGGGTGAGACGGGCGCCGAGACGGTGAGGGTGTTTGGGTCGTACAGGTTGTGTCGGTTCTGAAACGACTCCAACGAGACAAGTTTCGCCAGTTGCCCACTCAGCACCTTGGGGTGACCGCCCAAGTGGTGTATCATAATGTTTGACGCTTGCTGGTCCTCGGTAAAATCGCCACACTGGAAGAATCCTCCGGACCCAGACGAGTCCATGAAGAAGTTTGGCGGGCGGTTGAGTTCCACAACAAGGCCTCCGGGGCGTTGCGAAGCTCCTTCAGCATTTGCCGTCATGTCGCCATTCTCCAAGCTAATGTTCTTGATGTAGGAGAAAGGGTACTCAATCTTGTAGCCTGCGGAATCGTTGTTGATGTAGTACGTGACGCAGCATTTCTCTGGTGAATAGAATATCACAAGGTCCATGGCGCTTTGACCAACTCTTCTCCAGCTTCCGACGCTCAAAGAGCGACAGGCGAAGTGGTGGATCACTGAGGCCTGTTAATTCCGACTCGTGTAATTCAAGTTGATTGGAGATTGTGACTTACCGACTTTGGAGGTGCTGGTGTCGGTATTGAGAAGCATACCGCTACCATAAGGTAGAGCTCCACCAGCACGGCCGAGGAAGCTCGTTCCAATCGGCTTCCCTGACTCCATAGCCTGGAGCGCAAGATATCGGCGCATCGACTCTGGAATGTCATTGCAATCATCACCGTTCTCGATGCTCTTCTTGGCAATGTTCTTTATTTTGGCGCGCCTATGCATCTGTTAGTCCTAGCTTGAGCACGGTGGTGGCTCCTCCTACCTGTTCTGAAACCAAATCTGCACCGAACGCTCCGTCATGTTGATGTCGGAGGCTATCCGTTCGCGTGTCGCAGCAGTAGGAGTTGGGTTCTTGTTGAACTCAATCTCCAGCGTTACCAGTTGGTCCTGAGTCGCCCTCTGTCTTTTCTGATTTCTCTGCTGTTGGGTAAGAGTGCTCTTGCGCGGCGGTCGGCGAGGGGCTGAGCCCTGGGTAGGAGTGTGGGCGGATGGTGAGGGTGTAGGAGACAGCATGGCGTCGTCTGTAGACTGCATCTTCGGTCGTGGGGTAGAGTAATCGAGTAGTAGGATTCGGACTCGAGTCGAAAGGGTGTGAGATGTGGGGAGGGAGCAGTCAAGCTAGTCGCCTCCGTCTATCAAATAATCGTAAGGTGTCGTGAGGAGTAACACTCCAAGCAATAGTGGGTAAGTGAAGGTAGTAGACGTTCGCGGCGAGTCAATGCCAGAGGAGGGTGTAACCCAACGTGCTACGAGGCTCGAGACACGGTCCAGGCGCGTACGGAGCTGTGGAGGAAAGAAGCTGCTGGCCGGGGAGCAGGTATCGAAGGTCGATCGTCCGTAAGCGATTCTGAGTCGACAAGGAGTGAAAAGACGAGGGGGAAAACTAAGGAGTGGACAGGCAGAGCCCAAAGAGGGTGCTGTGTAGAAAATGAACGTGGGCAAAGGCCGAAAGGAGTGGCGGCACTTCGCAGAAGTCGACAGAGAAGAGAACGCGATGGAGATCACACCAACAATGAGGTGACGATGCAAGATCCGAATGGAGGAGGACGGGCGGGTGTAAATGAATGGCCTTGGTGGACAGCGAAAGGGGAGATTAAGGAAGGGGCCTTCAAGCCAGCAGGGACTAGGGGGGAGATGCGCTAGCCCCGGATAGGGCAGCTGGCTGGATCACTGCGCGCCCCGCCCTCCAAGCGCACACCATACATAGCATCACGGCTCGCCGTTTGACGCCAGGCGCGAGACTCATCGGTGCCTATGCAAGAAAACGCTTATCCTCTCTCTCACGACACGGCCGCTGCTGGGGGGGGACCTGTTCCTCTGGCATCTGGATGCGCGTCACCCAAGTCCTCTCTGGCCCCCCCCTACCCCGGTGTTTCCGTCGCGAGCACAGCAGCAGCAGCAAGCCCGCGCGAGCTGTCTACAGCACAACGGCCCAGGTCAGGGGGATTTGCAGCGCAGCTGAGGGAACAGGGCACGACGCATCCGGGCCACTCACGACGAGCAAGGCGACGTGGGTGTGGGTGGCACTCCTTTCCAAGGCGGCCTTGTGGTGGTGGAATCCCTGCCCGCGAACACGAGCCATCCATCAGCCAGCCTTGACGAATGCTCTCGTCGCCCCTCCGGGAGCTATTGGCGTACATGATGCATGTTTGAAGCCACACGGGCGCGCATGAACAGACGTTGTCGTTGGAGAAGATACGTCCCGCTTGGCGCGTTGCGTCAGGTACCGCACCCAAACGACGAGCGCTCCACGGGATGGCTAGCATGAGACGCGCCCGCCGACGACTTTGTCTGAGAGGCTCCACGCTTGATTCACCCTCTCACACAAAGGCATGGACGCCGCGAAGCACAACAGCCCGCACTGACGACTGGCCGTTTGATTCACTCTGGCATGTGGGGAAAACATCCTACTCTGCGTGCTTCACCGTACAGTAGGCGCCCGGAATCCATCCACTGCTTACAAGTGGTATGCATGAGCGGGCACACCACCCGCATCGGTCTTGTGAAAGCCTGCTCACCACTCCTCGCCAGGCCCGCGCTGCGGATCGCTCGGGTGAGCCGAAAACGAGAATGATCCTGACGAGCATCGGTGCCCGTGCCGCCTGATCACGCCCAATCTGACACGCCTGTCCAAAACGCTACAAACTGTGTGTTGTTATTCACATGTTGTCAACAGTGCTTTCATTTTTCTTCTCTCCTATCTCTCCTGTCTCCATCTATGTCTTGCGGATGTGCCTAGCTTTCGACCGTCTAGTGGTCCTACATGTGTCAGGCTGTAGTACGATCCGCCTCCCTGTCAAGTGAAGTTGTTCGCAACCCTCACGCCAGGCACAGGCGCTTGAATGGTCGACGCGTTATAAGCGAGAGACAACAACCAAGAACCCGGAACACTCCACCAACGACTCGGCCCTCTTTATCGGTGCGAAAGCCCTCTCATGACATGATGCCCATCTCCCCCTACCCGTGCTACCCTGCCATATATGCAAATACCCGTTTTTGAAGGTTTGCCCGCGCGCTTCCAAGACCGCATTGAGTAGCACAAGGTTGCGAATCGCGCCACTGCATTGAAAACAAGCCAAACCGCCCCATCTGCGACAACCCATTGTCGAAGCGCGAGTATCCCAACAATCCGTTTCTAGGTCACACCGCTCGGAACCTGAATGCAGTCCTGACCGCTTACTCGAGTCCAAACCAGGATGCTCCTGTCGTGATCAGAAAATACAAGGCTGTGGCCGCCTAGACACTGCGAATGTCTTCACAGGCCAATTTGCAATACAATTTGCAATATTCGCCAGCGACGCCGCCTCCTTCTGGAAACTTCCTGTAACTGCCATCGCGATTCGGACATAGAGTACGCTCCCAGAATGATCCTTGAAGAAGGGGACGTCGCTGCTTGTTTACCCCCAATGGGCCGCCACTCAGCAGCCGGCAAATTCCGTCGTTTGGCATGCAGTGTAGTCTGCAATCCTGCCAAACAATATCTCAATGCCTGTGGGTGTTATCGTTCACGATGAGTACTGCAGCTCGATCCCCACAGATCGGAAGATCTGCTCTCTCTTCTTGAGGTCAAGACTTGCACCGAGCGTAAAGAGCAACTCTTTGATCCTGCCCTCCCACAGCACTCCAATCCGCCAACCCTGGTCAACCCTAGCCTTAAGCACACCGGAAACATCGTCATCAGGCGAAACGGTAGGGCGTTTCCAATCTGGGCGCAACTTCTTGACCGCCCATTCCGTGTCAGCGGTGTTGCGTCGCCGCCACAATTCGCACCCGAGCTGCAGCTCGCTTTCGTACGAGTAGAAATTGAAGTCGAAACGGGAGCAGAGCGCCAAGTTGGGGCCAGCTTTGACCGAGTACGTGGAAGAAAGATTTCCCATCAAGGGATTTAGAGTAAGTGTCATGGTATACGGGAAGCCCGGATGGTTGGGTAGGGTTGTGAACCTCAAGCCGGTACTGATACCACCACTCTTATTGAGAAGGCCGTAGTAAAGCTCCGCGCCTGCGCTGAAGCGACCATGCACCGGTTCCACCTCTCTTGCCGTCATTGGTTCTGTAGACGCAACTCTGGGGCCAGAACCAAAGTTGTAGAGGCCTCGAACGCCCATCAAGGCCGAGTCTGTGCTGTACATGTATTCTGTGCTATATTTTCCAAAGTCGTTCTGCAGCAGGGTGAGGATGGTGCCGCCATTGTTGAGGCTCGAGTCGCTCACGGCGGCGATTCTGAGCTGCCGGTTTGGGGTAAGACGACGCAGATACAGGGCTTCGAGCCTCGACTGAGGGAGAAATATGCGCCCATATAACAGGGTATCTACTGCTGCTTAGCTTTTCGTCGGTACAAAACTCGTGGGACACTCACTCTTGCGATCGACGCGCTTGCCAGAATGCCAGACCTCCCACCAGTACTTCTCGTCCGGTCTTCGCAGCTCCTGCAAGTGCTTGTAGCCTCTGATCACATGGTGGAGATCAATGTGAGAGCTCTTGAGCTCTCTCCTCAGAGGCAGTGACGAGTACAGGTAAGACACTGAGCCATCTACGACTCCCACGCTACCAAGAGTATACGAAGTCGCGAAGTTCGGCGCGGCAAGAGACGATATCTGCAGTCGCAGTCCTCGTGGGATCTGGAATTCGAGCAATGCTACACCAGATGATCAATGCCTGGTCCACAGCGGAACCTGAGGTGCGGCCTACCTCGTGCGCTCGCGTTCAAGGTGCCGTAGGAGTTGTCGACGTTCCAATGCGAAGCTTCGTAGAATGCATTCTGCACATTGTCCATGAAGTCCAACATGTCTCTGTCATTGACGTAGCATTCTGCTGTGACTGTGGCGACTTGTGAAGGCGTGTAGCCTGGGGAGGGTGTTGAGCTCAACCGCGGCTCCACCTGCGCCTGCCAAGACTAGCGGTTCGCCAAAATTCCCCGCTCATTTTTCGGAAGTTGCGACCTCGAACTTTTTTTCCGAGTTCAGTTCAACAGCCCAATACTCCAACACAACCGCCAACATGCCTAAATCAAAGCGCGCGAAGGTCGTACATCTCACCAAGACGGACAAGAAGGGCAAGGAGCTCTCACAGAAGCTTTTTGCCAATGTCCAGGAAGCGGCGGATAACTTTGAGCACATCTTTGTCTTTTCGGTGGAAAACATGCGGAACTCGTATCTAAAGGCAGTGCGCGCCGAGTTCTCAGACAGCCGGTATGCTCCTCCAGGTCAGATTAGGTGCACAAGAAAATATTCTAACTTGGGTGCAGATTCTTCTTCGGCAAGACCAAAGTAATGGCAAAGGCACTCGGCCAGACACCCGCCGAAGAGCACCTCACAAACCTCTCCAAACTCACAGAATACCTCGCTGGCAACGTTGGCCTCTTCTTCACGAACCGCGAACCCAGTGAGATCATCGAGTACTTCGCCGCATACTCGCAAACCGACTTTGCGCGCGCCGGCATCGTCGCCACACAAACCTTCACAATTCCCGCCGGCACAGTACACTCAAGAGGTGGAGAGGTGCCAGAAGACCAAGACGTGCCTCTACCGCACAGCGTGGAGACGACGATCAGGAAATGGGGCATGCCAACGAGGCTCGACAAGGGCAAGATTATCCTCGACACCCCGTATACCGTGTGCGAAGAGGGAAAAGTCGTAAACAGTCACCAGACGGCGTTGCTGAAGATGTTTGGTGTAGCCATGGCGGATTTCAAGATCGACCTGAAGGCCTACTACTCCAAGGCAAGCGAGTCGGTCACGGAGATTGGGGCCATGGAGGAGTAAAAGCGAAATCAGAATGATTGTACCTGCATCATGACGGCGTTTGGCTGGCGTTCAGATTGGTTTAGGGAAAAGTATGGGTGCTCCGTGACGACTACCAAACTGTTAGATCACGTAACGAGCACATCACAATATACCCTTTCATGTTGCTTTTGCTGTTCTCGCTTCATTTAGTCATTCTGGGTCGTATCCGACTGCTGATCCGCTGAAGTTTGTGATTTCATGTTTAGCCTAGCGGTATTTCCCACAGATCAAGGTGGAAAGTAACAAATGCCGAAGCTGCCAGCTCGGGAATGGCCCGTAAGGGCTTGACTGCAACTGCAGGGTATTTATCTATATAAGCAGAGCGATGCGGATGGCGCGCGAGCGTCGATTCTAAGGTCCCCCAAACGCAGTATGGGTAGATATTCCAGCTCTCCAGACCATTATATTTTCCTTCAAGATCTTCACCTTTCCAGTTCCGTACCCTAGCCCCCAGTTGTCACTGTGTTCAGAGGTGCGTTGCCTGTCCTCATGCTCCTAAACCAAGGCCAATCCAGCAAATAGGCCTCCAGCAATAGCTCCTACCACACCCGGATAGTTCACCACAGCTGCACCCGTGGCCGATGCGCTTGCCGTAGACGATGATGATCGGGTAGCAGACTGGCTTGAGCTGGATGTCCTAGATGCGCTTGTCGAGGAAGATGTGAACGCAGATGAGGAGTGAGACGAAGAGTTATAAGTCGAAGTCGAATTCCTGGTTTGTGTTGAAAGCGAGCCTGAGGCACCTGAGGATATACGAGAGCGAATAGAGGTAGGTGTTTGCGTGAAGGTGGGAACAGCGTCGGTGAGCGTAGGAAAGACGAGGGAGCTGGGCCCGAAGAAGGGTGCCTTGGAGGGGTCGAACAACGGGCCGTTGACTTATCATATGTTATTAGACCGAGTCCTCTTCTTTAGATTTGACTGATTGAGAGATAAACTTACAGTTTGAGCTTTGTGCATACACAGCCGCCACCAGCCAAAACACAGCGAATATCGTGCGCACCATCTTGAGTCTTTCGCCTCGCGCTGCTGTGATGAATGGATATACGACTTCGCAAGCACGATCAACGGCTCACAGCAGCGTTATAACAGATTTCGACGAAACCGAGGTAAAATATGGACTATTGAACGGGACACGCACGCGCAGCATGGCAACGGCGCTTCGCTGGATATATTTTATTCTTCTAACCCAGCCCCTGTGAGGCTCGCAACGTCTTGAAACAAGCATTCAATAGCGCGCCATAGGCTGCTATAGCGGCCAGTCGTAACGCACGGTGACTCTTTGTCCGTCAAGGTGGATCATTTTCCCTCATCCGATGGGCTCGGGTCTTTTTATAGGTCGGGGGTCTCGTGCCTACAAGCAGCGGCTGCAATGAAGCGAATCGGTGGCGCTGGACGCGTTGATGGGGCATTTGTGGAAAAGATCCAGGGCGGAGTCGTACTCGTGGGGTTGGAAATGAATGGCTGCTGGCGACCTGTCGGTGGTCAATGGGGCCTGGCTAGTAGTAAGCGTGGGCGCTATGGTTGGGCAGTGATTGGGTTCCCCTGACGGCTTGGCAAGTCCGAGGTGGATGCGCGTCATGTGGGCGACCTCAAACACCAAGCCTACTACTATACGAAAGAAGCTCGTTCTAATGTGGCACCAAGTCAGGTGCACTGCTTCTTCGTATCTATTCGTATTCATTGTCATCAGGATCCACCGTGACGACGGAACCTTTGCTCTCCGTCAACTAGCTATAAACCGAACAGAAAGAGCTATAGAACCAATTGTGATATGTGCAATTCTGTTTAGTTTCGATTCAGTGATACCACTTCGGAAACAAAGACGTCATACCCCATATCTGTCTGGGTGGGAAGAACATGGGTGATAGCCATACGACGTCTATCCCATTTCAGTTGATTGTTCCCCAGAAGACTATTACTAATCGGAACGACTGGTCTAAACCTCATGAGCCCTGAAATGCGCTTTGACAACTGTTCCAGACACTTGTACAATGATAAGTTGCATTCCTTCGACAGTATAAACGGCGCTTTCCCACGCCTACTTTCCTAACACGCGACTGGGCAGCAATCCATTACGGAGAGTAGTCAGGAACCGGTCCCCGTGTCGTGAGCGCGGTCGATTTTGAAGACGGTTCAGCTGTTTCGGAAGGACTGTCGAAAAGTAGAGAGCGCCAATCGCCAATTTTGAGCGAACTCAGCTCTCTATCGAACTCCGGGCAGTCGTCCATTACTACGTCGAGCTGGAGATCGCAGGGTGGACCGTGCTCACGTATCTTCTCTATTTGGTTCATGTTTCTCCTTCTACTCAAAAAGTCCAAGCCTTTGAACGTTCTTGCTGGGAATCCGAATTTTACCATCCCGTCAGCCTTTTTGCTGTCCACGTACATTACAGCGACACTGATGGCAGAAGTAGTTGTCAGGAATCTGGGAACGTATAAGTACGTGCGAAGCGGATCGAGATTACTCTACTTACATGCGGTCTTCGAGATACCATTTATTAGACTCAGAGCGTTTCTCCGGATATGTATAAATGACTTGCGTTGGGTTGGTCACGGAAATTCTCAGGAAGATTTTACGAACGTCTGTTCTGTTAGCTTGGATCGAATTTATGAGCGTTGTACATACCGATGGTTTTGGATACCCAATTCTTGCTCCATCCGGAAATCTCCACAGTAGAGACCTTGCCAGCCCATGGTGTAGATATAAGCTCAGTTTGTCGCCTTTGGACATGTACAATCTCTCGAGAAGCAAAGTCCTCGACAACTAGTAGAGCGCGCCGCTCGACGTCGGCCAATAGTTTTCGAGCGCGATATGTAGTAACCGCATCTTCAACAGAATCCCAACCGACGGATTCGTTGCAGACTGCATCCGATCGCCATTTTAGATGTTCATCCTTCCACCAGGTCCGGAATTTGCCGAAGTTGTGTACGGAAGCATCGAAACTCCGATTTCTCTCCAAAGTTTCTGTGAAACCCAGCAGAGAACCGAGAATGAATGTGCACTTTAGTTTCGCGTCTTCCAGTCTCGAGTAAATCTCATCAATACCTTTAGTATCGTTGTTGGCAGGAAGATAGGAACTGAGCTGAATACAGGTCAGAAACACATCCAGATCAGAGAGAGTGAGGCGGTTGTTTTGGTTTTCGAGGAGAATAAAGGCCCTTGCGATCTGTTGAACCTTTCGCAGCGGTTCCAGATACTCGCTTTGCAGAGATTTTGGCACAATACCGATCCATGTTTCTTCGAAGTCGCTGATCTTATCAACGCATATGTTTGCCTCCCAGGCCATGACGCTAAATGCGGAGTCGTCCAGTACCTTCGGCGGCGTTTCCACTGGGTTACGGAGGATATAATCGAAATACCGCTGACCGGCACCGGGTTCCTTTGAGAATCCCCAATGAAGGAAGAATTTGGAATCCATCGCTCGTCTTCTGGTCGCATTTGCCTTCGCCTTTTGTACGATGCCGGCGAAGTCCGCTTCAACTCTCATCTCCCTCATGTGCGCTGTTCTTCGCATCAACTCTTGGACGAGACCCAAAAACTCATCATTGTCAAATTGGCCATCGCGATTGGCATCGAAAGAGAAAACAATAGCCTCCAAGGTGTCCGCACTAACTTTCATAGGACTGCCTTTTAGGGCAGTTGACAGATGGTGCAACACAGTTCTTCGTGAGAGAAAGCCTGCATCGCTGTAGTCCGCTTGGTGGAAAGCGCGCATGATTTTGTGCTTTATGGCTTCAGATGACGGATCCGGAATGGGGTCGTCGTGGAAGAGTGGATGAAGTTTCTCCTGTACATAAACTGGCGCAGGTCTGTCGTACGGATGCCAATCCTCTGGTTTGCCAGCACTTGAGGCTGTGCTGTCAGAGCGGGAGCGTGGCTCCCCGGTGGCTCCCGATACGAATCCCCTTTCTACCACGGTAATGCTGTCCTCTGGCCTTGTAGTAACATCGTCTGGATCTGCGTAGAGATCATCGTTGTCACCGGCAAGGGCCGCACTATCGTTAGCATCGGCCAGTATTAGTGGTGGAGATAAACGCGATACCGATGGGGAGGTAGCACTTTGTGTAGGATTATCGACTTGATTGTCTCCTCCAGGAAGATCCCCCCGAGTAAGGTCCTGGGTGGCTAGATTCGAGGTTGTCGATTCACGAGTAGTTGACTTTTCAAGGTCTGGAAGGGGAGTTGACGATCCTTCATCCAGGCCATCATGCTCAATGACCTCCGACAACCATTCATCCAAAAATGGTTTATTCAGAACGATAGAGTCTGGGTGTATATCTTTCTCTTCCAGATCCTGGCTTATTTGCTCAAACATGTCTTCTTTCTCCGCCGGCTTGTTGTCAATTCTCGGATGTGATATCACACTCCGGTCCCGTTTGCCTGTTCGGTACTCCTGTGCGATTTGAACCAAAGCATCTTGGACGTTCAAAACCGACAAACTGCGTATACATTAGGTTGATGCTTTTACATGAAACCAGGATGCTTACCTTGTGAGACTTGTTAAGCGCAGCTGTAGGGACCTAGCATCGAATTCCAGTTTCGCGACGAGTGCGCCTGAGTCCGATGTGATGAACTTTAACCGGCTTATCACTCGTCGTGTGCCCTTATCCGTTCCGACATTACTGTACTTCTCCAGAAAATCGTCAACCTCATCCAATGTTGTATTGCACCCGGAACACATCGCCTGCAGCGAAGCCAATCTCAGTTGGCTTTGGGGGATCTGACCGTCATTGTTCGCTCGCACGAGATATAATTTCGTCTCTTCGAGCACGTCTCGAAGTTGTAGCACACGCTTCGTGAGCTCGGCGTATTTAGCAGGAGCATCCTTGCATCGTTTGTAGACCTAGAAAGACTTTAGTTGGTAATGTAAAGAAATTCGGTGGGAGAGGACACACGAGATACGCCTTATCTGCAATAGCAATGAAGTCACCCACTGCAAACCCAAAGCTCATTTTCGGCGATTCCTAGGGTTGTTGCCGGAGCTGAAAACGCGTACACAGCGATATATATCCAAGAGAAGATTTCTAAAGCGTCTACGTTCTAGTTGAGCTATCGCTGCTTCCTTTGAAGGTGCTTTGAGTGTGGAGATGTTTGTGATTCTCGATGTATATCTTGACGCGCCCTGGACTTAATTCGGTGTATGGAAGCTTCGCTAAATTGTTGGATAGTTGCTCAACAGGACAATAAGAATCAGAAGCATAGATAATCATGAGAGAGAGGGCGGTGGGCGACAACTGAAATCGGCGGCCTCTGAGGCCTGAAAACCGGATAAGGCTGAGGCTGAGGCTGAAGGACCTCGATGACGCGACTGCTGCCTGGTCACAAGTTGTTGAAAAGCGCCACAGACGTACTGTGACGATCTAGGCCTTCACCCTGGTATTCGGAATAAGCAATTTGAGTCTAGGTACGCTAGGTTATCGTGGTTAGGTCCTAGTCGATAGCTCTAGAGTCACAAAGAAGCCTCGACGAGCATCAACATACCCTAATTCTTAGGATGAAGCATAGGATGTATCTGCTGATTTTCGTGCTACCGTGCGATGTTGAATATATGTGCGTTGGTGTTTATGTGCTACAGAGCCGGGAGTCGTGTGCAGACCGGTAGTGGGTTGGGCATAAAAGGCCCTTCAAGCTGTCGCCGCGGGGTCGATCAGCCGCAATTGCGGGGTGTATCTCTACCTAAAGGTCACCTGGCACCATAGCAGCGCCCGCAGGCCTATGTACTTCTATTATGAATACCAGTTAAACAAACTGTCCGTTCGCGTTGTATTATTGCGACCACAACGAGAGTTCCGACTTTAGTGGTGTGACAAGAGTTATTTCTCAGCCTTCCGAGACGACCATCTCTGTACCACCTGACACCACTTACGAACTGGACATTTGATGAGGACTGTATTGTTGAAAGATGCGGAGGAGATTCCCAGATCGCAGTGTCTTTAACAAGATGTAGGCCCTCTTTGCCGCATTGTTCGGCATATGGCCTAGCATGCCTTTGATGAGAACCAGATGCCGACTATCTCAAGAAAAGCACGAAGACAACTTGTTTCGTGATTAAGCGCTATCGCTAGGTATTTTTTCACTTCACATGACTTAATACAGTAACACGACACCCGCGCGTCCTCTAGACCATGCTCATGGCATGGAATAACTGATTCGGCGTGCCCGCCCCAGACACCTGAAGATATCCCATCAGCACCGCCTCAAATTGGCTCATGCCTTCGATCCTCATGCCTAACAATCGTAGCGGCAGCCTCAAGCATGGTCCTCCATACCGGTTCCACTCATTCACCTCTGCAGGAACACCTGCGTTGAGATCATCCCAGTGATACATCTCCCTCGCAGTCTTGACGCAATCGCCCCGCTTCTTCTGATCCCACCACACCGGCAAAATCTCTGGCATCTTCTCCGCATTCTCGATGTGCTTCATCAGACCTTCAAAGAGGTAGCCGGTACAGTGCTTGACGCTGGCATTGTAATAAGACATACGTGGATCTTCAATGAGTCCGAGGCTGTATCGCTTTGTCTCATCCCATACACGGAAGCTCTCGATTAGGAGCTTATAGGTGGTCGCCTCGTCTTGGTTTAAGAGAATGTCTTTTCCGGATCCACTGCCATCGCTCCGAGCGATGTGGTTTTCGACTACCATGGCTTTGAGATTGATTGACAAATGCGTGTTGTGAGGGTAGACACGTGCTGGCATCTGTTGCTCTGGCCAGTCTTTGTTTGAGGTATTGGCATTGGGACCGCGCCTTCCTTTGCAGTAGTACTTATGGACGATCGTCCAGTGTCGCGTCTGGCAGGCCTTGGAGCAGTACCAGAGCTTGTCGCAGCCCGAGCAGCGCTGCAGAGGGGTGTCGCGCGTGTTGCACCCTGCACAGCGGAGAGGGCCTGCTACTGTTAGTACGCGACGATCATCAATAACCTCTACGCGGCAACATGTGCTTACCGATTACTTCTGTCATTGTATCGCGAAGATCCTAGGCTTTACCGGAGCCGCTTAGAACGGTGTCGAGCTGCAAATACAATCGAACAGTAAGTAAGGCGTCTGCGGAGGTTGAGGCGGCCTTGGGGGTTGCAAGCGGCAGCTGTGGAGTGGAGGAAACGTAAGTGAGAGTGAGAGATAAATAGGAAAGAGCAGCCATGCGGTGGCGTAACGTGAAAGACAAGGCGAGTGAGACCCTGGGAAACTATGGCAGCCAGTGAAACAACAAACAAACGGAATCTGGAAGAATAATGGGGGGATCCGTGTATCCGCGGAAATGGGTGAAAGCTACTTCAACAGGAGGGAGCGCAGAACGAGCGAAGAGTAAGATTTTCTGTTTCTAGAGCAACTCGCAAGTCTATAATAGCGACCAGTTGGTTGAGCTGATCTACATATAGTCACATGATAGAATCCGAACAAGGATGATGTTCAAGAGCAAGAGAAGCAGCCGGAGATCTTCATATATATGACATCAACAATGATACAATGTGTCACCAGTATGCGACCCTACAGCTAGTTCTCTAACAGGACGAAGGCGCCAATGTATCCGGCCTCGGCGAAATGCTTCGTGAGCGCACTCAAAAGATAAGATAGCTGGATATTGTCAAGCGCACTCCGAATGTCGCGAAGCCGTAGAACAAGCTCTACCACGAGGAATGAGTAACGTTTCTTTTGTTGCGCTTCGCAACGTCTGGGGCAAGGATACACGATCATCGCTATTTCCCGCTACCCGCACCCTACTAATATGTGTATTTCTTGTGTTAGGAGGGGTTAAGCACTACCTCACTGCGATGGTAATGTCCATTCAACTATCTCTACACCCTCTCCACAGCAGTATAGACAGCCGCCATCCACTTGTACGTCCACGGCCTCGCCTCTGCACCTACAAAGTATCCACCGTTGTCCTAATACAAGGCAGGAAGAGGGGTTGATACTGCGTCTGAGAACGAAAGACCATAGAAGTACTTATAGGAAACCTGCTGCTCTTGCTGTACAGCCCATACTTGGACAGTACCGTCGTAGGAAGCAGATGCGATTTTTAGATGTCCAGACGCTATAATAACCTCTACTGAGCGAACTACAACAGTATAGCTGTTCAGGCACGCAGGTTCGACCCTTCCTTGTAAGTTCTATAGTGTAACTGTGCTGTCATGTATAAATGTATTCGCATCTATGGCAAAGGCTTGGACAATGCTATTATAAGATAAGTAGGTGTAGAGCTGCTTGCGGCTCGTCTACGCTAGGCAAGTAGGCGGTAGGCAGGCAGGTGGTATTTGTAGCCATGGTACAAAAGGCGACGGAGGACGCTATGAACAGGCTACAAGTAGGGGTTGCGTCTGTCAAAGCACGAGACTTTGGGTCCTTACGGACCTCAGTCAAGCGAACTGCTGCACAGTTTACGGGCTCATGTGGAAGATCGAGTAGCTCCTTATAAAAGCTGTGTTAAATGTTTCACGCTAATACTCAGCCACTCAAATTCGCAGTAGAGAATCCGAAAGAAGTTGTAAGAGACCAACTAGGTACCGTAGTAGAGGGCTCAACAGTCGCACTAGCGCTTTTGCGACTTCGGCAATCTTATACCTTACCTGTAGTCTCTCCCCGTTGACTCTCTGCTGTAGGAAAAAAGACCTAAGACAGGTGCACCTGTTCGCCGCACCTCGATGGGTTCGATGTATTATAGTAGCGAAAGGCGCAGAGTACCTGCAGTCGTGAGCGCAGACCAGTGATATCAGAAAGATTAGCGTGTTGTGGTAACATCGTATGACTTTAGGCTTCACGTACATGAAAACAATATCACGGCGCAGCGTGGCTGTAGACGGTGGGAAACTTTGCATATCAATGCGTCATATGAAAAACTTGATAGGATGCCCGGCTCCTCTGCCTGCGCCGGTCAGGTCATCCAAATTGGGCAGGTGCCGTTCCATATAACCGTCTTACTCAGCAAAGCATCTTTCGCTTCCGCTTCCGCTTCGACCACGTCTGCCGTCAGCCTAATCTCTACTGTCTCACGATATCCTTAGGCTTTAACTCAGATCTTTAGATATTTATCGCTCAAATCTGATCATGACTCAAGCCATCACCAAGATCGAAACTAGTTACGTATCCAGAGCCGATCTAACAGCGTTCCTCCGAACACTGTTCCCCAGCGCCGGGGCTTTCACAGTCTCTGTAAGAGCATGTTAGTAAGGAAAGAAACGAGATGGTTCTAATCCAGAGCAGCTTGTTGGCGACTTCTGGGAGATCTCTGCTCCTAGGGCTTTGACGACGGTACGGATCCGTGTGCTCTGTTCTCAAAGCAAGACTCTAATTATTCTAACCACCAGGCTGAGGTCGACTCTGTCAAAGACATCGAGTAGTTTACATACTGTACCCTCGCTCCTTAGTCCTGCTGTACCGACCAAAGGGAATCAGATTAGTGAAGTAGTCTCGAAATTTCGACCGCGACCGATGCCCAACCACTGCGCCTCACTTTGACTTCCGGGACGAGCTGTATCCCCCCATTAGCGTGATATTTGGAAGCGGGAGAGTCGTGGGTGCATACTACAGTGGAGGCTGCATACTTGCATCCGAGTCGGCGGTTCTGCGGGTCTTAGCAGGCACCTCAACATGGCAGCCATTGAGGAGAGGCCAACGCTGACCAATCTCCATCAGCAGATTGGGGAAAATATACTGATTGCAGTTGGAGGTGAGAAATTCATTCAGAAAAAGAATATTGACGAGATCTTTACCCGAGAAAACATCACCCGAGCTGTTGATGAACTGCACTGCGTATCATCTCAGGACTTTGAGCTTGTTGAACTAGCCGAGGAAGTCTTCGAAAACTATCGAACAGTGTTTGCAATCCTGATTTGGATACACCGCGAGGACGATATCACCGTTTTTCGCCGACGCAAAGCCGTTGATGATCGACTTCCTCTAAGCAAAGCTACGGTTGAGCAGATGATATCAAGTCATGCACAAACATTCGTCGAATCACAATGCACCTTTCTACCTTACTACTTCGAAAGCGGCAGCCGACATGGGCAGGAGAAGGTTTATTGTCATGAGCACATCGCTTCAGAAAGGATCTTACCATTCACCAAAGAGACTCAAACTCGTGGACCTCGAGGTAACTTTGGTGAGATATCTATGGTGACGATCCCTATATCCTCTCAGGCCTTTCTAATATCTGAAGTATGCGATCTCCACCCGGTTATATACCACTTTGAAGAGCTGAAAGGGCTAATTTAGACAGACAGAATCTGTTGTGGTAGTGAAAAAGAAGATAAAACGTCGAAAAAAGCACTCCGACCGTACTTACGAGGAAGAGTTCACCCGAGAACTACGTATCTTGAGCTTCCTTCGCCCACTTCAACACCGTAACGTCATTCGCCTGCTAGCATCATACACGTACAATAATGAGCACAACTTCCTCATGCCCTGCCTTGACATGAGCCTTAAAGAGTTTCTTCATTTGGACTATCGTTTCGGAGACTTTAGGTGGGACTCAACATTCTATCTAGCCTTGTACGGTCTAGGATCCGCACTGGAAAGTCTCCATGAGTTTCGTCTCACAAATGCAAAACATGGGCTCGACAAGATTGCCATAGGCTATCACCATGACTTCCGGACTGATAACATCCTAGTCACTAAAGAAACATTTGTCTTGACTGACTTTGGTCTTGGGATGCTGAAACTGCCGGACGAAGATCCCAGTACGCAATGGTTCCCCACAACAAGCGATTACATGGCACCAGAATGCGAGGACCAAGAATACAAGCCCCAGTCAGTCTCCCAAAAGATTGATTCCTGGGCCTATGGGTGTCTGGTTGCAGATCTGATAACATACATGCAACAAGGACCTTCAGGGGTGGACGCTTTCTTGCAGTTAAGGAGGGAGAGTTTTCCAAATCAAAAAAACCAGGAGTCCACTTGTTTTTATCGGTCACAGGAACAACTCAAGCCTTGCATCTTCCAATGGCTCGATCAATTCGCTTCCGCGGACAACTTGGGCCTTATCGAAACCGCGCGGTCCGTTCTCATTGTAAACCCAGAAGACCGTCCATCGATGTCGGAAGCTCGTTGTACGCTTGCAGTTCCAACACTTCGAGTCCTCGTGCAACATGTTTTGGAGAAATTTAAACAGCTACTAGACACCAGAAAGACTCTCCAGAGGCTCAGCATGAACCTATGGTGGGCACATGCGCAAATAGACTTATTCAATCACTCGGTCTCTGATCATTTCGATGATGATACTCATTTCGCGCGGCATGCAGGCTCGTTTGAGAAGTGCTCGGATACTCTCGTTAAGCTCCTCCGTGAACTGGATTCCATTCTCCAAACAATCTCCGATACTGGAAAGCTTGATATGTCGTTTGATACGCCTCTTCAAAGCTTGGCCCAATGTTTAGCAAATCAACTTCCAACAAAGCTTAAAGAAAGGGCGGAGGCTAAGTGGTTTGTATCACTTTCCGAAGGCCACCAGAACTCCTTGATCAAAAACACATACGTTCAGTCCCACGAACAAAGAGATCAGACAAGAGAATCTGTTCGTCAACATATGAGGGACCTTCTCACCAAGCCACCTGACCCATCTGAACCAGAAACAGTAGAGCTTTATCACGATCACAAGGCTCTTAAGTATGTGGAATTAATGCATGGTCACTATTACGGTCTTTTCAACGATAACTGGGTTCTCGTCGAGTCAATGTATTGGAAGCCCGAAGACCCAGCAATTACAGTAGAGGAAAGACATCGTGTTATGCAGCGCAGAGCCCAGGGGTTTAGCCAGGAACCTAAACCTGCACCTCTCTGTTTGCTCAAGTGCCTTGGCTTTGTTGACGAACGCAGACGAGAAGATGGAGAAGAAGGGTATTCATTCTTATACGAGCTACCTCCCGAGGTAAACAATGCCAAATTTCATGGTATGGTCAGTCTTGCCGCGATCCTGAATCGCACAGCTGCAGATAAGCCAACCCCACGAGACAAGTTCCAGTTAGCATACGCCTTGGCAACTTTCGTTCAAGAGTTTCATTTACTTGGATGTTTGCATGAGACCTTTTGTGCGAGAAATATTGTCTTCCTGAGAGATCCCTTGACTGAAGTTGGGGGTAATGGTGCGTGGGGCCAATATTACGTGATTGGCCTACAGAAGAGTCGACCGGAGGGGCAGAATTGGAGCACCGAAGGCCCAGCCGAGATCTCACTACAGGAAGAGCAAGAAAGACATCCAGACTACCAAGCGAACGGACGATTCCTTGCGGAGTATGAGTACTATAGTCTCGGCATTATCCTTCTTCAAATTGGATCTTGGAGTCCTGTGCTGAGTTTCAAGGTGACGGAGCTTAAGCAACTGAGAGAGAATAAGAAACACGCCTACCTTGAAAGACTGAGTCGTCGCATTGGTCAAAAGTTTACGGATGTCATACGAGTATGCTTGGATCGGTCGTTGGACAGGGACTCTAATGCGTTAGGATTGTCTTTGGAGGAGCATAATCAGGAAGTTTTACACAAGTTTCAGGATAAAGTTGTGACCCCTTTAGCGGAACTGGCAAGTCTTGATTTTTAAAACCGCATCGATTCTCGGAGTTGGAACGTTTCTTCATATCTTCATATCTCAATTGACTATATTTATGACGAAGCAAGCCTCTTTAGCAGCGGTGGCTGTATCATATCTAGAAGTATCCATCCAAGCGTGGCTACTGACATGCAGATTCACAGACTAGAACCCAGACGGCATGAGAAGGAGAGTTTTTAAAGCTCGCCAGAGCTCTCGGTCAAACCTTAGAGGCGGTGTCGCAATATGAACCACGGAACAGAACACTGGAAGTAATTCCACCGGGACTCAACCACTAGAGACATGAGAGAATAGTCGTCACACTATTTCAATTTTTCGCATCCCTCCTTTTCATTGAACCTCGCGTTACATCTAGTCTACCACATTCATACTCTCCATACTCATCTCAGCTTGCCATTCCATTAACTTGAGAGAAGTTATAATGGTCTTCGCATGATCTGCACCCAATAATTTCTCGCGTAATCGTCGACATTCCTCTAGCAGCTCTATCGCATCCGTAGCCCTCCCTTGAGTATAATATGTCACTGCCAAATTCTCCATGGTCAATAGGGTAGAAAGGTTTTCTACCCCAAATGCTTTGGTCTTGCTTGTGAGGACTTTGTTCTGAAGTTCCTCTGCCTCTTTCAGCTTTTCCGGCTTTCCTTGCATCATCAGAACAACCCCTAGGTTTTCCATGCCTAGAAAGGTCTGACCATGCTCCTGCCCCACAATCTCCTGCTTCAGGGCTAGGACCTCCCTAAAGAGTGATTCTGCCTCATCTAGTCTTTGTTGACTTGTATATATCGAAGCAAGGTTGCTCATTGTCATCAGCGTATCCACATGTGGCAGACCAAGAGTCTTCTTGCGGACCTCCAGTAGTTCTTGGAGCAATGACTCGGCAAGGTCTATGTTGCCTTGTTCGGAGTAAACTGAGGAGAGATTGTTCATCGTGACGAGAGTGTCTGGGTGCTCCACACCAAGCACTCGTTTTTGGATCTCTAAAGCTTCTTTCCCGAGAGCCTCAGCCACTTCCACGTCTCCGAGATCTAAGCATCTCGAAGATAGATTGCTCATGGTGATAAGCGTGTCCACGTGATCTGGGCCAAGAGTCTTCTTCTGGGTCTGGAAAATCATCCTCTCGAGCGCTTCGGCCTCTACTAGTCTTTCTTGATCCGCAAGAATGGAAGCGATGATGCCTATCGTGACCAGAGTTTCTGGGTGATCTGAGCCCAGCAATTCCATCCGATTTCTATACACCTCCCTCGCCAGCGACTCCGCTTCTTTCAACTTTCCCTGACCTCGGTACGTCATCGAAAGATTATTCATTGCATTCAGCGTGCGTCGATTCTTTCGTCCAAAATTTTGCTCCATCATACCTATAGCTTGTCGCTGAAGTCTCTCTGCTACATCCCAGTGCTCTTGATCTGCGTATATCAATGCCAGTTGATCCATGCTGATTATAGTTGTTTGATGATCTGCACCGTAATACTGGGTATTGATGCGCAACACCTGACTTTGCAAGTCTGCAGCTTCATCCCACAGACCCAGGTTCTTGTAAGCCAGCACTAGGAATATGGTGAATCCTAACTGGAGGACTTGCACCTCTGGAATGAGTTTGTTTTGGATGTCGAGAATTACTTCAGAGCTTAGGTCCTGTAGTTGTTTCCATTTGCCTTCTGCCGATAGGATAGAGCAAAGACTGTGAGTGAGGAGAACTGTAGCTCGACTATTCCCACCGCTATTTCTCTGAAGGTCATGAAGCTCTTGAACTGTCGCGGTCTTCGCGTCCTCTAATTTTCCTAGGTCCCGAAACATGATGGGGAGATCAATGACCTGAATATGGTTTCGGGTTGTGAGATGCGTATAAATGTCTCCTGGTCGGTCATCTACACGTTCCTCCCAGGCATGGATGTCCTTCAGGGCCAATTGCAGCTCTTTTGGGCTCTTTTCGCTTTCGTGGAGAAACCTTTGGGATTCTGCCTCATTGTAATCCCCTCCGAACCCTAATATGTAACACAAAGCTAGCTGGAATGCGACGTCCTTGGATAATGTCCGGGTGTACTTGCGCTCGAGCTCTTTACGAATACCGGACCTTACACGGTAATCAGCTCGGTAGAGACCCACGACGGACTTTTCAATCTAAAGAATGGATTAGTATATCTCATTCACGCTGAGGTCACCGACGCACCTGAAACTGAAAATTGGAAGTATCGATACTATCATGTCCATTATTCTTCATACCGAAAGGCCTTCTTTCTCGTTAGCATATTCAATCAAATCACTGTCAGAGGCTAACCAGAATGTTCCATCCACCATTGATATCTCATCTTCGGTCGGCTCGCAAAGTTCCAGCTTTGCTGGATCTAGTTCCGAGAGTCTATCATCTGGGTTGCGTTGTAACGACGACTGGAAAAATTGCTCCATCATCGCCCTTTCTCTATGTGCTGAATCCTGGTGGACTAGCAGGAGTGTGGCAAACGCAATCAGCTTTCCATTGCTTTTCAGTTTCTCGAGGAATATTTTGCTGTGATTCTTTCCAGGCGCCTCCGGCAAACACTCTTTCACGAATAGTGCCACGTCTTCCGGTAACTGGTCGATACCAGATAAGTACCTTTCATACAAAGTCCAAAGGCAGAGCATTCCCAGTGAGAAGATATCCGTTTTTCGTGCATCTTTGGGGATAACTCTCTGACCCAGTGTAAGCTCGGGAGCGTCCCATGGTTTGGATCGTCCCTCCAGTTTGACAGTTTGTTCTTCAGATTGGAATCTGGCTGAGTATCCAAAATCTGTCATCTTGGCAACCCATAATGAGCTATCGGGCTGCGCTTGCGGATTGCCGAGCTGAGACTTGCATATGAGAACATTGGCAGGTTTTATATCCCCATGAACAACGCCTGCTCCGTATTTAGAGACGTGCAAATTTGTCTGAAGTGCTACATACCGCTTTGATGTAATCGGCTCACACTGTACGCAATCTGTTGACAAATCCTTACGCGGGTGAGTGTGTGAAGTTTCCTTCCTTCCTCCCCTACTAGAAAGTCTTCTAGATCTCCATGATCAGCCTTCTCAAAGACCAGAGCTGGCCAGAGTTCATCATCCCTCAAGATGTCCCATGTGATTCCTTGGAGCTTAACGACCGCTGGCTCCTCCCGGACGGTGGATTCCCCAAGAATGACTATCTCATTAATGAAGGCATCAAACATAGAGCTTTTCGTAAGCCTCCCCAACGATATCTTTTGTTTGTTCTCGTCAGAGACGCGCTTGAATACGAGGCTGTTTTGAAGATCAATCGCAGCATCGTCGATTTGGCTTGTGCCGCCTTTCGTGTTCGCTATCTCTTGTGCTGACTGCCAGGTTATCGGAAGTATGGCTATTCCCATAGCCTGAGCGACTGCAAGGAAATCAATCAGATCATGCGCAGAGCCAGCCTTGTCAGAGAGGGTAAAAAACAATGAAGACGAGGAGGCCATTGAATAAGGTTGGCAGAAATACTACAAGAAAGGGCTAATACAAAATTATGCGATATGGTGAGATGCAGAAAAATTTACTTAGTGTGACGGCAAAGTGATCAGTTGGAAAGGTGATGTGAGGCAGATTATGATGATGCCGGTGGGTTCAAAGGCAGGCCAAGGCCACTATGCCGATTCCGACAATGCACAGCTTTTTTGGCCTGACCGGTCAACCAAGTGCATCTCGAGATCTGATTGGCTCGCAAATAATTGACGGGCTTTAGACTGCATGAGCTGGATCTAGCGCTATTTATGTTGCAATCGGTAGAAGATTGCTTGAGAAAGAAAGTTCATGTTAGTGTGTAATAAACGCCGTAGATCCTGTAATCTTATATACACTTCAGCAAATGTATAGGTCCTACTATCCATTGATCTTTTGAGAGCTAATCTTGGATTTGGTAGCACTTCGATTCCAGACAAATAACAACAACACCGTGAAAACTGCCAAGACAAACGTAGCGACGAATGCAATCCAGACCTGACTATGAATCGTCATGCTAACACCAACAGTTCTTGCTTTTACATTAGAAGTAGTCTCAAATTTGACAAATTCTGTACTGAAAAACGCCTGCCGATGTTCCACATGTTAGCAGCTTCAATCTAGATTGGCTTATACCCAGGTGTAGTGTACCTCTCAAACTTACCATGACCAAATTTGCAGGTAGATAGAACATTGCCACGACTGTAGCAATCTTCATTGTTCTTGAATCTTTCCCCATACTCTCAGAGATAGAAGAGAGAATCCTGTTTTCTGAGGCTGCAGCCTCACCGAGTTGTGTCTGCAGATGACTGCTCTGGATGAGATACTCTTGATTTCGAATGTTCAATACATTTTGGTTCTATAAATAGTTAAAGTTAGACATTCATATAGAATAACTCGTGATACTTACAACAAGAATCAAGTCTTTTGAAATAGCAAGGATCCTTTTAGCAGCCAGCCTATGGCTTTCTAGGTCGGCAGAGATTTGGTCGAATTCGGCTCCTATGTTCATGCAAATTGAGCAACTAATATTCGTCATGTCCCCTAGCGTTATGGCAGAAGACGAAATGAGTTTCAAAACATTGAGAGTCCCGTCCAAGATTGTTAGGACGTGATGCATCTTATCGCGGATAAACAGGATGTCTTGGATCGTTGAAAACCCCAACTCAACCTGCGCGAGTGGTCTTTGAGTAAATATTTTCCCTTTCTAGTCTTCCAATTAGAAATTGCCGTTTATGATAGAACCTATACACACCAGAGTGACCAGACTAGAGTCCTTCTCATTCAGATATTGTCGCCAGTAATAAATACATGACCGGATATACCGAGCATGTAGCGCAAGTGGGTGATTTTCGCTGGCAAGATGCTGACCTTCAAGGCTAGCGCGGAACAAGGTCGGAGACTGGATTATAGTCCATACAGAATGACTTTCGTCGGGGAATACTCTGTGGTGCACAGCGGATTGGCGACACGACCATGAGTCACGGTCAGGACAGCCATTAGGCTCAAAGAATCGTATGTTATAACAGATATCTAGCAATATGGTCAACATATATTGAATCAGCATGGCCCATTTTCTAACTCACTCACTGGACATGTGCGAATAGGCGGAGTCATATGGTAGCATGTAAAGGTTTGATCGTAAGTCGCGGTGCGACGGCAAAAGCCAAAAGCGATGTCAAGAAATCGCGGGTGTATTTCTAGGGTGAAACACAGGTATTTGAACATTTCAGGTAGGATTTTCATGCGGCTCCATGAGTTTTTTCTGTTGATAATGCTGATGAGATTAATTAAAAACTGTGTCGCAGCTGACATTGAGCACTTACATTACCGAACTCTCTGCTTTGTGTAGAGTTTCCTGACCGAATTAGGTATCTCAATCCAAATCGTATTAGAATTAGATTGACAAACCTTCCAAATTGTTTTCAAATCATCCAACCCACTCATGTATTTCATGCACAACATTGGACGGGTCCCTTCAACTAATTAGCCATACTACTAATGGATGGCGGACAGGTCACCTTTTGGAGCCCCTCGATTTGTTTGCCATAACTCGACACTGCAGTCGTTCGGTGCTTCCACGAACAAACTTTTGATTCTGCTCTCGAGTTCGTAATTGTATAGTTGAAAGTCATGTGTATTACACTGTTCTTTGTATGTGTTAAGTGGATATTGGAGAAATTGGGAACTGCCACCATTGCGATCTACTTGCGGTTGCATTGAAACAACTCAGATCTGGTTTATGCCTAGTGAAAGCGAGATCTAGATTTAAAGGGCTGTCGAATCTCTAATATAAGGCAGGCGGATTGTGACAACGCATTGTCTTTTGCCTTAAGGTCGCTAAGTGGAAGTTACAGTGACCGGTGCCCGTTGACTTGTCGCCATTGGCTGCCTTATATACACGTCAGGTATAGCGCCGCAGCCTCATCATAAAAGGTCAAGCGTAGGCGGTTTTAATGCAAGTGATCGCATTTGCTTTGAGATACCTCGAGTGCGAAGGAAAATTTGGAGTCTTAACTTGAGAAGTTGGCATTGGAGCCATGCAGGTCGATATAGACTGCGCCTTGCATGTTTTAGTCGACGCGCGAATCAACTCCCACCCTTTGCTGTCTGTCAGGCCACATGACGTGTCATGAAAATGGTACACTGAAATCATTATTGTGATACACCTTGAGCCACTTTCATGACTTACCAAGACCTGTATGGGCTTGCTCCGCGTCAACAAGACTATGGTTTCGTCACAGAATTGAGGACAATGCAACTTGTTTCACTAACATGCCTCATCATGTCTAAAACATCGATATCATGTCTCATATCAAGAAATTCCCATGCATTTATTAGGCCTTGATTGCTGCCATATAATGAATCACAACAACAACAACGATTGGGACAGCCAAGGAACTGCATCATGGCGCAGCCAACGTACCGAATTGTGAACATTGGGGTCATAGGTGGCTTCGGCATGGTTGCTAATGACGACATCCCCAGTGGCGCACTGATACTGCAAGAAAACCCTCTACTTGTCGTGGACACACAGATTCTCAACAGAAACTGGAACGGCGGTGCCACATTCTTCAACGATGAGCGGGATTCAAGAACACAGAGAGTACGGTCAGCGTTGAGGTCGCAACCCAGGAACCATCGACACGCTTTCAGAGATCTTGCTAACGGAATCACCCCTCCGGGAACGAATCAAACGATACGAGATGTCAACATTGTCGAAACAAATGCTTGGAACTTCGAAAACCCCACTGTAAACAACAATACCTGGCTAGCCGTTGGTAACGACTTCAGCCGAGTCAATCATTCGTGTATGCCGAATGCCCGTATTACTGACGTCTGCACAGTAGCCCCCAACCTAGGCCAAATGAGACTGTTAGCCACCCGGGATATTGACGCCGACGCGGAGATTCTGGTAGAGTATGCTCAAGACGGCGTGTGGCTACAGCCCCGCAATGTCAGGAGGGCTATTCTCCAGCAACACTGGCACTTTCATTGTCTGTGCAATGCTTGCCACAGCAATTATTCCACCTTTTTCGATGCGAAATGGGAATATGCTAACGTGCTGAGGGCCGAGATTTATTTCCAGCTTCCTGCACCCCAGCAAACCTTCATAGTGTCGCATCGAATCGAAGCTGCGGAGCAGTACATCGACATCTTGAAAAAGGGTGGCTTTGGAGATCGGAGACTTGTGCAAGCGTAAGATCTACCATTGCAAACTTATGATGATCTTTTAGACTGACTACTTTGACAGATATATTAGACTTGCTGAACTCTACATGCTGGCTGCGAAGTACACTGATGCACACGCTGCTGGTGTAAGTGGCCTAACGATTGAGGGATCTCATTACGACAACGACGACAATAGTAGGGCCCTGGGGTTGATATTGGCTCAGAGTAGAGCTTTGGGTTCTTGGACGTGACTCGACATGCAGCAGTCTGCTATTGAACTTAGAATTTGGCTCAAAGGTTCGAGTGACACACTCTCAGCAAGGTGAGAACGACTTAGGTGCGGCGGTTGCATGCGTTTTGCTTGTCACTAGTATGTTCATTTCGTTATTCTTTGGCGCGAAATCTCTTTTGTAATGAATAAACTCTATTTAGTTTTCCAAACAAAAGGGGGAGGGGCGCATATGGTTATTAAATCTATCTCGGCGATGACGGCTGTGAGTAGCACTGCACCTCTATACGAGTTTTGTTCAAGAATAGGAAAGGCGTTGAACAAGTCTGCGGTGCAATAAAAAATACGGATGAAATTGCATCTTGATATTGTACGTCGTCGAGCCTTATATTAAGCTAATGTCTCTAGTAAACCGTCTCCTGAAGTGTATCATATCATCAACCGCTCAGCGTCGTCGACTCCGACTGCGGCTCCTACTCCTCGTCCTTGCACGCTTCCTCCTATCCCTTTCATCTCTACCCCTATTTCGACTCCTACTCCGACTCTTCTCCCTCGGCTTCCGGTCTCGATCACGATCCTTGTCATCGCTAGTAGTAGCGCCACCAGGTTGGTAGCAGTCTGACTCCTGACGCCTATTGCCCAGCCTCTCCCTGCCGCCATCCCAGCGATCGTAATCCCGAGACCTGTAACTCCTCGCGCGGTCACGACTGTCCTCACGTTTACGAGGCCGACTATCATCGCGCTTGCGGTCTCGGCTATCATCGCGTTTGCGAACACTGCCAGCAGCGCCAGCACCACTCGCACCACCAGGTACGTATCTGTCGATATTCTCTGGACTCCTCGAACGTGAGCGATGACGACGGCGTGGTGGTGGTGAGCGATCACGGATGCGCCGGCTCCCTCGAGAACGGGAGCGTGAGCGAGAGCGGTTTTTACGACGCTCTTCTCTTGGTGGTGATGGACTGCGAGTCCCGAGGCGCGATTTGCGGCGGCTGATGTGCGTTTCGCGAGAACGACTTCGGCTGCCACGGCGTGAGGGTTTCTCGTCGCGGTCAACTCGGTCACGGCGCCTGCTGTCAGCGCGGGGTCTATATGAGTGCTTGTCATCGTCTCGTCTCGATCTGCGATCATCTTCACGTATAGATGAGCGCCTCTCGAAACGGCTCCCGCGAGAAGGTGAACGGCTTCGACTGCGTTTCCTTATGCTGACGCTTCGGGCAATACTGCGTGACCGGGATCGACCACGCGATTTGTCGCCTCTAGATGGAAGTTCAGGTGGCTGATCCCATCGAAACTTGCCCAGCGTCTCGCCAGACTTCTCTGCTGGCGGAGGGTCGTCCATGGCCGCATCCTCATCCTTTACGACTGCGGTGGGTGTTGATGGCTCCTTGCTGGGCGATCTGTGTGCGGGTGATGCAGATTTGCTGCCTAGCTTCGCAAGCCTAACAGCGGCTGGGTCTCGTGGAACAAGTGATTTGGGAGGGTGGGCTTTGCGCATTGGAGGCTCAAGGGATTCGGACCGTTCGAGTGCAGGTCGTTGGCGGGATTTCTTCATCTGCTCGCTCTCCTGCAAAAGCAGCTGCAACGCTAGATTGTCGTCCACTTTGATGTCTTCGGGTTTGATAGATTTGGTGCGCTCTTGCGACCTATTTCTACTTCTGCTCCTGCTCCTTCGCCTGCTTCTATCTCGGCCGCGACGATCCCTGGCACGGTCAGGAGTCCTGGAACGTGCACGACTACCTCGATGCCGCCCTTCACGGTCTCGCTCAAGCTCTTCCTTTATGCGCCGCTCTCGTGCAGCATCAGCTTCGCGGATTTTCTTGAGGCGGGCTTCTCGGCTATTGTCGTGTTCCTCCCTCTCCTTCTTGAGACGCAAGCGCTCCTCTTCCCTTTCTTTTTCGACGCGATCCCGGTCTTTACGGCGGCGCTCCTCTTCTTCTTTATCGCGCTCCTCGCGCTCCTTGCGCCTCCGCTCCTTGTCTTCTTGCCGAGCCTTCTCGCGGGCCTCGTCTTCTTCCTTTTCACGTCGTTTGCGCTCCTCCTTCTTGGCCCTCTCTTCCCGCTCCCTCTCGCGCTCTTGCTCCAGCTCCTTTTCTCTGATGGACTCTCGCTCCTGTCTCCGGGCGTCTGCCTCCCGTGCCCACTCTTCTTCACTCTTGCTTCCTCGCTTCTCTTCCTCCGCAGCTACTTCAGCACCGATTTCTAGGGCTCGGTATTCCCGCATCTTAGGCAAGCCTTGGGTCTCGATCAACTGGTCTAGCAGGGTACTGACGGTAGTCATGATGTTGCCATAGATGTCGCTGCGTTCGCCAGCGCCCTCAATGAGTGTGGTGGCCATTTTGGGGTCTCTAGATAAGAGCGAGGGGTTGCGGTCAGTCTCGCGATCGACTAAGTCCTTCAAGGCGGTAACGAGTTCGTCTTTGGCAGGCTACAGTGCAACAGATTAGCATATGGATCTTGTGCGATATGAGACGTTGTACTTACGCCTGCGACGTATTGAGCCATAAGCTCTTTGCGAATACTATCATATTGACCCTTCTTGCGGAAGGTATGGACTAGGCTGTCGATGGCCGACCGCTTGGACTGCGAAAGGGGGAGTTCCGAGGGCCTTAATTTCTTGCGCATATTCACAGGTCCTTCGCCTTCGAGCGCACGCTTGCGGGTTACCTCGGCCATGGGTGAGGGTTGTTGTTGTTGTTGTGAGCAATGATTGCGGTGGTGGTTGAGGACGCTCGCGCACGTCGCCCTGCGGATTTATGCAGGGGACGCAGGGGTGAGACAGATGGAATTGAAGCGAATGACGTAAGAACAGTTGCAAGCCACTGCTACAGCTCACATTACGCGAGCAAGTGAAGGATAGCTCATGGGCTGGTTGGGGAGTCGTGGCACTGGGCGAGACCGCGAGTGATGGTGCTGGCGCAAAGGCAAGGTAAAGTAAGGGAAGTACGAGGTCGGACGTCGCTTCCGCATCCGCGGTGAAGGGCTTGGCATCATCGGAGCTCGCTCTGAACCCAGGAACAACGACGAGAACGCGACCTCACAACACGACGAGCCGCCCCTGCCATCATTGCACCGTTGCATTGCAGTCTTCTCCCGAAACGAATCCACACACGGACCCAATTAGTCACAATGGTTCACAAGGTGCTGTTCTGGAGCGGGCTCGGTATTTCTCTCACCATCTCCGTATACCCACCGAGCCATCCTGCTAACCACTGTTGTTTCCAATAGGCATTGCTGCGCGAGTATGGCAGCTCGGCATTGAAATGCGCCCGCTCTTCAACAAAGAATCACTCTGGGTCTACCCCATCTATGCCGGCATTGGCGGCAGCTTCGGCTACTGGCTCATGGGCGTTGAGCAGCGACAATTCCGGTTCCTGGCCGACCGACGAGACTCACTACTCGAGAAGCGAGCACGGAGGAAGGAACGCGAGGAGGCTGCTGCTGGGGCCTCATAGGGAGCCATACCCAGGGAGGGACACGAGTGCGACGGGCACGTGAAGGACATACAATCAATTCTTCTGGGCTTCGGACGGCCCATCATCACAATTGCACTGGAGCTGGAACCCGCTATACTCTCCATGCGACGCGCTGGGTAGGAGCAAAGACAACAATGGCGGGGATGATAGGGACGAACGAGGCATCGCTGATGGCACTCTTTGATTTCAACGAGCTGAGGGCTCACAATGTACAAACTCCTCGATCTAAAACATCCTACAAATATAAAACACTCGTCTATGCATTTTTGCGAATGAACATGAAAATGCGAGATGTTGCCAATTGCGGTCGCGCGTGATAACCCTAGCGAATTAGGAAGGCTTAGTGCATGACTCTTACTTCGCTATTTCGAGCTTGCAGAGTTGCCTCACCTAATGCCACGAACATGACACTCTGTTACGATCAACATGTCGTGACTTAAAGCTCCCGCGACCCTTGTGGTCCACATTCCTCTATCACCTCACCAACGTCATCATGTCTTCTAATGCCGAGGCCTTCCTAACGCTCAATAGCGGCACGTCAACGCCCACATTGCAGATGAGCAACGGGAGCTTCAAGACAAAGGGCATCGTGGTCTTCTCGGGCGGCAGCGCTGCGAATCATCTGGTTGATGTGTTCAAGACAGTCAGAGAGGACAAAAGGTGCCCGTTGAGCTATGTTATTCCTATCAGTGATAATGGTGGGAGCTCGTCCGAGCTAATACGGGTCTTTGGCGGACCAGGTACATATGCAACATTGAAACAACGAACAACTAGCTAACTTAGAACAGGCATTGGCGATGTTCGAAGTTCGTCCTCATTCCCCCATACTCAACAAAATATCAATTGATCACTCCCAGGTCGTCTCGTGCGTCTCATTCCAGATGACCCGGACAATGACGAGAGCGAAAAAGCAGCTATTAAAGCCTTTTTCAATCATCGACTATCGAAAGAGCGCGCAGAAGCTCGCCAAGAATGGCTTCAAATCGTAGAAGCTGAGCATGCCCTCTGGGCGAACATCTCGACCCCAAAGAAAGAGCTCATTCGATCCATTATCAACCTCGTCGCTAGTGACATTGTAAAAAGGCGTCGACCGTCGTCGAGTTTTGACTTCTCGGGAGCAAGTATTGGGAATTTGTTTTTGACTGGGTATGTATGAGCCCTTGCCGGTCGTTCTAATTTTGTTCACTGTCAGTTGCGCTCTTTATTTGCTTCTCGTTTGCTTCATGCCGTCTATTCATGACTCCCCGTCCCGCATACTCGCTCTGAAAGTACCTTTCGGAGACATGGTATCCGTTTCTAACAACCACAGTGCCCGCCTGTTCACTGGATCATTCGAATCTGCCATCTACCTCCTCTCTAGTATCTGCTCGGTACCAAGCCACACATCTGTTCTACCCGCAATCAACACCAACTTCACGCACCACATCTCCGTTGGTCTTGCCAATGGCGACATTATCACCGGTCAAAACTCCATTTCTCATCCCTCAGTATCAACGGCCCTCGAGTTTGAAGGTGCACCATCAGAAATTGATGAAACGGAACAGCATGATCGAATCGAAGACGCGAACCTACCTGGATCTTTACCCACCCTACGGAAACAGTATATCACATTCTCCAAAGCAGATGAAGAGGAGTTACGCGCAAGAATCGAGAGGCTATGGTACATCAATCCCTACGGCCAAGAGATCCGTATCGCTGCGAACCCAATGGTCTTGAATGCTTTGAATGAGGCCCAAGCTGTGATATACAGTATTGGCTCACTTTATACATCTATTGTCCCTTCACTTATTCTCAAAGGCGTGGGAGAAGCCATCACCAGCCCTGCAATCCGCTACAAGATCCTCATTCTGAACTCGACCATTGATCGCGAGACTGGACCGTCATCTCAACCCTATTCCGCACTAGACTTCATCGCAGCTATCGCAAAGGCAGGCGAGAACTCGAAAGGCGTATTTGGGCCCACAGATAAGAGCAAGTACAAGAGCTATGTGACGCATCTCATTCATCTGCAAGGACCAGGAACGCCGGCCGTCGATAAGGAAGAGCTTAAGAGTGTGGGCATCGAGGCCATCAGAGTTTATGGAAGGAAGAATGAGGGCGAAAACTTTGTGAGATATGATGAGAGGGGTTTGACTCAAGCACTTGAAGTCACCATGGGCAAGGGGGATCCGAGAATGCCTAGTAGGCGAAATACCCTAGAGGGTCAGGTGAGGTAGAGTGTCCAGAGCGCTTCTTCCATATTTTGATTCGAACAAGTCTTCGTTTACTACATCGTAATAGGTATCTGGACGGTGAATTGGTTCAGCATTAGATGTTTCTGAGGGAAATACAGCTCTCACTTGCTTATTGGTTTATGCCTTCAGAGAGAGGGGTTACAAGCGGCTTTAACCCCTTACATAAGCGCTACTGCAGCTACGTTCTGGCCTGTATCCAAAGCTTACCCAATGATGCACCAGTCGGCTAAACATTTAACAATACTGACCGGTCGATCACAGCCGTTCATGAGATAATTATACTGTACACTAGACGTTGTCGATAGCGCTGAGGTAAGTCGGTCATCTTGACTAGCCTTATACACAGTCAGTCAGTCATCCTCTACACGATGCTATTTTCCCCCAAAGATTTTACTTAAGATACATTTTCTACAGCTGCCTCGGAGATCCTTCCAACATCCATGATGCTGTATTCCCTCCTCATACTCTTCCCCATATCTATCTTCATCTCCCGCCGCATGGTGAGACTAGTGCGCAATTACATCTCAGCGCGCAAATATGGTCTTCCCATCATCATTATCCCCGTGTCCTTCGAAGACGCATGGTGGATCGTTCTCCGACCCCTCTTCTCGTTCATTCCCCGTCTCCCCTTCAATCTTGGACACTGGTACCTTTATACCACGATGGGCTGGACAACCGAGGACGGCAACCGCAGCCTATTGAAGTACGGCGAAAACTTTGTGTTGTGTTCTCCCACGAGCAACGTACTAGTAACTTCGGAACAAGGTATTGTGGAAACGGTGTTTGGTAGTCACGGGAAGTGGGCGAAACAACAAGATCAGAGCAGGTTGTTTGCCTTTTACGGGGAGAATGTTAGCTCTACGCATGGGGATGTGTGGAGGAGGCATAGAAAGATTACGGCTTCGGCTTTTAATGAGAGCACGATGTGGAGTGTGTGGGATGAGGCGACTCGACGAGCGGGCGAGCTGAGTCTCGTAGATGCAGATGTGGAAGGAGGAAATGGGTTGACGCTAGCAATGGTTCGGAGCAAGTTTGATCTGCTGGCGATGCAGATCCTCTCCGTTGTGGGCTTTGGACAAAACACGGATTTAACAGAAAGACCGACAGGTCATCAGGAATCGTTGATGGAGTGTCTGGGCTTCATTCTCCAGCACATTATTCTCACGGTTGTTTTCAATTCGCTGAAGGCACCGGACTTCTTGCTACCGGGTTCACTGCGCCGGTTGAAAGTCTCGATCAAAAAACTTGGGCTGTACATGAAGGAATCCGTGCTGCAGCATGTGCAGTCAGCAAAATCGAAGCCTGTGCATGGTTCGAAGGCGCTTAGTCTGCTAGAGTCGATGGTCAGAGCAAACGAGGCAAGCAAGCAAGAGCAGAAGACCGGCGGACCGAGATCTTACCTGAGCGACTCTGAACTCTACGGCAACATCTTTGTGTTTAACGTCGCCGGATACGAAACGACAGCTTCATCCTTCATCTTCGCCTTGTCGTACCTAGCCGCGCATCCAGACATGCAGGACTGGGCTGTCGAGGAGATTGACCGATACTACGACCACGATGCAAACATCATACCCGATTACGCAGAGACATACCCGAAGCTCGTCCGCTGCCTTGCAATCATGCATGAAACACTGCGTCTTGCAACCCCTGCTCCAATGCTCGTTCGTTATCCATATGTACCCACTGAAGTCCTAGTCACAACGAAGACAGGCGCACGAACTGTCACCGTGGAGCCTGACACTTTGGTTGGCTTTAACACCACCGGTGCGCATCTCTCGCCGCGCTGGGGTCCTGATGCCCTTTCGTTCAATCCGAAGCGCTTTATACTCCCATCTTCTTCTGGCGAGGAAGAACTAGTGGTCCCTGAGGGACCGCTGTACGCGCCTTTTATGATGGGGCCGCGTGTGTGTCCCGGGAAGAAGTTCAGCCAGGTTGAGTTTGTGGCAGTGCTTGCAAGGGTTTTGATGGATTGGCGTGTTGAGGTCGTGAGGGGAGTGGGCGAGAGCGAGGAACATGCGAGGTTGAGGTTGATGAGTGTGGTAGAGGAGAAAAAGTTCAACGTCAGTGCGCATTTGAAGAGGCCTGAGGATGCTCGTGTAAGATTTGTAAGGCAGGGAAAGTTTGGAAAGTGAGAGGTGTCTTATGAGACGTGGGAATTTGTGATGCCAACTTCGATAAGGTTTCAGCTTCGATGTCTATCTGTAGCGTTTACTCGTAATATTTAATCTTAACACCCTTCACGATTTCCACGTCACTTTCTGCATTGTCTCCCTTTGCTGAACTTGTGGCACCCAGGTTCTATCCAAAGTTAGTCAATCCTTTTTTGTTTGCGCTTCATATCTAGTATTCCTTACCTTGATTACTCTTTGCTTCACCCACTCTCCTGCCTTCACTGGTTGTCCATCCGCACCAAGAGCCTTCTGTTCTTCGAGGCCTAAGCGATGAAGGACGGGAGATCCTTGAATCGGGATAAGATCTGTGTCGTCTTCAATTCTAACCATGTATATCACGCCCAGACGATCAATGTGCGCTTGGTCGGGGGGTGGGGCGACGACACGGTGGATACTGGATTTCAAGTATCCATCTTTAAGACAGGTGGACTTGTCAGCAAACATGTCCAGGCCTCTCAATCTCTAATATTGGATTGAAAAGTTTGGAGGAGGAACTTACTGGTGAGGAAATGCAGTGCATCTGCCAGATTCACCGTTAATGCATCCGTTTGCGGTCGTACCCATTTCCAGGTTCCATCCTTGGTCAACACCTGCAACGCAGCAACAGGCTGGCGAAACAGCAATGTCAAACTACCCATGTCGGAATGTCTGCCGTACATCAATATCCATATATTTCAGAATGATGACACGAACAACAAAACCATTCAGACTTACCCTTTCAGCCACACTCCTCCCAGCTTCTGATTCTCCTCATCACTCCGATGGTAGTACTTCATATACCTTAAGTGGTCCCCGCTCTCCTCTGAATACCGATGTCGATCCACGAAGTAATTTTCATCCTGCAGCTCGAGCGCAATGGCGAAAATGACCAGTAATTTCTGAACAATCTGCTTGTGTATTCGAGTGGAGAATTCTTCGATGGTAGTCCAATGTTCTTTTACAATGGGTGGATGCGGTCTGTTGGCATGTGCAGGGATGAATTTCGGAATGTTGTAGATTTCGAAGTTGTCTTTGACACCAGGGATCAAGTCCCGTATGCCAGCAGGCTTCCAGCCATTGTAGTCGCCTGCTTCTAGGGCTGCTCTGTATGGCGCTTTGTCCTCATTAGAAAGGGAGAGCACGGACTTTGCTAAGGCGAACTGTGTGTCAATGTCTGAGGGGGTGAGGCCGTGGTTCTTGACGTAGAAGAAGCCTGTAATCAGGATGGGTCAGTGCTTGTGTGTCGGGCAATGGAGTATTCGATGATCATGAATAGAGTGATTGGATGATAGATGCGGTTATTAGATGCTTGATCACAGTGGACACATACCAACTTCCTCAATAGCTCTCTGGAACTCTTTTGCCAATTCTTCTTTTCCCCCAGGCTGATCGAACTTGGATAGATCAAGAGTTACGAGATCAGCCCAGTCAAGTGACTCGGTTGTCTCCGGTGCCTGGTGATACGGCAGGGTTATTGTTTCCGTGGCAGTGGCCATGTTGGTGATCGATTTCAAAAACGCGTTCGTATTCTTTCGTAGTGGATAGAATTAGCCAGTAAGTGAATATTCGTGCATGCAACGGCGTTGATATTCTTAGCTTTCAAGGGAAGAGCGCCTTAGGTATGCTCCGCATGATTGGATTCTGGTCGGAAGCGACTTCCGACGATCGCGTAGTTTACGCGTGAATGGGTGAGGGGCCTGACAATTGCGCCATAGTGGATTCAGAAGTCGTAAACCCCAACATTTGTGAATCTGCCGCAGCGGCATTGCCGAAATTGAAAAGGTCAAAAATCTCATTGGTACAGGTGCGCAATCGGAGATTTGCGAGTCAATATGGGCCTAAAAAGATATTATCGTATGAATCGTATGTGCAATGGTAACATTTCGGCTAGACGTCGGGACTCACTATGAATCGCCTGTGATCGAAACGATGATGCCATTTGGGCTAGAACTCTGGACTGTTTGATTTAAACTTGTTGAAACTGCAATCATCTAATTGTACGAGTTCTGTCTCAATATAGAATAATTTGCAGACAATTCACCATGTCGGGTTCAGTAAGAGACTCAAGCAACTCAGGAGGAGCCACGGCAGCGGCAGTGGCGGAGAAGAATGGGACCTTGAGTTCGATATCAGCACCAGTCGCAGAGATACTCGGAGAAGAATCCAGGACAATTGACCCAGAGGTGGAGAGACGCGTTGTGAGGAAAATTGATCTTTTCCTGATGCCAGCGATGATGTTTGGTAAGTGAACGCACTAAACTCAGTTCAGCTCTATATTAATGTCTTATAACAGGATACGGACTCGTTTATTACGACAAGGCCATTCTTGGGAGCGCCGCTCTTTTTGGGATGACCAAAGATCTACATCTTGCGGTTGTGGACCATTCGACTACACCCCTGACGACCAACACCTCTCGACTCAGCTGGGCGACGTCTATATTCTACTTCGGTCAGCTCGCTGGATCTTACCCTATGACATACTTGTTGCAGCGATTCCGCGCAAACTACGTTCTTGGTCCCGCCGTAATGCTTTGGGCTGTCATTTGCGCCTCAACCGCCGGTGTGACCGACTGGAAAGGTCTTCTGGCGCAACGGTTCTTCCTAGGTGAGTATTCCATGATTACTAGACTGAGACAATTCGCATGCGCTTACCTGCTACTAGGCTTCACCGAGGCCATTGTTCCTACCGCGTTCATGATAACCGTAAGTGGCTATTACACACAGTCCGAGCAGGCTTTACGACAAACATGGTGGTTCTCCGGCACGGGCTGGTTCACAATCATAGGCGGTGCTATGAACTACGGTTTTGCCCAGATCAAGGGTGGATCACTCACCCCGTGGCAGTATATTTATGTGTTAGCTGGTGGCATGACGTTCTTATTCGGTATATGGTGTTTCGCACTGCCAAACTCGCCTCTAAATGCGTGGTTTCTAACACCTGAAGAGCGTATAATAGCGGTGGAGCGCTTGCGCGCCGGACAGACAGGTGTGAGAAATCAGGAGATCAAGTGGTCTCAGATCAAGGAGGGCGCTCTAGATGTCAAGGTCTGGCTCGTGGCGTTGACGATGGCTGCTGGGTAATACTCCTTTGTACAACTATGAACCTTCAGCCTACTGATACGTTACAGATATACAGTCAATGGCGCGGTCTCTGGGTTTGGACCTCTCATCGTATCAACATTCGGATATACTGCTTTACAGAGCATTCTGTTTCAGTTCCCGCTCGGTGCTATCTGCGCGGTTGGAATACCATTGACTGGATGGCTATGCTCGCGATACCGAAACATTCGCATTCCACTCTTACTCGCTTGCTGTCTTCCAGTCATCGCAGGCTTTTCCATTATCTGGAAGTCCAAATGGGGTCATCAACCTGTGGCGCCTGTAGTAGGCTACTCCATTATAGGGTTCTTTGGACCGGTTGTTGGCTTGACTGTCACTCTTGGTGCTGCAAACGTGGCAGGCGAGACGAAGAAGAGTTTTATGGCGTCTGCTGTGTTCGTCGCATACTGCGTTGGAAATATCGTTGGGCCGCAACTTGTCCGCAGTCAATCGAAAGCAAAGCACTATCCAGAATTGTGGACTGGCTTAATCATATGGTAAGAGAAGTGCCCTTCCTTCCCGATCTAAGTGGCTGATGTTGTACAAGTTATTGCATTACTATCTTATCGGCCTCTGCACTGTATACCGTCTTATACAGGGAGAACAAGCGCAGAGATCAACTTGGCTTGGACAAGGACGAGGGCGCTCGGCTTGCCTTCAAGGATCTGACTGACAAGGAAAATCTGCATTTCAGATATGCTCTGTAATGGATACAGCGGCAAGAATGCCGGTCGGCATCTGTCGGGAAAGACCCTGCAAGATTGTCAGACCTGGTACCTATGGCGGAGCCAGATCCATTCGTGGCTGATTGGAGAAGTAGTGGAAGTAGTAGTACGTGGTGGTAAATAGGTCGTTATCGGAAGGAGCGTTTAGCTTCATGCGGCTGACAACCCTATTGAATAATATCACCCGTTCCTGACTCGCTCCTGACTCGCAGAGAGTGGATACCTCATGCAAGTCTCCGCATTGCGTGATTCTGGCTTGGGCCATATGTTGTTATTTGATGTACCAGAATAAAGAATTAGAAGCTAGGGTGTGGGTGTGGGTGATACCACGTGCATATCAGTACCGTGGTACTAGTAGCGACATGAGTAAAAATCTGCGCTCATCTCCATTCCGTCTTGAATTGTTCTGACCGCTTCAAGAATATTTCTATCATTGAGCAAACTTTTACCGCACATCAGCTACCCGTAAAAAATGGGCAAGGTCAAGCGTAGGGTTGCGGTGATTGGTGCTGGTCCTGCTGGAGCCATTGTTACAGATGCGCTTGCCAAAGAGGGTGTATTTGAGACCATTCGAGTTTTTGAAAGGCGACACGTAGTTGGAGGTACTTGGTACGTGACTGCAATATCTGACCTTCGCCCGTCCTCTAATTCCCCGTGCTATAGGGTATTGACACGCAACAAGGATGAAGTTCCGCGTATCCCATCTCTTCAGGCTCTTCTTGAGGGGCGTGCGGACCTTCCTATACCCATCCCAGCTATCCTACCTTCGGAAACTGCGAAGGATGAACGTATCAACTCACACCAGTCACGGTTCTCGGATTCTGGAGCTCATGAGCATCTGCATAGCAACTTGCCACCTGAAATCATGTGTTTCTCTAATGAGCCTATTCCCACATTACTTTCGGAACGAACGCGAGCAGAGTTTGGCGAAGGAGCTCCGTTTCGGCATAGAGAAGTTATGCGAGAATGGGTGCAGGCTATCTTCAACCGAGGAGGACATGAGAACCTCGTTGAGCACGATACAACGGTCGAGCTTGCAGAGAAAAAAGGCGAAGAATGGATCCTGACAATGCGTAAATCGGAATCAGAACACCACCAGGACCGTTGGTGGCAGGAGACATTTGATGCTATAACCGTGGCTACTGGACATTACTATGTGCCGTTTGTGCCACGAATTCCCGGCCTTATCGAGTGGGAGGAGAAGTTCCCTGGAAGTATACAGCATAGTAAACACTACGTGGACGCTTCGCAATATCGTAACAAGGTGTGTGCTCTCCCTCCAGAGATGAACTAACTCAAGATGCTAACTGGGGTGAAAATTGTAGCGAGTAATCATTGTGGGCGGTTCAGTATCGGCGCTCGATGCTCTGCACGATATCCGTAAAGCATCGAAGCTGCCTATCATCTCATCCTTGCGCGAATCATCCCAAGTCTTTGGCGATGCGCCCTTCATGCATCCAGACATAATGAAACGACCCTCCATTGCCGCCTTCGACCCGGACACGGGTAGGATAACATTTGCAGACGGATCGTATGTCGATGATATTGACGTGGTGCTATTCGCAACCGGGTACGAGTTTAGCTTCCCTTTTCTGCCTCAGGTCAAGCCTAGGAATGGCCGTGTGCCGGGCTTATATCAGCACGTGTTCCTTGCGAATGATCCGAGTTTGGCACTGGTTGGCATGGTGACAGGCTCTTTTGGGCTCAGGATCTTTGAGTGGCAGGCTGTGTCTGCAGCGCGTGTCTTTGCAGGCCGAGCAAAATTGCCAACGTACGAAGAGATGAGGGCATGGGAACAACTCCGGCTCGAGGAGCGCGGCGATGGGCCTTCATTCTGGGCATTGATGCCGGATTTCGAAAGATACTTTGAAGACTTGCGAGCAATTGCTGGTGAGCCTGCTCTAGGGACTGCAGGAAGAGTGCTTCCCAGGTATGATCCGGCATGGGAAGATACTTTGTGGCGGTTTGTGGACTACCGCATCCAGCTATGGCAGAAGGAGGCTGCTAAGGCGGAAGCAACGCGTAGGCAGCAGCAGCCGTAGCAGCCTAGTCATCGGGCTCCTGAATTTGAAGGACTTAATCAGTGCGGAGGAAATAGTCATCGGATCTGAACCGCGAGTTCAGCATCTCGCGGGAATGAGTGGAGTCTTCGTTAAAGGATTTCGTTAGCTTTATCGCATCCAAGCTTGGTGGTCTGTGCATTAGCGCTCAGCTCATACGAGCGTTGACAGCATTGGGGTCCGCTATTGCGTTATCCTCCGACATCTACTAACGTTAGGTGATAGCACCCACTGTCGGCATACGGCATGTTGTAAAGGCGCCGTTCTGCAATTATCCGGCATGAAGTAGATGAATAGGTGAGCTTTAGTCCACCGAACAGACTTTATTTCCCACTACAACATCACCATCATCTTCTCACCTCGTCAAAGCCACCATGGCCGGCCGACCCGTTATCGAATACTACTTCTCTTTCATCTCACTCTGGTCTTATATTGGTAGTCGCAGTCTCCAGGCTCTCGCAAAGCAACACAATGCACAGATCATCTACAAACCCATCGACCTGATGCAGCTCTTCTCAGTCTCCGGCGGCCTTCCTGTAAAGCAGCGCTCGGTGCAGCGCCAGGCATATCGTCTGCTAGAAATGGAGCGATGGCGAAGATTGCGCGACATACCCATCGTACAGCATCCGAAATACTACCCTGCGGACCCATCACTTGCCCACAGGGTGCTTCTGGCAGCCATTGACGAATTCGGCCATGATCACGGTCCGGTGCACGAATTTACACGTCGCAGTCTTCAAACAGTCTGGGCAGATGAGTCCGATATTGCGGATCCAGCTACGATTGTAGCTGTGGCCGATGCATCTGGCCTAGAAGGTAGTCGTTTGCTGGAACGGGCCAGGGACGAGAAGGAGCTGGCAATTCAGGAAGATGCTTTGACAGAGGAAGTGGTCGCGAGGAACTATTTCGGCTTACCCATGTATGTGTACAGGAATGAGCCATTCTGGGGACAAGATAGGTTGGAAATGTTAGATGAGGTCATTCGTAGCGGGAGAGAACCAATCCGCGTAGACTAGAGGAGCGGCCATGACTTAGTGTAAATTCCACAACTAAACACCAAAAGCTTGCGCAGAGAAAATTAGCCTTCCCAGTAGAGGGACATACGAGGTATCAGCCCCAGGACTCCTTCCGAAGTCGCCGTTCTTGGGGCATTCGGAGGCCGCGATTGAAAAGGCAAACTTCAGCTGGCAATAAGGAAGTGCGCGCCCTCCAAGCTCTTGGCTCGCCGATTATTTCCAACCACTGCAGCTTTTCGGCTACATGCTAAAATCACTGGTTCGTGACTCCTGGGGCCGTATGCACTACCTCGTTTATTCAATGCAGCTGTCATGCAGGCTGTAAGACAGCATGAGCTGAAAACGCTCCCATGCAGTATTCGGCGCAAGCCACAGTTGCTTACGACATCTCATGATCTTTCCGGGTAAGCCAGTACTCCATGTTTACGTACAGTTATTCGATTCCTAGCCTTCTCAAAAGAATTGACTTCGATTGATCTCTCCTGTCTGTGCCTAGGTAATTATGGGCGCAGACTCTGAAACTCCACACCGGCGCCCCAAACTCCATAGAACACGAAGCGCAAAAAACAATCCAGCAACGGCGCTCACTATCGATCCAGTGAGATGTGCCAAGGGCTCATCGACAGACTTGAACGGCCATCTTGAAAAACGACAACAAAGTGACGCTACAGATCGTCAAGCTTGGGAAGCTAGATTTAAACAACTCGTTCAGCTAAGCGATGCGGTACTAGCGTTCCTTGCATGTGTGGTAAAGCAAGATGAAATGTCTCTCTCTTCTAGGTTGCGGTTTGAAGGCTCTCTCTCCATATCGTGAGTAAACGCATATAGTGCCAATATTATAGAGGATTGATGATGATCAGAACCAGCCAGTCAACGCTAGAGTCAGCTGCCGAAGAACCGTCATTATTGACCTGGGGAAAGGTCCGCCGCCAGCTGGACAGAGTATTTCGCACTCTATCCACATGGAGAAAAGACCTCAATGACGACTATGCCCATGTGGATGACGAGCGACTCTTTATCGAGGATGTGGATAGCGCTTTGCTTCCGTTGCTGAGACTGGCGCGTCATATCCTTCTCATCGTAGATATGGATCATCCAAACTGGAAAGCCCAGGACATAGAGATCAGAAAGCCTGCAGAGAAGCTTCGGACTTGCATGAAATCAATTAAACGAGCTCCTTCCCGCAAATCTTCAGTCTCGCTAGCGTCAAATGAGCTTCTGGATACGAAGATAAATTCTGGCAGTCCCCTGGTCGCAAAGTTTCCCAGCGATAAAACTGACTATTTCAAAGAGTCAAAGATGTTGGTCGCGAATTTGAAGCAAGAGTCTGAGCCGTTGCAGCTTACATTGCGTAGACATGACTGGGTACTGCAGGCTGTCAAAAGTCGGGAGGAAGAAGATGTAGAGTTAGTTCACAAAAGTGTTGCGGCAAGAACATGATCTTGTATACTATATAATAAAAACTATTTGGCTTACTGGGAGATCTGCAACTCTGGTAATGGTGGTTCTTAGCCGTCGATATCTTTCTATCTATCTAGATAGATAGAGATACCATGTTAATCTGAGAATAACACAGCTTGAACAAAGGACCTGGCTTCGAGAATTGCGGGAATAATGTATGTACATTTTCTCAAATGTCTTTGATACATACATTTCTGGCTACACGCAAATGAAACCAAAAGAGGGCTCCAACTAAGTCATTCGGACGGTTTCCTCTCGTATCTCTGCAGCGGCTCCTCTCCTAATTTCAATAGCCGTATCACACGCTGATAGAAGTACTCCTGCATACTCTTGTCGTATATGCTACCGCTGCCTTGCACATCACCGCGTTTGAACTGAAGGCAGAACCTTATGACTGTGGCATATTCGTTTCCCATCTCCTGTACTACATCTTCATTACATCTCTCTTTGATATGCTCTTCACTGTAACCTTCTGGAAGGTGTTCCATGAGCGCCAACTCGAGAAGGATTACACCGAGGTTGTACAGAATCTCTTGGCTGCGATGAACTTCATCCGAACGATAAGAAGATGGTTCTGACTTAAGAATCGCCTTTTGTTCTTGAAGGCAGATTCCCAGGTGTGTTTTGAGCCCCTTGTGTGGAATGAGTAACATGATGTTCCTCGATTTCAAACTTGTCAAGTCCCAGATAGTGGCATCGAACTTTAACACAGCCTCTGCGATGAGCCTCGCGACGCGGAAGCGAATTAGCGGGCGGAGGTAAGGTTGCATAATCCAATCCGACAAGGCAATTGGGTATGATCCGCCCCATCGTGGAAGCTGCTGCACGTGGATACTCGTTCCTATTCGAAATCTAAAGTTCATGCCGGTCTCAAGGCTGGCTACGCAGAACATCGGCCGCTCTACCATTTGGCCTGGTTCGATAGGGGCGTCGACAACGTTTGACGTCTTGCTTGCGGTCGTGACATCGATCATCGAGTCTGCCTGTATCCAAACAAGGTCGTCATCATTCTCACCAGACTTTGTGAATGCAAGATGGAACCGAAGTCGTTGTCGTTCATCTTCCGGAATCGATTTAACCTCATCCAAGTTTATGTAGACCTGATGGGTTGTATGATCGTCGCAAAGTCTGCAAAGCTGCTGACAGAGGATCGCAGAAGCGATACGACATGCAGCTAGCTCCTCCAATTCCTTTACCTCTGCCGGCTTTAAGCTGTATGGCTGCTGACTAGGCGACTCAGCGAGCAGTAGACTCTTGTAATAATTATTCATGTGAGTCTGGAAATCCATTAAGCAATTCCCGGCCCCCTCAATCATATCAATGCATCTAATCCTATTCTCTTCGTTTAGGAATCCTAACTTGGGCAACTAGACGTGGAAAGTCCGTTGTTAGCTCTAAGCTGGAGAGGTCTGGTGCGGTTCAATTGCCTGGAGTGAGACTTACCAGAATCTTCCGCAGTTCGATACTCATCGTTTCTGATTGCTTGCGCGCACCTTCCAAAGTCTCCAGCAAATGCTCGACTGGTTCACGGCTAGTTCGCTCGCCTTTCTGAATAAGCTCGAGAGCATTGCCAAAGACCAAAAGATCTTGCGGGGAAAGTATCGCAGTCGACTTTCGGCGATCTATGCTCCAAAGCAATAGATCTTCTAACTCTTCGTCCATGAAGGCGCCCTTGATGAGTTCGCTTGCATCTCTCTGATGCGTACGTATTGTCAGAAGAATCTGCTTAAGTTTATTTATAATCTTGCGTGTCCTTAAGCTGAACTTTCGCAGCATATCGGAGATACTCATTGGCGAGTCAGGCGATTCATCACGCGTGGCCGTGTAGACCAGACGGTCGTCTCGTTGTGGCGGATTCGGTCGTTGAAGTAAGAGTTCTCGCCCTGAATGATGCCTTTAGTCTTCAATTATCGCAAGAAGTACAAAAGAGAAGCTGGGCCTCACTTACAGAATGTTCCAGACCCGAAGAACTGATAGTTCACGCCTTTATTGACTGTCTTACCATTTTGCGTATGGTCATCAACACCATTTACTTGCAAACCGCGCCCACGCGCGACATTTCTAGAGTTTGTATGCTGGTTGATATTGGTCTTCTTGCTACTTCTGGGTCGTATAGTTGGACTTGCGTACGGAGCGGAGACGTCTCTAAATCTCCTGTTGGATTGGCCTTTGGCAAGTTTTCTTCGAGCTCTTGGGGAGGCCATTGTCCGCCTCGAATCAACAGATAATAGACGTTTTGCGAGTAGTCTAGATATGGAGGAACGAGTATGCAACCAGCAAGGACAATCGCCATGGACTCTCTCACGCGAGGGATAGGATGCAAGCCAAATCATTGGAGCAGAGATGAGCCCAGCTGACAGGATATGTCAGCTCATGCATCAAACTCCGAAATTGCTCTAACAAAAAAGCACCCATGCACGCTTTGCTTGCTTAGCGTAGATTGGCACGGCAGAGAATTTATAATACTGCCAGGGTAGACGCCGGTGAACGAGTGAGCTTGCTAGACAATTCATCCGAAAAACAGACTTTCGCTTATAAGCACCTCATGAGGTACACTAATTACCATTTTCCATATCCGGTGTCCAGTGGTAAGGGAGACCACAGCCTTGATGCAGTGATGCACACCTTAGATACTGCCACTCAATGCATGTCTTACACCCCGCTTTGAATGTCTTTGTCGGCATAGCCATTGCCTGGACCTTGCAATAAAATAGGTGCATTCTATTTGTCCAGTCTTATCTGCAGCCAATGGCCTCAGATATGAAGATAGCCGTCGTAGGTGCTCCGGTACCGCCTTTTCAAAGCCCAGGGTGTCTACGAGCTGAGCTTCCTGCTGGTGCAAAGATATAATGCATTGAGAATGACTGCTACCGATCGAAGATGACTCCGACAGCAAGCAGCAACAACAACCGTTATCTCGATTTACCATCGTATACCATCAAATCGCCTAAAATGGTGTGTTTCCAAGCTACATCCAGTTTGCAAGGCTTTTCTAATACGCTTGAGCATAGCCAATCGAAGTCGTCGAGGCCGAACTGGTAGTTGAGGGCAATTTAGTCGAGGGTCAAGCCTTCCAGCTCAATGCGCCAGTTGGAGTAACGGGCTATGTGGTTATGAAGAAGACACACATCACCGGGAACACAGCTCGTGACTCTGGCAAGCAAGCCAACTTCCCTCAGGCTGCTGAAACTATCAAGGAAGTCTTGGGTAAGGATGCAGAGATTGCCAATACCACCGATAAATTGAAGGCAAAGAACGACAAGAAGACGCAGGGGAACAAATAAAACGGAGTAATTGAGGGCATTCATAAAGGACATGACTCAATGGATACCTGTTTGCTGCCAGAATAACGCAATCCCAATACAATCTCGTCTTTGCATTGCCTGTTATTTCATGTTTGCTGCCCGATGTTCCAACAAGCTCTTGAAGACATCCATAGAAATAGCATGGTTTACCTGCGTACTTCTTCCTACAGACTTGTTATCGCGGATCTCCAGATAACTCACTTCCATCCAACCCTCTCGTCCAACGGGGCCGTTGATTTGGATAGCTTGGTCCTCGGTCAGGTTATTCAGAACTATTCGAGTGCCATCAAGTACTTGGGCATCATCGTCTGCTGCAGGAAGCAACGCCATGTCCGCATCATCAAGAGCTATGATGCCATTTTCTTTGTTTGTCATTAGCGTGTTTTTCATGATCCGCATTCGAGATAGCATTGCCTACCTTGCGGATTGCGAGAGCGCACGAACTCGACCATCTCTAGTTTTCTTGCATCTCCGAAAACTTCCTGGAGCAATTTGTCGATCCTTTGCACCGCCTCCATGTCAACAGCCATCTTGCTATCCAGTGTCTTTGTCAAGCCAACATGTGCAACCTGGAGACGTAGTGCCAAATGCTCGTGCGACCGACTTATCTGATCAATAACTGTGGACAGCTTCTCTTCCTCTTCTGACCCACTCACTAGCTGGTGGACGTACTGATGTGCCGCACCGCGACTTTTTGAGAGCTCCTTGAGCAGCGCGATGAGATTCTTTGTGACTTTCTCCATCTCGACTAGCTCAGAAGTGACGGCAGCGGTTTGCAAGGCATCTTCGTCCCTCACGAGTTTTATAGACGTCTCGATCTTTTCTAGCTCTTGGGAGTGGTTGAGAAGAGATTGAGAGAGGTCTGTTTGGCGCTGATATGCTTTGCGAAGCCTACCGATGAGTGCGATTCCCGTTTCGATGAAGCCTATTACTCCTGATGCAACCTCAAGGCCCGACTAGATAATAAAGATTAGTTATCGCCTGTAACTCGTCTAAGCATTGCGGATAACTCACCATTTTTTGGAGTTTTATTGACTGGTCGATGCAAAAATACTATCGGTTGATTGAAGAGGTGTAAGAGGTGCAACTTGCAGTTATATTATACCCCTCATATAGAGCTGCTCTGGTTCAGCCTTGCCTCTGGTTATCTGCCCACGTACCACTGCATGGGCAGTGCAGAGCTAACACCATTACCCTGGCCTGCTTGCACCTGAAATGCTAATCGTAGACAACCACAGCATCTTACCGGTCGAGCCGACATCGCACATCCGGAAATACCGCAGGCAGAGCATTATCCTTCACATCGGCAATCAATGCTACTCGTTAGCCAATCAAGGATAGACACACCAACAGCTGGATAAGCGAACCCAAATCTTTTCAGCCCACCAGTTCTTCGCGTACGATCTACAATCAGGCGACCTTACATGAGCTCCAAGAATGCGGTTAACCTCGCCGTTTCGGGTATGCGGCTTTCAGCTCATGCGCCGCCCCCAAGTTGGATAGCGAGTAATTCCCTCATCTGCCGAATGTGTGGCAGCACGAAGGCTGAGGTGCTCAGCCTTGGCGAATTTGCGCAGCGCGCCGTCAATGTCAGCCTTGACGGACTGAGCGTACCTTGGTACAACCATGTGTGAAGGCTGTAAGATGGAATGAGGTTAGGCTGAGTCTCGTTCAAGAGCTGAGAGGTAATGTTCTCTCTTTTCTCCTTCATATCCATACTACTGCAGTAGAATTCCGGTGAACAGGCATTTATTCGGACCTACATGGCACTATTCAGGCTGGCAATTTTCTCTTGAGGAATTGGCATACCACAACTCATGCTGCCATCCACCATTGCAACAAACTACCACGATCATCGTCAAGCTCGACCTGAAGGACACAAACCCCCAACATCAGGGCACTGTGCGCAGATTTTGACCCCCAGAGGCTGACACAGCGCAAAGATTCTCTTACCTTCGTGCAAAGACGCACGCAAAATCATACAGGACCTTAGCATGCGAGAGTCAGAGCAATGCGTCGATGGCAATAAAACCCTTCGAAGCATGGCGTTCTATCGGACGACTGGACTTCATTTCGACCTAACAGAAGAGAAATCCTGGTTCCCTAACAGTCCTGCTGTCTCTTCGACTGGATCCCCATGGTGCTTAGTCAAACTTCAACAATTGTTCTCCCTAGATATTTTTGTTGCCGGAAAGCAATCGGGATAGCTTATTGTCCAAAGTCAGGTACGAATGTCAAGAGATATAGACAACCGATCTAGGATCATTTGGTTCGACTTCTGGATCTTTTGAAGGCAGGCTCCCTATCGTCGCAGGGTGGTTATGGGCTTAGGTGCCAAATATTCGCCGACCCTATTCACCACCAGGAAAGTGTGAGGTGCGTAAAACTCCAATTCGCTTCTGTTGTGGTATATATCTATTATCTCCAAAAGCTAGATATTAGTCTTCTGTTTCGACAGCTTCTAATTTCTCAGTATGTCTCTGCCTGAATTACTAGAAGCTGATAGAAGAGCATCCGAGCCAGTAGCCTTCTCTTGTATCACAGGCGAGTTTAAGCTCAAGACGTATCTCTGGGCCCAAAAGCAAACGGGTGAAATGTGGGCTTCCGGGTCTGAGAGATTGTGCTCAGCTCTTACTGCGTGTCGAATATTGTTTCGTCCTTTGTCGGTACGTTTTACGACGTTTACACGGTAGTCATCCTCCTTGACGCGGCTGGTGCTTTTATGATCTTTCTGTTTACATAGCTTGTGCTCGACCTGGTACTTTGCAAACCCTCGTGTGCTAATTTCTGAGGCTCTGCATGGAGTCGTTAGTCGAATTAGCTGCTACTGTGCAGGTGTAGGTAGTGGGCATAGAATTAACCACACGAACTGTGTATGTTTTCTGTCAATTGGTATGAAGTAAAGACAGGCTCTTGTGGTGGCGTTCTTAGTGAACCCTGGCGATAAAGCTCGGCGATTATCTGTTGATCTTGGCTTCCACTAGTGCCTATACAAAGATTGCTTGCTCTCGGGTCAAGTATCACGATGCTTGAGGGCGCCTCCTTGACTTTAAGCGATGTGTATGCATGCTGCGGCTAGGCAGACTCGATTGTTACGATATCACGTGACTATAAGAGTTTGATAAGAAACACAACTACCCAAGACAGACGATGGCACGATAGATAACAAATGAGGAGAGATTAGTCCAGAGATTTTGGAGAGCTGGTCGGGGTGGTTGGAGGTGACTGGGTGTGACGCAAAGTCATGACGTCGAACACTATTGAAGAGTAACTTGGACAAATTTGAAGTAGGCGCAACGCATGCCCTCAGTTGTGGATGCAATCCGAGTAAGAAATCGTAGCTAAACCATGTGAGGTTGATGAATACGAACAAGGCTACTGAAACAGAGGTGAGGTCAGAAGCATTCTATCTAAGCGAGACGACCCCTGTCGGCTCCTGCAGTGGCGTCGCATGCCCTGCAGGCTTCGGGAAAGCGCAGGCGCAAGTCACGACTCCGATGCGACTGGCCCATATTGGCTGACCGGACTGCTGCCTTCCTCTTCTTCCTCTTTCTTTTCCTTGTTGTTGCCGCCAGCTGCCTCACTTATACACTCCCTCACATCTGCACCTGCCCGCTACATGGCACGCCGTTCTGCACATACCCGTCTTTATATTTAGAGGCAAACTACCGTCAGTCAGCATGTTCGTAGGAAAACCCAAGATCAAGACGAGGACCGTAATCGTCAAGAAAGCCGCTACCGCCCCCGGGATCCCCTCGTCGGCTCATACAAGGCCTGGCAACGGCGTGCGCACCAACAGCGCGTCTGGGCCGCCCGCGAATCGATACCAGTCGACCCCTCTTGCGCAGACCAAGGCGCGGGACCCCGCGCGCAAGTCGCTATCCGTGTCGCGTGTCGAAAGTCGCAAGCGCAAGGGCACCCCGATGACACCGCAGTGGGCGAGCAGCGATGACTCGAGTGACGGAGAGGAGCAGGACGATCGACTGGGGGTCAAGAGGCCGAAGACAAGGCTCGCTAGCAGTAGTATGGAGCCGATGAATCTGAACCGCACACTCGAGCCGGACTTGAGGAGAAGAATTCGGATACAAGAGCCGCATACGAACGGTACAGCGAATGGGATTACAAATGGGACCTCAGAGGCGAAGCAAGCGAATGGCACATCAAATGGCACTCCTACAACGACGTTGAAGGAAACACCGAACGGGATCTCGGAAGCGAAGCAAAATGGAGTGTCAAGAGAGAAGAAGGCTGTATCTCAAAAGGGTAGGCTAATACACGGTCTGGATATGTCAAGTGGAGCAGGAGCCAAAGACTACAAGCCCGCATTTCCGAACAGTACCGATAACGCTATACTCGAACTACAATACCCAAGCCCGTCACGACCAGAGAAATTCGAAGCAGTGGATCCACTGGACTTCAGCGAAGGCTATAGTCCTCTAAACGACATATACTTTAGCATCGAGGAGATAATCCAGCACTACCTCCCCGAAGACATTTCTATCAAACTCTCCTCAGATACAGAAGGAACGGTGCGCCTTCTCAAGCGCGCAGTAACGAAAGACTCGCCTGGAGACTTCCAGATCGAGCTGGCCAAGTTTAATCAGCTTATCAAAGACCGACTGAGCGACGGTACGATACCGCGCATTTTAGACAGCATGCACGCGATACCCCTCAGCCTCGTCAAGCGCCTGACAGCACAAAGCTACAACCGCATCGTCTCACCCCACGCCCACCGCCTGCGCAAAGTAAAAGGGAAAGAAACAACCTACGGCGAACTCCTCACGCCCTTTGTCCACAAAATCTTCGCGCAAACCGGCCTCAAATCCTCGCACGTCTTCGTCGACCTCGGCTCAGGCGTTGGTAACGTCGTCCTCCAGTCCGCCCTGCAAACCGGGGCGGAAAGCTGGGGCATCGAGAAAATGGACCTGGCCGCTTCTCTAGGGTCGAAGCAAGCGTCCGAACTGCAAGCCCGCGCACGCCTGTGGAACATCACCCTCGGCGACATGCAGCTTATCCACGGCGACTTTCTCGACACGCCCGCCATCGACGCCGTCCTGCGGCGCGCAGACGTCGTCCTCGTCAATAACAAAGTCTTCGGCGAGAAGCTGAATAACCTGCTCCTGCAAAAGTTCCTCGACTTGAAGGAGGGTTGTAAAGTGGTTAGCTTGGAGAGTTTTGGCGGCGGCGCGAAGCAGGGGGTGCGGAATGAACAGAGTATTGCCGGGCTGTTTGAGGAAGAGCGGTTTGAATCGGGCACAAATAGTGTGAGTTGGGCCGGTGAGAGTGTTGAGTATTTTATTGCTACCAAGGCGCGTTGACGGGTGGTGTGTCTTGCTTGAATTCAAGGAAGCATCTGGCTTTTGACTACTTGGCGGCTGGCTATCTTAATACTGATGACGCCGACAGTCCTATTATCTTCTTCATATTCCGTTGTAGTATATCGCGGTAGCATAACATAGCGTAGATGGCACCCATTGTAAATTATTGCATCGCATCGCATTGTCTTGCTTTGGCATGACCCTAGAGTACTTCGCAGGCGGGATTTGTACGTGTTTAGGTGATCAGAGGGTGGATACGCGGGAATTATGACATCAGAAATCAATACCCCGGCATAGTATAGCATAACATATCATGATATAGACAGCGGTAGATTAGAATGACTGCTTGGACACGCGCGGGTGTAAAGCCTGTGTTTAAGGGGGAGGAAGTGGGTGGGACCTTTGTATCGATATCCGAGTTGTAAACTAGTCGTATGGAATAGATGGATATGGTATCTAATGCATGTAGACTGTTTACATGCTTCTGTATCGCATCAAGGTGTTGGGATCAGACACTAGATTCAACCACCTACACGCCTCGGATGGTTCTATCAACCCTATGCACTTCGTTTTGGAACTTCAAACGTCGCATTGCAAAATTCTCGAACTGAAGACAATGTGTAGATTCACCGACATATCTCAATAACTTTAGCTACTCTGATCTTCATCTTCATCTTCATCTTCAATCTTCCATATCATAGTCCCTATTCTCCAGACTATCCCTTCTCCCAACAACGAAGCCCTCTTCAAAACCCGCAGGTATATTGAAGGAGAGAAAGGAGCTAACTAGCTCTGTATATATATATAATGACGACGCCCAAGATTAGATTACCATGCCGTCACAACCCCAACAATGCAGCGCTAAATGCCAATTTTGAGTAACGCAGTTTAAAAATCAGAGGCCGAAGCCAAAGCAAAGCGCAAAATGTTCATGTACACGAATTCAAGGTGTCGTAAGGAATGTATGTGTGGGTATCATAAGGAGTGTGATGCTGATGCTGATGCTGAAAGGAGAGTCGTGATCGCGTGATAGGAACTAGGTGTATACATCCATCTCTTATACGAAGAGAGCAAGCGCTCCTCCGACCATTGCGTAGCCCACGGCGAAGTTCTTGTTCGCTGCGCCCGTTTGCAGGGATGGCTTTCCGGTCGTCTGCGTGGGCTTGCTGTCGCCGCCGCTTGTCTTGGGTACCTCTGCGGGATCAACAAACGCGTAGCTTGTAATCGTGCTCGGTTTGCCGTCCGCGCCCGTCGTGGTAATCAGCTTCACGCTGCTGATCTTGCCTCCACCAGGTGTGTACGTGGTCAAAAAGGTGGAGCCTTGGGCATTGGTCGCGGTAAGCACTTCGCCTGCAGTCGGTGCGAACCTGGCGGCAGAAGTGGTGACGGTCGTACGGCCGGCGGAGTCGGTGGTTGTCTTGACAACGGCAGGGCGGTTTTCCGTGGTAGTTACAGCGCTGCCTTGGGCGTTGGTGCGGACAATGGTCACTTCGACCGAGGCAGTTACTTGGCTGAGGACAGAAGTGGTTTGCACAACAGTGCGACCCTGGCTGTCCGTCGTCGTTGCCTCAACAGGAACTACGACAGGGCGGTCAGCAGAGGAGACTGGCGGTGGTGCTGCGCTGCTTTGCTGGGGTGGCGGTGGAGCGGCGCTGCTTTCGGGGGTTGGCGGCAGCTGGGCACTCGTTTGTGGTGGAGGGCTTGGAGGTTGGGGAGTGGTGCCATTTGAAGTTCCTGCTTGTCTCTTCTTGAGGTCGCGAACAGCAGCGACGATGAGCTTTGTTGCCAAGGCAGGATTGTTGTCGTGGACGTGCTCGACACCTCGGTGGTGCGACTCAAAGACACCCTTTTGGAAGTCCTTGAGGCCACTCAATGCCGCTTGCAGTGATTCTTCAGGCAGCGCGTTGAGCAGGTCTTGGAAGGCATCCTGCGCGCTGGCGTAGATGGAGTTGGCCTCGACCTGCTTCGTTGGGGAAGCAGGCTCGCCGGCGAAAACAGTGCTGAACAATGGCAAAGCCAGGAAGGCCAATGTACCGAAAGACCGCATCGTGATAGGCGTTGAACAAGCTGAGGATGGCAAAGTGGAAGCGGAAAGCGAAAGTGGACTATCTCTCAGCGAAAAGAAATGGCAACTGCATCAATGCGCGTTAGCAAAGCGTCATGCTGACTATGACGGTCGGGAACATGTTGGCAAGGAAAGGACATATGCCCGAGTCGGGCAGCTGGCCTTATAAGATTGCAAGCTGGGGTGTTGAGTCGCTGGAGAGCTGGTCGGACGGGGGAGGTGCTTACACGCAAATTAACAGAGAGTCGCTTCCGGGTGGTTGGGACGCTTCTGCTGTCAAACGCCACAAGTTAAATCGATAGCTCCTTCCTAGTGAGGCGTCGCCGACAAAGGGTGCACGCAGAGGGTAATTTCGTGTTAATAAACGAAGCGAACGTATACGGTCGAAGGTAGGTAGGTAGTATTGTAGTTGGCAGCGAATGTGTATGAGTGTGAGAAATTGGTTTCGCAGAAAAAGGTGGAGGCGCTGAGATGCTTAAAGGCAGAGATGGCGTCCGCCTACGACTGATACAACGGACAGCAATACGAGCGCCAGCCAGGCCGTGGACCCGCCCATGGCCTTTTCGCTCAAAACTGTCTTACCCTGGCCCAAACGAGCCTAATCATCGTGTCCCGTCTGCCTCCGGTGACGATCCTCACGCGTCTCGAAACTTCGCCCATAGCTCGTCGCTCCATCCTCTCGTAGCGCCCTGTCCAAGCGTACGCAGGGGTTGCAAGGCATCATCACCATCACCATCACAATCCTCCGAAACCTCGGTAATTGTGCCCCAAAACGCGAAGAACAGCATGTCATACAGCGATTTGAAACCAGTCACAAAAGTTGGCACGTAAAGTTTGGGATCGGGACATATAACACCCCCCCTGTAGCAGCCGCGCACGAAAAGCCGAAAAGGCAACGCGGTGCAACAGGGGGTGGGCTTAAGCGGGTGCTGGATACGGAAGCTTGTTACTATCCCTGTTGCAGGACGTCATGTAGTTAGTGGTCGGAGAGGGCCCGCAGAGCTCGATGCTGAAACCGAGGAGCGACCGCATGGCCGCCACCGAGGATTCTTGGTCGGATGCCTACGCGTTTCCTGCTGCTGCGGTCGACAATACAATCCAATTCAGTTCAAAGCGGCCCTCGAAACGGACAGAACAAAACATCTACTACCCTTCTTTGGCCAACTCGACTATAAACGGCGTCTTCGTATATCCACCAATGTTAGTCGTGCCATGTTCCCCTCTTCTCGCAAACCTCGCATCACATCTCACCTACTCACTCCATTGTGATCGGTCACGGTCTCGCTCCGCTGTCTTTTTTCTATTTTTAACCACACGAAAAGCAAGCTGATTGGCCTGGCCATAATGACCACCACCACTCACAGGCCCGCCGGCCACGAGCTAGACCGCGCAGCTTCCTCCCGAACATCCGCCAAGGGCCATGCACATGCACTCGCCACACACTAGAAGACGAGACGAGACCACTGTCCACTGTGCTCACTCGCTACTTTTGCTAACTAACACACGCGAACGGCAGGCACGGCAGTTAGCAGCAGTAGTTTCGTGATATTGTTGTTTCTTAAGAAATGTTGAGTTTGAAGCGTGAAGCTACGATACTAGGCTATGGCAACAGGCGAACGGTAACGGTGACATAATCGCTTATAGAGTTTCAGTTTCTTCATGTCATGCACCAAGCTAAACTCTTATACTCGGTGCTCGTACATGATGCAAATGATCAGGATCATGATTCGCTGCTGAGGATATACAAGCCTGCGCTGACTTGCATATCGCGGCTTTGGCTCTTGCACGTGTTCTTCTGCAGACAACCCCTCGCCTCTCATCACAAGATACATGAAAGATTCACGTAATCAAAACGTGATCTAGACGTGATCTAGAAGTAAAATTATTTAGTCTTGTCCAAGATCAGAGCACGGTCTGATATATAATTAGCTTGCAGGTTTGGACATATAACTTCCTCTCCATCAGAGAACCGTGGGAGAATATTAAAGAGATTACTATTACTACTGCCTCGCCATTGTCATTCACATGAGCGAGCGAGCGAGCTCGTTGCTCATCGCTCATCATTCGTCGTCGCTATATGCAAAACCTCTCCAACCCATATACATCTTGAACACAGACTGCTGCAGTCCCTGCTGGTATCTTCTACAAAGCCATCATGGCCAACCCAAATCCATCCAAATACTTGTCCAACGCCATGAATCCAAACTTGGTTCCGTCATAAACACCTGAAACATGACCAAGAAGCCGCAGAGGCCCTGTCTCATGAAGTTGGGTTAGTGGAAGGCTTGGAAGACCCATCTTCAGCACGCGTAGGATTCGCACTAGCTGTTTCCGTTGCAGCTTGAGATGGGGTAATCGCTACTTCTGAATCCGAAGATGCGTGGTGCGTAGGTGTCGTGGCATCTGGTTGTATCGGCTGAGATGCGGGAGACGTGGTCGCAGCGGGTGGTCCAGACCCATTGGGAGCAGATTGAGCGGTAGAACCCGCAGTCCCAGACTGATTACCCGAAGATCTCTCTGGAGATCGCGCGACTGATTTCGGCTCAGTCAACGCTGCTGGGAGGTACGACGCCGCAAGCATAGTCGGTGGGCTCTGGCTTGGCTCTACAGCTGTAGTGGAGGGACTACCAGCCACTACAGTTGCAGGTAGTGGGTTCGGGCTCGACCCTGTAGGTGTGACATCCTCCGAACCTTTAGCCGCTGGTTGTGTACTATTAGGCGATTGTGGCATCTCCATAGAACGCCCCCTGGCATGTGAATTTTCCTGAGGCCTCGTCGGGCTCTGCAGAGGAGGCAGGTGGCTCGAACTGCCAGGCGGGCTCTTAGCTCGTTCTCTCTTGTCTAGGCGCTCTTTGTGGTCTTGCCTCAACTTTGAGAACCAGCCGAATGTGCTCTTTCCTTCAGCCCTGTCGGGGTCAGGCGGACTGCCGTACAGCATTGACGTCTCAGAGCTCTGGTTCGAGTCGTACTGTAAGCTACGCCGACCACCTCCAGTCCATCCTGAGCTGCTGGCGAAGGAGCTCATGCTCTTGTCACCACCAGGGACAGAGCCATGCAGATCAGTCTGGCTTGCTATAGGCGTTGCTTTGCTCTCACCACGCTTGTGGCCCTTCCAGAAACTACGCTTCTCATCCTTCGAGTGCTCGTCCGCAAGGTCTGCCTCTGAGTACTCCGTCGCAGTAGAATGTGACCTGAAGGAAGCAGACGGCGACATGGTAGGCTTCAATGTTGTACCCGAGTTCCGCGAAGATATTGTGTCACTGTTGTACGAGTGCAAAGCCTCCTTGGAGCTGCTTGCCTGAGATTGGCCTTGGGCAAACGGAGGTTGGGGCGGTTGCAAAGGGGGTAGAGCTCCCAGAGGTACCTGAGCCGCTCCGAAGCCGGTATCGCCCCCGGTAAGTGAATGAGTCGAACTCTGCGCGCTCTGGTTGGCACTGATTGGCATTCTCTTCTTTTGCAGTTTGTTTGGCTTGCGACCATCCTTGCTGTCATTAGGTGGTGAAGCCGCTACTTTGGAAAGAAGTTGAGTGAATGTGCGCACAGCTGGACTTGGCTCTACGAATGAGCCCGAGTCAACGGGAGCCTCCAAAAACTCGGATCTTTCGCGTGTTGGTGTGTGTTGGGGGCTGCGAGAGCCTGGCGTGGATGCGCGTGGAAGCAGCAGAGATTCGGCTGCCTGGTCAGAGGCGATATTTGGAGTCACGGGCGCGCTTGCTGGTATAACCTCCGGCGAAGGCAGAGGAAAGGCTCCGGGTATCTTGTCGACCGCAGGTGTCACCGCGGGCGGCTTATTCTGCTGTACACCTAACGGCTGGAAGGGCGTTGGCATGTCTATCCTCTGAGGAGGTAATGTCATGGTACGTCTCGGCAGTGCCTGCTCTGGTTCTACAGGTTGAACGGATTGTGCAGCTTGTGTGGGTTGTGATTGTTCTACAGCTCGTTGTACCGGCTGCACAGCCTCGGCTGAGGATGCGGTGGGCTGCTCGGTGTTTTGCTTGGAATTAGGTATGCTTGTTGTAGTACCGGCTGGTGTTGGTGTTGAAAGTGGGCTTTTCACCTCTTCGCCGGCAGGAGTGGTCGAACCCGAGTTCTTTTCTGTTGGAAAACGAGGACTACCAATAGCTGGAGATCGCTTTGAAGGCAGCGTGTTGCTTCGATGCACACCTGACCCGGTTGGCGTGGAAAAGGCGGGTGTAATTGGGCTGGGAACTGCCCCCGAGTGGCGCGAGCGCTTAGATGACGTGGAAACATTTCTGCGCACAGCTCCATACTTGCGCAAGCTCTCAGCGCCAGCGCTCGAGGATGTAGAGGTAGAACGGCCAATACCAGAATTGTTGCGACCCGGAGTTGTGGGCTGTGGGGTTGGTGGCCCACTTTCGATGTGCTTGACGGTTCCTTCGTCGACAGCAGTGCCCTCCATTCCAATCAGGAAGTGGTCTTGGTTGTCGATGAGAAATATGAGAACGTCTTGACTCAGTCGGTAATCCTGTGGAGACATATCATGCTGAGGATGAGACAGAATTCCTGGCTGAAAAATGGCGGCAAGATTGGAAGTTGTCATCTTGTTAACATCTGCCTTTGCGGCGAAGACTGCGAGCAGATCCAGGATATATAGCAGTAGCTGGCGGTTGAGAGAAGGTAAAGCCTTAATCTGGTGCTGATATATGCGTACTGCAGCATCTGGGTCGAATCCTCCCTGTGATGGCGATTGGCCTTCAATAGGGCCAACAGCCTCTGCTTGGTGATTTCGCAGGGGTTGGCGGAAAGGGTCATAGTGTTGCAGCGGGATGATGGGTTCTGGGAGATTGTTGAAGTAGCGACGCAAGATGTTGGCGGCATCGTGCACAGTGTAGCCTGTCCAGTCCAGTCCTTTTCCATATCGTGGTGGGGTATCAAAAGCGGTCTTGAGCTCCTTTATTCTTTTTTCCGACCCGGCTAAACGAAAGATGCCCTCGACATCGGTTGCTGCGCAGTGTTAGAAACGCAGAGAGGGTCAAGAGAGCATGGCTGACCTTTCTCTTTCAAGTAGACGCCGCACTTTGCAACCACAATAGGGACGTAGCCATAGATGTAGCTCTCGCCATGCTCGTTGAAGAGTGATATGGCAACATTGGCATAGGGTATGCTTTGAATGAGGGGCACACCAAAGATTCCGGCAAGGGTGGAATCTACGTTGTAAGGACGGCTGTCAGTGAATGCATGCGACAAAGAGTAGCGGGGATGCTGTAGGCAGACTTGGATAAGGCTCAGTCTCATCAGGGCGCCTAGAGAGCTAGGAAGGCCGCAGTGGGCTGCTCGAGCTAGGTGAGGATGGCGTACCTTTTTCGTCTTCCTTCTTTGCGGGCCGTTTGCTAAACTGCCTCCACCACGAGGTTAGGTCTCGGCGTGAGGACGCGGGCTCTGGTGTTGCGGCTGGAGCGGGCTGGGGCTCCCCATGGCGCACGCGCGGAGTATGGAGGTGGTTTTGGGTGCTGCTTGGCATGGCAGGCGAGCTGAAGAGCGTCGCAGCTCTTCAGACGAAGATGGCCGCGGGCTGTAGTCGATCGCAGCGTGTTGTGGAGTGGTGCTGTGCAGGTCCAGGTGGGTCCGATGGGGATAGGCGGCAGTGAGTACGGCGGTACGGGGGCCGGTTCGTGACGTCGGCGTGTAGCGAGCGCGCAAGAATAGCAAGACTGCGGGGCACTTCGTATCGTCCGTAGCAAGACTGCGCAGGCGGCCGAGGGAAGAGGGAGCTGCTGAGCGTGCTGGCGCAAGCGTGGGCTGGCCTTGGAGGCAGAACAATGGGCCTCGAGAAACGCGCAGTGGGTAGCGGCGGCGGTTAGGGGGTATATGCGCAGGACCGCGACGAGGTTCAAGGGCGCAATATGGGAGTGCGCATGTAGCTGTGGCTCGAGTCGCTGTTAGGCATGCAGGGTCGCGTGCTGCAGAGGGCAATGATCGCGGGCGTGGGTGGTGAGCAAGTGGCAGCCCAATGTTGGACTGACGAAGCGCAGCGGCTTAGCGGGCAGGATGTGTGGCTGTCGGCCAATTGAGCGCATCCAGCAAAGACGGCACAGCGTCGCCTGACATGCAAACACCAGCGCGAGGGCTATATCCAGGCGTCGGGAGAATGGAGCGTCGATCAGCAGCAGTGCGATGCGACGGAGTGGAGGGCGTCGTGGTGGTGGTGGTTGTGCTGTATGTTAATGGCTGTCGTCTGGATCCGATAATAAAGAGGGCCGTTCTTGGCGGGGAAAGGTACCGGTCCTTGTACAGATGCAAACATGCGGCGGTAAAATGGGAGGATTATTCAAAGACAATGGTTGTGACGGAATGCAAGAGGACGACTTGGAGTGTCCATGGCAGTCCAGAAGAGATGCTAGAACCGGGCACGCCCGAGAGCTGTCATGGGCGGCTTCCAAGGTTCTCGAGGCTGCAGCCATGGGCACCTGTTCCTGTGGGCTGGGGCTGGGCTGGGTGGTGAAAGAGGAACGGACCGTGGAGCAGTCTAAGCTCGCTTCCAAAATTTTGGGCCCGGGGAAGCTCTTCATTCAGCATCCCATACCTAGCTCTTCATCTGCCGCAGCGCCCTCACGTCATCACATTAACTCGATTCCACCCGTACAACCCGCGACGAGCATACTACAGCCGCCACCCTAGACACACAAGCATCAACCACAATGGACTCGTGCGCCACCACGCCCCAGTGTCTACCCTACTCAGCTAATCGCGTGCCAGACTCTCGGCAAATGAGCAGCGCGAGCTGCAGAACCGCATGGAGAAGAAGCAGATGAAGGAGTTTATGAACGTAGGCAGCACTTCATCGCACTTGCCCAAGCCACAAACTAACCCTGCCCCAGATGTACTCCAACCTCGTCCAGCAATGCTTCGATTCCTGCGTCAACGGCTTCGAGAGCAAGTCCCTCACCTCGCGCGAAGAGAGCTGCGTCATGCGATGCGTAGACAAGCACATGAAGGGCTCCCAGCGATTGGGTGACCGCTTCCAGGAGCAGAACGCTGCCATGGCACAACAAGGAGGCATGCCCGGCAGGTAATACTGTCAGAATGAGAGATGCGTCAAAAGTGGCAGAGGGAGGGGTGGAAGAACACGCGATGGCAGCATCACAAAAGGCCTGCCACCATGGGTACGTTCACGAAGCTTTTGCTCGGTCGTTGGACGCTACTGGACCGCTTTAATGAATGACATTTGTACTATATAGGGTTGGGATTCGGAATCTGGGGCGCACAACAATCTCCATTTCATCGGTATATGCAATGCATCTCAACTGGCCATCGATGTTCACTCTTTTGTCTCACCAATCAGTTCCTTGACGCAAGGCCTAACAAATGATTGGTCGTAGTAAAGTGGTGCTTAAACGATTTCTCGTCAGCGCAGGCACGATAACATTATATCCATCGATGTAGCTACGGTCATGGAGGGTTATAAAGCAGCTTAAGATAGGAAGAGTCATAATGCAAGTTTATGTGCCCTGGTGTAGGACTTCAATATTAACCACAGGGCAATGAAGTTGAGCAGACACGATATATTAGGTTGTAAGAGGGTATAAAAGATACACTGATGCGATGCGATGCATAGAGGACTGCACTTCACAACTCCGTTGTTGTGGATGGACCGCCCTGAGACCGAAACCGTACTAACGCCGTCGCCCGTCAATTCGTCAAATCATGGACATGTTGTAAGGTAGATAGGTTACTGGGGGACAATTAGCAACGAGTTGATGTTGCCCGGGAAGACACCTTACAAGGCGGTGGATCGTAGAAAAATCAGTCTAGCGGAAGCAACTGAAGCGACCGAGAGAGAGGCGAAATGAAGGTCGTGCACCGTGCTTGTTAGCAACAATACCGCCGCCTGAAATGGTAGTTAGTACTGACGCTTACGGCGAGGAGGATGTCACTAGAAAGCAGAGCGATCCAACTTACCGACGTGTTTTCTATTCCACATCTTTGTCCACATAAGACCCATGGTAGGTTCTTGTTTTACTGGAAAGTCTCAAGGGGTAGTTGAGTTAATTGGAAGTTGGAAGGGTAGACTAGGAACGGTACTTTGTTCTGAGGAGGTTTGATTCTGAGGAAGTTTGAAGAGGTGGATTATGTAGGCTGATTGATGGCAGGAAGGCTGGTGGGAAGGCTGGAGTAAAGCAGGGCCGAGCAAGCACAAGCGCTGTGGAGTTGCATACTACGTAAGCCAAGGGCTTGGTAGCCACAAGCATTACATAGCCACAGGCATCCTAGGGCCAACTAAATTGCTAAAGATGTTTGAACCTGAGTCTAGGCTGTGACGTACCAAATGCCCTACCTTGTCGCCAGCCGCAGGCCAGCATCTCCAGTTTCATCAGACGCCGTGTCAAACTTCGCAGCTGGATATTACCCCCGGGAGACATCACACTGCGACGAAGTTCAATTGGTGAACATCGCCACGGTTATAACTTAAATATAGCAGAATGCGCTCAATCCTCATCATCAACCCGAACTCTACGGAGTCCATGACCAATGGCTTGAAGCCGCTTGTTGATGCGCTGCATTTCAAAGATGTCGATCACCACCACTCACCACTACTTGCCAGCAACTAACCACAGCTATCAGACCGTACATGAATACTTCACTGCACCTTCAGGGCCGAAGAGCATCAACAACGAAGACGATGCCCTAGAGTCAGTCGACCACTGCTTGCCCACGCTGCGACACGCCCTCGATCGCCACGATGGCTTCCTCATCGCATGCTACTCGCACCACCCTCTCGTCCCCATACTCAAGGAAGAATCTGTCATCAAAGCCGCGCGCAAACCCGTAACTGGCATCTTCGAAGCCAGCGTAGGCACCTCGCTCCAGTCCATCCACCCCGACGAGAAGTTCGGCATTGTAAGCACAGGCAAAGTATGGGAAGCCATCCTCACAGATGCAACCATTGCCTTCCTCGGTACCGGCCCTGAAGCAAGCAAGCGCTTTGCGGGCGTCGAAACAACAGGGCTCAATGCGACGGATTTGCATGATGCTCCGGCGGAGGAGGTAAGGAAGAGAATGAAGGATGCTGTAAAGAGGTTGTTGCAGAAGGGAAGCGTTGGCGCAATCTGTTTGGGATGTGCGGGTATGGCCGGAATGGATCAAATGGTTAGGGAGGCTTGCGTGGAAGAGTTGGGAGAGGTCGAGGGGAAGAGGGTGAGGGTTGTGGATGGTGTTGTGGCGGGTGTTGCATGGCTGGAAGGTGCTGTGAGGGCTGGGTTCTAGCTTTGACAATATATTTCATGGTTCTTAAAAAGTAGAGCACATAGTCTTCCAATACAAACTGCATTGCTGGTGTCGACTTAAGCTGAATGATAATAATGGGGCAATAGCCAAAAACGGAATGACGTTCATGCGGGAGGCTTAATTCCGAGCTTCGACCTCCACAACTTTCCCATACCAACATCACCATCCAGTCAACATCTCCGCTCCTATCATGTCTTACAGAATAGTCAGTATTTCAAGCATATGACCGACGCTTCTTATTTGCGCAACTTCTGCGTCTTATAGCCGACAATTGTCAAGCAATCTCTAAGACCTCACGTCTCCCGATAACTATGAACCTCCTACCAAACGAACTTCTCATTCAGATCGCATCACACCTTGACTCTGATCCTCCCTCAATTACCAAGTTCGCCCACGAGCCATCGACAGAACTAACGTCCTGCGGCTTTACACCACTAAAGTTCCTTTCTCAAGTATCATGGCGCTGGAGAAAGATTGTCTTGCCACTTCTCTTCCGTTACTCCCGAATCTCCCTAGACACAGAGCCGCAATGGGTGCCAATCGATGCACGACTAGTCGATAGTATGCAAGGCCACTTAACGACGCTGAGTAATCATGAATTCCAAATCTACCACAAGATGCGCAGCAAGTTCAAGAGTAGCTCAACCTTCGCGTATGAGGAAGCATTTGATGACCTTCTTATCAATCTTTGTCGAATCCAAGACGGGGACGAGTTTTTGAAGTCGGTACCGCACCTTCTTTGGCTTCCGCATCTTCCGAGGACATTCGCAGACTTCGCGCGGTTTGTTGAGCAGTTCAGTTTGAAGCATCACATCAAGGGTATCGTGGTACACACAGATAAGGAGTACGGGTTACGCCATGTTTCTACTGCCGATGCACCCTTAGCCCGTGCAGTTTCTGAGATCTGGGACCAGATCTTCTCTCGTCTCGAACCTACCCGTGTCGTTGTCGCCGCTCCACCAACAACCCTCGCTGGACTGCTGGACACACAGATGATGAGCTCTGACGCATGGGCATTTGAAATGAAAATACACTACATCGAGCTTCTCCAATCAGAACCATTACGCCTTGAACACATGAAGACCAAATGTCGACCCTGGGATTGGGCGCTTGTCCATAGCCGACCATGGTACCACCTCGGCTACAATGAGGGCTCCTCCATAACTGCATACAGCACCTACGAATACCACCTTAAACAATGCCCAAAGATGCTCTATCTCATCCTCATTCGCCTTGCCAAAGAAGCCCAGGCTTGTTGCAACATCACATCATTTTGTTTCACAGGCGTGTTTCCGTTCGCTACGAACGTCACCACCCTCGTCCGGGCTCTAGACCGGATCCCAACTCTCAGGAAGGTGTCTGTTCAGTTTGCGCCCGGGCCGGAAAACACCCTACTCAGCGAGCCGAGCAGAATGGGTAGAGCACAATCCAGTGATTTTTGGCTTGAGTGGACGGAGAGTTACAAAGTTATTGCGAGTTACCTGGGCGTTTTTGACTTTGAAGATGGAGCAGAGTTCAGGAGTGGAGATTGTGACAATGTGAAACAGGCGATCGAAGTGGGAGAGTGCATGGATCTGTTAAGGAAGAGAGGCACTGGATGGCGAAAAGAAGGAGAGGTTACGTGGGTTAGGGACCATGAACTTGATGAAGAGGCTAGTGGAGAGGTTGTGGTTGTTTGATTCGAACGCGATAAATCACCAAAGTCCATAAAAGATTCTCGACATTTTGGACACCACTTTTCTGACGCGCGTTCGATAGAGAACTTGCAGTATACGAAGTTGGTCAATCCTGTCGGCTTTGACCTACCTGCACAAAACACTTTATCCTCGTCCTCCTAAGATTATCAATTGATACGGAAAAGAACGCCTCATCGAACCATGCATATTTGCAACAAAAACAGCAACCTTGATACGCACATATGCGTGCACTAAGTCTTTGGACAGCGTTTTTGAATGCGTTGACGAGAGAGGGTCGCCAGGATTTGCCACGTGGCGTTGGACGTGGTCGTTTAGCTGCCCCTCCCCTGCTGCTACAGAAACTAAACTGACACGTCAGCTGACCGCTAGGCTTCAGTCTCATCTCAAGTTTCAATGTTTTATTTCAACAGAGAAAGGACGAACAGTAGCGATTGCTACCCGCTATAGTATCACAAGCTAATTTCGGGTTTTTCGCGATATAAACACCAAATTTCGTTAAATGGAAGTGGTTTATCTTAGTACTACCCTGTGTAGCTTCGCTCGTAGCCAACATGGATTTACCGAGCTATCGCTATGAGCCTCTCACTCCCAAGACTCCTGCCATCCGCCTCCTCGATGTTCTGCCTTCAAAACCTGGCGAATTGTGTTGTCAACTTAACGAAGTATTTCTTGATCAGAATCCAAAATTCACGACCGTATCCTATTGCTGGGGCGCTACAAAGCGCACAATTCCAACCACCTTTCTTTGCGAGAATGGAAAGCATGCGCAGCTCAACATCACACCAAATCTGCAAAGCTTTCTTCTTCAATTTATCATCAATCATCCAGATCATGGCACAAGGCCAATGTTGTGGGTAGACGCTGCCTCCATAAATCAGGACGACAATGAAGAGCGAAGCGCGCAGGTCGCAATGATGCAGGACATCTATCATAAAGCCGAGCGCGTTATTGCATGGCTTGGAGAAGGCACTCTACAAAGCGACGCTGGAATGGCCTTCATTCCCCAACTAGTCGCTGCAGAGCAGCGAGCGAAGATGCTTGACGGCACTCTCAGCTCCATCTCAACATGGCGCCGTCTGAGAATGCTTGGCCTCCCAAAAGAAGGCAACGACGACAAATATGAGGCTTTCGTGTCCTTGTTCAAAAGAGAATGGTTCTCTAGGGTGTGGATTATTCAGGAAGTCGCGATGGCTAAAGAAGTACAACTCACGTGTGGCTCACAGTCAGCTTCCTGGGATGACTTTGTGAAGGCGTACTTCTTCATGAACACTCTCAACTTAATTATGCCGGATCCGGCAGGTTCCACTCCAAGCTTAATTAGGGTTCACGGCGTTATTCTTTCGAGAGAGTCGAGAGTGCTACATCATACCAGAGACTTACTAGGCATCCTTTTGCGCAGTCGATCATCACTTGCAACGGATCCAAGAGATAAAATATTCGCACTCCTAGGGCTTGCTACCAATACTGGTCCAGATGCTATGAATTTTCGAGCAGATTATACGCTCGACGTGCAGCAAGTATACACGGATCTTGTTCTCGCTATCATCGGCTTTGAGCAGAATCTGGATATATTAGGCGTGCCGCGTAAAGCAAACACCTCGCCACCTGAAACCTGGCCTTCCTGGGTTCCGGACTGGTCCACTTGGGATACTACATCTATGCTCAACTGCCGGGAGCGTCACGCAAGCTATGCGGCAAACGACGAGATACTTGTACGAAATGCAGCAGGCGACACAAGAGCTGCGCCACAAGTGAGTAGTGACAAGCGTCTGCTCGGACTTGAAGGAAATGTGTTCGACGAAGTTACGAACGTAGGTGCTATCTACGAAAGCGACGACAAATTGCTAGACTTCAATGTTTGGTTGATAGCCTTCTTCAAATTCTGGAAGGACTGCACAAAAGCTCTGCTACACTGGGAAAGCATATCTGAAGCCCGTAGCGGCAAGTTGTATCCCCCAACTGGAGAGACCATGCTTGATGCGTATTGGCAAACCATCACAGGGGGCTGGCAAGTCGGAGGACATGAGTTGTCTTCATCGACTTATGTTAAATGGGATTCGTATCACCGGCCTGCAGCCTCCCTCCGACGACTCGTAGGTCGTTCGATCGCAACGACCTCAGCCTATGGCTGGTTGACTGTGGGCCTTTGCGTATGCAAGCAAATGTACCGTCCAATCCCAGAGTTGGGGTTTGATTTTACCCTGGCAACTAACCGCCGGTTCATACGGTCCAAGAAAGGCTTCATGGGCCTAGTTCCAGCGGAAACTCGTTCTGGCGACAAAATCGCCTTGTTCAAAGGTGGGGGGTCTCCATTGATCATCCGAGCTCACGGGGAGAACTGGGAGTTGGTTGGAGACAGTTATGTGCATGGTATGATGAATGCTGAGTGCTTTCGCGAGGATGAGTGTCACACTATGTGGTTAGCGTAACGAAAGTCTATATGATCATGCCTGCTGTACAAAATCAAAAGAACGCTGCTCTGTATTGTGTGGTACGATCGTCGTTATACGACACTGAAACTCAAGAAGCCACTGCAAGCTTAAACCTTTGATATTAAACATCCTCCTCTTTACTAATACAACAAAATGTCGACACCAAGCGGTGAGAAGTCATCGCTCCTCCTATCCTTTGTCCTGGGTATATAGTACCGAATTATCCAAATGACCCTCCATTATATACATGACCTACCAGTTCCGTTCATCCCAAAACATAACATCGTACATCCAAACCAAAATTTCCAGTCAACTCCTTGACAAATCCCTGTGGTGCAGCCACTTGCGTATTATTGAGGACTTCCTCAGAGCCAACCTATACATTAAGTCGTGCAAAGAATACCCTCCCAGCCCACCGTCCACCTCACACTCCCCATAATTACAACCAACAAACCCAGCCCCGCGGCAACACTAACCGCACCATACACATACGCATGCCTCCTTCTCAACGTATCGATCTCCAACATCCACGTCGACACCGTCGTCAACGCGCCACAAAACCCATCCATAATGCCCTGCAGAACCTGGCAGCTGATTGCGCTCCCGCCCACGAGCCCCGTTGCGCTTAAAGGTACATGTTGGAGGTCATACGCCATGCCCAGCACCGCGGTGCCGAAGATGTTGACTGCGAATGTGCCCAGGGGGAATGACGGCGAGAGGGGGTTAAGAAGGAGGGAGATGTAGTAGCGCGTCAGACAGCCGATCGGGGCGAAGACGCATGCGAAGAGCGCCTGGCCGCGCCATGCGTTGTGGGGTGGCAAAATGCACAGGAGGACTGCGCCGAGCCATATGCCCCAGCCGAGTAAGACGATGAGCGGGTCGAGAATGCGGCGTGTGAAGCGGAAGGGGAGCGTGGGTGTATAGGGGTCGAGGAGCAGGGCGAGATGGGACCCGAGTTTCAGGGCGGAGTAGCATGCTGTTACTGTGATGAAGATGGTGGCGCATATTGCCATGAAGGAGTCGCCGCTATTTCTTGGAACTGTCGTAGATACCGCTGGAACAGGCACGTTTGGGGGGTACGCATGGTTAATAGGCGAGCGGAGATCATTCGACAAGGCGAGAAAGACGTCGCGGATAAAACTCGAGAACGAGGTAAACGAGCCGCAGAACCCGGTTGCAAGGCCGATATACATGGGTATCGTCTTCTTGACCTTTCCATGTCGCGCTTTGTCGCGCTGTCTTTCCAGGTCGCCCCCACCAGGTTCAGACTCAGTGGGTCGATCTTGAGGCTCTGGTAAAGGTTCGCCGCGATCCCCCCATTCTGCGCGAAACAAGCGTCGGTCTTCGGCTAGAAAACCCATGATAAATGTCCCCGCGACATTGGCCCATAGCTCGGAGAAGATGACGGGTGCGCCGGGGTAGAAGGTCAGGGCTTGGAGACCTAGACGTGCGAGCGTGCCCCATATAGCGAAGAAGATCAGATAGGAGATGGTGTACAGCTCCGTCGCGTATCTGGATGCTCTCTGCGCCTGAGGCGTGGGCTTCGAGTGTGCATGGCGAGCTGCGAAGTCGTCGTCTTTGACGTCGGCTAAGCTGGGCAGAGCCGTGATATCCAATTGCGACCCTGAAGCCGTCCCCGACGCCCCCCGTCCCAACGGAAAAGACGGTCGTCTCGATCGCTGCATTCTTGACCCGTACGAGTGTGGACTCTCTACATGGTCCCTGTAGGCACGTCGACTTTGGTCTCGCGTCCTCGGCGTCCGGAGCGGCGGGGAATTCGCATTGAGTTCGTACGATTGGAGCCAGGGCTCTGGCACGAGTAGGTCGTCGAATCCTCCCTCGTCTCCTGCTCGCGAACCCGTCGTACTCCGTGATATCCGCTTCCCACTCCTGTCCCTTGGATACTTCCTCACACTGCTGTCATCTCTCCTCCTGGTATACGGAACAGTGGGCGAAGGCGACGCGTTCTCGCCAGGATAGGGAAGGGTATCGCTGTCGGCGCGATACGGCGACGTGGGAGTCTGCAACTTCTCAAGATCCAGGTCGAAGTCGTCGAGGCGATGCAAGGAACTGGGCCTGCGGGGACGGCTTGGCGGCCGCGCAGATGATTTATTGGAATTTAGAGAAGAACGGTAGGAAGAGCGTTGCTGGTTGTAGTGCGTGTCGCGTTTCGTCACAATGTCGTCGTCTATGTTGCTGCTGTGGTCGGCCATTGTCTTTCCGTCTCGTCCATCCACGGATCGCCGCGGTGCGATGACGCGCAATGCCAAAGAAAAGGACCCGATAGTAGCAGTATCAACGCAGAGAGCGCGTCTTGGTATCTATCATGGCGTCACGGGCGAAGGCGCCAATTCAAGGTTTCGAGGAGTAGTAAGATTGGATGGGAATATGTGGTACTTTCAGCCTCCCTTTCCACCGCGGCGCAAAAAAGAAACATTGACTCGGCGCCATAATTGTGGTCAGCGTGCGACGGATGACGCCTCGTACCAAACTCTCGAGTAGACGCAGGGACATGCCTGTCGAGCCTCATGCACTAAGCCGCTGCAGTACAGGGTTGCAAGCCCCGGAGGCGCCCGAGCGACAGTGGGCAGTGTTATCGCTGCCGGCATGTGGGTTATTAGCTCTATCGTACACCTGCCGCATACAACAAGCTCAAGCTACCCCGACCGAAGATACATTCGTCTCATATAGCAACAAAACGTACAGACCTTGCTATTCTCCTCTTGGCACTTGAAAAGGGCATACATCTACCATCATGGCGAACATCCAGCTTCCAAAGAACGCACACGTATCCACCCATCCATGTCTCCAAGCGAAGCTCTCGCAGCTCCGGTCCGCGAAGACAGGGTCCAGAGATGCCCAAACACTGGTGCATGAAATCGCCCTCATGGTTGGATACGAAGCGCTGGCCTCGGGCCTGAAAGCCCAGCAGCAAGGCACAGTATGTTTTCTCCCATATTCCCCCAGCTCTATTGCCCATATTACCACCTCGATAAAGTGGGGTCGTACCAATAAACACCAGCCATGCCTCCAAACAAGTCGAGTCCCAATAACGCCTTACCACCGAAATCTTGAAGGAAAGCTTGCTTGCTACATAACTAATAGGAGAAATGTAGGACGAATCACCACTAGGCTACACATACACAACAACCACCACCTCGCCCTCCCCAACCTCGATATCCCTCGTCCCCATCCTCCGCTCCGGCCTCTCCATGGTCCCAGCGCTCTCCTCGCTCCTCCCCGCACCCGTCCCCATCCACCACCTAGGCCTCTACCGTGAAAAGTCCACCCTCCAGCCCGTAGAATACTACAACAACCTGCCCTACCATTTCCCCTCGTCGGCCGCAAATAGCAAGCCGCATCCCGAGCTGGCCATTATCGTCGACCCGGTCATTGCCACGGGCGCAACGGCTTGTGCGGCGATTGATTCGCTGCGGGATTGGGGTGTTAAGAGGATCATTGTGTGTGCGATTCTGGCTACCGAGGACGGACTGCATAAGGCGTGTAGTGAGTGGGAAGAGGGTGTTGAAGTGTGGGTTGGTGGGTGCGACAAGGATGTCGATGAGAAGGGTATGATTAAGCCTGGTCTAGGTGACATTGGCGATAGATTGTTCCTGACGCTTGGGAAATGAGAGAATTGGAGAGAGATGGTCCATTCTTCGCAGTTTGTAGCATAGACGCGAAGCAATCACCAACATGCAAAAGAAATTTGCCTGGCGTGAAAGCCACGAAATCAACCGTGAAGAAGACATAAATCTTATAAACGCATGGTATAATTCAAACGGATACAGTAGAGCGCCCAACTCAAGGCAGCCGAAGCCGAGCTATATAATACACATACTGGACCGTACTGCCCATATCTCAGCTAGACAGTAGTCTACAACAAGCGTAACAATGCGAGGCGACGTAGCCTAAACACCACTTTTGAAAGAGCCAAAATGTGTACCTAGAGAGGGCATCACGATAAGACCAGAAGTGAGGAGCACATCCCTACCTTTGATCTTACCTTGACAACGCACAATCGTGCTAATAACTTACATACCTACCCGCATAGAAAATAAAATAAAGAAAAGCGCAGTAGATTTTGAGAAAGAAAGTCACCTTTGCCCTACCCATCCATCACTAAGCGCCAGCCCGTGCCAAACATCCGTCTTCCGAATCTCAGAAGAGATACCAGTCGATGGAAATCCCATGGCGTTTGCGTTCGATAGATGCTGTACCTTTCCATTGTTGTCATGAGGTCATGCCCTGGTCTTTGTTGTCGAAAGTGGCGTGCCAGTAGGAGAAGCCATGTCGCTGTAGCCGCCTACCAAGAAGTGATTCGTATACAGTCTTACCCTCCAATGCTTGGGTGCTATGTGGTGCCGGACGTCAAGAGATGAACATGTCTGATCTTACCCTCATTGACGAGAAAGGGTTAGGCGAAGAAAAAGGGGGTAACCTTTCACAAACCCTTGGGTAACTTTGACCCCGTCGAAAAGGCCTAGTATCTCCTGCGTGATCTGTCGCCCTCGTAGCTGTCGCCCTCGTAGCCGCGCTTTCGTGAGCCGTCATCTCGGCCTGCACCGCCATCTCGGCCTCCGCCGCCATACCCGCCATCTCGATCTCGATACCGGTCTCTGCTGCCGAGAGGTTCGTTGTTCGCACCACTGGAGCCGCGATCGTTGAATCCGCCGCCGCCGCCACCGCTGCGCCTGTCTTCGTATCGGCCGCCTCCACCTCTATCTCCCCCGTACCCGCCTCCGCCTCCTCGATCGCCGCCAAACCCACCACCTCGTGGACCACGAGGACCAGCAGGGGCGCCGTCGGGAGGGCCGTACCCGTTCGATTGGTAGCCGATGCCTCCTCGACCACCACCAAACCCACCACCACCGCCGCCACGGCCTCCGCCTCCGCCACCAAAGCCTCCCCGGAAGCCGCCTCCTCGATCGCCGCCGCCAAAGCCGCCACGACCACCACCACGTCCGCCGAAGCCACCACCGCCAAAGCTTCCACCTCGGCCTCCAAAGCCGCCGGGTCCTGCGGGAGGACCAAAGCCAGGGCCAGCAGGGCCACGAGCAGCAGGGCCTTTGGTGTAGCCTCGACCACCGAGTCCTCCTCCGAAACGACGCGGGCGCCATCCAGATACCGTACGGCCGCGCTCGACATCAACCAGCACGCGTCGATCCTTGATTTTGATGCCGTCGGTCTCCTTGTAGGCGGCCTTCATGTCCTTCTCGCGCTCGTACACAATGAAGGCGTAACCACGCTTCCGCTTCTTGACTGGCGCGTCGGCTGGGGCGGTGATGTCTTCGACAATCCTGATGCGCTCAATGGGACCGTAGCGGCCAAATTCGCGTTCGATATCTTCTGAGGTGACGCCGTAGGCTAGGCGGGATACGAAGAGTGTTTTGAAGGCGTCGCCCTGGACTTTGGGATCTTCGCTGGGTTTATCTGTGGATTGTAAGCATGCGATACAGACATGAGGGGTACATGATCAAAAACGTGATTGCGCGTTGGGGCAAATTCGTACAATCGGTGATGCCGTCAGTGAGAAGTTTCTCCTGTTTCTCCTTCTTTTCTAGCTTCTTGCGGTCGCGCTTCTGCAGCCAGCTGTCGGTCGGCACGTAGACATCCGTTTCCTTGTATTCCTGCAGGGCTTGCAGGTACTGCCCAACGCCAGAGATTTTGGGTGTGCAGCGCTTCTCCGGCGCGTGGTCGGCCGGTTCAACCCATCGCAGCGGCGGCCGCGGGGCGAACAGGTTCAACAACATCGGTGGGAGGAGATGCGTCATCTTGATCGAGGGCCTGGAATGCGCTCCAGATAGCGATGTATAAAGTTGAATAAAAAGGGTGGTGGAGGGAGTGACGATGAAAAGTGAAGTTGGGGATGATGGTTGCGAGGAAGCTGCGACGCGGAGTTCGCATTAGCGCAGCCTTAGGCTCCACCGCCATCACGTGATGCAATCGCCAAACTTTTGGAGACCTCATTCACAGGCAGGTGTCCCCATCCGAGTCGCCATTGCACGCCAACATGCCTCTCTCGGCCATCAAGACGGTCGCAAAGGCTCAGGTAAGTCCTCACCATTACCATAAGTCAATTACCTTGTAGCTACGGTTCTAACGGATCCTCTAGAATGGCGTAGGGGCCTTCGTCCTCCAATGCAAGCGTCTCGACTTCCACTACTGCAACTGGTGGGGTAGTTCCCACGGGATGAACACCTTCATCAAGTCCTCGCTTCCCTCCTTTGCAAAGCGCAACCCACAAGTCGAGTTCTCGGTATGCCACATACCATGTCCCTCTCTCTTCGAATCTAGCCCCTCTAACACGTCCACTATAGGTATCCCCGCGGCCGCGCAAGCACCCAGTCATAATAGCACATTACATCAACGGCACCCAGCGATCGATATGCGTCAAAAACCTACAAAATGAAGGTGTTAGGGAGAAAGCCGAGCTACTACGAGACTCGAATGGAGAGAAGAACAGGAAAATTGGCAAGCCAGTGGCCAGTATCAATGAGAGCGTGCGAGGAATTTGGGATCCATTCCATGGAGCAAAGATAAATATATAGGGCGACTCATGAGATAGAGAGAGTTGGAAGGCGGTTATGGTTTAGGATCTTACCATCTCTGTATGTACAAAATACTAGCATGGGCGGCGCAAATTGGTTTGGACATATACAACAAATGTACAAACATTTCATGTTTCAAATACAGGATTCACGATATGCATCGACCTTGTCATTTCATTTAACATAGGCCAAATGGGCCAGGTACTATTTTCAGATCATGATTTCTTCATTGCTCATCCCGGGCTTCTACCATTTTACAGACGAGCCTCACCACCATGTATTCATGCCTGGTTGCTGTTGATGATATCATGGAACGCAGGCTTCAAGCTAGCGCCGCCAACAAGGAAGCCATCGATGTCAGGCTGCTTCGCCAGCTCGTTGGAGTTCTTCTCCGTCACGCTGCCACCGTACAGAATGCGCGTCTTCTCAGCAGCCTCGGACGAGACTTCCTTCTTCAGCCACTCGCGGATAGCGGCGTGGACTTCCTGTGCTTGGGCCGTGGTGGCGACCTTGCCGGTGCCGATGGCCCTGATATACATGTAAGTGGTGTGATTGGGGCGGTGAAGGGTGGAAGGGTACTCACCAGATGGGCTCGTAAGCAACAACGATCTTACTCCAGTCCTTGACCTTGTCTGCTACAGCCTTCAACTGCCTGGTTACCACACTGACGGTCTCGCCCTTCTCCCTTTGTTCGAGGCTCTCGCCGCAGCATAGAATCACGCTCAGACCACCGTCCAGCGCAGCCTTGGTCTTGCTCGCAACGAAAGCATCGTCCTCCTGCAAGATGACGCGGCGCTCAGAGTGGCCTAGGATTGTCCAGGTGATGCCGCTGTCCTTGAGCTGGTCGGCGGAGATCTCGCCTGTGAAAGCGCCGTTGGGCTTGTCGAAGACGTTCTGCGCAGCGACCTCGAGGCCTTCACGAAGGTTCTCGCGTGTGAGAAGGAGGTAGAGGGCCGGAGGTGCGATGACGACCTCTATTTTTCTGTATTAGCATTGGCTTTCTAGTGGTTTGAGTGTAGAGACGGAGGTTTCGGTGCATCGAGGGATCGTAATGGACGTACCAACTTTGGGGTCAAGCTTCGCTTCGTTGAGGTTCTTGACAATCTCCTTGATCGACTTGATATTGCCGTTCCTTTAGCATCGTTAGTTTTTTCTCCTTGTTCATGCGGTACTCACAGCTTGGCTAGTAACATACATTTTGAAGTTGCCTCCGATGAAAAATTGGCGAGCCATCTTGAATGATAGTTTGAAAAGATTGGAATAAGTGGTGGTTCTAGGGGTATGAAGGTAGAGGTGAGTTGAAGAAAAGTGTCGTGGTGTTGCAATGCGTTGTTGAGTTGCGCTGGACTTGCAGATGTTTTGGAGCTCGGCGGGGGCGGGGCAAGTGACGACGTTGTGAGCTGAGCGGTTTTCGGCGAACTGTGGACTGACTTTTGCTTCGTTCACGGCCGTGGGCAAAGGGAAAAGAATGGGGATGCGGATCTCACGTGAAATTGTGCATTTCGAGAAAATTCTATCAGCCATTGAACGACATTGTAGTGCACTCTTTAGGTCGGATCTTTACCGAACCCGCGTCTTCAAGCTATCGAATTGACCGTAGTCATAGTATTGTGAGACTCCTCTTTAGAAAGTATTCAATTAGAGTCTACACGGATAGCTATTCAGGTTCCGGCGTCTAGCTGTCAAAAGACGGGACATTTCGTAAAAGACGGCCCACTGATCGTCCTAGGATTTGTTAGCTCAGCCCTGCGGTTCTCCCATCTCGGCAGAGGCTGACGATGCCCAGGTGCAACCACCACCCACCACCTCAACTACTATAGCAGTGGAGCGTGTATCACGTGTGTCTCCACACACCATGTCCGACACGCCATCAGATTCCAGCTCTCATTCAGTCCAGGCACCCACGGTCCACGGCCTCTCCGTGACCCCGCTCACACAATGTTCTCACTGGCACTCCCCTCTCGACATCATCGCCATCAAACACTACTGCTGCAACAAGTTCTATGCCTGCATCAGTTGCCATGATGCATGCGAGGATCATAAACCAGATGTTTGGCCAATAAGCCACAACAATGAAAGAGCAGTACTATGTGGAGCGTGCAAATATGTCTTGACGGTGGATGAGTACATGAAGAGCGGGAGCCAATGTACGAAGTGCGGAAGTGGGTTTAATCCAGGGTGCAAGGGGCATTGGGGGCTGTACTTTGAGCTGGCAGGGAAGAGCTGAAGAGTTGGTATTAATTGAAGATGGCTAGGTCTCAATACCCTTCTCAACAACCAGATCCACACTGCATGTGTAGATATGGCGTGGAGATTGCACGCTGTCACTCAGCTGAAGGGGATCGTCAGCTCCGTATTCAAATTGATATGCGCGTCGACCAGCACCTCGACATACAGTCTGGAAAAGAACGAGGTGTGTGTGGTGCAAGGAACACAAGGAGTAGAAGAAGTTATTCATGATTCTAGATGGCCTGAATGGGCTACTCATGGCCATAATGATGGGTATCGTTCTGAGCATACACTCAAACCCTCCCCCACACGCTGTTCACGATTTTCACACAATGCACATCCATAACCGCACCCTCCCGAGCCTTTCCGGACCACGCTTCCTGGCTTGATGCCCACGCCGCAACGATCTCACCATCTTCCTGGCGCTGTACCGCCAATTCCCTCCACACACCTTCTACAAACTTCCCTTCGTACAGCGCCTCCAACGTCTGCCCATCTACCGTCTCGTAGTCCATAACCTCCAGCTCCAATCCAAAGTCTAGCTCATTCTCGTGCGCCTCTCCCGGCAACAGGCTCCACTCCATGTCCATCTCTTCGTCTGTCATCATCCGTTCTACGGTCGATAGGGAAGTCCGCCCAGCCAACTTCCGTTTTCTAGCTGCTTCGAGGCGCTCTGGCGATTCAACTTTGGTGGGCAGTGGTTTCGGTATTGTACCGAGAGCACCGGTTGGTGACAGGGGAGTGAATTGCCGGATTCGCCGGTAGATAGAGAAACGGGTGTAGCCGTAATGGTCGCGGAATTCATCACCTTCAAGGTATGTCTCCAGTTCTAGCCTCTTCTTACATAGACGTTCCGAGGCGGAAACTTGCTCTCGTTTGCTGATTGCTTTGCGACGATGTATACCAGCCTCTATTTTGTAAGGTTTGCTGTTCGCGGCTGAGCTTTTGGTAGTTGATCTTCGAGCACTTCGGCTCTTCGTTTTGGATCGGGTTCGTCCGGTGACGGGCCCTGCGGCTCGTTTTTGCGCTCGGAATAGAGTATCAAGCACATTGCAGCAGGTGTTGGAATATGTGCCCATGTCTCACTCTGTGACTTGGTAAGAGTCACGGTCCCTTCAGATGTATGAATAGAGAGCCCTTTCGATGTGTATGTTGGTATGGGGATTTTTGTACCTTGAGAAGGTTTCGGTTGCGGACAAAGTACAGCTCGCTTTTGCTGCGAGAATTATTTTATCTTAACTTCTGATGCTGGATGTCTGAAGTGAACTATAGAACAATAGAACAATAGAAACGCCGAGATCAAAGAGTAAAATTTGTAGCGATGAATGTGAAAGGCCGACATTGTGCGCGGTGAAAGTGAAAGTGCCACAAAGGAGGCGAGTGAAAGTGAAAGAGGGTAGACAGTGCCAGACATAGTACTATAAATCTTTGAGAGCTGGGCAAGATAGTCTTCACACTTGGGCTTGCTGGTGGATAGAAACCTCTAACATATTGCGCGATTAGGGACGTCTCTCCAAATTGTGATTCAGAAGTAGGTGAATCTATTCCCGTCGAAAACATTGTGACTAGAGCGTTGATCTCAATTGATACATAGACTTGATGAAGCTTAAGCCAGACCAAGATGTATTCATTAGGGAAATAATCACTTTGGTCGATGGACGGCCTCATCCTGGGACTTGTGAGGCTATAGAGAACGCAACGAAGTGAGATTGATGATTGGTGTAGTACGAGCACCTGAAACTAGAGTCCTGCGCCCTTACGAAAACTAGTTCATGTGACCCAAAATGATATGTCAGGGGTGATTACTAGCTAGTAGGTCGATCGGCTGATGATCGAATGTCGCCAGTAAGCATTGACTTTGTATGATAAAAAGGTCTGCATCATCGCGGCTGTGAGTGGAACAGACTCTATGTCGAACCTCCCTCAAGGCGGTTCACTTCACAAACGTGGGGCGTCTTACACACTCGAATTGGGTGTAGGAGCGACCATGCTATGATTCTCGTAGCCGTGAGTCAGTGAATTGATCTTTCCTTCTCCCAGTAACCTAAGCTACGAGTCAACCACCGTAGGCTTCACGCATTGTGTTGGTTACCTGGGCGACTCCTCTGCGGAAAGAGATTGCCCCTGTCTGCACAGTCCCTTTCCCTCGTTAGTTCTACCCAAGCCCACACACTCCCTACGAGATATAAGCTTCAGAACCTCAACTTTGCAACACCTTCTGTTGTTCATATCCACACCAAGACAACATCATCCCCACACCGAGATATAATCACCACCATAACTACGATAACTTCGTCATCAAATATGCCTGCCACTACTACCTCCCCCAAGAAAGCGCCGAAGTCGCAACTCGAGGACTTTCTCGATCGCGCAAAGAAAGCCAAGATCCACACCGAGGAAGCTGGCTCCGATAGTCAGGCAGAGGCCTGGGAGGTTGTCAATGAAGATCACGAGAAGAAGGTGGCCGAGGACAAAGATGAGGAGACAGAGTGGGTATTCGTTGCGAAGACCACGGGCGACATGAAGCGCCACTGAGGGAAATGCATTCGCCGACGCCAAGTTGCAAAGGATATCTGTTCCTTCATGCATGACGGCCGAGGCAGTCGAGTCTTACTATTAGTAGACATGGATACTCAGAGCAAAGATTGCACGGAGACTCGACATAGAGTGGTACTGGGTATCTAGATTCGATGTAATTGCATAATCTACGCCATCATTAACATGCGGTGTTTGGGCAGTCGTGATACGTGCTCTTGTCACTTGCTCATGTTCTGACTTATTCTTCGTCCTGCATTACGCCGATCCGGTCCGTCGGCCAAAGGATAGGAGCGCGACTACAGATCAAGTTCGTTTCGTTTTCCCCACGTGTGATTCGTCTTTGTCTTCCTGGCCCTAGCCACTCAAGTTTTGCTTCCGCTTGCTCATTTCTTCCCCTTCTTTTTCTTCTTTCCGCCTGTACTTGCGCCAGCCTTCGGATCCGTCGGCAGTCCACCTATCTTTACGTCTCCACTCTCATCGAGTCTTGGTGTCGACACGCCCTCCGCTCCAGTTGGCGCACTAATATCTTCCAAGGTTTCTGGTAGCGCAGCCATGTGTCTTCCCAGCCTGCCCAGATTACCAATCAGCCTTCCAACCTCTGCACCCTTGTTTGTCTCGTATTGTAGACATGTTCCTGATTCTGGATCGTACGTCTTGAGCGTGAAGGTTACGGTTACTTCCTCGGGGTTTTGCGATTGCGGGGGTGGTGATGATGTGCGTGTGGTACCTGCGGGCTTGGAGGCTTGCTTTGCAGCATATTGTTGGCGCTTTTTTATCTTCGAGGATGTGGGCTTTAGGACGGTGTATTTGGAGGATATGCGTGTCTGAACACGGTGTTAGATGGTGTCGCGTGCGCCGCTCGTCGCGAACATACTGAAGTTGGTCGAGCTTTGAGCAGAAGAGACGACTGGTCGTACCATTCCACGCTAGTCTTGAAGTACGGCATTGTGTAGTGTGGAGTGATCTGGGGCAATCGGAGAGTGAATGTTGGTGCGCGTGGTGGCATCTACGGGCAACTTTTGGCGGGGTTGAGCCCGGAACAACGTCGGCCCAGCAGCTTCGATATTCATATTGCATACTGCTCGCGCGATGTTATTTGATGATGGATGGTATTAAATCTGACTTTGACCCACTAGAAACGGAAGCCCTCGCCTAGAGCTGTCTATATTTAGGCAACAGTGCCTGGAGCCGTAAGGAAGACTGTCGAAACGTTGATTAAAGTCTTGACTCACGCACACTCTACTGATGGATTTTGCAGCAGCCTGAACCCCAATTTCTTCCCATACACTCTCTTATTGTTCGAATACATTTGAATCAGAAAAGTGTAGGAGAAACCCCGCCGTCAGAATGACTGAGAGTATATCGTCAATATTGAGTAACCTGGACCTCGATACAGACGCCACAAGCGTTAGCAATGACAGCACAACCGATCTCGAGGCTACCATCCAGGCACTCGTTGAACGCGGCAAAATACTTCACGATGAAGTGGAGACCTATGTAGCAGCAGTGCTTGCGAAGCAAAAGACGGCAAAGTTTCAAAACCCTGTCGAGTATCGTAACCTTCGGAACGACATGAAGAATGAGCTTGTTTTCTTGAAAAAGATTGCGGGTTCTTCAGAGATGGATGAGGAGAAGGCTCGGCACTACATCGTCTCCTCCAATCTTCTCTACTACGAAGCTTTATGGAATGCGGCGAAGCGCTTTTCAGGATTACAAAGCTTTCGAAAGTATTTTTTCTGGGATCGACATACTGCACCAGCAGGGAAACACACCACCAAAGGCCTCAGCTTGGCGAAAGGAAGCCAAGCGAAAAGCAAAACCGCAGCATTAGTCGATATCGTGGCTGAAGAGGGCAGTGAGTGGATTCGAGTATCGACAGTCTCCGAGAAGCGACTCCTCTTCGATCTCGCCAAGATGGGTTGGATGAACGACTCAGATTCAGATGAAGACATGCCCAACACACAATCCAGCAACTGGGAAGAGGACGACGACGATGACCAGGTTGGCGTTGTCAAAAATGCACGAGAGCTAGCTAGAGCCGCACGAGCGAATCCGATCCGTGGTCGGCCACCTAATGTACATTTCGTGCTCACACGTATCGTGACCGGCAAGACGCAGGCTGTTGATATGATCGTCGACAAGATCCGTGCTACAGGAGCTATCGTACAGTGCGCCACCAATATTCCTCCACCTGTACCTTTACACTCTGTACTGCCACAACTCCTGGTCGATCGATCGCGCGCTCTATCCGAAACGTTGAACATAGACTGCACTATCCTCCTCGCCCTCATTTCCGACATCTCGCACAAGCCTTGCCCAATTCTGGACTGGTATCCAGGCGAAGTCCGTGCTCAAATCAACGAGGAAGCTGAAGAACACTTGCTGCCAACACATCTGTACCCTGCGATTGGATCGCATCCGATGGTATGCACCAAAGAAGCTGCCGATCAAATGAATCTCATCATCGAAACGCTGGCCACAGACACGGAGAAGCTACGGGCGGATTTGCTTCTTGGGCAAGGCGGCCGACAGGGACGATCATCAGAGGAACTGGTCGCAGAGTGGGCATCTATCTCTGACCACGAGATACCAACAGGCCTCAAGTTACCGTTACTAGTTAAGACCGTTGACTTGGACACACTTACCGACGGTCTTCCCACTGTGGCAACCAAGATCGCTGCCGAATTGGGTGATCTCAACAAGTCAATATTCCTCTACGGATGGGCCGAGAAGCTTACAACATTGAGCGCCAATCGTGGACGGTCCCGTCAGATTGAGAGTACCATAAACGAGCTTGGTTTGAAGGATGGAGAGGCTGGGCCACATATCTGGTTGTGCGGCGAGTCGAGAAGTTTGATCGCAAAGCATGGAAGGCGGAAGTAGACATAGATCTCTATAGCTAGTTGTGCACTTGTACAGCTGCTAAGTAACTATAAGCCGCTCGGCCTACCTTACATAGAACACAGAAAAGATCGCTCTATTCATCTTATCTCACATGTTGCGTTGTACACAATGTCGCTTCCTAGAAAAGAGACAAGATTACACCAGAGACAGCAGCGACCCACATACCCATACCTCCCTTTGTTTGATTTGCCTTGCCTTCAAACTTACGGGGGGTAGTGCTCTTTTTCGACGTGCTAAAGGTGTGCTTGTACTCTCCCGCCAAACTGATCGGACCCTGCACCGTCTGCGCGGTACTCAAAACAGTAATATTCTGAACCACAACATCAGTCTGGTAGCCGAAATCACCAGACATGCTGAAAGCGCCGTTATCGTACGTAAAGACGATGTTACTCGTCGCCTTCTGCACCAGACTGTCCCCATCGTCGAGGTACAAAGTACCATGTGCTTGGTTGGTCGAATTTGGAGCGACCCAAAGGACAAAGTTTTGTTTTCTCAGCTCTGTCGTTGTATTGGCAGACTCAGCGCGTAGGGGCAGGATAGATCCACCACGGATATGCAGGGGAATCGTGTCGAAGCCTACGTCGGTGAGGTCAACATACGACCCATTGCCCTGGACGGTCTCCAAGGTCCAGAAGTCGTAGAATGTCTCGTTGGGTAGGTAGATGCTGACGCTCGTGCTGTTCTCCTCAAGCACTGGGGACACAAGGATGTCGTCGCCATAGAAGAACTGGTGCTCGATAGCGAAGGTGTTTTTGTCCTCTGGGTAGTGGTAGAACAGTGGGTTTAGAGCGGGAAGGCCGGTTGTGGTCTGGCGATGGAATGCAGTGTAGAAATAGTCGAGCAGTCTGTATCGGACCGCAATGGCATTACGCGCCGCCGCTGTCGTCAGGTTCCAACGATAGTATTCTTGTGAGATCGATGTGTCACCTGCGTGGTTACGCATGAAGGGGTAGAAGGCACCGAGGGTGGTCCAGCGTGCGCATAGAGTTTCCGTCGTGTTACCCGCAAACCCGCAAATATCGGGGCCTACCATAGGCAGCTGGAAGACGGAGGCAAAGTTGAGGACGCCAGCGATGCTGAAACGATACTGCTCCCACGTACTAACGTTGTCTCCGAGCCATTTGCCTACGTAGCGTCCAAGACCGACAAACTAATTGAATGTTAGTGCGAACAAGTCCAAAAGAGGCTGAAACGTACCGTGGATCGTGTGATGATCAGCGGGCGGCTTTCAGGGCGGCGAGCTAGCATGGACTTTCTCGAAGCGATGGACATCATGGAGCCCCAGATGTTATGGGTGTCATAATGGAATGTGCCATCATGATTTTGAATGTCAGTGTCCATGCTTCGGTTGCTGATTGAGCCCATGTCGTTGTGGATCTGATATGCAGGGTTGATAAGGTCTCGACCCGGTAGACCAAGGTGCTCTGCCAGGTCTTTAGAGTTGTTCGAGGCTTGTCGCTTGAAATCAAAGCTCTTGACAGACTGGGCGGTGTGTTGAAGGGAGTGTAGGGATCTTTTAGTGGCGTTGGAGTTCGGTTTTGGTTGGAAGCCCACCGGGAAGCCAGAGATTTCGCGACCGTCTGCATCGATTCGGACTGGTGGCGGCTTTGGTGGGTTCTTGGACTCCTCGGAGTAAGCTAGACATAAGTCAGTGAGCTGAACTTAGAGAGCATCTGCTTGAAGTTTACCATCGGGGTTTGCGCAAGGGTACGGGCAGAAGTTAGCCGGCTCATTCATGTCATTCCACAGTCCGTCAATATCAACGCCCGTTTCAGGATCGAAGAACTTCAGGAACTTGTCGTCCCAATACTTCTGGGTATTTGGATGAAACCAGTCGGGAAATACGGTTGGCCCAGGCCACACAGCACCCTCATAAAAGGAGCCATTGGCTCTTTTCTGCCATACCTCGAGTTTGGCACCGTCATTATACACATCATTGTCACCGCGCCAAACGGCAGAGTTCACCATGACAACATAGTGCTGTTGATGTGCATGGAGATAATCCACGAGCTGGCGTACAAGGTCGAGCGGGTAGCGCTCGGGATCTAGCGTAAATAGCCGACGCAACTCCATATAATCAATATCTGTCCACATGGTCTGCAAGCATTAGTTGATGATACCGGAATGGCTCTGTAGAACTTACTTCGAGTGGAATTTCGGCTGCAGAGTAATTCGCCACGACCTCGGCAACTTGCCAAACATCACGATAGCCGTACTTGCACTGATGTGACCCAAACCCCCAGTAGGGCATCATGGTCGGCAGACCTGAAAGCGCAGAATACTGCACAGCTACCTCCTTCGGACTGGGGCCAGCTAGAAAATAAAGATCAACAACGCCACCAATGGCATTGTACTCAAGATAAGTGCCTTCAGTATCATTGATCTTGATATCCATACCGGCCGAGCTGGCTAGAAAGACGCCATGGGTTCCGTTTTCGCCTCTATGATCAAAGTAGACAGGGTGGGAGCCATAGAGATTGCTTCCTGATGGCGTACCGTAAGCATCTCGGTTCCAGAGCTGACCATGTCAATAACTAATCACATAGCTTCGATTCATCAACTCACCGTCCTGGTATAGTTCGTAGTGTTTAGATGGAATGGATCAGTGTGTTCACCAAAACCATACAAGTTAGGCAAGTCAGGCAGACCGGTCCTTAGACGGAGATATTGCGTCTCGAAGACGAAGCTTGCAGCCGAAGTGTCAAAAAGCATCTCATTCGTTTTTCTGCGAGTAATTGCAAAGGAGAACGGGCTGTCAGTCCAGGAGAACGCCAAAGCTGAGTTCTCTGGTTTGACGCCATCATCATTTGACGGCCTAGGCCAGATCGACTCTTGGATCTGGAAGACTTGCTCAGCGGCGTCGAATATCTTAACATGGAGTCGGTCCTCTTTGCAATGGTTAGTACGGGCGATAAGCTTGAAGAAGAGTTTTAGGCCAGTCTTCGCACGTACCCGTCTGATATTCGACCTCCAATCTCAGATTAGTCAAGTCTTCACCGTAGACGTTGCAAGCCGTGCCTGCAAGGGCAAGATTGGCGGTGACTTTGGAGCCATTATCTTGAACATTGCTGGCGGTGTATCCAGGGCAATCTCCAAGAGATGAACTTTGACGTGGTACGAGTGAACCTGCGAAAGCAGGAAGCGCCAAGCCAAGGACGAGAAGCCCCTTGCTGAACATGGTACCTGTAGAGTGTGTCGAGAGGGCTGTCAGGCACTTGCATCAATGTCAGCGTTTGAGGGAATCCGGGCCTTCTTATACTAGTCTTGGTGCCACTGCGAGTAAGGACAGGACGGCATGCATATTACCTAGGTGCTTTCAACTACGCCGCTTACCAGGTCCCAAGATTCTACTTCTGCATCCAAGCCCCGATTCCCCGCAAGTGCCGCCATCATTGAGGCAGGTGACATTGATGATGGACATAGCTTGGCAACGATGCCGATCTGTGCACCGTCCAAAGTAGCTACATTCCGGGGTCACGTTGACCAAAAGGGCCCTCGATGCTCGTTTCCCCGGAGATTCTCCCATTTGGAGTTGATGCGTACAGCACGATATGCGGGAGCCTAGAGGTCTGGGGCAAGTGTGGAGAAATTCAGGACTGTTTACACGCGAAGATAGCGTGAGCTGCGTGGTGGGCGCCGGACAGCAGTTTTAATTGGATGCATGTCGGTCCCTTGGGTTCTCGATTGGTTGTCTGTCGGTCCGGGGTGCGCTGCTTCATCCGAATACCAAAGTTTGTCTTGCGAGACATAGGCGAGCGGAGCCAACATATCAAGCTTGGATAGCCGTGAGATGATTCATGATTGATAGCCGATTCCATTTCGCCGTGTAGTATTTTACCCGTGTCGGAGATGTACATTTAGTTGAACGACCGAACTCTACGACAATGCAAGGATGCACTTGGGCTTGCTGTTGCACACATGAGAGTGCGAAGAGAACAGATCTTGAGATTACATGTACAGTGAATGTACAAGGCTGCTTCTTCGGCGTACCACGAGAAAGATGGAGAAGTTGGGTGATTGATTTGGGAGAGATGCACGTGACCGGGGTGGTACCTGCGCCTTTCCCTTTTCGCTCATTAGCTTGGAGAAATTCCCGATCCAGTTCCAACGCGACCGTTCGACAGCTCGACAACTTCATTAGCTACCAGCAACATTCCTCACCAACAACCACAATGCTCTGCGCAATATCCGGAGAAGCCCCGCGAGAACCCGTTGCGTCGCGCAAAAGCGGCAATGTCTTCGAGAAGCGCCTGATCGAGGCACACATCGCCGAAAACCATACAGATCCTGTAACAGGCGAGGATCTTGCAGTCGAGGACCTTATTGAGCTCAAATCACCACAAGTCGTCACCCCGCGGCCGCCGAATCTCACCTCGATACCCGCCCTGTTGAGCGCCTTCCAGAACGAGTGGGATGCTATTGTACTAGAGACACACACGCTCAAGCAGCAGCTGGCGCAAACGAGACAGGAGCTCAGCACAGCTCTGTACCAGAATGATGCTGCGACACGAGTAATCGCGCGACTGTCGCGTGAGCGAGATGACGCTCGAGAAGCGCTGTCCAATGTTACCATCAGTGGAGGTTCGGCAAGCAATGGCGATGCTATGCAGGTTGATGGCCAGGCTCTACCAGAAGAGCTAGTAGCCAAGGTCGACGAGACGCAGCAACAGTATGTTTTCTGCGCTTCAACTCCAGACTAGCAAGCTAATGTTTTGTAGACTATTCTCGACTCGCCGAAAGCGACCAACTCCTGAAGGCTGGGCCACCGCCGAAGACATCTCCGCTTTTGACCTGACAACCTCTAGCGAACCTCTTTACCCCGGCAGCAGCAATGTCTCCCTCGATAAATCTGGCGACCTGGCGCTCTTTGGCGGCGCAGATGGCGTGGCGGGCGTTTACTCGTTATCGCAGGCTAAGGTGCTGCAGGCATTGAAGGCTGGCAGCGCTGTAACAGCGACAGCGTGGTGGGGACAACGCGCTGTCGTCGGAACCTCAGCGGGCACGGTTAAGATCTTTGAAAATGGCAACGAAATTGCGCAAGTAGGGTCACACGCCGGAGCAGTCACATCACTTTCTCTCCACCCCAGCGGGAGGATTTTGGCCTCTGCTGGAGCCGATAAGCGTTTTGCCCTCCATGACCTTTCCACCTTCAAGACTGTCTCGCAGGTCTACATCGAAGCCGACGTCACATGCTGCTCCTTCCACGTCGACGGTCTGCTCTTCTTCGTCGGTAGCTCCGACGGCAAGATCCGCATCTTCGACATCAAAACCGGAGGTGCCATGGCTGAGCTCGAAACTGGCGCTCCCGTACTCGCCATCTCCTTCTCCGAGAATGGAACTTGGTTCGCGGTTGTGAATAAGGGCTCGACCAACGTCTCGGTGTGGGATATTCGGAAACAACATGTCGTCAAGGTGCTTGAATCGGGCAGCCCGGTTGAAAGCACCAAGTGGGACTACACTGGCCAGTACCTCGCAATTGCTGGTACCGGTAGCGTCTCGGTTCAGCAGTTTACCAAAGCTTCAAAGAGCTGGTCCGAGCTATTGAGAAAGGCGGTGCCCTCCAAGGACGTTGCCTGGGGCGCGGGCGCTAACAGCTTGGTTGCTTTGACGCCAGAAGGAGGCTTGAGCACCTTGAGCGCTTCATAGTTTGGCCAAGATCGCGCTGGGGCTGACAGATGGGAAGTTGAGAAAGTAGCTTGACTGCATTTTGTGGGCCTTCACAGAAAGGACAGGCTTAAGCCGGGGCCAGGTGAATGGCGAGGCATAGCGAGAATTGCTCGGGGAAGAATATGATGGGGCGCCGATTGGTATTCATAGTGTCACTGTAGGATATAGCTAGATTGCCCTTTCTGAGGCTGGTCAAACATCATCTTTGACCATTTCCACGTCACTCGCAACTTGTTTGACAAAACCATGCTTGTGTTTACCAGGGAGGGAAATGATAGATGTTGGTGAGGTCACCAGTAGCCACCGAGGGCGAGAGGTTCATACCTGGTACCAGTCTGGAGAACGATAATGGGGTTTAATAGAAACCATGGTTCATTGTTGGCTCAGAATGTGTAGCCTACCTTAGAAGTTTTATCATAATTATTAACGTCTCCGCACTTGAATTACTTCCACAAATTAGAGATGCCTTCGCAAGTAGTCCTAGGGCGCAGGCGCTCTTTCAACAATTTTCTTCTCGGTGAAGTGAAGCATTCGACGTTTGCCGTGGCCATGGCCATGATGCGGATTGGTTCCGATCCTTGCCACCAACGACAACGAGTTTCGCCGAGCTCACCTCCACCACCACGCCTTTGCAACCACACTCGGCGGCCTCAACCTATCCCTTTAAGCTCTTCATATCGCCCTTTGCGTACGCTACCATACCAGCACTCACTACTACAGGGGATTGTAGATATGGAGGAGCTGCCGTTTGGGTACACGCACAGACAGAAGGTGAGTTGAGTGCTGGTAGCACCAAGCAAGTAGGGGGAAGCAGAGTGAACAGACGCTGACAAAGGCTTTCCCAGCGCTCACATGCCCAAATGGAAGAACATGAGCGCTCTGCCTCGCCTGCCTGGACCTTCAACGCTCGTCAGCCGAGCATACCGTTCCACTCGTCGCTAGCGCTCTACCACGACTACGAACCAGCACGACACTACCACAATTACGACGAAACACGAACGCCGCCCTCACTCGAAGACTCTGTGCCCCCATTCTCCTCGTTCTACGAGCCCGTACGTCTAGAGAACGACCCGCCAACTGATCGCCCGTCATCAACCAGCGCTCTACATTCACACACCGCTAGGCTACACCATTTGCGGGTCGGCAACATGGCCTCTTCGGCGCCAAGACGGTTTGCAGGCGATGGGTTTGACTATCGACGGCCAGTAGGGTCGACACGGGAGCAGGATGAAGCGTCTGTCGACTTGACCAGGGAGGATGAAGACACGGCTATTGATCTGAGTAGGGACGAGGACGTCATTGACCTCACGGCTGATGACTCGGGCTATGGAGCCAGTCAGGATGGCAACCACAACGCTGCCTCGTATGGCACTGATGGCGAGAGGCTGCTGGAACAGTCGAACCGCAACCGCCGTGCCAACAATGGGGCTCCTCGCTTGCCGCGGGGTATGGACATTATCATCGATCTAGACAACGGTGAGGAGCAGTGGAGCATGGTATCGCCACCACCGCCAGAGCCATCTTCACCAGAGATCGAATTTATTTCATCACGACGGATTGCCCCGCTACGTCGCGAGCACCCCACCTTTGGCCGCAGCCACTCAGATGGCGACGAGGTCGAGTTCGTACGTGAAAACGTGCTCCCACAAGACGAGGCACGACGGCGTAGGAACCAAGAGCTCGACAACGTCATGGATCTACTAGGCACCATGAATGGCCGCTTCACTCATCTCCGAGCACACGTCGACCGTTTCAACGCCCAAGTCAACCGCACAGCTGACCGCCTTCGTCGCGGTCCCATAGCCCCACCTCGTGGTGCACATCGAGCCCACGCGCATGTTCACGTAGGCACGTTTATGGCGCCGACGCTCGACTTTGAAATGGTTGGCTTTGATATAGGCATGCCAGGCGCCCATGCACAAGATCCGCCCGTGCCGCCAACGTATGATGCTCCAGAGAAGGCGCCAGAGGGCTTTACGAGAAGTCCAGAGGAGAAGGATGTGCTTGTTTGTCCCAATTGTGGGGATGAGCTGTGTACAGGGGACGAAGAAGTGAAGAGGCAGGTGTGGATTGTAAAGGGATGCGGCCATGTACGTCTTTTTGGTGCAACCATGCGTTGACGATGAGACTAACTACCCTCAGGTCTACTGTGGCGAGTGCACAACGAATCGATCTACCAAGCGTAGTGCAAAGGGCAAAGAGAGGCCAGCAAAGACCAAGCCGTTCAAGGAATGCCAGGTTGAAGGCTGTGGCAAAGGTGTTACACACCGGAAGACCATGATCCAAATCTTCTTGTAGCCTTCTTACTTCGATTTCCAGCTGTCAGGGCTACTTGGCACCCTGCTCGGATTCATGGTTTAGTGTTTGACTGCTTAGGTTCGGCGGTATGCTTCAGCGATACCCCACATTCTCCGGTTCATGCATATCGGTTTTATCGGTTTTATCGACATTATGATGGGTTGGTTCCTTTTGTTGGTGTGTCGGAGTTTTTGCATTTGCATAGCACGGTGTTTTTTTGGCCATGACATGATACTACTCATAGTCGGGCTCTTTCGGTCTTCTTTATATCACGCCTTTCTATACTAAGGTCAGAGACGTAGCCTTGACAGTGACATGATATACGACATATATATGTTATGTAGATGTGTAGTTCGATGAATATGGTATATACATTTATTACAAACGCCTCTCTTTCAACGTTACGGCTGAATTTATTCGTCAGATGTCTCTTTGCAGTGCATGGGAATTGTAAGAAATGATCTCATCGCATGTGGCCAGAGCGGACATAGCGGCATTACCACCGCCAAGCCAATCTCTCGCCCTCGGCTTGACCATGAGAAATCTCACTCACCAATTCGCACCTCGACGTCGAGCTTCCGGCACCAAGTTATTTCAACACCGTTCCTCGAGGCGCCAATTGGTTGGAATTGATTAAATAGGAAGAGCTATAAACTTCAAACATTCACGATGGCACGCAAACAAACCACCTCAACCGCTACCCGCAAGGCTAAGCCTACCGCTTCACCGTCCCCAGCGAAGAATACCTATCTGTTGGCGTATAATGCACTTTCAGCGGCACTCTGGGCGGGCGTGCTGTATAAGACTGTTACCATTGGGGCCAATGAGATCGCAACTGCGCAGAAGAGCGGAGTGTTATTCAATGGAAACACTGGAGTCGGGGGAGTGTTGAAAGGCCTAGGCTCAGGACGTGTGTTTGAAGAACTGGAGACCTATACGCGATTGACGCAGAGTCTTGCGGGGTTGGAGGTACTGCATAGTCTGCTTGGTACGCTGCTTTGCATACCCTCTATTCCTTCTTAGCTAACTAGATGTTGGTACAGGCGTTGTGAGAGCACCCTTTCTCACTACATTGATGCAAGTCGCATCCCGCTTCCTCCTCGTCTGGGGCATCGCATACAACTTCCCGCAAACCACTCAGCACAACCCCGCATACTCCACCATGCTCTTCGCCTGGTCCTTCACTGAGGTGGTGCGGTACTCGTACTTTGTCTTCAGCCTGTCTGGTGTCGGCGTGCCCAAGCTATGGACGTGGCTGAGGTACAACACTTTCCTTGTCCTCTACCCCCTCGGCGTGTCGAGCGAATGCTGGCTGGTTTACAGTGCCATTCCTCTCGCTAGTAAGATTCGACAGGAATATGGCTATGCCTTGTGGGCTATCCTCGCGATTTACGTCCCTGGCATCTACATCTTGTTCACGCATATGCTTAAGCAGAGGCGGAGGGTACAGCGCGAGACGAAGCGGAGCTTATAAGAGGTGGGCATGATAAGAGTGGGAGGCGAGCAGTAGTCTTCAGACCACAGCATGTGGGACGAAAGGAAATTCGACGTGGAAGGGACCGGAGCAAGTAGCCAGTGTACGATATAATGACGTATTCAATCGTCCTTCAAACTCTATTACCTCGATCTTACGTTAATGTAAACCTTCAAATGATCCAGACAACGTGCAATTCCGCATATGCAACGTTGGGGTAGCTATTTCTTGAACGCTCGACAACCATGCTGTTCCGACTATCAACTGTGCTTCTAGCGGGTGAGTAGGTTGTTGTATGTTCTCATATCTCCCGATACAATGCAAAGTTGTGACTGCCTGCTCCAACTTTAGATAATACACAAAGCCAGACAAGGATACCGTATCTAACTCAACTCAATACAAAGTGGCGAATGGTTTCTTAAAGGTTATGATTTATGTGCTTTCTCTTCTGCTCCTGGTGTCGAAATGTCGTCAGTGATCGAAGAATGACAATACTCCTAAATGACCTTATTGGGATCATCTTGTTTAATTCTAGAGAAAATCAATAGCTGGAAAATGGCCGCGCGTAGTGTAGAGGGATACACAATAACTCCAAGGTTAGGCAAGACACCAACTGGTGTGCATTTGTCGCCCCATGGTCCGCTAGTGTGTGCTCAGTAAGGATCGAGGGCAGGACTAGCCGCTTATCGACACACTATCTGCAAACTTCACGTCTTTACCCTCCTACGCTATCTCCACCAAGTCTATGTATAGCACCCACGATGGCGCAAATAGGCTTGTTTTCAATGTAGCCACCCATGCAAGGACACCGATCTTTTCTCTAGACAGAAATGCGTTGACGAGTCATACCCTTAGTCCCTTGACTACCGTCTCATATGGGCTTACTTTGAACATGAAGACCTTGGGTTTGGGTTTAGTACTAATCACAATGTCCGCTGACATTTTAAGGCTGTACGCCATAGTCTTGGCCACAAGATGGTAGAGTCTTGTTCATGTCGTGTTTTCTCGTCTTCTTTGTCGCCTTGAAATATCCTGACATGACTCAGGCCTCCACATGGTCGTATATTGATTGTCCGAGACAATGAGAGCCTTTGCGCGTGAAAGCGCGGGCCCCTTGCTGCTTATGTTTGGTCAAGTAGCTGCACTTGTCCCCGGTAGGTATGGCGAGGTGAATGGGCAGTCCTCGACATCGCATATCTTGAAAAGAGATCATACCTTGTTGGAACCACGACAGAGAAGAAAACGTCAACCGCTCCTATTGTCACCGAGTAGGAATCCCATCAGACTTCATTCCATCTTGATTAACTAGTGCCGGCGTATCTCAGTTCTGGGAAGGTAACGACGGACCGTGGTCTAGCTTTGGGCTCCAAGTCAGCAATACATCGCAAGAACTTCGCGTTCTGCCCTCAACAGCTTCGTCTTCCACTTAGGTTGTCTACGCCGATCCAGGATGCAATAATGTGCCAGTCACCTTCATCAAGGCTTTCAGGCGGCCAGGAAGATCGTGATACTTTGGCTGACGGAAACAAACTTCAGAATTTACATGAACCTATTATTCTTCCGTCTGCGTTCCATCGTTTCAAACTAACATTACGATATCGTACAGGACGACTTCACTCCTTGCCCCCTTCTTTCGGACCCGTCTGTGCGTTTCTCTCGCCCACGTCCAACGCCACTAGGAACCGGCTTACGCAGTTATATGCTGCCACTGTCGCAGTGATCTCCACAACTTCTTTCTCGCTGAAACAGTCTCTCACCTTTGCAAATATATCGTCACTGACCTGTACATCAAGCGTCATGGCGTCTGTATAAGAAAGTACTGCCGCGTGAGCAGCGTTGAGGATACCTTCATTCACCGCTCGTGGTGGAGAATTGAGTACCGCATTAACATGCGCCTCGGATACGTCTGGAGTATTTATGAGAAGATTGTTAAAGATGTAAACAGTTGAAGACGGGAATGTAGAAAAGTAAAACAGAGGGGAATGCACCTGGCGCGGAGAGTAGGATAGGGGAGTGCGATTCCCACTCATACCATGCTTTGTTTAGCACAGCGATGCGACATATTGCTGTCTCGCGAACTGAAGTTGAAAGACTGGTTTTTGTGCGAATGGCGCCGAGGAAAGAGTTCCTAGATAGTCGTAAGCGATTGTTTATGGGGTTTCACGTACATGGTAATGAAATTTCCCAAATAACGGAAGCAATCTGTTACACAAAAACAGAATATAAGTAATCACTTACCATCCATCAGCTACTGGTGGTGCATGTAACAGCGTCCGATCCAGTGCGATGAGCCCTTTCTCTCCCCGTCTTTGCTTGACTCGCTGGACGACGGCTTTATCGTCCTCGTTTGTGTATTCCGGAGGATCAGGAATATATGGAAGACGCATGATCTTAATCGGCTCTTGATCAGTATTTCGAAATTCCTTTCTTTGAATCAAAAGGTAGAAGGTGAACGGAGACTTGAGTCAGACGGCATTCGGCTGCGAGTTCGGAACGATTCCGGCGATGCCGAACAATTGGCAATCGAATCGTTTCGCTTAGCGTTATCGATAACGAGACTTTCATCACCACTTCGCGCTCTTACAACTTCTTCCCCACAACAAGTCTTCGCAATGGCACCAAATTCCAAACTGAACGCTAGGAGGAAGGCGAAGAGAGAGCCGGCGAAAGTGAAAGCACCGAACAGGGACGAGAAACCAGTCGCCACCACATCTCTTCCGTTAGAACTACAGCAGCTTCTTCTCACTATCTTTCGGAATTCTTTCGCGGAGCGGCTGGATTCAGACATCAACCCGCTGCTTCAGGAGGTGAAGGGACATTTGTACAATCGAGACTTCACGACTGCTTTCGGGAAAAGCGAGTATCTCGAGGCGTATGCGGCTCGGTGGAGCCCGAGCCGAGCTCTCGGTTACCTAGATGTGTTTTGGGACCTTAGAGAGCACCTGTGGTCTACTCAAGATGCCGGAGAGGAGGCCGACGACGAACAGGCGAAGATGAACAGGCGATGCAAAGTTGTGTGTCTAGGAGGTGGAGCGGGTGCAGAGATTGTCGCTCTCGGTGGCTTGCAGAAAATGCTTGCCCTTGCGAACTCTAATGACGAAGGAGAGGCCCAAATTCAACAGTTTGAGGTCGTAGCCACCGATATCGCAGACTGGACTCCAGTCGTGCAGAGTTTGGCGAAATGCATCACCACTGCACCGCCGCTCTCGAAGTACGCTTCAGCCGCTGCACAAGCTGCAAATGCCCCACTCGTCAACCCAGACAACATCGACATATCATTCCTTCAGCATGACATATTCACAGCATACTCCACAGATGTCTCTTCACGCCTCAAAGACGCAAGTCTCGTCACATTGATGTTCACACTAAACGAATTATACTCGGCCTCGATGTCCTTGACCCAGAGGTTTCTTTTAAATCTAACAATAGCTGTCCAGCCTGGGAGCCTCTTGTTAGTCATCGACAGCCCCGGTAGCTACTCTTCGATCACTTTGAATGGGGCTGAAAAGAAATATCCAATGCAGTGGTTGTTAGATCACACATTGCTGAAACAGGCTAGTGGCAATCAGAGAGAGCGAGGCAAAGAGGAGGAAGTCAAGTGGGAGAAAGTGAAAGAAGACGAGAGCCGGTGGTTTAGGCTGCATACTGAATTGCAATATCCAATCGAGCTAGAGGACATGCGAATGCAGCTGCATTTGTATCGACGACTGTAGCCAAGAATGGGAATGATTCCACAGTTGCCACCGTTCACAAGCTTCATTCCGTCGACTGTATCCTCTTCCTCAGTTTTGCGCCCCAGAACCATAATGCCAACGGTGCGAACCCACAGATCAGCCGAAGAAGGCCTATAGCAGTATTCCCCCACCCATATCCCATAACATTGTACATGTCCGGCGCGAAAAGGGGAAATAAGAAGGCAGTCATGCTACGCAAAAATTGCGTTGCAGCGAGCGCGCTACTAGTATGATCGGAATATGTATCCATAGTATACGCTTGTAGCGCCATACCTGCAAATTGCATCCCGAACGAAGCGATGAAGATGCCAACGTCGACGGCTATCCAGTGGACTCCATACTGAGCCGTCCATCCGTAGATGATGAAACCAATGGCGGCAATAAAAGCACCCGGAAAACTAAGTGGGATGCGATGTTCCGGTGCCAGCTCGCCATCCGGATGCCGCGCTTGCATACGACGGTAGTAACGGTCCATGATCGGTGCGCCTATCTGCATGCCAGCGACCTCGCCGAGCGCAACGGCGATGTAGTGCAGACCGCTTATTTCGACCGATTGCTGGTACTGTTTCGTCCATAGGCTCGCGAAGGTAGCCAAGACGATGTATAGAATGCCGTAGCTGATCGCCGAGATAACTCCTGTGATCTGAACGACGGGATGAAAAGCGAGCAACCGAATCGGACGGGTGAGTGCCTGACCCAGGATCGATATCAAGCTTCTGTCGACAATTTTGCGTTCGTGTTCGCTGTAGTAGCGCTGATCACCAGTGTCTTTGCGAAGTTTGGCGGCTCGGCGGGTTAGTATGGTTGGAGCGTACGTCTCGTGGAACGCAGTGAATGAGACAGCGATCATGACGGCCTGGAAAATCGAAGTTGACCAGAACATCCAACGCCAGGTTGTGCGGAACGCCATAAAGCCACCGATGATTGGACCTGAATGCGTCAATATTGAAGTCTGGGATTTTTCAGCATTGCAGATAGGCGACATACCAACAGCAGCACCAAGCAACGGAATGAGCATGTACATGCCCAACGACCGACCCCTTTGTTCGGGTCTCCACACATCACCCAACACCCCGCCCGCCAACGCATAGATACTACTCGCACCAAACCCTGCCAAGAATCTAGCCGCAACCAACACCTCTTTCGTCTTCGCAAATCCGCATACGATATTCCACACCAAGAACCAAACATTACTTGCATGCAGTATCGTCTTCCGCCCGTATACTTCGCTCAACGGACCAATGACTAGGGGTCCGAAAGCAGTTGCTAGGAGGTAGATAGATAGCGCCATGACTGCTTCAGTTGAGCTCATGTGTAATTCATGAGCGATTGTTGAGAGTGCGGGCGCCATAATGGTGCTAACCATGATGCGATTGAAGCCTGTTGCGGAGAGGACGTCGGTGACTGCCCATTTGCGGCCCGATGGCCAGTCTTTGGGATTGTCGACGTCGAAGGATGGGTCGAACGCGACAAGGTATGGATCCTCGACTTTCTGTGTTGGCGCCGGAATTGACGCGGGCACGGGTGCCATTTCAATGTCGATGGGTTGCGTGGCGGTGATCGCCTCATTTGGACCGCCAGCCGATTCACGACTATTGAGCGCCATTGCATGAAGACTATAGGAGAGTGAGGGAGATGCTTATCAGATCGAGGGTAGAACAAGGCTGTCTTTATACGGGTATGGCGGCGTCCAAGTGGTCTAGTCTTGTGCCGTTAAGTGGGTCGTGCTTATGGTGCCTAGAGGGCTTATCAGATCCGATTTCAGTCCGATATCCGCATTTTATTCCGAATTTATATCCGGTATTCCGCATTTCACATGCATTTGAAACCTGCTGGAAAGTTCATGAGATGAAATAGAATAAGACGTCATAAGATTCTGCTTGAACAAGTTCTATATGACCATCCAGAGGCGGGATAACCCCGTCCTGCAACAACCTCCATGATTCGTTTGGGTTTGCTGCGTAGTGCTGCATAGGCATGCCTTACGAAACGAAGTGTTGATTCGCTGTATATAAGTGCCGATATATGACGTCCACGTATACAGAGTATCGAGTACACAAAGTAAACGTCTCTCGACCAAAACATCCACAGGCGGGACTGGTCTTACTTGAGGCGGATGTGCTCTCTGCTGTTTGGACGAGTCTCGGTATAGCTCTCACCGGGGCTAATAGACGGTCGTATTATGTCCTGATGGCATCGGCCGTTGTTTGAGGTTGTTCGCATTGCATCATAGAAAGTATTTGCTCGACTCTTGTTCACTTCCCGTTCCCACCCTTGACTTCCGTTCGACTCCACCCTCGGTCGTGCACATGCGCTGGTTCCGGTTTATCCACACCCAGGGCTAATCTTAAGCTCGTACGTTGCAACTCTCTTGTGACAAGTATGCTCCGGAGGCTTTGGCCTTCCCCCACACTGCTCTTGCTTGAGCCCAATCTACTAGAATTGGAATCCTTCACAGTTTCGCAGAGCCTATTTCTTTCGTATCGACGGAGTAGAATGGCAATGAGCGGTACTAAGAGGAGGAGTATGACGATTGCAGCAACGATGCCGATAATGGCTGCAGGACTCCAGCCATCGTTGTTGGCGGCCCCAGGGTATTGTGCGGGTGGAGCCTGGGGTATGGAAGTTGCGGTTTGCTGGATATTGGGAGTCGGAGTTGATGTAGCTCGAGCAATTAATGTGATAAAAGACGTTGGAAGCGCAGTTGTTGACGACATGCTTATTTTGGCGGTCTAAATGAACGGCGCGTAATGTGCAAATGCTGAATTGCTTGAAATGACCGTAGTGTAGATGAGAAACCGAAAGGACTAATTGATGAGGTTCGCAGAGATGTGCCCTGTAAAGACTGTAATTCTTCGGAAACTTGAAACTAGAAGCAAAGGTTCGATAAGATCTGAAGGGATATGCTGATACGCAGTAGGAGGCCCCTCAATATGAATCACCACACACCCCAGAACAACAAATGGCCCCTCCTTCTCATTTCGATTACTCTGATCCCAATGCGGGCCCAAACTCCATCAACGCACCTGAAGGGAGCAATGTCGTGCAGGAATTGGTTCACGCTGAAGTAGCGGGCGTTTACACCTGGCCAATCACAGCACGCAGCGGCCATTCTGGTGTGAACGCGTGCTGAGCCGCACGCCACCGGATTACCTTTTGAGGAGGGATCTTTTCTAGAATTGTAAGGACCGGCCAATAGTCGTGAAGGCGAGTGTTAGTGTGCAGAAACGCCTGCGATTGCGCCTTTGTGGCCTAGCTGGAGGACCTGGGCGAGGCTCGCTGCATCGGACTTGGCCGAGCCACGCTTCTATAGGAAGGACAAGTAAAGCTGACTTCTATCTGTTATTCGTTAGGAGATTGACCGCTTATTCAGACTTTCATATAACGATACGCTGTGGTCATTCGCACATCTTGTTTGGGGGTTGAAACGCATTTATCAGATTCGTATCCCGCCAATAACCGAATGCCCCTCATTGTCCCAGTTGACGTCAAACAGCCCCGAACGCCTGCCTCCTACCCGCTCATCGCATTTTGTTGCCCGTTTCACTGCAAATATTATTACTCAAGGGTGCAGAAGCGAAAGTTGTTTCTGGCTTTCATCGTCCTCCATGCATCCAAATCTTCCTTCGTCATACCGCCCTTGTCCTTCCAATACCCGTTCGCAGTCACGTTGAAAGGCCAGCATAAGAACGCTGTGCGCTCGATTGCTACCTTATCCTCCTCCCTTTCCACTTCCTCGATCGCCCTGAACAATAGTTCCCTTAGCAGCCTTGCGCCTGCACCCATGTAGTAAACGTGTACGAGTAGCTCGTCAATGTACGTCGGCGCACTGCAGCCCGGTTTCATGTGGAATGGAAGATGCAGGATAGGCCATGTTGTTGGATCGCTGATATCCCATGTCTGGTTATCGTTTACTGGAGATGACGCGCACACTTTGACCTCCGATTTTGGCGGACTAAGTAGCTTTCCAAGCGCTCTTGGATGGTTGATCGGATCGACGTTGTGATTCCCACATGGTGGTGACGTTGTAAACTTGGTGGAACCTTCAGAGCTGCATCGATCTGGTGATGATGGAGATGAAGTTGATGGACTAGGAGTCTGCATTATAGTTGAACTACGTTTCAGAGTTGAGTGAGTACCACGGAGTGTGACTAGAGCTTGAACAAAGTGTATGCGATCGCTACTCTTATCGCAAGCAGACAAAATCCCTTCTCAGTGAAAGACGATTCCCTTAGTCTATCCGACCGTCTGTCGCAGTACAGGCTACGCAGTCTCCTTATGTGAGATTACTTGCACATGTTCTATCACTACGGTATAGATTTGCAAGATCTTTCGACCTAGGAGATTTCGATCGAACCCAAACTAGGGTGGGTTTCTTTCGCACACTCCGCCTGACGTTGGCAAATAGATTTTCTGCCAGATAATCACTAATATATCACTGGGGACTCTACAACGGTGAAATATGGAGTCGCTGCAGCAAGCACCGCTCGAAATTGTCAGCTCTGAGCTTCCGATCCTTCATTCTCCACATAGGCGATATCATTCTTAGCAGGCAGAGATAGACCCTACTGCTCTAGTCAATCATTACGCCCACATCCACCCATAACCATAGAGCCCTAAGGCTATGGAAGTCCGAATTATGGGGGAGCAAGCAGGTAAAAAGCACCAGTGGCTGTTTGTTATTTATGTGGGACACAAAATCATCATAAGTCAGGCTGAAGGGAGCATCATCTCGCAAGCTCCCACATAGAGAATATCCTTCTAACTATAGCTTAGGGTGATGCGCACCACGGGTCCTGGAACTATCTACGTCATCAAATGAACTTATCCGTGACCCCAGGTGGTCGAAGACACCAGTTGCCTTGAACATCTCATGATGGCAATACGGCTTAAGTAGACTTTATTGGCTTAAAAGTAAAAGAGATCCTTCAAACATAGATAGTAGCCAAAATCGCACCAGACTCATCAGTAGTCATCAAGAGCAGAAAATCGATATTTGGTACCATAGGAGAACGATGATAAGGTTTAGAACCATAGTTAGCGACCGTCTCGAATGCAGCCTATCCTAGAAGAAATAATGTAATTACAAACATCTCCGCACTTACAGTACTTTTATGGAACTAGCGATAGCTCAACTAGGGCGTAGGCGCTTTGGAAATTCTCTTAGGTGGAAGCCTCAATTAATTCTGCCGCTCAGTCTTGGACTGCGAGGTAGATCATCCCACGCCCAGTGAGCGGTTATGCTGGCGAGCTAGCGCCCCCACTTACTCAGCCTTGCTGCACCTCACCACATCTCTGTGTTTTCACCCGGGCTTATGCAGGATCCATTCCTGGGCGTACAAGCGACCCGCTCAGACTCTAAAACGTGGAGTCACATCATTTGGTAGCTCATCTCCTGCACGTACCAAACAAATATTAGGCAGCAAATCACGTGTAATCCAAGGCAGACACAGTGTCTCTCACCGGTCTGAATAGGTTGCATGGCTCTGTAAGTACGAGGAGAGCACCACAAGAGCGTGGAAGGGGGTAAAATGATGAACGAATCAGAGAGACAGTACTGCCCTAAAGTTTGTATGATTCGTTCGTCATCTTTCTACAGGTCTTTGTCAGTTCAAATGTACATCACAATAGGCAGTACTATGGAGCTGAAGCGCTGCGGTACCCGCCAGTTTGCGCAGCCTGGCGTGATTGTTTGCTGTTTTCCTTCACCTGAAATTGCTAAGGCGCACATGACCCACAGTGCCTCAGTCTTGCATTTCCTCTCACGTTCACCGGACACTGAAAACTTCAAGCCGCGCGACAATACTTCATCCTGCTCGCACGTTGTCGCACTCCACCCCACTTCAACCTTTTCTTCTTTCAACGTGTACGCCTGGAAGCTCACCTACGTCTTCAGGTATCGCCATGGGTTCACTCGTAGATGTGTACAACCATCTGGTTTTACCGCCTAAACTTCCGAAAGCGCAGGATGTGGACAGTAAACGCTCATGCGAGGACGTCCTCGCCCGACTCATTCACGCCACCACGACCATCAGCAAACTTTTTGGACAGGAACAGGCACCTACATGGAATGCGGTCCGTCAGTCTCTTCATCGTTGTGAATCTCTTCATGTGTGGGACCGCCTCGAAAAGAAGTCACTCATTTCAGAGTTTCGACAACTCAAACACGATCAACCTCTTTTCCTCTACATCGCAGAACAGAATGCCGCTCTCATTATTCGACGCGATATCAGGTAAGAATTGGGACTCACAACTAGCTTTATAGTGCGCGAACAACCACTGACTATTACCAGCGCCAGAACAGATGTTGTAATCTTCGAGGCCTTTGAGACATCGCCGCCTTCTGCCGAGGTGCTTGCCAGCGAGGGCGCCCTCGTCTGGGACTTTCCCGACTGCGCGGCCCAGATAGCACTTGTGGAATTCCAGAAGACATCATTCCAGGACGCTTTGGCCGACTTCTTGGAAAAAGGCAGCATGGAGCCTTTGAGACGCTTTCAGGCACATACGACGAAGGCGCAAACCTCAATCGTTGAGTCGCGTGACACTGCGAGTCCGGCGCTTGTGACCCATCTCCTAATCCCATTGCTCGAATCTATCGGGTCCCCAATCGGCGCCAACGTTCCTAGAATAAGGAAACGAGTACGAGATGATGTGAACATTGAAGCTACGGAATTTCCATGGCGGAGATTGCCTTTCTGGCTCGTACTCCGCGTCTGTACCCAACGACAACTTCAGCTGTCTCTCGGGAATGAAGCTGGTAGAGCTTGTTACAAATTCCTTATCATCACCATGCTCATAGAGCTTCTGAACGAGTGTGCTAGCCAGCTGGCGCCTGAGTTGACGATGACGTTGAGAGCCAAGATTTGTCGCCGCCTCGCGAAGCTCGAGCAAGAGAAGGGTAACTCACCTGCCGTACACGACCATTTTTTCACAGTTGCTGGTCCATTCTTCAAAGAGAGTATCACACGAGTTACAAAGCTGGTAGAGCTAGCTTGGGATAAATTCAAGCGGGAAACAACACGACCTATTCCCCAACTCTCAACACGGGCCGACCAGCAAGCGCAATACCTTTCTCTCCCCAATAGTAGAGCATACCTTCAAGCTGTGTTGAGTTTGCCACGCATACAGAAGAATGCCCGACTATCGTTCAGACTTCCACAACTGCATGATAGCACAATTGAGCAGGTTGAGCAGTTCACAGATATGTATTTCCAATTGGCGGAGTTGGAGAACAAAATTGAGGCAAAAGAACAACCCAAATTTACGACAACATCGCCGCTAGAATCACGTTGTATAAAGCTAGCCGAAGCGATATTCGATTTATTCGAGGCTGTTGGAATGGCTTATGATTGCGATCCCAGGCAGACGTCTATATTTATCTTGAATCTCTTCACGATCTGGGTGCGACTGGACAAGTACATGATCAAAACTTGCCCTTTGCTGCTTGACTATCACCCTGTATTCACCCCGGAGCTTTTGGACGCATTACATCTTCCGACTGCTCCAGAGATGCAGCGACTTCATGACATCCAGAAGTATCTCGAGGGTAGACGCAAGAGGTGCGAGCGACAGACCACGATATTTTCCGAGCCCGAAAATCATAGCTTCACGGTGAAATACGTCGAGAAGTCAGTAACAATGCAAGGACTTCTTCGACAGATCCAGGAGGCTTCTGAGACCTCACGACAAGCAAAGGCGATAGAGCTGGACAAATGGTGGCAAGGTTATGACGATCACTCTCTGAGTATCTCTGGGGGCACCTGTACTTGCAAGTTCATGCACGATGGTTCGCGAGATGTCCGGGGTTGTACCAAATGCTGGCACTGGCGCTCTCGGAATCGCATGGAAATCTACGCCCACGAGGATTTTCTCCCCAAGGATGCAGTGAAAGCGGCAGCAGTTGTATTCGAGTTGGGTGTACCGAGTTCTTTCGCTGCGTACCGCAACGCGACCTGGAAGATACTAGGACTTGCTTACCCTGCCAAACCTACATCTCAGTCGCCCGTTAAGTTATTGAAGGATTACAAACCGCTTGCAGCATATGGGCAGAGGTCCTCGAATGGAGTCACGATTGCATCGACGTCTAAATCCTTTCGTAACACCCACTATAAGGTTGCTAAAAAGAGGATGAAAGCCTCGGAGTCTGATGTTCTCTACCCTAACGGGCTGACGTTCTTCTATTTCGACATGGCCACGGACACATGGGTCAAGGACTTCGACCAGCCGTTGACTTTCCAGCACCTTTGTGAGGTACATATTCCGCTAGGGCTTCGAGATTCAGTCATTCCGAAGTCGATACACCCACCCACTGAAATACGTGGGCCGTCTTCATACGAGATTGTCGCCTCAGAAACGAAATGTCCACCTAGCATGTCTATTCATGAATTCACAGCCTACCAGCGATTGCTTTCAGGTAAGACGCGTCGATGGCTCACCATGTTGGTAGAGTTGGGGGCATCGGATGTGAACTTCAGCAGCGAGAGCACGATGCACATGTTCAATCACCTCGCCACACAGGCTGGACCAGCACGACACGAGTCTGACCTCTTTCGGGACGTTCATGGAGTTTTCAAGGATACATCATTCTGTAACCGCTTGGCCGAACAGATTGGAAATCGTCTACGCAATATAACGTCCAATTGGCGTGAGGTTCACTGCATGGAAGTACTGATAACGCTCAGTCTGCGGCTTTTCACCTTGGCCTCATCCAAGACGCTGGCTAAGGCCCTTCTGATGGAATCACGCGTCATTACCTTGAATTGGATTACGCGTCTCCGGGTCGACGTGAGAAGTGCCACAGAAACGTCTGTGGCGGAGACTGCCGCTAAATATGCTTTCTGGGCTGCACTGCTTTGCCGGAGGACATTTTCCAACTTTGCAGAATCGGATCAGACAATACCACGAGATGATCTTTCAACATTCGTTCAAGCCTCGCTAGCTCTCCAAGAGAACCTCCTTGTTGATCTGGCCAAGCTACCACCAGCCCTCAAAAGCATGTTGATTCGGGACACGAAAATGGCTTATAGCCTCCAATCACTTCTACTACGGTCGATCAAGGCATCCCCTACGAGTATTGGTATTGCCATCAATGCATCTTGGTCAGAATCAGGAAATACTGCTGGAAAATTATTTGATGAATGGCAGGACCTCCCATCTCCACATGATCGATGGGTTGCGTCAACCATGACGGCTTCTACGAAGACTTTAGCAAACCCACAAGTCGTTCACTACAACTTCATCGAAGGACACTTGCTCATTGATGGCAAGCCCTTGGGAAGGCTGCCTCGGGATATTCGAGAATCGGAAGAAGTGAAGAAGCTGTTCGGTAACCAACATCTTCTGACATTCCCGTCTGCGGAATATGGAATGTCCTACGTAATGGCACAGCGAATGAACAACCACGAGATTCACTTTGGGATTCGTAATGGGAAGGTTATTGTGCGCGCCTATAGTCGAGATGGCCTCTTGGAATACATTCCGCACCACCTGTTTTCCGGACCCGATACCGTTGACCTACCCTGCAGTCTTGTCTCCAACTGTGCGCACTGGTTGAACCTGGATACTAAATGCATTGAAGTCCGACGTAAACCAGTAATATGGAAGACGAGGGCAAATGACTGGATTATTGATGTTGTAAATCGACGAGGCCATCGGAGCAACCGTACATGTTTGGTTGACCCTAATTCCGACCTCTTCAAGCAAATTGCAGACATCTTCCGCCATTTCGAGCACCCTCACAAGATCACAGTCTTTCAGCCCGTACACATAAATGGGAAGTTGTCTGTTGAGCTGCGCCATCTGGAACTATCGTTCTTCGTCAATTCAAAAGGGCTTCTTGAATGTCGGGAATTAGCAGAAGAGATTGATCCTGACCAGGACGCTGGCACACTGTACGGGTTTGAGAGCAAGATTGTACTCCGTGACATTGCGGACAATAAACGCCGAAGCATCATCACTCCATGCGGAAGAATTTTTACCAAGCGTCGTGGGATGCACGTTGCCGTCCGGGCAGCTGGTAGCACCGAGTATGCGAGATTCGAAGTTGACGATGTCCTTGGACGATTAACATGCCCTTCCGAGCCGCGACTTTTATATGCGAAGGCGCAGTTCCACGCTTTTACGTCTTTTGTCATACCGGATCCATTGACGGGACGCACCGGCACCGAAGAAGCCTTGCATATTTTACAATCGAGTTATTGTCAACCATGGACACCATTGAATGATAGGCCCGTCAACATTCTCAAAACTCTTTCAGAGATAAGTCCAGGACGAGAGTACTATCCTAAGAACAAGAAGACATTACAGACCGTTCTTTGGAATGCAAGTCTGACGATGGCCATCCAACACGATGCATATGAGGTCCTCGTGCGAAAGATCCTCGACAAGTCCGACCGGCTTCGCGTGTTTTCTCTGAATGACGAGGAAGATATTCATGTCAGCACCTACACCTCGACCCACCTTCGCAAGCGCGGTATCGCGCAACGTCGTCTTTACGAGCGCGATGTTTTCGGCACATCGGAGGATATTGCCCGAGATAAAGTGTACAAGTCTCGAGGCCAACAAGCCAATTCAGCCCAAGCGGAGAAGGTTTATCAAATCGCAAAGCTGCTCCAAATCAAACCATTCTGCATCCACACCACTCGAAACCTGTCCGAAATTATGCAGGATTGGCCGCTGATTGGTGGATTTCACGACACAAGCGAGAACATGGCCGCCAGCCTGAGCGATGTGATCGAGCGAAATATCGACGAGCAATGGGGCCATCTTGTTAACACTTGCCGGATCTCTAGTCCTGAAGACTTACACAGTTTGATGTTCCGGTTAAGTCTTATGTCATTGAACTCTGCAACGGACATGAACGCTATCAAATGTCTAGCTGCTTTTACATCTTTACCAGCGTTAAAGACATTGGTGCCGCCCTCCGGTTCGTCATTCAACCAATTTAAGCGGAACGAATCTCCGACTGTACATTCCATTTCCCGTACCATCTCTGTCGATCTGCCGGAGAAGCTAAAGCGGATTAATAAGGCCCAAGAGGAGCACAGAGTTGCATGCGTGGCTGAGGGGAAGCGACTAGCACGACACTTCCTTGATCAATGGCCAAACGAAGAAATCTTCTTGGGTGGGTTCAAATCGGATATTATCGATACAGGGCTCGCGATGGAACGAGTGGTCCCGGAGTGGCGCCGTTTGCATTCGAATTTGGCACTCTCCGAATTCGTTAAACAGTTTGAGGATATCCTGGAGCATCACAAGGGACCTAGCGATACTTCTGTGCCTAAGGCATGGAATTGGATACAGAAGTCGGTTGGTTCGCCTGCCCGCGGACCGGTCATTCCAACCATATCGAAAGGTCTCCTTACGAAACCCCTTGCGTCTCCCTTGGACGAAATTGCTTGCAAGGTGATGATGCACGATGGCATCGGTAATTCTCCATCCAAGGAACGTTCAGATACAAAGACTCCATCCAAGGAGGCGGCTGCACTACGGCATATTCTCTCCTCTTTCACAGCATCGTCGAATGCTCTCCGCCAACAATATGGCCGCGACCTCGAGGCGAGTCTTAGAGCTCTTGAAAAGAACAACAATCAGATCAAAGCTACACATCTTGTGCCAAGCATCGTAAGCACTGCGAGAAAAATCCAGACCCTTTCCGCTATGAAAACCGCCCATTTTATCCAAATTCGTAACGCTTTGTCTTTCGACGACGACCGCTTCCAATGGCTTGACCTCGGAAATCTCTGGCCATGCAATACTTCAATGTCGATTTTAGAGCAGCTGCGCTCAAGCGCCGATAACCACTTTGGGAGCTCTGTTAAGGAAGCGATTGTTTCGCATGGTGTTCTGGTTACGATGTTGCAGCGACTTGTGCGAATCCGGAATGCTATGTATCATGCAAAGACAACTCGATTACAAGAAGAACTAGGAAACTCAGGCCATGAGAACTGGAAGCCACTCGATTACCCTGATTGGCTTCTCTTAGAAATTGACAGTGATATCCTAATTCGACAAGAGCAGATTGACGTGGCGCATGCAATCATTGCTCCCGAGTCACGGGAGAACACGGTACTGCAATTGAACATGGGTAAAGGTCAGGCAAAACTATCCCAGTCACAATATAACCAGCTTCTGACGATATCAACAGGAAAAACATCTTGCATTGTACCTATGGCAATGGCAATTCTCGGGGACGGAAACCAACTGTCACGTCTCCTCGTGCCAAAACCATTGCTCTTACCAACGGCTCAGATGATCCAGTCGCGACTTGGCGGTTTAGTGGGCCGAGAGATACAGCATCTTCCCTTTTCTCGGCGTACCAAGCTCAATCCAGGAACACTTCAGCTCTACAGGGAACTTCACCAAGCAATGCTTGACCGTCGCGGCGTTGTCTTGAATGCGCCTGAGCATGTTCTGTCTTATAAGCTCGGCGGTCTTCAATATCTTACTGGCCCTGACCTAAATACCGCACGCGAAATGATTGATTTCCAGACATGGCTCAATGCGACTTGTCGGGATGTTCTGGACGAGTCCGACGTTTCTTTGGCTGTAAAAACTCAGCTGATCTATCCAAGTGGCAAGCAAACCACCGTTGATGGACACCCGCACCGCTGGCAAGTCGCACAATCACTTCTATCACTTGTGAAGGACCACCTCCCCGAACTACGACGCAGATTTCCACGAAGCATTGAGATTATTGAGCGAAGTAACGGATACCCGATGATGTACATCCTTCAACCGGACGTGGAGGAAGATCTTCACCGGCGAATCGTCGATGAGATTTGTACTGGAAGAACAACATTTCTTCGCTTCGCAGAACCCACATCACCCAGACACCATGCCGAGATCCGTAAAGTGCTCTTGGATGCTGACCTTAGCAACAAGCTATTCATACGCGTGACCGGGTTGTTTGCCGACAAGAATGTGGCTTCGAAAACGCTGCTCCTTGTCCGAGGCCTACTGCGCAATCGGATCCTTCTCCTTTGCTTGAAAAAACGCTGGAATGTACAATATGGCCTGCATCCAAGCAGAGATCCGATCGCAGTTCCCTTCGAGGCTAAGGGAGTGCCTTCTGAACAAGCTGAGTTTGGTCATCCTGATGCTGCTATTATATTCACCTGCTTGGCTTTCTACTACTCCGGCCTCAATCAAGCTCAGTTTAGCGAAGCTCTTCGTCACATCCTAGCATCACACGATCCTTCTAGTGAGTACGACAGGTGGACTAGCAGTTGCGATACACTTCCGGAAGCATTATATCATTGGAACGTCATCAACGTCGACGATCAAGGTCAAATCGAAGAACTTTGGAAGCATCTTCGAACTAGTAGGAGTGTGCTCGATCACTACATGAACCACTTCGTTTTTCCCGCGCATGCAAAACAGTTCGGTATCAAGCTGCAGGCTTCGGGATGGGATCTACCTCTATTTTCAAAGATAGAGTCTAGCGATGATACAGCCACAAGCGCGAGGACAACTGGATTCAGTGGCACCAATGACAACAAAATGATGCTGCCACTCACCATCCGACAAGACGACCTCCCCAGCTTGCACCAAACCAATGCGGAAGTCCTCACTTACCTACTGCAAGACCGAAATAGAACATATCACCTTGCAGCTCGAGGAGGTAAGCGGTTATCAGAAAAGAAACTCCTCGAGGAGCTCAAGGAGAAGAAGATCCGTGTCCTCATCGACGCTGGTGCCTATATTCTCGAAATGGACAACGAGGCTTTGGTCACAGCGTGGCTAGAAATTGACTCTGAACCACAGGCAGCGGTGTTCTTTGGCGCCGACAACCGAGCCTGGGTTCGATATCGCGGAATGAAAGCGCGTGTGCCCTTACTAGCCACTCCATTTGTCGATCATTTGGAGAAATGTCTCGTATATCTCGATGAAGCGCATACGCGTGGTATAGATTTGAAACTTCCCACACATGCGCGAGGTGCTCTGACACTGGCCCTTGGACAAACCAAGGACCATACAGTTCAAGGTAAGCACGCGCATACAACATGCGAAATTTGCGATTCCCGACTAACATCATACTAAGCTGCCATGCGCCTCCGACAACTCGCAACCACTCAATCTCTCTGCTTCTTCGCCTTCCCCGAAACCCACCAGTCTATTCTCGACGTATGCAAGATGCATGACAGGGACAGAATCGACTCATCTCATGTCGTGCATTGGCTTCTAGAGCAGACGTGCCGCGCAAACGAACAGCTCCAAAATCTATACATTTCCCAAGGCGCCGACTTCTGCAATCGCACGACGGCGGAATGGGAGAATGCGGCTTTTCTCTCTGATACACAGCAAAGGGGTGTTTATGTCAAGGTACTCCAACATGCCGAGCAGAAGACACTGGAGCAACTATACGGAAGCCATGTGGAAAATACCCCGCCTCCATCTTCTCCAAAGACCATGTTTCCGCAAATCCAGGCCTTCGAGGACAAACTCAACAACCTACGTCGAGCCGCTGCCAAAAACGCTCACGTTCTGCATTCGTCCACTCTGGAAGAAGTCGAGCAAGAGCGCGAAGTCGAGTTTCAGGTTGAGGAAGTGCGTGAAGTGCAACGGCCCTTACACTATAAAGCCCACAAATTTCCCGGACTTCACCCTGTCATCGATAAGTTTGCTCGCACAGGCATTTTGAACGGAGGAGTGGGATATGAACATGTATTCGATGCTGTGTCACGCACGTCCTTAGGCCAGAGGTATGGTGTTGCGGGTACAGATTCACAGTTGTTTGTTTCGGCGGAGTTCATGAGAACGATCAAGACGCGTGAGCTTGGGCCCATCGACAACTTTATGGTAAGTAAACTACTGTTTGATCTCGACCAAGACAGAGACTAATATTTTCTCCTAGCGTCCCATCGAGTGGGTTATCTACCACCCCACCACCTCTACCGCCGTCGTAGTTATCGCCGAAGAAGCGGAAGACTTGATCTCTACACTCCGCAACCAGACATCCCCTAAAGTCCACTTGCTCACGTACTCGGCCCCTATCACGAAAAAAATGCTCCAATTTAGCGGGCTGAAGTACTACGCTCTACCCGCACTCCCGCGTGGGCATTCGATTCCGCACTGGCTTACGATTGAGCTGGGAATCTTTGCAGGACGTCTGTACATGGATTTCGATGAGTGTGCGCCCCTGGTAGAGTACATCGAGAACGCCTGCATCAGCAAAAAGCAATCAGGTGCGCCGGCGACGATGATACCCTTCCTTCTTGAGTGGCTTTGTCTCCGTCGCAAAGGTCAAGACATTATGCACACGCCTATCGGCTACGCGTGTCAGGGCCGTCCGCTTCATAGCGGGCATGCCTTTTTCGTGACACACCGTGTTAACGATAATGGCATTGTCCAGTCGTATCGCACTAATAAGACTGTTGGCGGAACGGATGAAGAGGAGGACGAGGAGGATGAGTGGGATGTTGTTGACGAGAATGAGCTCGTCTAGAGAACAGGGTTGAGAAGGGTTGGTCTGTGAAATATCAGCGCTGTCGTTGGTAAGATATATCTGACTTGGACTGATGGGTACAATCCCAGAGCAGTCTCGAAGCGTTGTATATGTAGTTTCTGCATACTGAAGATCGACCTTTCCGTCAGTGTTCACCATTAACCACAGAAACACATACTTTGCATAGAAAACGACAATGCACTGCTGTCGATATTTGAGAGTCTTCGTGCGATCATTTTGTGAAAAGATTGAATCTCGTCCATGTTTTCGTCGTCAACGTTATTCGTCGCACCTTGTTCGATCGAACACACATTAATTTAGTTCGCTGATCGTTGTAGAGAGTTAGAGATATACTATTCTGAGCACCGATCTTAGGGCAGGCCCAGAGTTGAATTCTAGGCTCAACTAAGAAGGCATTGGAATGGACATCTCAAGACTGAAAATACCATAGATTTAAGGTCGTACAAGTGCAACGAAATCTTGACCGAGATAATGGATTCTCATATGTATAACCATTATGACATCATGAGAGAAGTCTAAGAGATTCGCGGTGCACAGCCTGGATGGGCACTTTCCATCAAAGCAGCAAGTTCTTTCCATATCTGTTTCTGCGTACGTTGACCCTCAGCATCAGTCATCGATGGGGATATCCAGTGTCTGCCGCGTCGTTGTTAGCATGGATCCACGACAATATTCAACAGTAGTATATGATACTTACTCTTTCACTTCGCACCCCGATAAGTGTTTACCATGAGTGGACTCATCCGCGATCACAGCATGGATAATGGTGCGACTGCCCTCCTCCGCGGTCCTCGCCCATAACATACGGACGATACGCTGCATTGTCCTCAGGAGGACTCAAGTGTCATGAGCAAGGCCGGTTGAGCATATGCCTGGCGCAACCATGTTGATGATGACATTAGTTTTTTCGAACGGATACGCAGCGGCGAAGGCGCGCACGGTGTACATTTCCACGAGCTTAGTGAGAGGGTATCTAAGGCGGCTTGTTAGCCCTAGTGTCACATAGTGTTAATAACATTGACGGTCATGGACGTTTCCATGCCCTCGGCTACCGTCCAGCTGTCCAACATTTCACCCGCATTTTCAATAACTCCATCGATTCTCTCGAGCTCTTTCTTTGCCTTGCCAGCGAAGTCCCTGACTGATGCAGAAGAGGAAAGGTCAAGATGCCATACCTCTGCCACGTCTTTGTGGCCTGTCGTGTGCTCGATGTCGGCTTTGGCCGCCTCTCCTGCGGCGATGTTACGTACGGCAAGGATAACGCGTGTGGCCGAGCAGCGGACGAGATGCCTGGCTGTCTCGAGACCAAGACCGTTATTAGCGCCAGTGACTATGTAGGTCTTCCCTAAAAACGTTTCTGGGTCGACCAGCACCGGTAGTTTTGCATACTGCTCGGCGATGACTTGTCGCATGGACATGGTGTTCTATTGTCTTCGCAAAGTTATTGGGTTCAAGAAGAGTCAGGCACACTCAAGGCCTTTCGAGGAGAAATGTATGAGAAGAACACCAATGCGAGTATTGCTGTTGTTGGAGAGCGCAAGTAGTAAACCTCTGCTATGAGTTTGCTCGGGTGTGCTATGGCCATGTATATCTAGGATCTGGAAGGCGGACATAGGCGCTCGCAGTAGGGTGACAACGGAGATAAACTACATTTGGACCACCGTTGGCATACCGTAGATAGAGACCGTAATTGAGGTGAACACGAGAAGAGAGCGAAGGTGGAGGGGGTACTTCAACATCGCCAACTTCTATTCGTTGCCAGATCAGACAGCCAATCAGATATTGGCATCCTTATCGGGAATAGCGCAGGCAATCTCACCTGCACTGGCTACACCCCGTCCGTCTTCTTCCTGCAACGGGGCGTGAACGCGTGTTTAGCCACCCGCTAGGCAAAGCCTGTAAGCCTGTTGCCGAATGGATTAGTTCGTTGGATTGTTGAGGCCTTCTGCTAGTTGTGTAGGCCTCCATCCATCTTCTTTGCACGACGCCTTAGCAGAGACTACGATAATTCTGAACGACTCAATCCTATGTCCAGCATGCACCTACAGTTTATCACCGAACTGACGATAGGTCCGAGAGAACGACGGCTGATCCGATCTCATGTGGTGATGGGCAAGAATGCGGGCAGGCCGCGTCCATCGAGAAGGCTACGCGACGCCTACACCCTGCAGCGAGATGTCCGACACTCCAGTCCTCTAATAAAAGGTCATTTGACAGCATAAAACCACCAGGTGCTCGAATATACACACATCTTGGACATGAAACGGCCACTTTGGAACGATCTAAGCCTGACCTCGTTTCCAGACCAAATAAGCTTAGAGTTAAATAAATTCATTTACCAATGTGCGCATCGGCGAATGAGCTTTTCCTACCAGTCATGACATTCCATGCTGACCCGTCTATAGGTCTTTGGGTCCTTACCAAAATGCTGTATCCACCCGAGTTCTGTTCTGAAATCGATCTCTCGCAGTACGTCTGGTTTCAGTATATACTTGAAGACACAGCACGTGAGCTACGCCATTATACCGTTACTGTCCTCATATTTATTTATCCTCGATTTCCATTTCTTTTTGGCAGTGTCAGCTTCCTTCGTGGGTCGCTTCGGCGGTAGTCGCAAGATCTCCTCTGAAGCTTTGAACCATATGTCGCAGGCATATAGATTAACAAATGAACGACTATCAGGTCCTAAGGCTTTCTCAGATAAAGCCATAGCCGTCGTAGCTATCCTTGCTATATATCATCGCATGCATTAGCAACATTCTAACGGTTTGATTCATTTTGAGGGGCTTCGCCGAATGATCCAGGTGCGTGGTGGCTTAGCGAGGCTGGCGGAGGAAAATCAAGCACTTGCGCAAAAGCCTTGGAGGTATATACTTTATTTCGCATCTAAGCGACTTTGACTCACAGTTCATAGGTTGGCCCTCGAATTCGCCCTTCAAGACGGTTCAGCACCTGGCTTTGATCTATGTGACGTACCTAGAAGTGCAATTTTGAACCAGATCAGGGCCTCTCGGGACCTACGATCAATACCCATCAATGCCAACCTACATCGCGGAGTCAGCCCAGATATTCTCGAGCTCCTGTTAGACATCTCAAACTTCAGCACGCTACTCAACAAAACATGTGAAGGCACCAAGCTACGTCCATTGAAGTACTCAGAGCTCGTATATATTCGCCTTCACCGCCTGCTTCACTATGCTCCACTAGGACACTGCCGGCCTGCTGATCTGCTGGACGACTTGGTGCACTTGAGCCTAGTTGCCGTCATGACAACCATCATGCCAGAGTATGGTCTAAACCAGGCTAGATACGACCTGCTATCGAATCACCTTCGGCGCGCGCTCCGTACCTATGCATCAACGACGATGAGTAATTCTGGACTTTTCTTGTGGGCTCTGTTTGTGGCTTATGCCACGGTACTGGATGATAATGACCTTAATTGGTTGACACCATTAGTTGGCGAGATCTGTGTACGCTTAAACCTGCTTTTTTGGGTAGATGTTCGCCCGAATCTTTGCCAATGTGCTTGGATATGCGTTTTTTATGATAATTCTGGGATAAAGATGTGCAGTACAATTGGCAAAGGAGAAGAGGCAGACGTACCTGGGCCTCTTCTTTCGACTAGGAGCATGTCGTATAATTTGGTATGAAAGATGCAATTTTATAAGCTTAGGATGTCTCGCATTGTTTTTCCCTTGCTTTTTAATTTTTTTTTAAACTACAGGCTGCATCTTTTTGCGCAAACCTGTAGTTGCTTGGACTCGCCTCTTCTGGCGCCAGGATTGGTTGAAGCCTCACCTGACATAAATGCATCCTCAGCCTGATCACCATAATAGTTCAGCCATACCAACACCACGCAGTGTTCTGCTCACCTCTTTGTAAGAATAGTACTCAGACTGGATACACATACGCTCCCCCTTCAGGATACATATACTGACACACGACTACGTTTGCCTACTCAGCTTCAGCATGGGCCGCCCCAGCTACGAAGGCTGGTGCTCTGCGGCTCCGGGTAGTTGGGTCTGCACACAGTGTGGTGCGTGCAACAGTGACTTAACGCTGGATTATTGTCCAATATGTGGCATAAACAGGGTCTCGTGGGAATCTGCCAGGCGCACACCAGTCCTTGGAGCATTTCCGACAGCAGAGCCGGATCAGTCATTGCCTACGAGTACTCAGAGAAATAACACCGGAGAAGTACTAAATTTCGGGGCAGCTAGTATAGCCAGCCATTCATCATCGCAGTTGCCGGACCTACATCAACTCTCCATACTTACACCTGTGAATGTCTCCAAAAACTCACAGGACAGCGTGGAGCGGAGTAAAATGACCCAGATTGATTGGCGTTCCGGATATCAAAGCTTAGAGGACTGGGATAGAGCGTCGGCAGACACACCATATGCCGCTGCAGTCTTCTCGATTGGATCTCAGGCATCCTCAAAAACAGGTATCTCGAGTGCCAGCGGGTTTTCTGCTGCTCAAATAACGACCGCTACGGAGGAACTTCTCTTTCTCTTCCACCATGACGAAAAGCTGGTATTGCTCTATGAGAACGCTATGGAAAAGCCCGAGATTGGGCCAGAGAGGTTACAACGTAACATGTGTCGAATCTTAAAAGTATATGCTAGAAACTTGTCACGAGAAGCGACAACAGAGCTCGAAAGAATGGCTGCTCAGCTAGTATCACTGAAGGCGCGATATCTTGCGCAATCGATCATCGAAAAGTTCCAGCTCAAACCTGTTCCGCATCAGGTCCTACACTACGAGAATCAAGACGAAAGCTCCGAGGACGATAACGCAAACCAAGTTGATGAAGACTTGTTGGAAGACCTCCAAAAGTTCCGAAATTTCCTGATTGAGAGCGCGGCTTTTGCCTCACTCCATGCACAGTTGCAGTCCTTTGTTGTTTCTACACCTGCTCGTCGCGAACTACTTGGAGTTAGTGGATCAGTTGATATCAGTAGTCCTGACACAAGCACGGGGCACGATATTAAGAGAGCGACTATAAACAAGACCACATTTGTTGGAAATGTTCAAGAGCTACTGAATCCCTCTAAATACCTTTTGCGCGCCGTTCTCGTTGCTACAGGGTATTTGGAACCACCTCTGAGGGCAGGGTTCATTCGACTGAGGTGGGAATGCGTAAGTCCTCTATATAGATACTTTTATCACGAAAGAGCCGGCTGATTATATACATAGAGCTGCGGTGATCGCTTCTTTGGAGATGTGATGCAATATGAGGAAGGCGGGATTGCAAGACTGAAGGAACATATGCAACTCTCCACTGGTGCCAAATTCTCGGAGGCTTCCGGCAATCAACATGGCTCTGGGCAGAGATACATATTTCGTTATCCTGGGTGGGCCCAGAAAACGATCAATGTGTTGTCATCCAATTTCACACGATCTAACACACCGTCAAGCTGTTTGCCCCAACATAATGGTTCCAATACAGCTTCAGCCTCTAGGTCCGGAAGTGGGCACTCTTCACAACAAGGTACACTCCACCTGGCGGTATGCATGCAGCGCAGCCAAGATTGTAGGATAGTGCATCAAGATCGCATCGAGACGATTACCACAGACAGAGAACTCTTCCGGTACATGAAAACGCAGTTAGCCCGACGCCGCAGCCACATCCGTACCCTGTTATCCCTAAGGTGTGTCCAGGGGCTTTTCTTCGTCAAGGTGAGTTCCCAATCCGACTTGATCACTGTAAATGTCCGTCCTCATCACTTGTTTAGTTCCGTCTACGGGTTTGTGGCCGCGTAGAAGTTCGGGACCATGACCCCTGCTGCACTTTGTCACCATTAAAGACCTGCGAATGCATACCACCAGCACCCAAGGTTGAACCGGCGCCTGATGCGGAATATCGCTGTAAACCCGCTGGACCATTAGCAACCTGGCCGCCCGTCCTCTCCCAAGAACTAATGCATATGCTCGCCTCCCCAGACTGTATACATGAGAAGGAGACGTGGATACTTGATCAATTGCCCAAACGAACATGCGGGGAGTTACAAGGGAAGGTCGGACAGCCTGCTGAAGGGTGGGGAATTCATTATAGAGAAGGTTGGGACAGTGACTCGATTACTGGTACTAGATTTGTAATCTTTCTTTTAGCGAGCTTGCTCTTCGCTGTTCTTTGGTCTGCTTTCAAGATGGATGTACAAGGCGCTTTTGGAGTCAGTGCTTACATGACTGCCGCAACTGGTATCCTCATCTCATGGGTTGTAAGGCGGGCTAGTAAGTTCGAGTGAAATGTATGGTTTGGGCAAGAGGTGAAGATGCGTAGGACAACGAATGTCCGATCGGCCCACACGGAGTTTTGATATCCGGATACATGATGTATACATGACATGCTCGCGCTCTTCGATTTCCATGTTGCGCGATTTGTCCGAGGCTGACAAAGCGGGTTGAGGCTTACGAAGGATGTGCCCACCCGCCCCCGCCGTGTGACAATTGACGCCATTCATCACCAGCTGCACGCTTTATCAACACGTCGCCTGTCATGTCAAACAATCACTTACAGCAGTATTTCTGTTTACAGAACTCCTCGAAAGGCCCACCATGAACGCCCCAAAGCCCATCCTCATCTCCGGCGCCGGCCTCGCCTCGCTGCTGGTTGCGCGCTCGCTCCACCGCTCTGGGATTCCCTTTCTCGTCTTCGAGCGCGATGCAAGCATCATCTTCCGCGCTCAAGGCTACCGCCTACGTCTCTCGGCACAAGGCCTTGACGCCATCGAGGCTGTCCTCGGGCCCACGGGCTTCCAGAAATTCTACGACGCGTGTGGCAAGACAGGAGGCGCGGGGTTCGCTGCGATTGACCCTTTGACTGGCGAAACGCTAGGCGCGGACGTTCCGTCGGTCTCGAACGAGCCATTGACGAGCCGGGATGGCAAAGTTGTGGGTATAAGTAGGGGAGACATGCGCCAGCAATTCATGGAGGGCCTAGAAGACAAAGTGCGCTGGAACCACCATGTGAGCGGCTACGAGAGCACAAGCGCAGGCGTGCGATTGCTATTCGCAGATGGCAGTAGGAGCGAGGAAGGGTCCATGATTATTGGCGGCGAAGGCGTCAAGAGCGAGGTTGCGAGACAGCTCAGCGACGGCGCCATCAAAGTCTACGACCTTGGGTCTCGCGGCATCCATGGCCAGGCGCCGACGACAGCCTTCAAGGGGCTGGGCGAGGGCGTGTTCCGCCTGGCCGATGACACAACTCAACCAAATGGCGGCAAGGTCTTTCTCATGACAAACGTGCGTGCAAGCGATATGAACAACCCTGATATCCACTTTGGCTGGACAATGGGCGGCTCCCCAGGTGTCATCAAGGCGCCGAATGATAACTTTACCATCACGGGTCCACCAGCTGCCCGCATCGCCAAGTCGCTCACCTCACACTGGCACGAGCGCGTCAAGCCGCTCTTTGACAACATGGTCGAGTCGGAAGCTGCTTTTTGGAAAATTACATGCTCGTCCCCCACTGGCGTACCAGAGTGGCCCAACGACCCGCGCGTCACATTAGTTGGAGACGCTGTGCACGCCATGACGCCTGCAGGCGGAAACGGTGCGAACACCGCCGTGCAAGACTCAGCTTTGCTTGGACGCTTGCTCGCCGAAGCTTGGAAACGGGGAGATGGTGATAGCTGGGCAGGCGTAACAAAAGCATATGAGGATGAGATGCGCGTGTACGCGAGCGCAGCGGTTAAACAGAGCTACAATCAAGCTACGGGCCTGTTTGGCGCATCGATCGATCCTGAGACGACAGCGACGGTAAATGAGTATGTCGCGCCCAACTAGACATGTCTCAGAGTAAGGGCTGTGGTGGTGATAGAAGAGGAGCTACACGTGATTATGAATCGGCATACTGTTGTACTACTTAGAGCTAGACTTTAGATTCCAACATAGTCTTGGGTAGGATCACTATTATTTCATGATTGATGTCGCGATCAACGGGTACCTTGCGAGTGACGTATCCCAGTCAGAGAACAGCCCCTAAGCTACGATAGGCAGGAGCGATACTCACTTCCGAAAGTAGAAGGTATCACGATGGAGGAACACAGAGTCGATAGCATTGCGATATTATCTGCGTTTATTTAAGAACCCTTGCCTCGTGATACAACATTGATCAATTGAAACGTCTATAGCGTGGCTGACTCACTTTGGGACATCAACTCAAGGCGCAACATGAAACCATTCCAACAACCACGTCTGCTCGTGACAGCACTCACGTTCATTCTGTGTCTGTCAACGGTCACAGCGGCGCCCCATCCCAAAGTTTCCCTCTCCTGGACCCTCACCCCAACCAACAGCACCCAGCAATTCCGAGGCCTATCGCCCGTCTCCAAGAAAGTCATCTGGGTATCCGGTACAAACGGCACTGTCCTACGCACCACCAACGGAGGCTCAAAATGGACAAACGTCTCTCCCACCTTCCCCTCGGAAAACTCAACAGCCTTTCAATTTCGGGACATCCACGCATGGTCTGAGAAAGTGGCTGTGGTGCTCTCCATTGGCAATGGCAACGCCTCGAGAATTTACCGAACGCATGATGGCGGCGAGTCATGGGCACGCACGTTTGTCAACGAGGAACAGGCAGCGTTTTACGATTGCATGGCTTTTGAGCAGGAGAAAGGGAGAGAGGGACATGGAGTTGCGATGAGTGATCCTGTCGACGGACGGTTTCGACTGCTTGAGACGTGGGATGGTGGACTGCATTGGCGCATCTTATCCACGAATGGTACTATGCCGCCCGCGCTCGCTGGAGAGGCTGGCTTCGCTGCGTCGGGGACTTGTATCGAGGCTGCAGCAGGACGGTGGTACATAGCCACGGGCGGCGTGAATCCAGGACGCATTTTCCGCAGCGCAGGTATCGAGCGTGGGTGGAGCGTAGCGAATAGCTCCATTGCTGGAGGGGCAGCTGCCGGAGTCTTTTCTGTACGATTTCGGGATTCCAAACACGGCATTGCGGTTGGAGGTGACTTTGAGAAACCGACGGCTAACGTCGATATTGCATCGTGGTCGCGGGATGGCGGCGTGTCGTGGAACAAGGCAGAATCTTTTCCGGGGGGTTATCGCTCTGGTTTGTCTTGGGTTCCGGGAAGGCGAGATGTTGCTGTTTCGGTGGGAACGTCCGGATCGGATATCACACTTGATCGAGGGAGAAACTGGGCCAGAATTGATAACGGAACATTTGATGCCGTCGAGTGTATTAGCAAAGACCAATGTTGGGCTTCTGGGTCAAAGGGTCGAGTTGCTCGCTTGGAGCTGCATAAGTTGTAGAAGAGTCGTGAGGTGGCTTTTTAATATAGGTTCACCGACGCAAATATATGCTGAGGATCACCTAAATATCGACAGGAGATAGAAGACAAGTTGGTCCTTTTAAGTTGAAGGTCACGGAGTGTAGCGTAGTCTATGAGAAAGAGATAATGCCATAGAGTATTTTGTTCACTCATAATTGGCTATGGGTATAGGGAATAATGAACATCCCCGAGATTAAGTAAGTATATCTACCCCGCTCAGTTATTAGCAGTGATAAAAATATCATCAAGATAAACCTGCGTCCAGGCATTTCCTGGTGCACAAGTCACCGTAACCTGGACATGCGTGACGCCCGAATTGGGTGCCAGACATGCAAAAGTCGTCTGCGTCCACTCCGTCGTACTCGGCGTAACAAGTCGGGAGTTGATATTCGTGGTCCCCACAGCAGTGACACCGCAGTACCACCTCACGGTACAAGCGTCTGCTGCTATCTGCCTAGCCCAAGCTGAGAAAGTGTAGATGCCGGTTGGACTCAACGTCGGCTTCGGTGATGGAATGAGATACATGTATCCCATGGTGGTTTTGAGAGAGTTCGAGTTGAAAGGGACTGCAGTAAGGGTCAGCGCGCCGCTGCCGCTGTGGACTATGTCGCTTTGGATATCCATGCGCTGTTTCAGACTTGTTGTGCTCCCGATGGGGTTGACCCAGCCGGGAATCGTGGTGCCGGTCGTGTTGGTCCCGATTCCTGTCTCGAAATTGCCGTTCCCCAGGAAGTTTGGTTGAGGGGCTGCGGAGCTACTGGCTGGTGGTGTCGTGCTAGAAGATGACGGAGTGCTGGATGTTGTGACTGCATCGGTGGATGACGATGCAGGACTGGATGTTGGCAACGGAGCATCGCTGGATGATGAGGCTGTACTGGATGACAGACTGAGGTCGTCGGATGATGATGGTATCAGACTGCTGGATGGCGAAAGGGACGCAGTGCTGCTCAATAGTGATGAGGAGGCAGAATCGGTAGATGTTGCTAGGACAGAACTGCTTGAGATTGACAAAGTAGACTCAATCGACGTCATTGAGATGACACTGCTGGACAATGTTGAGGCAGGCTCGGTGGATGATGGAGTGCTGGAGCTGCTGGAGACGCTGGTCGATAATTCTGACACTGAACTGCTAGACGGTGATACTGTGCTCTCTGATGATGAGGAAGAACTGGACGGGGGAGAGGAAGTAGCTGATCCCGAGGAAGACGAAGTCATAGTTGCAGAGGACGAGAAGATACTGGAGCTGGAAGATTCTACTGTACTCGCGCCACATGACATTGTGATAGTCGTCGGGCTGGCAGAAAGAGTGACGGTCGCAGGACTAGCAGAGCCTGCAATGGTCACAGCTTGCGTGATGGTTATGGGATCTAGCGTTACCGCTTGAATAACAGGACTCAGCGTGAGGGCTTGCGTTATTGTTACAGTGGAGGCAGAGATAGCTTGCGTTATGGTTATGGTCGATGCAGAAGCCGATTGCGTGATGGTCGCAATCGAGGCTGATGCGGACTGAGTCACCGTCACAACTGAACCGGAAACAGACTGTGTTACGGTCACGGTGGACGCGGAGGCTAACTGCGTGACCGTGACAGCCGACATAGGGGTAGCAGACTGCGTGATGGTGACAGCAGAGCATGTCGAAAGTATTGGCGAAGGGACAGAGGCTGACGCCTGGGTGGAAAAGCTGCTCTGTACAGGGGTCGACGAACGCGAAGAGGACTGGATGATGATGGAGCTAAAAGTCGACTGGATGGCAGAGGACACCGTACCCGTGCAGGAACCGTAATCTTTCTGGCAGATACTAGCAGAACAGTAATCCTTTGTACTTCCACAAAAGCTGTTCACCGGATTAGTATGTAACAAAATTCAGTACGTATAAGTAGTCTTACTCAAATTGCGAGCAGCAATTGCCAAACACACTGCCCTGACACGTCTGTCCTCCATATTTGGAACCACATCGCGCATTGGTCGAAACGGGCTTACTTGGCGTGGAGGAGCCGCAGGTCCCGTAAGCCTGCTGACAACCGGTGCCGCAATGAGTCGTCGTCGAGCCACTTAGCATACGTCAGTAAGACGGTATATGAGAGTGTTTGGCTAAAGATTGAGGGCGGGCTTACCACCATGAAGCTGACGAACAACAACTGCCAAAGGTCGATCCCGCGCATGTCAGGCCGCCATAGCCTTTCCCACAACGTCCATTCGTTGAAACCGCAGCTTGAACCCCAGTGAAACTGAGGAAGAAAGTCAATGTAGCCACAGAAATTGGCAACATGGTAGCGAATGACAACTGGGCGCAGAGAAATATTGCAAAGCGAGTGGAGGTCAAGAAGGAGAGTCGAGGGAGATTCTAGCACACAAGAGTGTAGATATAGATACGAGCAGAAGAAGCTTGCAGGGATTTCTTTTGGGCCAGAACAGTACAGCCCCTAATGGCCTTGACATGTTGGTTCCCATCCCTGCGCTGCTCATCCCGATCCGACTGCTAGATCAGTGCTGTATGTAGACTCTGAGTCGCGCAGACCGAAACTGGATGCGAACCGACGTGCTAAAGACCCCACAGAATCAATGTAATCTCAAATATCTCCGCACTCAAAGTACTTTCGCAGCGCAGAACCAGCGATAGCTCAACCTAGGCGTAGGCGCGTTAGAAATGCTCTTTTAAAGGCCCTACAGCCTTGCCATAACAGCTAGGGCGTTCCGTAGCTTGAAGCACAAGCCATAGTCACTACCGAAGAAAGTTAGTGCAGCGCACCAAAGAAGACAATCATAGCCTAGTAAGCAACAAGTGCCGGGAAGGAAATTGGGGGAGCTCGATCAAGTGCCGATCCTGGAGATATCCTGGTGGTAATCGTGGGAAAGACCCGCAACTGTGGAGATAGGGATTGAGGAGGACCAAACTGATCTCTGAACACAATTGAGTGTTGGGTATATTAATTATAGACAGAGCTTAAGAAGGCGTGCATGGTCGATACAGGTAGAAAAAGTCAGGTATGGGCGGCAGAAGGTCTAGTGTGGAAGTGGCGTGCTCTAGCCCTGGCTAGCGCGGGGGGCTGAAGAACATCCATCAATAACATATATCGCATCTCCCTAAATAGTTTAGTAAAAGCGCAGATTTTCATCACTCGCGTAGTAAACGCCATTTGTGCTCTCTAACCGACCTCTATCCCGCGGCTTATTGTAGGGTTAGTTTCTTGATGATTCCGCACGAGGATGTGAAGCCTAGGATTAGGTGACTTCGATGGGATGGGTTGCGAGTCGTAGACTTTCGTATTAAAGCACTCCAGAGTTGGCTAAATTCAGTGCGCAGCGATCATATAATTTTATGGGACATCTACACAGGTCTGCTCACGCTCCTAGATTTGTCGAATCTCTGACGGAACTGTATGAGAACATTCAAATGCCGTCGAGAAGGGGTAAATTTCATTGTTTTCTCAAGAAATGATGCACTGCTCGGTAAAAGCACATCTAAATCCTACTCGTCTATTCAACCTTTCCCGGCTGACGCTTGTCCGCACCTGTCCACCTCGTTCTCCCCTTCGCATCAACATCAACACTCACTAACGGCTTGCCAATTAACCTCACCCCCCTCCCTTCACCAGCCGGCACAATGACATCCAGCTCACACCAGTGCGGTTTGAATCCAGGATGCAACGTCTCCGAAAACTTAACCTGGACCTCATCGTCGGTTGTTGAGTAGTGTAGGTTGAATGTGGAGACGCGAACAGGCGGCGATGAGACGCCGTCATCTTCAAACCAGGTATTGTTGAAGATCTTGCCATTCGATGAGCCCTTTGGCGGGAATATCTCAACAGCACGGTAGTCGTCGAGCGGGAGGTTGGCATGGTTTGAGGTGTCGCCAACGGAAAGGACCTGCTCTGCTCTACCGACAGGAACTGCACTGCCTACTCTAGCGAGAACTGGGATACTATCAGTCCACCTCGCAGGGATGTCAACCCATTGACCTGCGACATAGTATGATTGCGGTGTGTTGTTGAGGTCTAGGAACTGGAGATCAGGATTCGAAGGGTCTTTCGGGAGGTACATCTTCGCAGACGAAGCGCCGGCTTCGAAGACGCCGCCGATCAACAGGGCATCGCCGAGCCAGTACTGTGTTTCCCCATCCGTGAGCACTTTGTTCTTCCAGACTTCTGGGTCTTGTTCGTAACCCCATCCCGTCCACCGCTGGGGTGGTGTTGCCGTTTGATGTGAGTCTAGGCTTAACGAGTACAAGTATGGAATTAGTTCATATCGCCGCTTGATGATATCGCGAATCAGCGGCGTCGTTTCTTCATACATCCACGGCTCGATTACATCGCCGACGGTGTTGTTGTCCGGGGATGTTTTATAGCAATTGATGGCAAAGCGCGGTGAGTAGATACCCTGCTGGCACCAGCGAGTGAGCAATTCTGGCGATGGCTGCGGGCCTTCAAAGCCCCCGATATCGTGACCGTAGCATTGCATTAGGCACATGCCTGCTGTGAGTGAGAGCGCATTGGCACCTTTCATGCCGTCCCAACTGGTTACATTATCACCGCTCCAAGAGCTTGCGCAGTATCGAAGTGTACCCGCTGTCGCACTTCGAGTGAGGATGAAGGGTCTTTGATTCGGTTCGATATCAAGTGACGCATCGTGTGAACTCTTGCCCATCAGTTCCGTGTTGAGTGCGCGGCCCCAGAATCCGATGGCTTGCCCATACTGGTTGTCTTTGTCTTGGATCACGGTCGGCTCAGTCAATTCACACTGCCAACCATCGTGAGGGATAGTATATTCGTTGTTATCGTTCCAGATGCAATCAATACCGACGCGTTTCAGCTCGCGGATACCCTCGTACCACCACTTATAGCCTGCTTTTGAGGTGAAGTCAATGTGTCCACCAATTCCACTCTCGCCACCACCAGCGCTCCACAAGCGGGCCTCGGCGGACGCTACGGTTAGAGAATCGGTGAAGAATGCTCCAGCTGCTTTCAACTTATTGTATTCAGGATGACTCTCTAGGACGTATGGCTTGACGTTGGCAATTAACCGTATGCCCTCCCTATGGAACGCATCGATGAAGCCTTTGGGGTCGGGAAAGCGGTGTCGATTCCAGGTAAAGACATTGCGTGTTTTTGGCTCGGTCTCAGCAACCGTATATCCCGACGACATTTGGAAGCCAGAGCAAGGGATATTATGCTTCTTTAGATTACCTGCAAATTTCATCAACACATCACTTGCGCGCGGATCATCAAGCATGGAGTACTTCATGCCACCAGCGAGGTACCCAAACGCCCATCGCGGTACGAGCATAGGGTATCCGACAAGATCAGCATAAATGCCAACAACCTCTTTCAAAGTCTTCCCGACGATGAGGTATTCCTCAAGCCCACCGTATTCTTGTCGATATACTTTGAAGCGACCCCACATGCCATCCATCTCGGAGCCTACTGAGTAGTAGCCGCGTGCATGAGAAGTCGAGAAAATCCCGACGCAGCCATCCGGCGTGGCATTGATGAGGAGTGGGATATGTTTGTACATGGGATCCGTACGGTACACATCGTACCCAAAAGAATCAGTTGCCGAGAGGACGAAATGGCGGTTTGAAAGGTCCATTGGCGCTGGCTTCTCACCAAGCCCAAGGTGAAGCGTACCATTATTGTAGCGCGTGTAATGAGCGATTCCAGTGCCATCTGCTACGTATGAACGGTGGGGTAGGTCGGAATGAAGGGGTGTATCATGACCGGGAAGCGTGAGAGATACCAGCGGTAGCCCGCTTGTCCAGTCTGCGTTTGCAGTAACCCCATCCACAACAAAAGATTGCGATGTACCACTTGAATTGACAGATTTAAGACTCTCTTGGTCGATAATCTGTTGCGGGACTAGTGTTGCTCGATGAGGTGGAAGTAAATGCTTCGGAGAGATAAAGGTGGTGCGGAACAGGCCCTGACGCAACGCTTCGAAAGTGAATACGAAGTCGCCCGAAGTTGACTGCAGTCGAAGTCCCTCTTTTGAATTATTGGAGGGTGCCACGGCATGGTAACCGTGCGGAACGTGTTCAAGCTGAGGCATAATGGAAACGAACTGCTGAGCTTTAAGCAGAATGTCTTCTGTAGGAGGTTCGACACTCACCAACTTATACCGTATGTTTTGGCTTCTTCGGAACTCGTGCATAAGTTTCGTTCGAAGATGCCGAAGGATTCTGTACCCTTGTTCCCATGGCAGAACACAGCAAGATCATTTGGCGCTAAAGTAACTACAAGTGCCGATCCTAGTGGGCGCGCACCAACCAGGGACCTTCCCTTGGCCTAGTGTCGCCACCAAGCCGCCTATTCCCAGCTTCTCATGACACGAATTACGGTGCCTTCGGCCGATGAATAGGATAAGTTCTTCCTCTATTAAATTGTTTCTCTGGGGTCCCCATGGGGAGTGGGTATAAATTGAAGAGCTAACTCCACCTTTTTTGATGGAGCCCATTTATCGGATCCATTGTTCTTTTTCAAGATGGCTAAACTAGAGTCGACTCCTCATGCTATAGAGACCAGCAAAGCTGACGTCGAAACCTCCGAATCTATCAAGCCTACCCACACTGTTCGAGGCAAAGACAAGGCTGCTGAGCTCCTTTCATCGAACGAACGTATCCTTGTCACACCCGCAGATAACAAGCGAATCTTGCGAAAAATCGATCTCGTCATCCTCCCGATCCTCCTCTCGGTCTACTTTCTCCAGAGTCTAGATAAGACCACACTATCATATGCCTCAGTCTTTGGCCTCATCGAAGATGCAGGTCTCGATCCAAAGTCCCAGCAGTTCTCCTGGCTGGGAAGCATCGTATACATTGCACAGCTGGTAATGCAGCCTATCGTAGCCGTGCTCCTAGTCAAGCTTCGCATGGGGAAGTTCATGGGCATCATGGTCTTCATCTGGGGCTGCATTTTGTGTGGGATGGCTGGAGCGAAGAACTTCACTGGGCTCATGGTGACACGGTTTCTGCTCGGTGCTTTCGAATCTGCCGTGGGTAAGTCAATGGGCTTCGCGAAGGTTTCCAGGCATCCGTTAACGAGAAGCAGCCCCCGCATTTATCGCTGTGGTTCAGATGTGGTACAAACGTGGTGAACAAACCAATCGAAACGCAGCCTGGTACGCTATGCTAGGCATCGTCAACATCCTCGGGAGCCTGTTGTCGTATGGCCTCGGACACATAAAGTCGGACCTCCTCCACTCCTACCAGATCATCTTCCTCTTTTGTGGTCTCCTAACTGTCGTGGTGTCGGTCTTCGTGTATATCTTTATGCCCGATTCTCCGATGGAAGCCGGTTTCCTCAATGACCACGAGAAAATGATTGCAGTCGAACGCCTGAGAATGAATCAGATGGGCGTTGCATCTCGCATCTGGAAATGGGATCATGTCTTTGAAGCTTTCATGGACCCGAAGACATGGCTTTGGTTTTTCATGCTGACTGCCGTCAGTATCCCTAGTGGCGGCATCACAACTTTTGGGCCTCTTATCATCCAGAGTTTCGGCTTTGGAAAATTTGCGACTATACTGTTCAACATGCCTTTTGGCGCTGTCCAGATCATTGCGACAGTAGGAGGTGCCTGGTTGGCCACGTGGCTGAAGAAGAAGTCACCAGTTCTGATCCTCCTTTGCATCCCGCCAATTATCGGTATCATCATCCTTATGGTCGTCGGACGTGGTAAGGAGAATCGTGGCGTGCTACTCTTCGGCTACTACATGACATCCTTCTACCCCGGCATATCACCGCTCATATACTCTTGGTCGGGCCAAAACACTGGGGGTGACACGAAGAGGAAGGTGACAACTAGCATTCTTTTCGTTGGCGCCAGCGCAGGCAACATTATTGGGCCGCATCTATTCAAGCCTTCCGAGAGACCCCATTATTACCGAGGTCTACGTGCGAACCTCGCTCTATTTGTCGCGATCATTGTGTTGGTCTTATTATCAGTTTCCTGGATCAAGCTGCTCAATCGCAAGCATGCTGCGACCCGCGAGAGCATGGGTAAGTCGGCTATCGTTATAGACACGAGCATGGGAGACAGCCGACAGACGGATGCAGAAGAGGTCGTTGCCAGCGGGGTCGGCGATAAGGCGTTCGATGATGTTACTGACATTAAGAACGAGGATTTTCTGTACATCTATTAAATGGACGTTCATCTTGGAGACTGAGAGATAGAATAGTCGACGAAGCCTGTCGTAATTAAATGATATTGTCATTACCTCCCCGTGTCAGAATTAGGTAATTTGTTCCTCCCTTGCATATGGTACCGGTAGCCGTTTCTCGGGTTCCCTATCCGGATGCAGCGTCGCGAAGTTTTGAACACATTGTTTATGTGCAATCAATCACTGGACGCAATCCTTTGAGTGCAGCTAGAAGGGCCTCAGGCTCTTTCCATTTGATTGAGAGCATCTTATAATTGTATTGTTGGCTCCAGGCGATGCTCTCATGAGAACAAAATGTAGCCATAAATACTGCTAGGGCCGCCCGACTCAAAAAAGACTGTCGATGTTGATGAACAAGTCCTGCCAGCCTAGGGGCATATGCTTCAGATTCGAACCAGGAAAATCCCATTCGAAAACGAACTCTGTAGGCACATATCCTTGGAACTCATCCTCAGCGGCTCCGTTGCTATTCGAGCCAGCTTCAAGGTCAGAACCTGTCTGTGGTTGCGTTACGTACTCTTTTAGAGCAGCCTCGCATTTCTCGATGCTAGTTTGCAAGATCTGGAAGTAGGCAATGTGGCCGGTCGTGACGGTTTTGAGCTCCTCAAGCACTCTATGAGCATCGCGGAGCAGAAGCATAACCGAGGGTACAGGATCGCGAAGCAGGATAGCGAGCTTGAGGACAAGAAGAACAGAGAATGCGCATTTAGCCCATACGTAGTCTAAGGTCCATCTGAAGGTACTGAGATATGTGGATCTGTGCTGTTGAGTGCTTAGCGTTGGTGAGGAGTATGGTGACGATATATCTTCGAGCACATGGTGCAGGTGTCGAGCTGCTGCTTCTTTGGCCCGACAGACGATGTCTCGTTGGAACTCAGTCATAAAAGCGATATTTTCAATGCCAGATGTGGCATTGGCTTTGAGATGAAGAGTGATAATGGCCCATTCGTATTGGATGTGAAGATTCTGCAGAGCAAGTGATCGTTGATGCGGATTTGGTTCGGTAGATACAATGGTAGTCCACTCATCCAGCCATAGGGATAGCTCAATGATTGTATCGTCGATTGTTCTCCGGATTTGAGCCTCATTCTGTGAATGCAGTGGGTCGCCAGCTTGGATTATAATGCTGCCATATGCTTCTGCACGGATCATGTTAAGCTCAATCTGGGAGAGCAACCGAATGTCCACTGTAGCGCGCTCAGGATGAGTGATAAGGCTTCTAATCTTGCGCGATGATGTTTGAATAGTTAGGTTAGGGAGCTTGCCACCATCAAGGGAGAAGCTAGGTAGCGGTCAGCATTGCTTTACCACAAGTCTCCTTTCTAATTCACCCACAATAATTCCAGATTGCAGATACCATGCCAAATTCTAGCAAGACGATAGAGCCCTCGTTCATCATCGTCCACAGCTCTTAATCTTCTGTGTCCTCTCGCCACCAACTGGTCAACGGCACGGGGCAAGCCCAGCTGAATGGCAAACCTCAGCGCGAGAGCAACCAGCACAAACCTATTCTCAGAGTATGCAGCCATTAAGGTTATTGCTTGGACATCTTCAAGAGAAGGAATGCTTGTATTTATGAGCAGATTTGTAACATAATCCCTTGCTCGAGACTGGAGCTGGCGGTATGTTGCTGAGTTGAAGCCTTCTTCAGATCGGCAGCCAATGCTGACCATAATGTCAAAGAGGAAAGCGCTGCGAGATGAAACGGACGCAATGGTGTCTTGTTTTTCACAAAATATAGGTACTAAATATTGCTATGCTGGTCAGTGTTGCCTCTTAGTGCACGATATGTGACCGTACACTACCAGAGAAGAAACTGCTTAAGGTTTAGCATTATCATGAATTTAATTAGAGGTGTTATATACCTCTGAAACCAGAGTGCCGCCTGATCCCAGGTAAAGAGTCCTGCATCCACTGCTGTGGATGCAGTATTGCGCTTACGCAGGGGGTGCGGCGTTATTGGTGTTATATTTGAGTTGACAACAGTGACATTTTTCAATTCATCTCTTAGATCAGCCAGCTCCTCTTCAAGCTTCTCGATGCGCACATTACTCTCATCTTTTGCTACGTCATGATACTGACAAGTGGTGCCATTCCTTTCGCAGCGCTGACATGGCCGATCTCCATCGCAGCGTACTTTGGAAGCTCGACAAGTGGCACATGCGTTGATGGCACGCCGTTTGCGCGGCCGTTGTGCTGTGGTTGATGATTGCATCGGCAGTTCGTACGAGAGTGGGCGTCAGGGGTGCTGAGAGTGTCTCCCAAGTATTGGTTCAGGAAGTTCTTTTATGACGGCATTTAGGGCCTAGAAGGCGTCCACGATGCTGTTTCGCTGTTCTGGTCTTATTTGTGTCGCATTCTTTGTAGCCTTTGGTTGAGTGTTGACCTGAATGCTGGGCGTCCGAAACGCGGGGGAAACATGGCACGGACTTTCCACTAACAAGTTTTAGTAAATAACAACCTCGGGTTCTCCACATTGCGGCTAGACGCCCTATATCGTGCAAGCAGATTTTTAAAGCGCCTACGCTCTAGTAAGCTATTACTAGTTCTATAAAAGTACTTTAAATATAAATATATTTATAATTATATTAATTCTTTTAAGATAAGCTATATTTAAGATAGTTATAGTTACTTTAAAGACTAATTAAGAAAACTTTTACTATAGTACTAAATAAAACTTATTTTAACTATTTTAAAGGCTTTAAGAAGATAATAAAGGACTAATTATATAGACTATATAGGCTATAAGTATTAGGATAATAGTAAAAGTCTAAGTAGAGAATTAAGTTACTAGTATTTAATTAGATATAAAAAAGTATTATTTTTATTAAGATAGGCTAGTTAAGAAACTATAATTAAGAGCTAGACTACCTTAGGTAGAAGAAATTAAACGTGTACATTAAGAAAACTTTAAGAACTTTAAGAAACTATAATAGATTTAGAGAAAAATATCTACTTTTCGAAAAATAAAGAAAAGGCTATAGGAAACTGCAGTTCTGTGCAGATTAGGCTGCTAAGCACAACCTCCGCTACTTCTAGGTAGATACTTGCTGCATTAACAACGTAAATCCAGCTATAAAGGCCTGCATAATAGAGCGTTAATACTGCTAAAAAAAATAGGTGTTAAAATGCATACTAGCAAAAACAATAATATAAAATTAGCTTTACCTGTAGTTGCAGCTTTGTTTTAGCTGCATACAAAGTAGTCTAAAACTGGGCTAGAGTTTTAAAGCATTATGTACAAGCTTTAGATAAGTAAAATAGTAATAAGAGGGGATAAAGTACTCTGTCTAGTTAATTAGTATTTCAATTAAAATTGCGCGTGAATTTCTGTATCTTTTTATCTATAATATCTACTAAGCTACTTTACTGTACCTGTTTTAAATAATAAGCTAAGTTTACTTTTTATGCAAGCTAGTAGTAACCTTAATAGCAGGAGTTTATGCGCAAACGAGCGCATTAGGAAAATTCAAATTATATATTTTCGCCTAAGTAGCAGCTAGTAGCAGGCTAATAGCGCAAGTAGGAAATTTGCCAAAATTACCTTACACTTATTTTTTTTTATATATTTACTAGTATTGCTAGTATTGCTAGTTTTATTAAAGTTGCAAGTTTAATATTTTTAAAAAAAACTTTAAAGTATTTAGAACCTTTAATATTATATAAATAATATATAATTATTAATATAAAACTAATTTATATATACTAAAATATAAAGTTTAGTTAGTTTTTTTTAAAAATAAATTTAAAATATTATATTTTAAGCTAGCTATAAGCGTAGCAAGTTTTTTTCTTAGCAAAAAAAATTATATTTAATTTTTAGTAATTTAATTAGAATTTAATAGCTAGTATTTAAACTAATTATAAAACACTAGAAACTTATATATATAGTATTTCTATATATATATAATAGTTTTAGCTAGAATAGGCTTAGTAAGCAGCTTATAAAAATTAATATATAATTTTACTATATAAATA